ACATTGCCATTTTCTTTTAATCGTGTTTTTATTGCATTTTTAGCATCAGGGGCCTGATCGTGATGGTTAAGTCCGGAGGGTTGGGACGTCCCAGCATAAGATGCTCACTTGCCTTTTCATTATGTCCACTAACCAGATGACAACCACTATTTTGCCGAGATGCTCCAATCCATGTTATCTCTCTAACAAGATGATAGACAGAGGCTTGTACAGGACAGCAGTAACCGTGCTGAGGTCTGTGCAGACCAGGTGAGCAGAACCACCATCGCCTCGAATAACCTCAAACGCGTACAATTACATCATGTAAATCTTACAGTGCGGTGGGAGCAACAATGAACGCGCATGCCACATCCTCGGTCTTAGTTATGTACGATTGTTTTGAATCTTACATGTTGTTTGAATAATTTGTTCAGTACTGTAAACCCTGATGAAATTTATAGATGGGCAAAAAAAAAAATATGGATGGTAGTGTATATACTATTTATTTGTAAGTTACTTGTGTACATAGATACCTCCTAAAGAAATAATAGAAGGTGGAGTGAGTATGTCAATTCGCTTTTGTATAGGCTTGTTCATACAGGTTTTGTTGTTTACAACTAGCATTAAACACTCATCATCAGTTTGAAGGAGTTGCAAACACCTCTCTCGGCAGAAATTGTAAAAGCCTAATGGTAACAATACTACCCTAATTCTGGAAATGCTGATAGTTGTAAATAACTAAACAATGAGGAGAAAAACCATCCTTTACAAAAGTAGATACCGACCTGTGTTCGACTTCATACCAATATGTCTAGTATTTAATGACCATCAATTAACGATTAGATGTAGATCGTGAGATGTGGTTTTGGGTAATGTAGGTTTAGAAAAATATTTTCTTTATTGTGCCAACCTTTCGATCATTATTTAGATCATCTTCAGAGCTCAAGGTGGGTGTTTTATATGTAGATGGGTCACGGTTGTGTTGTGTTAGAAGATATTAATGTTTTTTGTTTAATATGTTTCATATTGAAGGAGTAGGAAAGGAATTATGGATAGAAATTCATTTTTCTATGAGGAGTTGGCTTCTTTGTGGTGAAAGGGACCGACAATGGAAAAAAGGGTAATGGTTTGTCATCTGGGGCTTGTTATCCTTTTTATATTATTAGGGAAAGTAGAGATAAATTTTTGAGGAATTAGACTATGTAAAATTGTTTAATTTGTTGAGTAAAATGGTTATTTTATCTGTTTTGTGTGCTATATGTATGTTATTTATATTGCATTTGATTTATGATTAGCATAGGTATAGCTGAGCTTTTACATGTTTCTATTCTGTAATTGATGCTGTGTTTATTTTTGTTGACGAAAACCATTTCTAAATAATTATGTTTGTATTCTTCTGTGTTTAATATTTTTGGATTGCTGAAATTGAAGTGCTGTAGGATTTTTTTTTTTCATCATAGATATGTTGTTTTACTCTCTTCTCCAGATATTGGGATGTAATTCCGATGTAAGTTGCCGACATTTATACAATTGATTTTGTAAATTACATCAGACTTATTTGTTACAGGTGTGGGATCTTTAATTTTGGGAAAAAAGAATGTGAATAGTTTTAGTTTTTGAAAGCTATTTTAAAGTTATCAGAAGAGAGAAATGTGTTTAATTTATGTGATAGGCCATGAATGAATGGCATGGATATGTATGTTGCTTTGCCTGCAGGCCTGAGCACTTTCAACACGACAGACAAGAATGACACATCTACACAGAAAACAAACACTTTGAGCCCTGAAGATGATCTCAATAAACATTGGCACAGTAAAGAAAATGTTTTTCTAAAACCTATGTCACACCAGACAGCATCTCAGGACCTCCAAATAATCAGCTATTTAAAGCTATCAAAAGAAAGAAATGTATTTAATTTGTGTGATAAGCCGTGAACAAATGGAATGGATATGTACGTCAGTTTGTCTGTTTGATAGAATTGACGTAGTGTTATTAGTGATGGTGTTAGTGTTGAGTTGTAGTTGTTGATTATGTGTTTAGGGTAGTGATTGTTATATAGGATATGTTTGTATATCTTTATGTTCTTGTGGTGAAAAGATTCAATAATTCTTTAAGTAGTTCTTTGGCCGTGTTTATAAATGTGTGAAGGGCACAGTGTGATATAAAGTTGATGTAGCGATCTGTGTTTCTTGGTTTTTGATACAATTTAATTAATGTAACAGAGCTGCAGCTTAAAGAAGTTGTTCCAAAATTACAATTTTGCAAATTTCATGGTGTTTGTGTTGTTATTATGCCAAGTAGACTTGTAATTTTTAAAAGAAAAGTGGCCAGTCTAAAAGGTAATTTCGAGCTGAAACTAAAAATAATGTGAAAATTCGAGGAAAAGTAACGTTAGAGTGTAGAAAATTCGGATTTATGTAACAAAAAAACGTGTTTTTTACTTTTTTACGCTACTGGTCTAGTTTCAATTTTTAATAATTATTTTTAAAAAACACATTTTTCTTTCATTTCGAAATTGCTCTTAGCTAACTTGTCTAGGCCAAACACAGTGTATACATGTTTAAAAATTGAAATGATGAAAAACATTTTTCAAAGCATAATTTGCCGGTTTGGACTTTGGCGTCACCCATGATATAAGGGATGGAGGGGTCGTAACCCCACAAACAATCAGGTAGGGGCAATAATTAAGAAATAATATAAATAAACAATAAATATTTTTTTCAACTTATGTGGCAGGGGGTGCAATTAAAAACACGTGTTGACTTTTTATTCCCCCCCCCCACTAGAAAGCCGGGAAAGGAAAATCCAGCACCCCCTACAAGAGATTGTGGAGGGGTGTGGTAGGGGGGGAAGATATCGATTTTTCTATCGACCCGACTCTCCTTAACTTGTGCGTAGGGGGGTCAACGACCCCTTCACTACTAGGCTCCCTCCTCACGAGGGCAAACTCATATTCTAAGGTGGTTGTCTACCATTCATAAAAATCGCCAATACAAAATTCAAACTATTTAAAAAAAATAATATAATAAAAAAACTATTCAACGCTGTTGTCACGCACCATGATGATTTATTGTCAGTGTTATCGTTTTACTAATGTGTGATGTTTAGTGATGTTATAAATTATTTAGAAATCGTGAGATGCGATCTGGTGTGATGTAGGTTTCAGAAAAACATTTTCTTTATCGTGCCAACGTTTCGATCTTTATTGAGATCATCTTCAGGGCTCAAAGTGTTTTTCTTCTATGTAATTGTGCCATTCCTGCGTGTCGTGTCGAGAGTTTGGACACTCTCAACACGACAAGCAAGAATGGCACAATTACACAGAAGACAAACACTTTAGCCCTGAAGATGATCTCAATAAAGATCGAAACTTTGGCACGATAAAGAAAATGTTTTTCTGAAACCTATATCACACCAGACCGCATCTCACGATTTCTGAATAATTATCGATTAACGGTCACTAATCACCACACACACGATGTTATAAATGTTTAATTTTTTTTTTTTAATGATTATTTGATATATTACATCCTGCATTTATTGTAATAGAGATACTTAAGGAACTGGCTGAACAATGTAAAAGTAAATAAATACATACATAAAATAAACAAACTTTAAAATTACAACCATTGAGATAAATATATAACGTTTTTTTGCTTCACAGTCATAAAATAAGCAGTCGTTCATTATTGTCATAAATAAAGTGATTTGTTTGTTGTTAATTCACTACATTTAATTTATAATTCAAGTTGTGAAACTTGTATAGGTAAAAGAATAAGTAACGTTTTTTATTACAGAAGTATGAACTTAAATGCAAATTTTATTTTTTAAATTAGATTTATAAAAACATGGAATTATTTATTATAAACAAATAATTATTTTTCAGTTCTTTTGTTTGTCCTTAAGAATAAATGATTATTTAGATATCGTAAGATCTGGTCTAGTGTGATGTGTGATTAGAAAAACATTTTCTGTATTGTGCCGACGTTACAATCTTAATTGAAATCGTCTTTAGGGCCTGCGATTTATAATCATTGTTTAAGTTATATAAATACATGTAAGATATGAATTTATACAATGATGTACACAATATAGAAATTTTAGGTTTAATCAAAGTATTTGTATTACACAGAAAACACTTGAGTGAGAACATTCTTCTTGTGTCCAAGTATGGCCCGGGGGAGCCCCTTCTGGTATTGTCTTCATATCTCTAGCTTCTGATATGACATGACCTCTATTATTCAATTATTTAAACACAAGCAAACTATTACTAAAGTCCAGCTGTCTGGCAATATAAAGGAAATTGCATGCCTACTGGCAACAGTATGAATTCAGTTTCTCACCCCTCGTGTGGGGGGTGGTGTCACACTCCGGCCTGGCTACCAGTTGGGAGAGGGACAACAACAATGCCCTCCCCTGCCTGAGGATCAAGTAGGGCTCAGCCCTCAGGTGTGCACAAAACTTGGTTGGAACTAGAAGGGCGCCTACAGGGCCGACTTGCAAAAAAAATATTTTGTGTTGGAGTGTGGTCGAATTTGGTTTTATCCTTTAAATTGTATCTAATATTGGTGTTGGCTAGAAAAGTAAATAGATAATTTTCATTGTAAATAGTTTCTTTTTCATTTGTTTTATTAAAAAGGTCTATTTTCAAGAATTTTTAGTTTCTTAATTATTTTTCTTATTTTTAGTACTCTAGGTATGTATATCTCTTTTTAATAGTCAGGATAGTCCCGAGAAATAGACAGGGACATCTCACACTGTACATACTATGATTTCTATGTAAATCCTAAGTGAACTGTTCACCTGCATTGTGTCAATCCATCTGCTATGTAAATTTATAAATTGAAACAAAACAAAAAATAGATTTTTACTTTAAAACTTATCCATTGTGTTTTAAAATAAGTTAGCTGTTCAGCTTGTCACATACAAATCACATAAAAATTGTCTTGTGCAGCAGAGCCCGCCAGGATGGATGCAATCAATTCTTAATAGGTAGTAAATATAATAAAAAAAACACTCACCGTTGTTTCCATTGTATCGGTAACCTTGGCTCTGCCCAGTACCGGGGTGTTTTTGTTTTTGCATTCTTGCAAGATGAAGCCGAAGTTTGGAGTCATATGCTGGTCTTTTTCTTGTTCCAATTCGGTCCCTTTATTTCCTCTTCTTACAATCGACCCTGTCTCTTCTCTGAGAATCAGTTGAAAGGAAAAAAAGAGGGAAATGAAAGTGAAGTCTCGTCCGATGCGTTAACACTGGAACAGGAATAAAAATGGGTCAAATTAAAAAAATAAATAAATAAACGTACATAGGATTCAATAGAGCGTAGTACAAGTAAAGGAAAACGCCAAATAATACAGAAGAGTGTAAATTGAAAAATATATGGTTACTATTTAAGAAAAAGCCTTTCCAGTGGTCATCCATTCAAACTAGGCATACAGTGTTCTCTTCGTACTAATTGCTCCAAGAGGGTATTCGGATTAAAAAGGGTGTGAAAATACGTACTGACAATTTTTGTTTTAAAAGATATTTCTTTTTTTATTATTTAAAACTTTCTTCATTTCCTCTTCCTAATTTTCACTCATTTTTAAGCAGAACATATTATATTTAACAGAGAAAAATGTAGACTGATCTAATATATTTTTTAGCAGATTCACCGAACAAAAGAAATTATCGAAAATACATAAAGCCTAAGCTGGTCTTGGTCTTTCATATGACACTCCCTCTTACTAACTCACTCTCTATTTTCTATTTTTCACACACTCTCCCTCATCTCCACAACTTGATACAACCGGGATTGGTTCCTGAAATTAAATTAGAAATTTGAGATTTCCCAAAACTCAGACTACCTATCTAAACAGATGGTAGTAAGAAGAATAACAAAGTTGGGTGTGCCTTTGTGGCTTATTGGGTTTATAAGACATTTCTGGAGAGATAGTTTTGTCTTGCAGAACATTGTTCAAACACCATGCTGAACTTTTGGCTATATTGAATTATTTGGAATGGCTTATTGATGATCTTTTACATAGGAAAAATGTAATTGTATTGACTGATAGTCAAATATCTCTCGACATGATCACCAAACAAACAACCACATGTCCTTGGTGGATAGAATTCGGCTAGCCTTATTGAGTCTTAATCAGCGGAAATGGAATGTAGTATTCATTAAGGTCCAGGCTCACATGGTGAAGTGGGTAACGAAAGAGCTGATTTACTGGCAAAATAAGCATTGGAAGATAAGAATTTGCAGGTAACCTTCGAATTTGTCCCGAAAACTTATGTAGAACACAAAAAAACAGAGCTGACAACAAAAGTGGGAACAAATCTGGCAGACAACAGGGAAAGGCATGCTCACTAAAGAATTTTTTCCATCTATAGGGGCAAGAGTCAAGTGTAACACTGCAGTATGCTACAAGGTGACTCAAGTGTTGTCAGGTTATGGAAAAAACAGAGCAAATCTTCATCATTGTAATATTCTGCCAGATGCAAGTTGCCTTGTGATCCAATGGGACCATATTATCTTTCATAGCAGACTTTTTGAAGCAGAAAGAGCATCTCGATAAGAAAAGTGGTAACCAGAGGGCTTAAATGGCCTCCAGAATAAAGTGTTCTTGTGAATGATTATGATAAATTAAAAAAAAATGTAAATTGTTTAACAATTAAGATTAATTGTATGATCTAATGTAATGTAAATTTTTATTAAGTGCATATACGCATGTAATATTGGTGTAATAGTGGTACAAGCAGGAGAAACAAAAAGTTCTCATTTCACTCCAAATAACGTTTCACCTGTTTACTTTTAAATTCTGACTTCTTGAATTTTCAGAATATGAAAATTCGGATTAGGGAAAAAGAGCACTGTACTTAAAAATGGGCTTTTTTTTTCCAAAAACAGCACTCTTAGGCTATGACTTCCTAGTTGTAACACCCTCTCATTTGAAGAAGGAAAAAAGAACAAAAAAACCTGAACAACATGGAATTTGTAAAACTTGCCATATGACAGAACAAAGTTTGATATGGTTGTACCTTATGCTGATACCGAGACAGGTTTAACAGTTTGTACTGTCGACAAAACCTCTCCCAATAAACTGGCGAGGGTGACAGGAATTTGCTACGACCAAAAAACAAAAACATAAACTGAATCATCATTTGTTGTCACAGATTTTACCCTTTGTTAAAATGCCATTGTTCTGGTGTTTTAATAGATATGTTACCTTCCTTTTTTTTTTTGTACTATCTACAGATAACATCTTAAAAACAAATCAATTGATAACGGCTGCAAATTAAACTGGAAGGAATTTGTTAGGCTAGAAAAAAAAACAAAGCTAGTCATTGTTTGACATTGCTGTCTTGACCCAGTTCATAAAACTGCACCATTTAAAATACAAAATAAAAAAAGGAGGATATGATTCTAAAGATTAGAACAAAATGCCAGGAAGGATTTCCCTCCAGCCCTTACAGTAACACAAAAAAATAAGTTTTTCCCTCCAATGAAGACCCAGACATTAATAAAAAGCCAGGAAGGGCAAAAAAAAATTACTACTGTAAGCAAAACAAACCAATTGCCATTACCTGTAAATGAAGACATTCTAGGCGAAATTACAAACTCACAACAACATATATGCTATGTATTATAAATAAATGGAGGAAAAATTAAGAATCAAGCTGAATTAGCTTAAATCTATATGCACAATTTCTACAAATAAACTGTATTCTCTCTCAGGATCAGTTTACAGTTATATATCTAGGAGTAGCCCAATATGCCAAGCTTAGTTGGAAAGATAGGTCAAAACAATACAAAATAAAATATTGTCATACTCCGGAGCCAACGCCCTCTCGCCGACTTGGTAAAAAGCCTCTTCATCCAAGACTCACAAGGTTCCTAGGTCCTAGGTGGGGTCGACACCCTACAAGGTAAGCAATTTTCATAATCTAAAGCTGATTATATGTGTCACTTGAGATGAAGTGGGAAAATGTGAGTCAAAATCACAACAAGCGTAAGAGCGAGAACCGAAGTGAAAAGGTCAGATAGTGCCTGTCATCACAGTTTGTAGAAAAAAGATATCTAAAAGGATTCATCATCACAAGACAATCCACCACCTTCAAGACCTATGATTGTTAGGACACGGGTGCGACCAGTTTGATTCCCAGTTTCTGCTATAAAACCATATGGAGATATTATAGCATGAAAGTCAAACAGATTAGCGCCGCAAACCAAATAGAAAAAATCTTACCCAATGTGGACGGACATATGGTACCAAAAACAATACAAAAATAATTAAAAAATATCCTTCCAAGCACACCTTACAAGCAGAAGACACAGTAATATAGAAGGTTGAAAAGGACAAAACCGTAACTCATACAGTGAAATAAATTAACGATTAGCCGATTGTAAATTTAATTATAAAAATGGGTTTATAAAAATCATTGTAATATTAATGATTAGTATAGTGAGATGGGTTTCACAACATTGTAGGCATAACCCTGTAATCTCGTCCTTCGACTGGTCAAATTTAGGGATAATAAAAGCGCAGTTTGTATTTGAAAAATGAGTTTTTAAATTGTTAGTACGTTGTAAAATTGTAACGCGACTAATTCGATATTTTACAGTTTTTTTATATTTTTTTATTATTTATAACAATAACGTTTCCGCGGATTTAAATAATATTTGTTTGAAACATACTGACAAGGTTATTTAATCTTTTTTTTTATATATTGTAGTAAATAGATAAATTTATCAAGGAATTAATATTTTGTGATTAATTATGGTTTTCTCCGAATCATTTGGAACATGAGTCATGGTCGACATGGTTTTTTTTTCATTTATATATATATATATATATATATATATATATATTTTTTTTTTTAATGTTCTTAACTACTTAGATAATCAGAGGGGGCTTTATAATATGCCTTGATTTCTTTTTAAACTGTAAGTACTTACTCTTTTATTCTATTCTTTTCGACAAAATGTTCTTTTATTCGACAAGAGAATCACGGCTTATTCAAGTAAATGGACTTGTTATGAGAGTTCGAGTTAAAATGACAACTGTGACTGGAACACGGCTGAAAAATCACACTCGGGTTGAAGACTAGGTTGGCAGCATTGTAACGACGGTGGAAAACAAGAAGTCTTTGAATTTGCGGAAGGGCGCCCCCTTCGCCCCATTTAACAAACCGAAGGGTTGACACACACAAAAAATAAAAATAAAAAACCTTTCCTTTTTTATTTTAAAAATATTATTAATTTTTTTTAATAAATAAGTTTATAATAAAAAAAAACGAACCTGGGTCGGGAAGGATCGCCACCGCTCGGCCGGACCCCTTGACAACAATGGCGGCCGACTCTCCCGGAAAAAAAACCCGTTCGTACTAGAAAATCACTTCCAATCTCGACGCGATTTAAGAAAAAAACTGAATACTAAAGACCACCGACAGAGGGGAAATCTTAAGAAGAAAAAAAAAACTGTCTTACATATGTAAAAATTAGTTCCAATTTATCTGTTAAATAAAGTTTTTTGTTTTGTTTTTGTTTTTTTTTTATTGGAAGAAAAGGACAGGTTGTTTTTATTTTTTTATGTCAATCAAAATTGAAAATCCGTTTCGACCTTTTTACTCACTATATTTTTTCTTTTTTTTATAGATTGGGTTTTATTTATATTTTACGTCTTGTATGGGTTTTGTTGGTATTGAGAACACCCTTGTTCCAGAGTTCGGCACGCCGTTTTCCCAAAGGGCGAGCCGGCCGAAGTGAGAAACTGCTACCGTACACCGGTAATAGTTTAAACAAATACAAAAGTAAACAATTATAAAGTAAATAAATCCGAAGTTGTTTTTTATATTAAAAGGACTGAAAAACATGACATCATAACCTAAATGGGAGGTTCCGTGTTTGGAGGCCGTGAATAAAAAAAAATGAAACATTGTACTCACCGGATTTTTCTTTCCAAACGGATCGTAGTTTCCTCCGATCTTGTGGATTGAAGAAATAAAATCTCGTCCTGTGTCGGTCGCCCTTCTTTTTTTTCTGCTTGTTTTTTCTTCAAATTCACTGTGAGTTTATTCCTTTTGGTAATAAAACTGCGAAACGGGCCCCGACGAGGCAAACATCTTTACCACATTGTCCTGTTCGCTACTGAAGCGACTCATGTCAAAGAGCATGCGCCGTGAAGACGCCCCCCTCCACAAAACGAAACCAAGGAATTGATGATCCAGGAAGAAGATCGGGACCTACAACTAAAAGTTTGAAAATTTCCCTCATCCCATCTAAAAATAATAATAAAATTAAAAAAACAAAAAAAATTAAAAGTAACCAGACTAGTGATGCAATCCTTATTCAATACGAGCCGAAGGTCGTGGTTCGAATCCCGCTCGACACTCACTTTTTCATCTCGACCAAGACCTTACATAAAAAGAATAGCTATTCAGATATCGTGAGATGCGGTCGGGTGTGATGTAGATATCTGAATAACTATCGATTAACGGTCACTAATCTCTACACATAAAAAGAATAATTAATTGAATATAAAAGCTAATATTTTCAAAATATTCGAACTAAAACATAAATGGTTCCAAATGGTTCTCCCTTGGGTCCAGTTCTTTTCTCCTCTCCATCCACCTTTCTAATTTTCATTCCTTCAAATAATTAGCCTCGAAATTTAAAAAATATTTCTTAATATTCGTTCCACAGTTGGTATGGAAAAGGTATTAATATTAATCCCCTTACACTACATGATAATGAGGACAGAAAACTATCATTAGTATTATTAAAGAGAAATATCCAACAGGAATGAATGGAGAGATAACAACAAAATAATGAACGATCATCCAATACTCATAGCTCCACTCCAAGGGACGACATGAGTAGGATGTTTGAATTTAATCAAAAATTCCAAAAAAAACTTAGGTACCAAAAAGAATGGGAACGAGAGGAAAAGGCCCCATATTTTTGTACACAGATGGATCTAGAACACAAGAATGTACAGGGGAGGAGTATTCAGTCCTGGAACCAAATACTCAGACCCCATAGAAAAATAAACCAGTATTCCAAGCTGAGGTTCAAGTGATCGAAAGATGTACTCAATTCAACTTGACTAAAGGGTACAAAACCAAGAACAAAGCCATGCTGCCATTAAAGCACTAAGCTCATCATTAGTTCAAAGATGGTGTTGAACTGCAAAACTAAATTAAACATATTAGGTACATGGAACAAAGTCAGCCTCTGCTGTGGGAGTAGAAGGCAACAAGAAAGTGAACACCCATGGGTGATAGGACTAGAACCCTTTTGTGGCATATGAATGAGTACCTCAGACAGAAGGTTAAAAAAATGTATCAAAGAAAGCAGGGAAAAACTGTGAATCCTAATAGGATTCTGCAAACATGGGCATTTAAAGAAGATTGGCATAATCCAACATGGCACATGCAGAAGAAGCAGAGGAGACACCAATATTCCTACTAACAAACTGTGGTGCTACTTGCTCTCAGGAGGAAGTGTTTTTGGATGTACAATGTGACTGTAGAAGAAATTCAACCACTTAAACCGGGCCTACTAATCAAGTTCCTTGATGAAATAGGACTCACCGGTGTGCTATAGGCACAGTATGGTGGAATAGTTCTTAAAGGGCTTAGTATATTACACCCCGACTAATAGATCTACATCTTCTATTTGTTCTTACATCTTTGTAAGATAAGTTTAGATACTTTATTTAGTTTTTTTATTATTACTTTTATTTTTTATGGGTCAAAAACTTATTTCTTTAAATAAAAAAGTATACGAAAGTAAGATGAAAAAAAATACAAAGAATGTACAATGCTTATAACTAATTCAACATTAATGAAGAATAAAACACACTATACTATACATCTATGAATAAGACAATAAAATCCTTTTCCACCCTTCTTTTTTTCATAAATAAAGGTTATTGATCATTAATCCTTTAGTCTATACAAGTCAAAGGTGCAGCTCGGCCCGATCAGAGCAAAGCCCCTGCAAACCCTGGTGGCATTCCCAGGCTTAGAAAAGACAGAACCTCATGGATCTCTCGCAACTGATGCAGGGCTTTATCGAGGAGGGCTCAGTTAGACACCTCCTCCAAGCTCACTGAAGATTCCTTGATCTCAGAGTCAGGGGAAGCACCCCTCAATCTAGCCCAAGATGGACCCGAGGCCCTGCAATGGCGTTGCCAATAACATGCTTATAAATAAACATTATAAAGATTTAATTAAACACCCTGTCTATATAAAAATAATATAATAAAGCATTATAACTACATATATAGAGAAAGGTGAATATCATTAATAAAAAGGGGAAAGAGAAAAGTACAAAGATGAGAACCTTGTGGCACACAGATGAAACAGAAAAGGGACTCTAAAAGACGCGATTTTCACTATTAGGGTGCATTCAGATAAATAAAAGTGCAGCCAAAGCTTTAGATTTCCTGATATTCTATTCACTTCTAGCTTCTAAATAAGTACGTTATGATCAATTTTGACTCTAAAGGCCTTGGAAAAATCTACACTTACAGAATCAACCTGACAATCACCGGCTATAGGGTTTAAAATGTAATTTTGATATATTAGCAAATCAGTAACCGTTGATCTGCCAGTTGTTGTGGAATAATAACCTTTTTTAGATCATGATTTAACTTTTTGCAAACCAAAGATTAAAATATTTTTGGAAAAAATGGATTGGATAAAAATGGGTCTATAATTACATACATTGGATTTATTGCCAGCTATGGGAAGAATGTAGGTATGTTGAGACAGGGATTGATTAAATGGTATGTAGGGAAGACCGAGAAGATTAAACGGTTTTATTTACAGAAGTATCACAGGAATGGCAACATACATACCAGCAAGAGAGTTTTCAAGGAAATTATTTTAGAAAAAAAGTCCATCATATGGAATAGAGATAACTGAAACAGGATTTAAGGAATAAATGAACCTTTAACCCTATTCATTTAGGATTACATTCTAATGTTGTGTCTGGAATATAAAAGAAAGAGGCGAATGTTTTTTGAAGGGTCAGGTTATGGCAGGTGTGACTGACAGAGGGGAGTAGGCATAGTAGCCCCAGTTACCTTGAGACATGAACTTTTCTGTTATATCTAGATGTAAATAATTTTTATCTACCTCTGACAAGATTCAAAAAAATGTACTAAATGGAAAAGGAGTACTCTCCCTCTAAACTTGGGGCTGTCAGGGTTGGGTTCTTGTTGTTGGGCCTCCTGCGGCGCAAACTCATAACCTCCCCCCCCCAAAAAAAAATCTATGTGATACTTAATTTCAGGAGAATGTGAAGTTTTAAAATGGAGGTGTAGAGTAAATGTGGATTCTAAATGCAAATCTTTACTTATCTTTGTCAGGCAAACTCCTACTGGAACACCGAACCAGGATTCTAGTTCGACTCCTGACAAGACACTGCCACATAAGAACATGCGCCGGATAGAAGTATAGACAGAAGAAACACTGTGCAGATACTGACAGGAAGAGAAGGAGACTGCACATTTTATGTTTCTGTGAAGGAGTAGATGCAGGTCCTACTAGGACAGGAAAAACTGCACTAAGGATCCACTATGGAGGCTGATTAACAACCTGAAGCTGGCAAGTGAGTTACAAAAAACAGGGGAGCACAATAGACCTATTCAAGTTGAGGTTCAGTAGGCCTTGTGGCTGCCTCTTTTATCCCTATCCCTATCGTTGTCTCTTCTGACCCAGAATTAGGTAAAAAGATAAATTAATAATAAAGTTACTCCTTACTTAACAAATTTGATTATAAACCAAATGGCAAGTTTTTAGGATAATTGTTAAGTTTTCATGTAAAGAAAAGTTAATTGTTTATTTCTACAATGTTCGTTTGTAGAAAGGACAGATCGTACACATCAACAATGCTTAATATACAAGGTAAAAATTTCCAAGAAGTGATTAACTGGCCCATATTTCTTTCAAATCACACGTCCTTTCCTCGTGTATATATAATATGGCCTATTCCTAGTCCAGAATCTGCAGGATCCACGTAAATATGCTCAAGAGCTTCTCCGCCTCATATCACCGATCATCTATTTTTAATAATTCTACATGCTAGTTATAAGCTTTATGACATTTATGACCCTTAAGTAATTTGCACATGTGCTAAACACATATCAGACAACTTTTTCTTTTTCATTTTTTTAATTTATTATTTATTCATTTTTAATCAGCAGTTTATTTAAGGTTTTTTTGTTTTTTTGTTTTTTATGAAATGAGTTATCTGTTGCCCTGCTGCCTGGTGGATGGTTGCCGCGTATTCTGAGTGGTCATCACTTTGGTCGTCTGCTCATATGCGGTGTGATGCTCTGTCCTCTCTGACTTTTCCACTTTCTCCTTCGTCTGTTCCTCCTTCGCCTTTTGCTCTGCCTCCCTTGCGGCTGAGAGTGCCTTGTCTAACGCACCAGGGTTTTTAGCGGCGCAACATAGCATCGCTAGGTCGAAAGGCGTCATGTTGTTAGACGGAGATGGTGCCTGGATCTTTTTTAGGAGCGATGGCTCGCCGAGTACATCACAGATCTATAAATTTCCTTTAAGCTGTTTTAAACAAGCATTTGTCGTTCCTTAAAATATGTTTTTTTCCTTAATTAATTTTAATTCGCTAGCGTTATTTTGTGCTCCCTATAAAGTCTAGTTTAAGAATGAATTAAAAAAAAAATTGTTTTAAATAGTGAATTTTTTTAATTTATTGTTTTTTGCCCTGGTCTTCTGGCATGGATTCGCCAGGTGGTTTGTTGGCGTTGGCGGCGTTCTGTGCTCTGGCTGCATTGGCGGCATCCTGGAACGCTCCAGGGTTTTTCGTAGCGCAGCACATCATTGCCAGGTCGAACATGGTCGCTGGACCGGTCTTCTGCCTGTCCTGAATCCTCTTGAGGAGTTCTGGGTCGCTGAGCACCTCGCAGATCTGCAACACCTTTCAACTGGTTACCCGAAGGCCAAAAGAACAGTGACAATAGACAATTTGTTGTTTTAAGCAAGACCATCTTTGACTTAGACCCAGTATATACCAGTGTCGCCAACATTTCAAGTTAAAAAAAATCCAACCAATTTTTATTTAAAAAAATTTTTTTTTTTTAACTTCCTCCCCAACTAAAAAAGAGAGATATTGATTGAATGAGAGAGATAGAGTGAGTGAGTGAAAAATATGGAGTGTGAGAGAGAAAGAGATAGTGAGTGAGTAAGAGTGAAAGATAGTGTGTGTGTGTGTGTGTGTGTGTGTGTGTGTGTGTGTGNAGAGAGAGAGAGAGAGAGAGAGAGAGAGAGAGAGAGAGAGCGAGAGAGAGAGAGAGAGTAAATGAGGATGAGAGCCACACAAAATACCAAGACCAACTTAGACTTTACAAATTGTCGAGAATTTCTTTTGTTCAGGAATCTTTCACCTTCTTTCACTAATAAAAATGGAATTTTAGATCAATCTATATTTTTCTTTAGTATTTAGTATAATATAACCACTGGATAAAAATCAGTGAAAAGTTGGAATAAAACATTAATTAAATCTAAAAAAAAAAGAAAAAAAAATGATTTGAAACCCTCTGGAAATCAGAATACCCCCACCCCCAGCAATGATTAGTTCAGAACAATGTACTTATTCTGTTTGTTAAAGATAAACAAAATAAATAAGAGCAGAGCACAAAATGCTCTATTTTTTTCCAATTTTCAACTCTAGAAGTAGACGATTGATATTTCATTGTAGAATAAAATTTAATGACCCCTCCCACCAAGAACCTAGCACATTTGTAACCTAACCCTAGAAATAACCTTACGAAATTATTTTCAGTGAAATTTTTGAATAAAGTTTAAAACTTTTATCATGCTTTATTTAACATTAAATGTAATTATTCGTGTAATTATACATTTTTAAAATATGATCTTGTGTTTACTGATCATGCTTCTTTGGGTTTTTTTTTTTTTTTTGCAGGGTATGGAGGGGGAACGGAAATTAAACTAGAGCACAAAATAAGCTAGATTTATCAAATTCATTTAAAGAAACTGTGATTGCTTTTTTTAATTTTTCAATTTTATGTTTTAATTATAATATAAATCAAAATGTTACCATTCTCATGACGAAGTAGGCCCAAAGGAGGTCCTCCTTCTGGATGCCGGCCGGATATCGTCCCCTGCCGTCGTTGAAATCGTATTTGTACTTGTTGCAGGAGCAACGCGGCATCTTTCCCTTACCCATTTTGTCTTCGAACTGCTTTTTTTTATATACCGGCCTGGCCCCCGGCTTCACTCCATCCGCGCCTCTCACGCCTTTTTGAACCAAAGAGCCACGCGCTTTTCTTTTCTTTTCTTTTTTTTTCGTCTCCTACCCACCAACGGTTTTTTTCCTCGCTACATGTGTGCTTGTTGAATTTAATTAACCATCAGCCGACCATATGGGACGGTCGTTTTTTATTTTTTTTTAATTTAGCTTTTTTTTAAGAAAAATCTCTCCTGACGGTCGGACGCATTAATTGATATATATATTAAAAAAAATCAAACGTGAATAAAAAAAAGACTCCGTTATGACAGCTCTTTCTAACGGTTCACTTAGAACTGTCGGAAAGTAAAAAAGAAATACTTTTTCCCCGTTTTACCAAAATAAATACAATTACATTTAAAAAAATCATGAAAACGATGATACATTGAAATATGATTTTCTTTTAACTTACGATGTTTAATATAATTTTAATTATTGAAATGTCTTGAGATGTTGGTCACTTTGAATCCGTGTTTGAAATGGACCAAGAGGAGGCAAAACCATTGCTGACAACACAAAAAACAAAACAGATCTAGTAATGTATAGGACACTTGGGGCAGACAGGTTTTACCCCTCCACCTTCCTTGGCGTCTGGCGAAAAAGACAGTTTTTACCCCCTCTTTTCCTCCTTCCAGGCATCCCCAACATAGTCGTCGGGTCTGATGGGGCTTACAATTGACGTCACTTTTGTTAAATTCAACGGGGGGGGGTTGACGAGGGTTGTTTTCACCCTTATTTTTTTCCTTGTGACGTCACTTTTTTAAAAACACCATGGGGGTTTGACGATGGTTGTTTCCACCCTTATTTTTACCTTGTGACGTCACCACGCCGGTAATCTGACCGCGCCTATATGTTCTTGCATGCTTTGCCCACCCTTTCTACTTGGCGAACATGTTTGTGCATGTCTCTTTCGTCACCATGCCGTTAATCTGACCACGCCTGCATCATTGAGCATGCCTCGCACACAAAGTATTATAGACCGTTCTTTGTATATTGTATTTTTTAATTTATCTTATTTTTAATTTGATAAAGATGACATTAAATTAGACCCCATTTTATCAGTCGCCGTAATTTAGAGTATTATGTTCATTTTAAATTCATTTTCTCCTCCTCTTTTTTCAAATCGGGTTGAAACTTCCAGTCAAATTACCCTCTCATAATTAATAACATCTTTAAACATATAGAACTTCTTCTAAGTAAATTAATCCAATAAACTTTCAGTCAAATAAAATAACCCTCTCATAATAAATAATGAGAAACAAAAACATAATGAAATACTTCTAAATAAATTAACGCAATATATTTCTAGACTAATAAAATAACCCTCTCAAAATAAATAACGAAAAACAAAAACATAAAAAATTCTCCTAAATAAATTAACGCAATAAACTTCCAGTAAAATAAAAATCTAATTGTCTAGCCGACGTATTTTGACATGTCCATAAGGTAAGGAGTTATAGTCCTCATACTTAACTCTTTTCATTAAATTTATTCTAAGTTTATTTTCCTGCATTGATGCAAAATTATGTTGTTGTGTAATTTTAATGTTTTTACTTTTTAAAAATGTTTTATTCTGAGACTCTTCGTCTGTCAAAATCATATTTCTAATTGCAACAAAATTTATTAGTTGCAGATTCTCCCAATTTAATTTAATTCCCTTTATTTTGCAGACATTTACTATTTTGTTCAATTTTGTACTTTTGGCGGAGTAACCGTAATTTTTTGGACCACCCGAAGCAAATTCGATGATAAAACTCCCTTTGCCGTACTCTAGGAGCTCGTTAGTAAGATCCTCTAAATAATTCCCCACAGGTGGTTCCTATTCTATAGACTGAGTTCTTTTTATATACAATCGAGTCCGTATCATAGTACAAAACTATCATCTAATTTTTAGAGGTAGTTGTACAGTATTAGGCGGGCTTGAGTGGTAGTATAAGCAGCAATTGCTACATTCACAATTTGAGAAGGGTATCTTCCTTATTCTCCCAGTTGACACAGGTGACATTATCATTGATTTCCTGAATATAATTCACAATGTAGTTGGAATTTATAAGCATGTCATATAACTGAGAGGGAACATTCAGAGATGCTTGATTTGAGCAATTCACGAAATTCATACTCCCATAGGTGGACAATATTGTACCCCATACTTTTTAAATAATCCAGCCGTTTTAGGGTATCATTATACCTAGTATTCATTGTTTCAGTACATGTCTCCTGACGGTCGGACGCATTAAATGATATAAAAAAAATCAAACGTGAATAAAAAAAAGACTCTTCGCCATGACAGTTCTTGCTAACAGTTCACTTAGAACAGTCAGAAAATGAAAAAAAAAAACTTTTCATACTCCAACAAATATTACAACATACGAATAGAAAAAGATACAGTAGCAGCGAGGACATAAATACCATTAAATCGCATCCGAAATGGCCTGTGATATCCTCAAGTTTTAAACTTCACCCTCAAAAACCAAAGACTCATAAGTATCTGCAATTGCAGACTAATCGGGGTTTCAGGGCGGTAAATATCAATAACTTGATAGAAAGGTTAAAATTTTATTGGTGTCTCGAAATTGGAATAGCCAATTGGAAATCGACTATATCGAACAAAGGACAACACAAAAACAAAACAGGACGTTATAATTAATATACCTTACTTATATTAAATCCAGATTAAACACTTTTATAATTTATTGCCTTTTATACAATTTAAACATTTTTTTTAAAAACGTAGGATGATTTTATACGTTAAAATTTATTTGGGATTGTATTTTGCAATTCAGGCGGGAAAGTATAAACAGCTGATTTATTATATGAAGGTTCGGCGTAACCTCTTTTGTACAGCTGATCAGGATTTTTCAATAGGGGGTATTTTATTTATATTTTTTTCCCGTGGAAAAACACAAAAAAAATCGAATTTCCTTATTAAAAAAATAATTTTAGTGTTAACAGTATGTCGTTGATTGGTTTGGCGATGCGGTTGAGCCGGCCCGGGCCCATGGTCGCCCTGGCTAGGACGGTATACGGAAAGGCGTACCGCGACATGGACAAGAAAAAGGATTATTACGATTATAAGAACAAAACTTACCCGTTATGGTATAGCATGCTGTTCGATAGCACTACATCAAGGTATGTAGAAAGGTTTAAAGAAGGATTTTGTATTTGTAGTGTTTTCTTTTTTTGTGCCAGGTTCGACGAGAACACCAAGCTTATCGTGGTCGACGGACCCGTTGCGTCAGGTAAGACGGAATTCGCAAAAAAACTCGCCGAAGAGCTCGATATGTACCATATAGAAGACGCCCACATGGATTTGAGGTATATCAACCCGTACGGGTATGATATGAGACAGCTTGACCCCCAGCTGCCCGAGTCTGTCCGGTCTTACGACGACAAAAACTTCTGCAGGGACCCTTTTCATATGAACGCTGCGGCTTACCAGTTTTGGATGTACAGGCTGCGCTATTCGTTGTATGTCGACGCGCTCGCCCATGTCTTGAGCACAGGTAACGCGCATTATACTATATAATAATTTCCAGGTGTAAATTTTTGTATCGTTTTAAGGGCAAGGTGTCATCATTGAGAGGTCGCCGTGGAGTGATATGGTTTTCGTCGAGGCCATGACTAAAAATGGCTACATGAGTAAAGAAGGTACATTTCATCTATCATACTAATTTTTATAAAATAACAAGTACAATTAAGGCTGATATGGCGAATAAGGTTCCTGTGAATGTAAATTCTGACGAGATCCAATGAAAGTGTTTATTTTGGCAGCGAAGTGCATGTCAGAACACAGAATTTGGTTTTTTGTGGGTTCTGACATTGTATTTAGAGGGGTTTGGTTTATTTCAAAATAATTATAAAAATTATATATTCTTATAATATTAAGAATCGGTTTTTGTTGGAAGTGAAAGGCAAAAACTATCACAACAGATTATTTAGAGATTGTGAGATGTGGTCTGGTGTGATGTAGGTTTAGAAAAACATTTTCTTTAGTGTGCCAATATCTTTATTTAGATTATCTTCTGGGCTTAGGATTTATAAACATTGTTTAAATTATGCTAATACATGTGAGACGCAAAAATGAATTTATACAATGATGTACGCAATATACAAATTTTAGGGTCAATCAAGTGAATCAATTTGTACTCACTCAGTGTGTGTTTTCTGTGTCATTGTTGTGTCGTGTTAGTGAGATTGTTTTTTTATTTGTATGTTTGATTAAAAGGAGTGGGTGGAACGAAGTAGGGAAAGAAATCCATTTTTCTATGCGATGGCTTCTTTGGGTGAAAGGGACTGACAATTAAAAAAAATGGGTAATGGTTTGTCGTTCGGGTCTAGTTATTAGCCTTTCAGGATTATTGTAGACTGGGATTATTTGGGAAAGAAGAGATAAATTGTTGATGAATTAGGCTATGTGGAGTGTGATGATTGTTTTAAATGTTTTTTTTTTTTTTTAATATTCAATCAATTATTCTTTTTATGTAAGGTCTCAGTTAAGATGAAAAAGTTAGTGTCATGAGCGGGATTCTTACCCTTCACCTTCAGCTATCGTGACAAGTGTTTAGAGAAGGGGCGTACTGAGCGGAAGGTTTTACAAACGATTAAATGAAAAATTACTTTTAAAAGGTAGACAAAAAATTAAATAATTTCCGACATTAACAGAAAATATGTGGTGTAACCAGGTTGTTCTGAGGATTTCGGACATACTTGTCAGAACAAAATTTCAAAAGAATTCACATCCAATTGTAACATTAGCATTAGAGATTTTAATAGTGTCAGAACCCTTTCTTATCATCAAATTTAAGGAATTAAAGGATTAAATTTGGTTTCTGTGGTTCTACCACACCTGACCTCGCTCTTTCAGGTTACTAATTTCAAATAAATTACGGTTATGTTAATATTAAATTTACGTTTTGAGTTCATTTTCCAGGAAAAATCAGGTAAATTGTTAACATTGTACTCCATATGTAAGAAAATTAATCTTTATTCCTTTTTTAAAATAAATTAATTTTTTTTTGTCTTTTATTAGCGAAAAGTGTTTATAATGTAGTAAAGAAGAGTACAATCATTCAGTTGATGATGCCTCACCTTGTGATCTATCTCGACATGCCAGTGAGCAAGGTGAAAGAGAATATTGTTATGAGGGGCCGGGATCACGAGGTGAATTCGAAGGCGTTGACTGATGATTACCTCCTCGACATCGAACAAGAGTACAAGTGTACTTACCTTCCCGAGATCTCGACCCATGCCGAGTTGTTAGTATACGACTGGTCGGAAGGCGGTGACGTCGAGGCAGTCGTTGAAGACATAGAGCGAATTGATTTCGACCGTTACACCAAGTACGACAAAAAGCTTATCGACTGGAAAAAGCCCAAGGAGAACATATGGGCCGAGTTCAGGCGCAGGTACGCCGACCAGAAGGACGAGCTCATGGAACAGTTCGACATACCACTTTTCGACGCTCCTGAACTACTCGCACCGGGAGAGGACGTCAAAGTTTGGACCGAAGTATGGTATTCGGTAAGTCTTAAATTTCAAATTTACGTACTGTTAATATTTAATATTGTTATTTTTCAAGGCACCTGGGATGGAATATAAACAAGGCTACAACATACATAAAGGGGAAAGCATATTGTTTAATACCAGAGAAGATAAATATGTACCATATTAATTTATAAAATAAAATGTAAATAGCCAATAAAAAATAAACTTGTTTAATAATAAAAAATAAATAGATTATTATCAAGCTGATCCATGGTAATTATAATAAAAAAATTAAATATATCATACCGGTCATTCCAGAAATCTATTCCTCGCTCAGGCCCTTGGTCTAATATCATCCATGTCATTGAAATCATAAACTTCAATAATCATTCCATAAATTCAAAGTAGATTTTTTTCCTTTTATATAACAGAACACAAGCTATTTCTTTCCTGTCTTGAGAATAAATTAAATAAAGACAAGTGTTTCTATTTACATAATTAAAAATACAATATTACAATGTACCTTTAATTTTCGACAAAGGTAAGAAAAAAATTACAACACTATCGTACAAAGCATATTATGCTGTAAGTCATGAATGCTTTCCATAAAAAACTTATCTCTGTATTTTATACTTTTAATCGCCTGGAACGCTGAAATGGAACCAAATGTTGAATAAATTTAAACAAATTTCAAGGCGTAAAATGCAAAATATACTTTATTCACTATTTACATTATTTTAAAGTATAATTTTTTTAAACCTTTTTATTTAATTTATTAATGTATTTCAAAGAGATAATAAAAACAAATAAAAAGTTTAAAAAAAGAAAGAAAGAAAATAAAAGATGGTGAGAAAAAAAACTTATATATATTTTTAAAAAAATTCAATGTTGACGCTTATTAAGTGCAACCCTTGAAAACAAAGTCCAGCATAGGAAAAACAAAAAATAAATACAAATTGGATTTTGTTACTTTTTACAACGTCCTCTACGATCTCACCTTAGCGCTGGTATTTCACCTGTGAAGGACAATTGTATTAATCACAGGTTACGGTTTTAACGGAAGGAGGGATTTACCTGGTGAATGTTTTCTTACGATTGCGCATGTGACGGCTCCTTGCTGTCACGCTACCACTTCCCATGTTGAACATTTGCCCTCCAACTGCGACAGAAATAAATAAGTGATAAATTGTTTTAAAAAAATAAACTTATGAAGTAAAAAATGAACAAAAAAGAAGTTTGTTTATTAATTAATTTTGGTGGTTAATTGACAATAAAAGCTGGAGGGAATAATAGACATGGATTTTATTACTCAATGGTTAGTTTAATTAATTATTCATTGGGGGAAGGGATTTGGCGTGTTCGATGTACAACTCACCACCCGGTACAAATCCTCCAGTAGGAAAGCTAAAACCTGAAATTTATTTAGTACTTTATACCTTATCCACTTCTTAATTAATAAGAAAACAAACCTTAATCAGATTTAAAAAAAATTATATATAAATTTAAAAAAACAGTAGAAGCTATTTTGTTTTTGGCTAACCTCCAGCGTTAAACGAGAATGGTTGAGCAGCGTTAGTCGTCTGGTTCTGTTGCGCGCCAAACTGGAACATACCGGGAGGTTGTTGGGGCTGTTGTGGCGTGCTCGCCGTGAAGTTGAAAGCAGGCTTGGGCGTTGACTGGGCACCGAATGTGAACGGCGTTGACTGGTTGAATGATGAGCCAAAACTCTGTGTCGCAAAATTGGACGTCGGAGTTCCAAATGTTGGCGCCGTTTGCGTAGTACCAAACTGCGGGGCTGAAGAGGCTGGCTGCGCCGCACCGAAAGTAGGCATCGAAGTCGATCCGAATGCCCCCGTTGTTGATGTCCCTGGCGTGCTGAAGCTCGGTGTGAACATACTACTGTTAAATGTAGACACAGTCGTTGACGGCGTCGCAGCTGCTGTGCCGAAAGTCGCTGTGGGGGCTGACGGTGTGCTGCTGAACGAGGATGTCGACGCTGCTGTGAAATTGAAAGCCGTTGACTTAGCTGGCTCTGAAGGTTTTCCGAACTGAAACTTGAAGCCGCCTTTCTCTTCAGGCTTCTGTGCGCTGAAGTTGAAACTCGAAGAGGGCTGGGTGAAAGACTGACCCGTCGTCGTGGTCGTTGGGGTAGCATTGAAAAGAGAAGAACTGGATGTTGTCGCAGAAAATAGATTACCAAAACCTCCTGATTCTCCAGGCTTCGTACTTGTAGTACCAAACTGAAACTGCGGCTTGTCTGTTTTACCACTGCCGAATGGAAAATTTGGCACGGCCAGTGTTGTACTCTTGTTAAATGTAAAACCACCTGCTGTGGAAAAAGATGTTTTATCAGGTTCTTTTTCCGGAATTTTCTCCACGGCTGGACTTGTGAATGAATTTGACTGGGTAGCAGTAAAAATCGACTTTGTCATTGCCATGGTTGCACCAAATTTCGGTGCTTCTGTTGTAGTTGATGAAAAAACAAACTTTGGTGTTTCTACAGGATCTTTCTGCACTGGAGCAGTGATTCCAATCAATTTAGGTGCTTCTTTTTTCTCCGGCTCTTTTGTTTCCTTGTCTTCCTTAGCACCGAAAACAAAACTCGACATTTTTGGTGTAGAATCCGAAGAAGTCGTCGTACCAAATGAAAATCCGACAGGAGCGACTTGCGTTGTTGAAGTCGAACTCGTCGGTGTTAAATTGAACTTGCTGACATCAACCGGCGTTGTAGGAGACATTGGCGTGACTGTCTTGGTCGAATCATCTTTAAATTTACTCGGCTCCGGAGGTTTGATGAAGTTTAAATTTACCTCAGGCTTGGAGGCAGATGTTGCAGCTGAGGTCGCCATAAATGAAAACGAAGAACTGGCAGCACTGGTGGAAATGGCAAATGGCGTTGTAGAGTCAGACGGTTTCATACTTGTCTGTTCGGCTTTCTTGGCGAGCTGGGCAATTGTGCTGAGCTGGAATCCAGACAAGCCTGGTGACTCCTGCTTTGGCGGTGGCGCAGCCGATGGCGGTTCTTCCGGACCCATCAGCCCTGGCTTCGGAACTGGCGTCATTTCTGGATAAACATGTGCAAACTTACTCAGCGCCGACAACAAAATGGTCTTCGCCGCTGCATCGGTCACATTCCTTTCTCTAATAGGAGCTAAACAATAAAAAAATAAAAAATTACTTGCAATTGACACTTATATTACACAACTCACAGCGTCTCCTGTAGGTTTCTTCTTGAGGGGGTACAGCAGGAGGTTGGACGATGACTTTCGCCTGGACAGGAGCCGGTTTCGGAATATCTTCAACTTTATCCGTACCAATGCACTTGTCTTCCATTGTGTCCGTCATCTTCACTCGCATCTCCTCCTTGACCTTATCCATACTCTTTTCTCTCTTTCTGCTCATCTTCACACCTGCAAATTATTATATTTAAAAAAATAAAAAAATACGAGGGGGAATTATTATAAAAGTTACGTTTGCGACGGACGGGGACGAGGTGGTAAAGCCCGAGCAGACCGACGCTTGAGCTGAGCGAGCTGAGTATTTCGTTGTTCCTACGTTTTGGCTGAGGACCGGCTGTGTCGTTCGGTAAACGCGACCTCTTACCGTTGCGATTCTCCTCCCCATTCGGTACATCCTCTCTGTTATTTGTATTTCTTTCATTACCGCTCCTACTATATAATTTATTATTATTTTTGTATAATATATAATTTGGAATTGTCTTACTTCTGATCAGCATCGATGAAACTGTCGTTCTCAAGTTGAGACATATAAAGGTTGTGATGATGCTCTGATTTGCTCCTTTTGAACGAATCTTCACTTTCATCGACCCGCCCGGAAGCACGCTTCCTCCATATTTCCTTGAGTGCTTGGACCACGTTGCGAGACGATTCGCCTTTCTGGCTCGCTTCTTCCCGCGATTCATCAATCGAAGAGTCGGACAGGCCAGTGAACCGGCTCCCGGGCTTTGACAAGCGTATCTTCACCTGTTTAGGCGTCATGGGGTTCCTGACGGACGCCTCTTGTTGGTCGCCAAACCACGGGAACTGGCCTACGCCGAGCCGGTCGCTGTCGCTGTTGTGCACCCAACGCTTACCACCCTCATTGCTCAATGAACTGTAAGATCAAGATATCTCTTTTATAAATTATTTTGACCCATCATATACTCTCTATACTATACCATATATATATAATACTATATACAATCATATAAATACATATTAGCATAATAAATATTTAAAAAATCAGTAATTGTACATGTCTGCTCACATCAATGCAAATGTAGATAATATTAATGAGCAAATGGAAAAAATAAATGCCAACATACATTTCATGTGTTTATTGGGTTGATTCTTTAATTAATGCAGGTTTTGGTGGGGGGGGAGAAAAAAAAAACATATTCGCAGGTGCTTGTCAAGTCAAATCTAATTTATGTATTATAATAATACTTTTAACTGTTACCTTTTCTGCAAAACATTTTAATTTATATTAAATTTTAGAAGAGTGAGGACCTGCCAAATTAAATATGTACACACTAGATTCTCTCCTTTTTATTATAAGTAGATTTTTTATTATAACTAACTAGATTCTCGTCTAATTTATTTGTGCTGATATGAAGATCCAACCTAAGGAAGCATTAGCCTTGATGCTCGGTGCAGCAATGGTTTCATAGATTTCAATCTCAAAGACAGGGAAGGTCAAGGTAGGCCTTCCGTTATGGGCGATGACAGACTCAAAACGTTGATTGAAGAAAATTTGTATTGACCAATCAACCATTCGCCATCTGAAGGAAATTGGTAAAGAAAAGCAGCTCTTTTCAATCGCTCAATCTCAATCAATCGAAAAGTGATTACATGCAAACTGACCGAGGCCGAAAGAAATCGACACTTTGAAATTTGCACGTCTCTTATCTCGTGCCCATGTCTTAGATCGAATCAACACGTGCGATGATAAATGGATTCTGTACAATAACAGGAGACAGGTTGGGCAAGGATGAAGCGCCAAAACATTTCATGTAACCAAATCTGCACCCTAAAAAGGTTTGGAGTACTGCTGGGGTTGTTCTCTATATTTTCCTGAATTATGTGTAGTATTTAATGACCATTAATTAATAATTATTTGGTGATCATGAGATGCAGTCTTGTGTGATGTAGGTTTAGAAAAAACATTTTCTTTACGGTGCCGATGTTTGGATCTTTATTGAGATAAACATTGTTCAAGTTATACAAATACATGTAAGATGTGAAAGTGAATTGAAATGTAAACAATTTAGAATAGGTTTAATCTAAGTGTTTGTATTCTCTCTAAGTATGTGTTTTCTGATAAGTTGTGTCATTGTTGTACGTTGTACAATGGGTAGTTATTATTATATAGTATATGTATTATGTATGCTCTTGTCATAATGGCTCTGGGTAATAACTCTGTGAAGTAGCCCTTCAGCCATGTTTATTACTGTATGAAGGGTACGTTGTGATGTAAATTTGATGTAGTGATCTGTGTTTGTTTTTACAGCAATCTGTGATCAATGTGTTCCTTCACCACTGATTCAAAATCAAACACTAACACTCTCTAACACTCACAACAATGACACATCTTATCAGAAAACACACTTTGAGTGAACACATTGATTAAGCCTATTCTATCTTGTGTACATCATTAAATAAATTCATTTTCACAACTTACGTGTATTTGTTTAATTTAAACAATGTCTATAAACAACAGCCTCGAAGAGGATCTCAATAAAGGATGAAACGTTGGCACGATAGGGAAAATGTTTTTCTAAAACTACATCTCATTAAACCGCACCTCAAACTCTAAATAATCATTAATTAACGGTCACTAAATATTACACATTTACTACAGATATTTAATCATTTGTTTATTTCATTTTATTAAACAATTTTATTGTTTGTTAATATTGCGAAAGGTTTTGAGGGTTGACAGTGTCGTCCATCTTGCAGTTTTGCTCAGAGGGTGAAACTAAATATATTTTTTGATTTAAACAGATAAAAATATAGGGTACAGGTGGATTTCATTTTTGTATACAGAAGTAATTTTGTGGATATGTTCGGTAAGAAAAGGGTCGTGGTTTTTATTTTATATTTAATAATAGAACATTGATAAAACTCACTCGTCCAAATTGTCCTGAGACGTCTTGTTCGACCTCCTGGAGTCGTAGCCGGCGAAGAGGCCGCTCGCGCTCGCCTGGAACGGCCAGGACATCGTCTCTCCTGGTTCTCTTTAAACGCGTGTGTCGCAGATGTGAAGAATTGTCGGACAACTCGTGAAGCCCGTTCGCAAAGCGGGATCGACTAAATCGACTCGTTCATGAGATAACGGGGTGCGGCCGGCCTCGTGCCGCCATTATAACCCCTCGGTAGGTTACATTGCATATTACCGACAAATTTTCCCTCCAATCCAAAAATAAATAAATAAATAAAATAATATTTCCACCTATTTGCCAAAATATTTTAATTTCTAAATTAAATTTTTATCATCATTTATCCAACAAATTAAAACAAAAATAAATTAAATTTTTAAAAACAAAAATTTCAAGGCAGCCGTGGAGCATTTTGCCAGTTCCACTGAGAGCCCGGACATTTTTGTTCTTATCTAACAGAAAAAGATTCATGAAGAAAACTAATGTAAATAATTTAAAAAAAACGACGAAAGAAATATACCGTTGTGTAATTTACACTAAAGGAAATAAAAGTTAAGGTAATAAAAGTTAATAAGTTAAGTTTCTTGCAGGTCCATGCATGTGAGGATAATGAAAGGTGCCTCATCCCAAGGGGGTAGATTTTTATTTACTGTATTTTTATAATTTGATACAGAGGTCTGTTTAGATCTATATAATGTTTCAATAGTCATTTTATACAAATTAAATATAATTAAATAACAAAACTTTCATGTTTTAAAGAAAAAAGTAAAAAGATTCACTTATTGCATACCCATAAGGAAAGTGACACAAGTCCCACCACCATGTATCCACTAACCATCCCTAAAAAAAAAGTTTGTTCCTTTGTTTTTTACTTATGTATTAATTATGATTATTCGGAGATCGTGAGATGCGGTCTGGTGTGATGCAGGTTTTAGAAAAACATTTTCTTTATCATGTCAATGTTTCGACCTTTATTGAGATCATCTTCAGGGCCTTGCATTTATAAATATTGTTTAAATTTTACAAATTCATGTAGGATGTGATAAAAAAGATTATTTTTATTAATTATTTGGAGATTCTGAAATGCAGTCTGGTGTGACGTAGGTTTCTAAATTTTAAAATCTTAATTTTTAAACTCAATCATAGTATTTGTACTCACTCAAAGTGTTGGTTTTCTGTGTAAATATGTCATTACTGTGTGACACGTACACACAAAAAGATAAATTTATATCATTGTATAAATTCATTTTTTCACATCTTACATATATTTGTATAATTTAAACAATGTTTATAAATCCCAGGCCCTGAAGATGATCTCAATACGGATCAAAACATTGGCACGATAAAGAAAATGTTTTGTTAAACCTACGTCACACCAGACTGCATCTCAAGATCTACAAGTAATCATTAATTAACTGTCACTAAATATCACACACTTATGTGTACTTGCAATTATGGTTGTTGGCAATAAAAACAATCTTGATCCATCAATATTGTCTTTCATTTGTCCAAGGCAAACGAAAACAAAAAACTTTAAAAATCAAAAAATAATTGAAAAATGGCAAAAAGGAGGGAAAATTCAAAAGGTGAGGTTGAGATGGGAATTTAGTGTCCGAGTGGATGGAGGTCACGATAGCTCAAGTGGTAGAGCAGCGGCCTATCTAGCCAAAGATCGTGGGTTCGAATCTGACTTGTGAAGCTGCCTTTTTTATCTCAACTAAAAACCTTAATTAATTGAAAGATATTAATTGGTCAAGTGGACCACGAAACTAGTGAATTCAAAAAATAAAATTAAAAACATTGTGCTTGAGAGCAGGAGTTGTGAGCTCACAAATAGTTTTATACATTACAACAACAAAAAAAAAGAGGTAGCAGTATACATTCAATTTATTTGAATATTGATTATATAATTAGATAATATTAAATAATTTTTATTAGTACACTACTTTTAAAAATTTCTCTTCTTTAATTATATATGTATAAAAAAAATTAAATTGATCATAAGAAAGAAAGTAATTTATATCAATTTAGTTTTGGTATATTAATCTTAATCCTTCATTATTTGCATTGTTATAATGCATGGAACTGCTTACTTTAGAAAAAATAAATTTTATTGACGCATTTGTTCTTGTAGTGTAATTGATGTCCATAATGAGTTAATGTTTATGCTTATAAATATGAATACATGAATACATCAAAAATAATTGTTTCACTTTTAGCATCTTAAAATCAATTTCGAGTTGTTTTGTGTTGTACCTTCTATTTTAGCAATATTTCTATTAAACAATTTTTAGCAATTATTATAAGAAATTGTAGATTTTGTGGTACCACCCAAACTAAAATCCCATATGTTATCAACGATTGTACTAATGCAAACTAATCAGATCTCGTTAAATCTGGCTCAATAATATTTCTTAAAATTTTAAATTTATAAAATAATTTTCTAAACTTTTTTATCAAGGTAATCAATATGAAACTTAAAGTTTACTATCAAAAGTTATTCCCTAATATTTCACTTGTTTAGAAAATGGTACAATCAGGCAATTAGAGTCAAATGAATTTACACAGGAATGTAATACTATATTTTCGGGTAGATTTTGATTTGAGAGACTAAATTTAATGATTTTAGTTTTATGTGCATTTAAAAGTAAGAAATTACTATCTAACCATTTTTAATTACTATAATTTCATTGATAATATTTTTTATTTTATCGTAATAACTCTTGCCAGTAAGAAGTATAGCTGTATCATCAGCAACTCACAATACTTTACCGGAGAGTTTAGGTATAGTAAGGTTTTTAATAAGGAAGTCGTTAATGTAAATTACAAAAATAGTACAGGCCCTAATACACTTATCTGTGGAACACCCCAATTAATGTAATTGGAATTGTTAAAAGTTTGACTTATTTTCGTTGTTTGAGACCTATTTAACAAATGATTGTTGATGAAATTATATAGTATTAGTAGTATATAGTATTATACAGTATTTTAATGATATATAAGGTTGTTATATATTATATTTATATATTAGTAGTAGGTCGTATTTTATAAATTGTAAATTTATAAAATAATTTTCTAAATTTCTTTACCAAAGCATCAATATAAAACAAAGTTTAATTTATTATCGCAAATTATTCTCATATATTAAAAAATAGTAACAAATTAGTCTCAGAAATAGTACTGCTCTAAAACACTTCCCTGAGGACCCCCACAATTAATGCAATTGGAATTGTTAAAAGTTTGAATTATATTCGTTGTTTGAGACCTATTTAACAAATAATATTTAATGAAATTATAAAATATTGTTTTTTTGTACTTTTAACCTTTTTTTAAATTGTTTTTATTATAAATTGGTTAGTTTATGGTCGATTTTTTTTTTTTAAATTTCGATAAAGTTTTCATAGATGCCGCCTAAAAGTACAATGGCGACAGTAATTTTTTTCGTTTTTATTTGCATTTATATAGCCTGTTTTTTCCTAGTAAATTTAATTTTTATGCGTTGTCATATTGTGTGTGTGTTTATATTTTTTAAGTTTTTTTATATCTGTTAAAGAGTAGAGGTTTTGTTGGTGTGGTTTATTTTTGAAAATCGTGCGTCGAATTTTCATAACTCCCGCCCTTACAATCCGCGTTCGCTGCGTCCTCTATTTCTGTAGTTGCAAGTCGTTATTTATACTTCTCCTGTTGTATTTTTTGTAATAAATAAATATTTTCTAGTTTGAAGGAACGGTTTTAAAAGTCGATTTTTCTGTTGGTTTTTTTATATTTAGTTTCGTGTTTTTTTTCTTTTTTATAGTACGACGCACTGATCGTTAGCGGTGGGGCTGTTGAGGGCGTCCCCGGCAGCCGGCGATCAGCAGAAGTGCGTGAGAATCAGAGGGGAGAACATCTAAATAACGAGGAGCAGCACACCACCTCAGCTTGAGGCCTTTCCCGTTTTTCATTTACCATCATGGTGGTCGTCAACATCCAGAGCGAGGAAAATTCGGGAGGCCAGACCGACAAGACACCAGCCGCCGCCGAGAACAAGGGCCAGGTCAAGCCGTTCATGGGTGAGTGTCGCCATTCCGCCATCGCCCCGGCCCCCGTCCCCATACACGGATTTCCCACCAAAAAAATTGCGGATCCCCTTTTCCCTCCATTTATACATTTTCCCTTTCTCCCTTTTCTGTTTTTCTTTTTTTTTTCATTTTATAAAAAAAAAGAACCAATAATTTTATTTTGACTTTTTCGCCAGTTCGTCTTTAAGTTTTTTTTTTCGTAAACCTCGCGTCCCCCGCTCGGCAGGCCGTTCTCAACACGCCCGATTTTGTCTTCCCCACATCGATCCAACCGTGTAGTTTTTTCTTCCTCCCCTCAGTCCTTTTTTAAAATCACCTTTAATATAACAAAACGGTTGGAAAAAAATCTTAAAATCCTGATAGGTTTACCTACCTTGAAACACTGACAAAAAAAAAAAAAAAAAAAAAAGCTTTCTTTTCAAACAATGAAACACCGGCATTGTTCAATAATCAATAGCATTTTTCCAAAGTCAATGTGATTAAGATCAATTCGCAACTATTAGATCGAACTTCACACAGAGCAAAACACCATCTGACCACGTTAACACCATACAATCATATCAGCCATGATTGTTCTCTTCTTTTTTCATCTATGATGGTTTTTCTATTATTTTTTAACTTTAAAAAACCTATTAATAGCCATACACTACTTGAAAAAAATTGCATTATACTGTTAATCATGATCATCTCCAAGTCAATGTGATAATCAATTCTATATTATAATTGGCATATCAGTCATTTACTTTTATTTTATTTTCTCTCCTATTAAACTCAGTAAACTACCATAAAAGATTTACATGTACAATTTCAAATAGTAAAAACCGATAATGATCAGTAATCAATCGCGTTTTTTTTTCACAGGTTAATATGATAAAAAAAATCAATTTTTGGTAAACACCAATCTCGTGGGCGATGACGATCATGTAACCCTTGCCATTTTTTCAATTTAAATCAATTTATTGACAAAAAAATTCAAATTGTAAAAACCTATAATGATCAATAATCAATCGGGTTTTTTTTTTCACAGGTCAATAAGATAAAAAAAATCAATATTTGATAAGCGCCAATCTCATGGACAATGCAATTTTTTCAAGTTGAACCAATCAGTTTATTGACAAAAATTAACGGACAAAAAATTTAAAGGGTAAAAACCGATAATGATCAATAATCAGTCACATTTTTCACAGGTCAATATGATTAAAAACAAAATCAATTTTTGATGAACATTCATCTCTTTGGCGATAACGATCATGTCATCGATGATATTTTCTCAAGTTAAATAAATCAATTTATTGACAAAAATTGACGATGACAAAAAATTAAAGGATAAAAACTGATAATGATGAATAATCAAGCACATTTTTTTCACAATTTAAAGTGATAAAAAAGTCAATTGTCGATTAATCACCAATGCCTTGGACGATTGTGATAATTTACCATTTAAAACACTAAATATGTAGTGGTAATGATCAATAATCGAGCTCATTTTTTTCTCAGGTTAATATAAAAAATCTAATTTTTGATAAACACTCATCACATGGACGGTAACGATCATGTCACCTGTGATATTTTTTTCAAGTTGAACAAATCAATTTATTGACAAAAAGATTCAAAGGGTAAAAACCGCTGACGATAAATAACAATAATATTTTTTCCAATTTAATGTGATAAAAAAATCAATTGTTGATTAATCACCAATGCCTTGGACAAAAATGATCATTTCAGCCATGATATTTTTCAAGTTGATCAAAATCATTTGATTAAATATGTCCTACATTGACAAAAAAATTAACATTTAAAACAGTAAACAGCGATAATTATCAATAATCAATCGCAGTTTTTTCACAGGTCAATATGTTAAAAAATCAATTGTTGATAAACACCCGTCTTATGGATGTAATGATCATGTCACCATGCTATTTCCTGCCAGCTTTGACAAATTAATTTATTTATTTACTATGCCCTACAATAAGTCAGAAAAAAGGCTTTGACAATAATTAACGTGCAATGAATGCTTTATTCATAATCAATGGCATCTCTTTCAAGTGAACGTGAAAAAATATATTGTTGATTACTATGAGCTTCAGACAGCCAGTTCATGTAATGCTATGATATTTTTCTATAATTGCCACATGATTTTGTCAATGGTCAGTTTATGATCATCGTGTTGATTTATAGTCACAGTTTCTGTTTTTAAGATTGTAATTAGCCCACTAGGACGGATTTCATTATCAGTTGTACGAACATGATCTTGTTAGTTATGGTTATGGTATCATTTGACGTCGGTTAACCGGTCCATTTTAAATCCTTTGAGTTAATTTGGCATAGTTCGACTTTCCTTGTGTCTCGAATCGTGCAGAATCGTTTCCTTCTATTTTGTTTTTATTATTATCCTTATTGTCCTTTCCAAAATTTATCAACAGTTGGTTCTTTGACTGGGGGGGGGGGTTAATAACACATTAGCACTAAATTCAGATAAGACAAGAATTCGGCATGCAATTCGTAGAAGTCGTTATGTAATAATTGTCCAACTTAAAAATGCAATTGAAAAAAAATGTTATTAGTTATGCTATAAATTTAATTGAAAATGTGCATATTGTTAAGATTATACAGTTTGGCAGGGTTGGGGAATTTACCATCCCCCTCTGCAAATTTGTGCTTCAACCCCGTGTCATTTAAACTACGGCTGAAAATACCAGATATAAATTTTTTTGCAAATTTTAATTATCAGTATTGCGTTTTTTAATTAAATTAGGATAAATGTTGATAAATAATTGTTTCTAACTTCATAAAAAAATAATAAAATGCATCGATACTGGAGACACTGGTTCCGACATTGTTTTCTCCCCTAAGCCCGCCCATAACTTTTATCGATAGCAATTTGTGACGTATTAAATTTTTTTTTTTGTTTATTTCAGCTCTTAAAGTGACGGGAACAGTAAAATGGTTCAACGTAAAGAGCGGATACGGATTTATCAACAGGTGAGTGGGGAAAAATGAAAAATTTGCAAAGATTTTTTTTAAAATCCTTTTTAGCCCACAATGTCGTCGGCCGAGGTTTCGTTTCGGAAGGCGGATTTTATATGTGAATACGTGTGGAAAATGTTTAGGGTTTTTGTTTTTAAAAGCCGGTATCAAAAGAAATCAATTTGCAGTTTTTTTTAGTTTTCTTAATTTATTTTTGTCTTTCGCGTTGCCAGAGCGAGACCCGCTTTACGTCGGACAGCCAAGCGGGGTTGGTTGCCGTCTAGGAAGTCCATTGTCGGGGGCCGTGCCAGAAAAAAAAGGTCTAGATTATTTTTATACCCGGCAATCCGTCTGGGAAAGGATCTAGGTGGTGTGAAACAAGCGAAGACTCGCGGACCCCCTCACCCAGTTGAAACTCCAAAGTCCCGATTTAAAATCGCCGTAAATTTTTCCCTGGAACATAACTTGTTTATTTCCAGGTTGGTTTTGATTATTTCCCACCTTCTTTCCAATTTTTAACATTAACAATTTAATTTAAGTATTTTTCAATCAGAATTTTGTTGGATAGACTAGCGAAACATGTTGGAAGTAGACAATGGCACCCGTTTCGATTCGAACGATTGTTTTTTTCTTTGCGTGATAATCACCCTGGTACTTTAAAAAATATTCTCCCTCCTCCTTATTTGAAAAAAAAATTCTCTCCTAATTTTTGATTTCTTCCCGTTTTAAATCGGAATCTCCCCTGGCAGGAAGCCGATGGCAGGAGGGTTGGGTCTATTTCGGGAGGCATGGCCCTAGCCAAGTTCGCCTGCGAATTCTTACTAAAAAAAGAAAAACAAAAGAGATCATTACCCTTTTTAATTAAAAAAAAAAGACGTAAATTAAAAATGTTTTTTCCCCCCAAATTAAGGGTTTAAAAGTAAACGGGAAGTTTTTTTTTAAGTGGTGGGTATTTTTGTGAATGTTTGTGAGGGGGGGGGGCAAAAAACAAAAATAAAAACCATTATCTTTGGATTAAAATTAACATTCCAGCAGATTCTTTTCAACTTTTAGATTTGAAAACCTCTTATAATAATAGATGAAAATATTGACAATTCCATATCGCAGATAATTATCCATTTTCCCCCTGTTTTGTAGTCGAAGAAATGTTTTACAAGGAAATCGTTTACGGGACGTGTACGGGTCAAAAATTCTGCACGGTGGTAAAAAAAAACACCACAAAAACCGCGATTAGATCCGAATATCATCTCGGAGATTAAAATCTGTCGTTTTGCACTTTTCTCGTACTATTTTTTTAAACTGTTTTTTAATTGTCTTTCCGACTTCTTTATTTAAAGCAATTTTGAGAACTACACACTTCCCCATACGATGGAAACTTTCTTACGTTAAAATGATCCCAAAGCCTCATAAAAATGTAAGCTCCCTATTATCATCCTATCGTCATATTAGTTTGTTACCGTTCCTTCTAAATTAATTTACAAAAGGATTATCATAATTGCTACTTCATACATCTTATCAGACCATCAATTTGGCCATCATTCCGTTACTCATCAACTTCACAAAGTTACAAGATTTTTTTATTTGATGTTTCGAGCGGAAACCGTACTGGAATGTTTCCAGAAGTTTCTTAGGCCTTATACAAAGTACGACATCAGGGATTATTATATAAAAATTATTTTTACCCCAGGCCTATTGTCTGTCTACGTTCATATCTTAAAGAGTGATTTTTCGCAGTAAACCACGGTACGGAGACATCTGAGATGGAAGAAATGCTCGAAGGTGTGCCACAAGGGTCAATACTCGCTCCGCTGTTGTACGCAATTTTTCCGTTATGCCCACAAATGAGAATGCCACATAAGCAATATTAACAAGTCTCTATAGTAGCTTCACTTATGCTACAAAATCACATACGAAAAATTGAAAAACTGATCCTAACGTTAAATTATTCTATGAAAACCACTCTAAACTGCCTACAACATTTATATATCGGGCCACTAAATATTTTACACAATCAAATATAGATCCAGATCAAACCCGAAAAATAACCCAGCCCCAACCCCTCCCTGACTACTTCCAGAAGTTTAATTTGATTTTTCTCTTACAAATATGAAAAAAGAGGAAACAAACCCTACAGAGTTCAGACAAAGATCCCTTGAATTAACAAATGTAACAATGATGCTTTAATCATATACACTGATGGTTCCGAAAAATCACATATGTTCTTATGTAATTGAGGGGTCACCCTTCTATTTTTCTTTTACACTCACTTTTCAGTTCGTATAATGCAGAAATATTTGCCATTTTAAATGTTTTAGATGATCCCTCTATCTGTCACCATAAAATAATTATATTTTCTGTTTCTTATAGTACATTTCAAGCAATACAGAACCCATACTCCAAAAATCCAATAATTCGGAACATTTGGCAAAACTTAAAAAAAAATCTCTGAACGGCTCTTCCGTTTCCTTCATTTGGATTCCAACTCATGTCGGGATTAAGTGAAATGAGCTGGCTGACAGCGCACCAAAAGCTGCACAGAACAATTCCATCATCTTAGTTTTAATAAATACTGAAGGTATATAGTCTGCTTTCATACTTAAATTAATTGAAAATTGGGGAAAATGGGTGTAAACAAACTCCTTCCAACAAATTAACAAACATAAAAGAGATTGTTATACGTTGGGAAACATCCTTCCAAACTTCCAGGCGTGATGAGGTCGTACTATGTCGATTATTTATAGGACACACGAATAGGAACCACAAGCACCTCATGGAAATATCTATACCAACATGCCTTTGTGGTGATAAATGTATTACACATACTTGCGCCCTCTCCCTTTTGTCTGAGATGGGCTCATTACCCCAAAACCCTCTGGATCATAAAGAAAATGTTAGGGAATTATCAGAAAAAATTGATCAGGTCTTCGAAAGTCTAATGAGAAATCTCTATAACCTTATATAAATTTCCATAATTTCCAATAAACCATTGGTATACAAAGGACTATAAACAAAAAACAAATTTAAAAAAATTGAAAAATGGAGCAATCGTTGGAAAATAAAGTTTAACACCTCAAAGTCACAACATATCACTTCTATATTCTTTAGTGAGATATACATTGATTCCTTAAAATAATTCCTCAATCAGATAAAATTAACTATACTGACAGGCAAAAAATTCCGCCCATTTGTAACATAACTTGATTTGTACATGTTTTTATATATTAATCAAAGTTTTGCGTTTTTTACGTTTAATAATTGAGCCTTTGTCCAAAAAAGCATAAAAAATGTAAATTCCTAAGGAAAATTTAAAAAATGACGGACAAATAAAATTTGTTTTAATTAGATTTTTAATTGGAATTTAAATATCGCGTATTTCCTCCTCTTGCTTTAATCACATCTCGAAGAAGCCTCGGCATTTTCTACCAGTCTGGAAATGTCTCTTTGCCGGAGGTGAGCCCATTCTTCACGAAGAGTCCTTTCAAGATCGTGGAGTGTATCAAGACGTGCTCTTGTTCGTCTTTTGAAGTTATTCCATAAACGTTCGACGGGGTTCTAGTCTGGAGAACGGGCTGGCCAGGCTAAGACCCCGACGTTATGCTATTGAAGGTTTGTACTATGCGAGCAAACGTGATTACAATAGGATTGTCGGCATGATGTTCCAAATTTTCATCCACATAACGAGTGGCCCTCCACGAACAACAACCAACTCTGTGAGACTCTCCATTGAGATCATAGCCCACACCATCACTGAGCTACGTTGAAAAGGTTGGCTCTGGGAAAATCACAGGCTTCGTACCTTTCATTGCACCTTCTCCACACTCTTTCCACGCCCATCGAGATAGTAGAGCAAATCTGCACTCAACTGTAAAAAGACCAATCGTCCAAAGACCAATGGCTGTGTTCTCGAGCAAATGCGAGCCTTGCAATTCTGTGTGTTCTGGTCAATTCTGATCCTCTTACTGGGCGAAAAGCCATCAGTCCATACTGATTTAATCTTCGAGCATTGCGTTCAGAAATTTGGACACCTCAAACTTCCTGGAGCTGATGAATCGCTTGAACAACAAGGTGCCTGTTTCGCAAAATTCTCAAAGTAAAAAAACTCATCTTGTGGTTGTTACCTTGTCTAGAACCTAAGTGTTGTTACGTTGTTAAGTGCAGAGGTTCGTAGGGAACTACGATAGCAATAGCCGCATACCCGATGGAACATCCATCATCAATAGGTGCCATACCACGCCCAACATCCTCAGCACTAAGTGCCATTTTTATGTTTAAAAATTGGAATTATGAAAACAAAGATGCAAATTAAATTTTAGTTTATTGCTTCAGAATTCAAACCAGACTGAATAAACATTTTAAATTCCTTAAAAAGTAAACAAATCCTTCATACTTGTTTTGGATTAAGGATTAAGAGTATTTACTTCTAATTGATATTCCCAAAACCCCATTTAAAATAGCGTAAACAAATGTTTATAGGTAAAAACAATGAGACAAATTAAGGGTAGAATTTTCTTTTAACGAAAAAATGAAAAAAAAAATCAATTGGGCGGAATTGCCCTATCATGTAATTAAAACATACATTTGATAGAAGGCTAACTTGAAATCTACACACACGTTAAACAAAAAAAAAAAAAAAAACCCCAACGAACGATTTAAAATGTTTTACTACGTACTTAACCTACAATAAAAATTACCGTTAAAATCAAAACTTTGGACATACACTTATCCAAACCTATTTGGATGTATGCGTGTCGAAGTTTATGGATCGGCCGAATATTCCAATATTGAAAGTCACAAAGTTTTTTAAGACTAATTGTTTCTGCCCCTTTTTTGGTCTATAAAATAATAAATAAAACACTTAAAGGAGATCTTGACATGCCGGTAGTTGTTTCATCATCGAAACATATAAGTTTTCATAGTAAATTACAAAATTATCAATCAATTACCACGTAAGCGACTGCAAAGGATATGGATCATTTTATTAATCCAGACCAGTTGCCGGTAGTAGCTTTCTCTATAACGCCCGTAATGCCACAATCATAAATTACTTTACAGTTGTAGTTAAAAAATAAACTGTCTCTTGCCCGTTGTGTGTTGGACAAAGGGGGTTGGTTCATCCCCCCGACACCATCCCCACTAAAGCCCACGTCTAGACCTCGTCCTGGAAAATCGATATTTTCCTATTTCGAAGAAAACTTAGAAAATACGACCTTTTAATATTGACGCGCAGACTTGGCAGAAGTCGGCAAAAGAAAAGTCGGACTTATATATTGTCGTTGTTGTTGCTATAAAGAGTATTACAAAAATAAAACACGCCCACGCTTAATTAAAATACACCCTAGGTTAAAACAACGTACAGACAAAACGGATATGTTAGGGCCACTGGTCGTAAGCAAGAAAATTACAGATGAAAAAAAGAATAAGTAAAAATAAGAAAAGGAAGTTAAAATTAAATTATAATTTACTTGTATGCGGGGTGACAAGCACATACTCTTTCCAGACTACCCTTAAACCCTGTTGAAGCCCAAAACCCGCCCTAAATCTAGTAGCCAGATAAAGTTCGTGATTTGGAATTCAAAATAAAGTTCATTGGTTCAGGCCCCTAACCTTGCTGGGTGTCTGAAACTGGATAGATGTAGTTGACTCGCCCGGTGAACTTAGGCCTCTTTCAGACAAGGCGGTTGGGTTGATTCAAATAAGTTGTACGGATGACTGCCAACTGGTTAGTTTACTGCCGTGTGAAGACTTACTTTGCTGGTTTCACACCAGCAACTCTGGAGTCTCTTTCCAACGGAAGGTCAGTACAATATTAGAACTCGGGGAAGCAGGAGCACTTCTTGCAAAAAGAGAAGCAAAAAAAGAGGAAACCCAGTAAAGAAAAGTGTGGGTTTATCCGTTGTTATAAAATTGGGAAACGGGCGCATTCTCTCAAATACTGTTGTGCTACGTCCCTCCATGCTTTCTTTTAATTTTGTCCCCACACCTCATTTCCCGTTTCGCGGGACTAATACGAATTTCTTCAATGAACTGCTTCACAATGAAACTTGGAATTGCAATGCTTTCCATGGTGAACTCAGTTGTCTCAACTAGGCGACTGGTGTGAAGGACGAATGCCGAATCTTTTGTGTTGAGTCAACCAGAGGGGATGAGAATGTTAGTGGCACTTGTACCAGCCTGAGCGGACGAGTTGACTGCATGTGAAAGGGTTGGGGCGATTCACGATCATTTTGCTTACCTGGTTACTCTACTTGACACCCTTCAACTAGTTAAATCAACTGAATGAGGCCTTCTCATCTCCAGGACACTCGGCCGAAATAAAATAATAACGAAAATAGTAACTTCTACCAAACTCATAAAACACGGTAAACAATTTGAACTTAAATATTGGGAGCATAACAACAGTAAAATGTTCGGATGCAGTGAAATGGACAAAGTGCCCCATCTTACCTTTGACCTATTCCCACGCATCAAAAAACTATGATTTTTGTGATTCGGAAGAGAAGTGTTCCCAATTATTGGTTCAGCTTGATCGAAGAACCCTGAATTGTAGACGGTTATGTTGGGCTAATCCGTTCTTAACCAACAGAAATAACGTGACGTTCTTTCGTTAACACATCTATATTAATTAGAAATTGTCTATTATCGAAAAATAATTACTATTTATCGATGATCACATCAAGTTGACATACATACAGTACTGTTCCCGAATAAGTGGATGCTTTGTGTTTGGTTACTTCACAAATATTTATGCACTTAGAAGCAAACAAGGCAACGACAATTAGTTGAGCTAGTCAAGCACCTAAGTTGCTCGGTGAATAACTAAGTACCCTTCCCCACTAGTTGGGATTCGGCGAACCTTTCTTTGGCTTTTGGCATATACTGTATGTCTGGAGCCACCTGAAAGGCATGGTTCAGATCATCACCATGAGAGATGATCGTTTTATTGTTTCAAATTCACTGTAAGTCATAGACTTTCAAAAGCTGGATTAGGTGCGAAAAGACCTGCCGCTGGTCCAGAACTTCTGATAAGGCACCAAACAGCTCGATTAAGTTTTGCAAGGAATCAATTGGCTGAGCAAAATGGGACTAAGATGTTGTTTTTGGATGAATCAAGGTTTTGTTGAGTGAGGTCTTCTGACAGCCGATAGGGCTTGGAGAAGAACTGGAGAATGATATATCTCGATATATTGAAAAATAAATAGCAGTAATAGAAATATATACTTTCGATCTGTTTCCACGCATAGAAAACCTCATCCAATTTTTGTAATTTGGAAGAGAAGCTTCCAAATTTTTGGTCTAAATCGAGGATCTCCAAGACTGTAATGTTGGGCCAACAGAAATAATGCTATGTTGTTCTCATTAATTCATGGGGCTGTAAGGACAGTAACTGATTTTCTTTATTTTTAATCTAAAGAATATAAAAGGTTTAATAACAACTAGAAAGGTAAACAACTAGTTATTACTGCTGTGTTTACGTTTTCAGTCAAATATTGATCTTTATACCCAGTTATTATGGAAAATAAGAAAATACAAATACAAGTGTCGGCATTCATCACTGTAAGGTAAAGGTCCCCGGTTTGAATCAAGTGAACAATTTTTGTTTTACAAAGACACCGACACTCCTAGTGATTAGATTATAGATTATAAGGCCAAATCTTCACATACATGTATTTATGCACATACACATGGGTGCAGAGCTAAGCCTATCTCTTCTAGCTCACCGGCAATTCCGGTCAATAAATTACCGAAAGACAACAAGAATCACCACCACAGGAATCAGACGTCAATCATATCCTCTTCCAGGCTTGGTTTGTCTCTGGGAGCAATCAACAGCTAGGTCATTTTGGCCCCATCACAATCAGTCCATAAAAGCAAATCCATTCATTTTCACTCACTCTTAAATAAATTTTTTCTTATTTACATTTCATTGAATATTGAGTACTTCATCGACCCTCTCAAATTACACATTGTCACCAATAAATACACTAGGAGGCACAAAATATCATTACTATATACAATTTAATGACCCTTTTCCTCCGGGGAAAAATCGGGGTATCCGGATACTCGCACAATTCTCATTCCATGTGGCATTCCTACACACTGTCAGTGGCACCCTTTAATTAAGTGGAACACTTCAAGCCAATTGTCTCAATGTGCTGGACACATACGTGGGCTTTGGCCCAAAAATGTGTCTGAGGGTGCAGGCTAGATAGGGAGAGTCACTATGTCTTGAATCACCCTAAGGCCATTCTAATTCTGCCACGTAAACTTGAATGAGGCAGGAGCGATCGTGAAATGGATGCACCCTCGCAAAACACGGCACTGCTAGACTTCAGGATAAGTTCACACAGAGCTCGACCATCGAATCGACAACTGTGCAAAATATTCAAAGTTTGGAATGATGTCCAATTGACCAAAACTGCTCTGTGTCAACTTTGCCTTATAGACCAAGGTGAGCAGAAAACCGGCATACTTAGATCTAAGTTGCAAGCGCTTAGCTCAGTAGAGGTAAGTGAAATAGATAACTTGGTCACAAGAATGTCCCGGATGAGTACGGCCAGAAGGATCCAGAGCACAGTCAGCCAGTTGCCCAGCTTGAATACCCTTCCCCGTGTCATACTTTTAGTAGGGTGTGATGCGAAATTATGCTACATACGACACATTATTTCTCAATTTTTAAAGCTTTCATGTTTAATTAATTATTGATCTTACAATATACATAGTAGGATTTACACATTTCATTTTTTTCTTCTTTTGTTGCAGGAATGACACTGGAGATGACGTATTTGTCCATCAAGTAAGCAACTTTTTGAAAAACAAAATATTTTTATCCCTAGTGTAAATACAAAAATGAGAAACCAAAGGGTTTAACTACTCAATGGTATGCATACTGGTATTGAATCTTGGTTGTTAAATTGATAAGAAGTCCTTTTTTTAATAATAATAATTATTTTAGTTTTTTATAGTTAAGTCCTGGAGTGGAGGAATGATTATTGTCTTTTTGATCTTATTATTTAATCTTGTGCCTTCCCTATTTCAGTCGGCAATTGCCAAAAACAACCCAAAAAAAGTCGTCCGTTCAGTCGGAGATGGCGAGACAGTCGAGTTTGACGTTGTAGCCGGTGAAAAGGGCAACGAGGCAGCCAATGTGACTGGCCCGGGGGGCGAGGCAGTCAAAGGGAGCCCGTATGCAGCCAACAGGCGTGGCTATCACCGCCAGTGGTACTACCGTAGCCCACGCACCAGGCCGGTTCGCAGCCAGAAGGACGGTGACGAAGGCGGCGAAGAAGACGATGCCAACCGCGACAACAAGCAGCGCAAGTTCAGGAACAAACGGTTCCTCAGCGGCGGTGCCGGCTACTATCGTGGACGCCCAGGAGTTGTAAGTCAAATTTTTTTTTCTTTTTTAATAATTATTTTAGCTGAAGTGTGTACTGTTTTTATATCGACCTGCACAGTGCCACAATTTCAATAATTGATTTTTTGTAAAATTAAATTTTCAGAACGACAAAAATGGTGAGAAAGGAGAGGCCGGCGGTGATGAGGTCGGTGCTGAAGGAGGTGCAGGGGGTGGTGGCAGCGGAGGTCGCGGTCGCGGCGGCCGGGGTCGTAGATCAAGATACCCCGGCTTTCGCGGAGGGAGAGGAGGGGGCAAGAACAACGCCCAGGTACGTAGTAAAGCCTTCAGTTTATACATTCTGCATCCTCCAGTTCGTTTTAAGCTCATACAATTTGGGGGATTTGTAAAAGAATTAAAAGTTGATTAAAAAAGTGTATTATATATATAAAAATAGGGGTGAAAAAGTGGTGACCTGTTTTCTGCTCATCCAGCAAATTTCTGTGTTATAAAAGGTCATTGATTAAATTGAATTTGGGTCAAGATTTCTATGAACGCAAGCATATTTTTTATCACATCCCTTGTTTCTTAATTATGTATTGATTTTAAGATCTTGCGCCGAGTTTTAATTCCTCCTTTTTCTTTTTAATTATTGATTTTAATCGTGCCATTGACTTTTTTATCTCAACTAAAAACCTTAATTAATTGTTATATATTAATTGGTCAAGCGGACTACGAAATTAGTGAATTTATTGATTTTAATTTTATATAAACAGAGCGACGGAGATCCCAGCAAAGATATTAGTGGTGAAAACAACCAGGAGAGAGGAGAACGCGGTGGAAGGGGTGGACGCGGCCGCGGTAGACCGAGGTACAGGCGGCCCAACAGATCTCTTTCTTCGGCGGACAAACAACCTAAGGTAGGCTCAAATTTGACAAACTTAAGCCATTATTTACTCATGAGCACGGCTTTACGCATGATTCGCCCTGTACAGTTTTGTATAAAAGCTCTCTTTTACTTTTTTCTTTTTGTACAGTGCTCTCTCCCTAATCTGAACTTAGGTATTCCAATCTTTACGGTAATTAGAATGGGGAAAAAATTAAAGATGTCAGAATTTTAAAGGAAACAAATGAAAGATTATTTGGCAGAGGATGTGAATGGGATATATATATTCATTTGTTTCCTTTACAATTCTGACATCTTTAATCTTTAATTAGACATCTTTAATTAGAGAGAGAGAGAGAGAGTGAGAGAGAGAGAGAGAGAGAGGAGAGAGAGATATGTATGATGGATACTAGAAAGTGGTGCTTGTGCTACAGGCTTATTGTTTAATTGATTGATTTTATTAACTGATATTTACCCATTTTTTTGTAATAACTAGAAGCAAATTTTTTACTAAAACATGCTTAATTTTGGTACTGATAGTAGTTGCGTATGTCGAATATGTAGCAATCAGTTTAATGATTATTCTTGATATCTGATAATACTGAAGGTACCGTAAGAAGAGCTTAGTTAACTTCAGCATTAAAATTAGTGCCTGGTATCGCTTATGACACAGTTCGATCCATATTGTTGTTGCCCTGCAGATAGCAACTGACAGATAACCAGATTGATAACGGGGATCATAGTCAGCAAATTGACTAATGCGCCAAACTGTATACTGGTGGTTCGATTATTGGCCACAGCAGCTTCATTTCATCAAATTTTACTTTGCGGTCAGCTTCAATGCTCGAGTCGGGAATTGAACATTATGGTTTTGGTTCTGTTCCTTGATTTTTTTTTCAGAATTGGCTCCTCCTTTTTTAAGCTCGTTCGATTGCCATTTTAACCTCTTAAGCCCCTGAGATTTTCTTGGGTTTGAGGTGCAGTTTTTCCATTTTTTTTCCATTTGAAGAATTGTTTAATTTTATTATGGATTATTTATTTTATTTTTAATTTGAAAACCCAATTTTATGTACAATTTTTTTATTTATTTATATATTAATTTTTTGTTTTATTTTAAGTTGTGAGCCTGTAAAAGATGGGGAAAACGTACCCGATTTGGTTGTAATTAAAACTTAGTGTTTTTTCTCCTTTAAACAAAAAACAAAAAAAGTAATTTAAAATAAATTTTTAAAAAACCACAAAAAAAAGGAATTCACTAATCATTTTTATTGACGATAGAAAATAAAAAATAAGAGCAAAGAAGTGAGTGGATATAAAACATTAAAAAAATACAAAAAATAATTAAGTAAATAATACAAACAATTTGTATGAATGGTTGTAAAATGTAGATTTTTTGAATGGTTTTGTTACCACAGAAATGCAGATGTACGTACAAAAATATTAACAATTTTGATCTCAGATGTTTTATTATTAAAGGAAAAGCAAAAAAAAGTTAAATAAATAAAATGTTTGTTAAAAAAATAACATTAAAAAGAAAATAAAAACAACCAGGATCAAAGACGCACTGCAGTCATCGCATACGGCTTATACGGACGAAGGGATGAGTCAGCAATTTTTTTTTTAAATTATTATGGTTGGGAATATGGTAAGAAACACCCAAAAGCACTTGCTTTTGTCTGTTTTCTCTCCGGCCCTATTTGTTTAATTTTTGACAGCTCTGAACCGCGGACGCCTTAGGTGATATTTGGGTAAACAAAAAAAAAATATATAAACAGCAAATATTTATTTTAAAACAAATAAATAAAAACACCAGGCCGCAGGCCAATTTTTTTAAACAAAATCGCGGTTTTTATTATTGCAAACTGAAAAACAATGAGGGAAAAAAATAATTGGAACACGAAGAAAAAATCAAAAGAACGGGGAAAAAAGTTTTTTTTTCAACTCCTTGTGAAGCAGTCGCTAAATACACTTCAATATATTTAAAAAAATGTATGTAAAACCAGATTGATAACGGGGATCATAGTCAGCAAATTGACTAATGCGCCAAACTGTGTACTGGTGGTTCGATTATTGGCCAACAGCAGCTTCATTTCATCAAATTGTACTTTGCGGTCAGCTTCAATGCTCGAGTCGGGAATTGAACATTATGGTTTTGGTTCTGTTCCTTGATTTTTTTTCAGAATTGGCTCCTCCTTTTTTAGGCTCGTTCGATTGCCATTTTAACCTCTTAAGCCCCTGAGATTTTCTTGGGTTTGAGGTGCAGTTTTTCAATATCCACCTCCTCCATTTGAATGGTTTCATCGTCTGGTTTAGTAGTTTCCTGAAAACCTCCCACATCTGCAGGAGGCGATGCGAGGTGATTGACCTCCAATTCTCGGTTTATGTGGGTTAAAGAGGCTTCGAAGGCCTCTTAAACTCCCAAGTTAGTTTTGGGGTCTTCCTTTGCAGGTTCCCCTGGTGTTTTTTTTTTCTTCTTCTTTTGGTTTATGTATGTGTTTCCAGCTTATTTAAGTTCAAGTGCTTCTTATAAAAGTCTTGCATAAAAAAAGAAGTGAAAAATGAATGAGAGAGCAAGAGAGAGAGATTTAGAGAAAGCGAGTGAGCAAGAGATAAGAGAGTGAGTGAGTAACAGTGAGAGAGGGGGGAAGAGTCGTAGAAAAGGCAAAGACCAGCTTAGATTATACATCTTTTTGAGAATTCCTTTTGTTACCTCAATTCCTCATTTCACTGAGTGCACTGTACTGATTTTTCTCTGTTTTTTTTCCTATCTCTTCATTTTGTGTTTTTTTCTTTTCTTTTTCTATGTATTAAAGCAGTCCGATGATGCTGCGAAGCCAGAAGCAAAAGCCGAGCCGGCGAAAGTAAGTAGTTTTTTGAATTTCGAAGTCAATGTGCCAAAGGGGCAATTTTTCTGTTGAATAATAAAAAAAATTTTGGCCTGACTAACCAATCCGGTTTTTTCTTCTTTTTTGTTTCGAATTATATTTTAATAAACTAATCTATCAAAAGGTGTGGATTTAATTATTTTAATTTAAGAACAAATAACAGTATTTATTGGGTCGGCTTATTTTGTTTCATAATATTTGTGCGCTTGAACGTGCAAAATGTCACTTTTTTCTTGTGTGTGTGTGTGTGTGTATATATATATACACATATATATATATGTGTGTGTGTGTGTGTGTGTGTGTGTGTGTGTGTGTGTGTATATATATATATATATATATATATAAACACATTAAAATGTCCAACATGGTATGGAACTGCAAGTTGGCAGATGTTGGATGTCACACGGTGCAGTCATGTGGGGTCCAGGCTTTATATTCTAAGACTGTAAAGTTTCGTGTGGATCAATAGAAATATATATTTATTTATTTTTTCTCTGCTCTTAAAGATCCGATTGGCAAACGATGCTGTAACACGTGTCTAATATTTTTCCTCCTAGGGACCACTGGGTAAAAAAAAAGTTTCAGTGAACTCTGTGCACCCATTACTAAGCTTTTTTTCTCCTTGGTGTATAGCATGATATGCATGGCTTTGTTGGTTTTTATTTTGTTTTAATTTTTTTTCAAATTTTTTGATAAGACTTTTTTCCCGTTTGCCCCATTTTTTCTCTTTTTTTTCTAGGAAATAAGCCAAGCAGTGCAGAACACGACCGATGAGAGTGCCGCTTAAGTCATCATCATCTTTAATTATTACAACAGAAATATGTTCATTGTTTTTTCCCCTTTTTTTCTTATCTCTCTATTATGATTTTAAAAAATTTCATTATGAAAACTGCTGAATGAAGTAACTTTATATATATGTTTATATATATATAAAGAAGAAAAAAATATAAGCACGCGAATTCTTTGAAAAAGAATCCCTTTCTCGAGGCTTGTTTTGTTCTTTTTATATATATGTGTGTGATTATTTAAAAATAAAATAATATAACGGGGATTCGAGTTTAAAAGAACGGTGCAAAGCCGAAGATCGCCGCTCTAGGAAGGGACTATCGAAGAATTTAATCTTTACTATTCCCCTTTTACATTTTATTTTATAACTAGTGCATGCCTATCATTTTTATTTTTTAACACATTCAATCGGGTATACATTTTTATTTATTTATTTATTTTTTTTTTATTTCGCGTTGCATCAATAAATAACTTGATTTATTGAAAAATCTCATTTTGTATTTTGTGTGAACGGTTATTTATTTTTTAAAATTGATTTTGGTCATTATTTGATTTTTTTCCTCCAATTCCATTTGAAGAATTGTTTAATTTTATTATGGATTATTTATTTTATTTTTAATTTGAAAACCCAATTTTATGTACAAATTTTTTTATTTATTTATATATTAATTTTTTGTTTTATTTTAAGTTGTGAGCCTGTAAAAGATGGGGAAAACGTACCCGATTTGGTTGTAATTAAAACTTAGTGTTTTTTCTCCTTTAAACAAAAAACAAAAAAAGTAATTTAAAATAAATTTTTAAAAAACCACAAAAAAAAGGAATTCACTAATCATTTTTATTGACGATAGAAAATAAAAAATAAGAGCAAAGAAGTGAGTGGATATAAAACATTAAAAAAATACAAAAAATAATTAAGTAAATAATACAAACAATTTGTATGAATGGTTGTAAAATGTAGATTTTTTGAATGGTTTTGTTACCACAGAAATGCAGATGTACGTACAAAAATATTAACAATTTTGATCTCAGATGTTTTATTATTAAAGGAAAAGCAAAAAAAAGTTAAATAAATAAAATGTTTGTTAAAAAAATAACATTAAAAAGAAAATAAAAACAACCAGGATCAAAGACGCACTGCAGTCATCGCATACGGCTTATACGGACGAAGGGATGAGTCAGCAATTTTTTTTTTAAATTATTATGGTTGGGAATATGGTAAGAAACACCCAAAAGCACTTGCTTTTGTCTGTTTTCTCTCCGGCCCTATTTGTTTAATTTTTGACAGCTCTGAACCGCGGACGCCTTAGGTGATATTTGGGTAAACAAAAAAAAAATATATAAACAGCAAATATTTATTTTAAAACAAATAAATAAAAACACCAGGCCGCAGGCCAATTTTTTTAAACAAAATCGCGGTTTTTATTATTGCAAACTGAAAAACAATGAGGGAAAAAAATAATTGGAACACGAAGAAAAAATCAAAAGAACGGGGAAAAAAGTTTTTTTTTCAACTCCTTGTGAAGCAGTCGCTAAATACACTTCAATATATTTAAAAAAATGTATGTAAAATCGATCTAAAAAAAAACACTCCACGACTGCATAAAACTGAAGTAACTTTAAAACAAAAAAAAAGCAAAAAAAAGATAAAAATTTAAAAAAATTAAAAACAAAAAACCCTTAAAAAAACAAGTCAACGCAATGTACAAAAATACCAAAATTACTAATTTTTCACGTAACATTTGCATTTTGAATAAACAAACCAAAAAAAAAGTAAAAAAAATTCTTGGTTTTTTTTTCTTTTAATAATTACTACTACTACCCTTACTCCATTGCCCTGTCAAGTCCATATCATCTACGGCAGGTAAGTACATGAGGTTCAACACATAATAAATTTAAGGTTTAAAGTTAACAAATTTGGAGGTACGCAGAAGCGTTCAAGTGCAGCAGGTGGCCAAAAGATGTCGAAGTAAGACTCATCGTCGATGAGGTTGATGTAAAATATAAAGTGATTTTTGTTATTTTAGGCATCAATTCCCCCCCTCTCACGATAAAATGAAAGAAATGAACTATATATCAAGCTAGGCTTAATACAAATGTAAAAAAAAATTCAAATTGTCAGTATGCAATAAGATATACTGCTTTTAAGATATCGAGAGAAAAAAAAAAAAAGTCTTAGGGAACACTTAAATAGTTTAGGTGTTTTCTTACGTTGTCAACTGTACGTTCTCACTCTACAAGAAATGTAATAATTTGTAAACGGGCTGGTCTACACCCTAAAAAAATTATCTTTGGGATGAAAAACAGGTTTGTATTATCGAGTAGAAAATTTGTACACAATCAGGTCGGTGAATGAACCATTTAAATATATTTTAAAGTCAATAATTGCAAAAACATTTATTATTGACTACTGCAAGATCAGCATATGGAAGATTTGAGCCATCACTACTCTTATTCAACAAACCTTAATTTTTGAAAGGAAAACTGGAGAATTTAAAATATGGTAAGGCCGTACCACTTATATAAACATAAATAATTAATTTTTACAATTACTTTATCTATTGCTTGAGTTTACAGAAATAAATTGTTAACAAAAGTAATATTTTTAAATAAAGTTAATATGAAAAATCAGCCTTTTGGCTCATTTTCATGTCAAAAATAACACATGTTTTTTCATTATTTGTCAATGGATAAATAAAGTAGAAGAAATGTCGTCCAGTATTGTACGCATTTCGGTTCGGTCTTATTCGAAGGCGGTTGACCCGATACAGCAGCTATTTGTCGACAAGATACGCGAGTATGACCAGAAGCTCAAGGCGAAGTATAGATTCAGACGAGTTAAGATTTATAAATGTTTAAAACGAAAATTTACAGTGGAGGCGCCCTCTTCGATCCGACACCCGAGCTCGAAAGGGAACGGTCGAACCAATACCTGATGCTCAAGAGGCAACTCTTTAAAGATTCAAATCCGGAGAACCTGACCCAATTCCCGGAGTTCAGATTCGAAGGTGAGCTCCGGCAATGATTCGTTAATCTTCATTCTCAATTGATTATCTTTTATGCATCATTATTTTTAAACGATCGATCACATTTTGTATTTATTTATTATCGAGTCATTCGCACTGAACTAGTTCACATTACTCAAATCATTCACACTAAATTCACAATCAGTCATACGGAGAGTTAAGCCCTTTACAATAATTTTTTTAATACTATTCTCAATTAAAAAACCATGGGTTCTGTCGGAATTCGAACCCAGAACTGCTAGTGGCAAATATTTGGACGCCCTAACCACGGTCATGGCAGTCCTGTAACAGTCATTCGCTAACTCAGTCTGATTCACTCACCAACACAGAACTTGTCATTCACACTGAACTCATACAACAGTCATTTATACAGAACTCACACAACTAGTTATTCACACTGAAATCGCATTCATGCTGAAATTGCCCACATTCAGTGCTTAATTCACTCACTCACAAGAAACTCACCTAAGTCAGTAATTCACACTGCACTTACTACCTACCATTAACACAGATCTCTCAATTTTTCCCCCCATTTCCAGACAGGCCTCTTGACGATATCAACATGGAACCAAGTAAAAAGAATTGATTGGACTTTATTTAAAATTAATTGTATGTGTATGGTGTTAAGTAGAAAGGCGAAGGCCTTGGAAGGAAGCAATGAAAGCAACTCAGTTAAAACTGTTATTAAAGTTATTTAAAAAGTTTTATTATATTTTTTTTTTCTTAAGGACAATAACATTTTTTCATCAATAAACCATTTCTTAAAGAAAAATTGATACGGGATTTTAAATTGAAGTATTTTAATGTTAGTTGTAATGAAACTATTGGTGATGGGCTTGGGGTTTGGACCAGTCCGCGCCGAGGATGAGGTGATCGTATCCGTGCCCATTGAGTGTGTTGATGGCGTTCGCTGCAGCCTGCCTGCTCCTGAAGTGTATGTACGCAAAGCCTTTGCACAGCCCGGTCGTCTTGTCCTTGGCAAGGAAGATCTTGTTGTAGTCACCAAACGGCTTGACCAGCTCTTCGAGGTCGACCTCTTGCGTCGACTCTGACAGATTTGATATACGAATGGCACTAGCGTCGTCTCGGTGTCGTAGGTGGCCCATCGACTCGCCTCTCTTGTTCCCAGCTCCATCTCTCAGCCCTGGTGGAACATACTTGTTCTTGCTCTTGTCGTCCACCTGAGTCGTAAGCTTCTTCTCGACGTTCACAGTCGGTGTTACGGCCTTTGCAGGCATGTAATTCGTGTCCCTGAAAGGGCACTGGAGTGTCCAATGGTCTCCATTGCACATACGACACTTCACTGTCTTATCCACCATCGCTATAAATAAAAATTATTAGTAACATTGAAATACATTAGGATAAAACAAGACTACTCACTTCTGAGCTTCTCGAGCGCATCATCATCTGTTTTATCCTCTTCCCTACTCGTAATGAATTGCATGAATATCTCCTCAGTCGCTATTGTAGTTGCTGGATTGGGTCCGGGCTTGTCGTCGGCTGACGCTCCAAACTTCTTCCAAGTCTTTCTCTTTGCGATTGACTTCGATACCATACGACTCTCACGCTTGTAAGTACTTACTATTTTAATCTATAAGGAAAAAAATAATTTGACGCAAATTAATAAAAATTTCATTTATCTATGATTATCTACGATCAAGATGGCAATGAAGGATCAATGGTGCATTACAATACGTACTGATAATGGTGCAATGTCAATTTTGTTTTTTATTACAATTAAAAAAATGGTTAAAATGAAGTTACTTATGTTTAGATATACAGTTATCCACTGTAAACAGTGGAACATTTTTTATGGCAAATAGTTCAAATTGAACACAGATCATTAAACTTCCCAGGATACACATGGAGGATGATGATCCTAGCTTTACCAAGGTATGAAGCATATTTTTTCTCCAAAATTTTTACCACCTTAATCAAAATTTTAAAACGTACCTTTTTGTTCTCTTCGTTCTTTTTGTACTCTGTGACGATTTTGAGACCGTTTTCGACCACCTCGCTCGTCCGAGGGATGTCCTCGACGTTCTCCTCAACCTCGTCCGCCCAGCTCGACTTGACCTCATCCGCGCCCGGCATCTGAAAAAATAATTAAAAAACCCAAAAACTATTTATTTTTCCACCACAAACTCAAACCGAACCCCTTTTGAATAATAAAATGAATTTACTTCTTAAATCAAAAGGTCGGTCCTTTTCAGAACAGAAGTCGTGAAACAGGGTTAACAGTAAAACGTGTCCTGAACCTCTGCCCAAAACTATCGATAATCGATCCGCCCCTCTTCCCTACACCACAATCAGCAATATAAATTAAATAAGTCAATTCACTTAATAAATTTATCAAATTCAAAGATTTTATTCATATATTTAATGTTAAAACAATAAATTGTAATTAATAAGAACAAAATTTTTATACATTCTTTCATACTAGATGATCGGCCAAGCTAATCGATTAGTACATCAACATCGATACAACAAAAAATTGCACTTTTTATTACCATTAATAAAAAGTAAGTTGTCATTTAAATAATTCATAAATTCATTTATTTTACACGTTAACATTTCTAATTTTACTCAGTCTAATTAATTAACTCTCATGAAAGAAAACTTTATTGATACATGGCTATTATTTGTCTATTATTGATTCTACTTGATAGCCTGTGTATCCCCTTCCCGGGAAATTATAATTTATTTTTTTAATAAATTTGCAGTCAGGCAGCAAATATTGTTTATAATGTGCCTTTAAGGCCAATGTTATGGTGTTATAGAAATACAGAAACTGACAGAAAAGGTCGAGATAACACCATCAGTCACAACAACCCTCGGTTAAGTGCCACCGTACATGTCCTTCAAGTTTTGATCGGGGCTCTTTAAGTTTTAACTAGCTTAAACGTGTAGTCCCCGCGTCAGCCAACTCACTCATATAATTGTTATTTTTCATAAATGATCATAAGGAATTCTATACGTTCCAAAGTAAAAAATATGTAAAACAGGATGTCTTGACCGTTCATGACAGCTTTGGAGGTTTCCTTGTTTGGGTAAGCCTACTATGTCCCACTCTTAGGCGTGTCAAAATCGTTTTTACCTTACGAGAAAGTAACGAATTCAATTTGGTGCTGAATTTCAAATCAAAACGGATTAGGTGCGCAAAACATTGACCCCATGACATTCAAGATTTAATAGAAAATGCCCTAGTAAGGAAAGTATCTACTATGATACATGAACGCTTTTGTAGTATAATGATCCACACTATCAACAAGACTAAATGAAACGATGAAATTCTCTCACTAGAGACAATTCTCAAACCTCCTGGTAAAAGATAGAAACAATAAACAATCAAAAGAAACATGAAGAGACTTCGAATCCTAACTGAATTGGATCCCTAAGGCAGTTCACGCTGAGATCGTTAACATTGGTGCCACCTAAATGTGGTCAATTATTCTAAGGTATAGATGGCAACAAAACTATGCTGAAGTTGTAAGTTGGTAACATTACTACCCAGCTCAGGTTCGAGCATATGCTGAGGTGTAAGTTGGCAACATTACTACCCACCTCAGGTTGGCAACTATGCTGAGGTTGTAAGTTGGCAATATTGCTACCACCTCAAGTAGGCAACTGTGCTGAGAGTAACTTGGCAACATTACTACAACCTCATGTAGGCAAATGTTATGAAGTGTAAGTTAGCAACATTACTACGGAGCTCAGGTTGGCAACTATGCTGAGGTTGTAAGTTGGTAACATTGCTACCACCTCAAGCAGGCTAATATGTTGAGGTTGTTGGTAACATCGCTAAACTTCACAAGTTCTCACCTCAAATCAACACCTACGACAAACGGGATTTCATTCTTTTTGAGCTGCTGTTATTAGACCTTATCTCGATTTAACTTTACCAATAAATTATTGATTTCTTTATGCTCTTATTCATTTGTTCTCCTCTGTATTTTATTTTCCATTCGATATCCTGTCATAGTCAACTCGAGCCCCTGGATAAACTCTTGTTGTTTCAAATGGTTGCTGATGGCAACTGGCAATTAAGGCGTTATTTAATGTTTTTTTAGTTTGAAGTTCACCTGAATTGTGTTAACGGTGATAATAAAATTCATTGTTTTTATGTGTTTTTGTTGGAAACTTCGAAGTTTGGGCTTTTAGAATCAAAACTGGCGTGGGGCAGGAGAAGGAGAAGGAGGCCGTCAGGTGATTCTCCAGGGTCGATCGATTAATAAAAAAAGGCCTGGCGTGATGGTGATAAATAAATTAACAGGAAAAAAACAGCTGTAAAAGTTTGATCGTTAAAGCTTTTTCCCCTTTTCACCTCCTTCTTCTTCTTCTTCCTCCAAGAGCCTAGGTTTCTTTTATCTCTTGCGCGTACCATCGAAGTTGTTTTTTTTGTAATTAGTTCCGAGTTCTTCCCCATAACGGACTGGGAAATGGCCAGCAATGTTCAGTAAGGTGTACAACGTGTCCGTTTTCTTCGATTTACTATCCGTGAGTATTGTTAGCTGTTACGACCTGGCAGCTATGAGATGAATTTGTAGAAAATTTGTCAATTTTTTTTATGCTACAGGTAAACTGCCCAGGGGTATGGCTTTGTCCCAAAGGTACGGTCTTCATAAAGGTGACCATGTTCGGCGTGTCCGACGTGACGAAGGAGGTCGGGCCGACGTTCCCTCTCGTCTTCAACGAACGTTTCACTTTTCACAAGGTCCGGTTTTTATATTTTGATATATATAATTTTTTTTTTCAATAATAATAATAATAAAACCTCTTCCTTCCAGGCGTTCAAGCAGCTCGCCTCGCTCGGCAATTTACACAGGGAGCTGGAGACTTCCAGGATATCCATGGAACTACTCCAGTTCCCGGCGGCGAAAAACGACCCTATCCGGCTCGCCATCTTCTCCTCGACTCTGGCCGACATCCTCTACACTCCTCTGACGGGATACAAGTCGAAGGAGACCTCTGCAGACTTAGACTTGCTATTCTGTCCTTGTTCCATCTTCCCGGTGAGTACACCACCCACCTTAAGTCTTTACTTCTATATATATATTTTTTTTAAATCAATTTTTAACCCAAAAAAGGGGATAATAGCACCTAAGGCGGAAGTCTCGACCAAACTGGCCATCGTGGAGACGACTGAAAAAGTATCAGCCGATGGTAAACACTCCATGATACCTGCGACCGTCTCATCCAGGGTAAAATTTTTGAAAGGTGAAATTTTTTTTCTTAATTTTTTTTTCTTTTAAAGAGCTGCACGATGAGAAAAAAGACGGACGCGAAGATAATCAGGCAGCACCCGGTCTGCCACACGAAAAACAACGTATACTGCAAGTAAGGCTCGTTTTATCAATTTTTTCCCAATCAATTTTTTTTTTCTTCTTGTAGGTGTTTGAACGGACCTCGTGTGTCTTCATCAATGAAACTCTTCTCAGGAGGAGACTCGAAAAAGTCCGAGAAGAGCAGGCGGCTCATCAAATCCGGCGGATCTTCTCCCATGTCGAAGAAGAGGTGCGACGACTGTTCTTCTTGGTATGAAACAAAAGCAAAAACTCGTTCGCTTACATACGCTCTCTCTCACACACAGAAAAACAAACAAATTTAGGCATTTTTTTCTACAGCTCGTCAATATTCCCATTTGAGAGCAGGTCCTTAGAGAAGTCGCCGTCCCAGAAGGGCAGCGTACGTGAGTACATAGTCGCCCACCACTACGCCACTCGTACCAACAAAGGTATTAGAACCTTTTTTTTTTTAAATTTTTGCTTCATAAATAAAAATATTCAAATGTTTGTAAGTTCCCGTCGTATCCGGGCCGGAGTTGGACAGCATATGCGACTGCCAGCTTTGCAAGAGGTACGAGCTTTATTTCAGGGAGCGGACGGACGACGGGAGGCGCAGCTGTTGCAAATGCGCCTGCAACCAGGTGAGCTTTTTTAAGATTAAAAAAAAAATCAAAACTAGTCTTCACACACATAAAAATGATACACAAGAAAAATTAACAAATTATATAAGGTTATATCCTTTTAGGTAAAGTTATGACTTTCAAATAAGGTTATACTATGTTTATTGGTTATATTGTGCTCTCTCAGTAACAGTAATTGTTGCTGTTCCAATTAGTGAAAAATTCGGATTATGAAGGGTATTCAATCACAAACTCTCACTAGTTCACTAAAACACACACACACACATAATTTTTGGAGTACCGAAGTTCCGGTCAGGGAGAGGGCACTGTACTAGATCCCGATCTGGACCCCTCCCGGCTCAAAAAATGTAAATCGTACCATTATATCCCTGAGTAATGTCGATATATTATTATTTATCTGTACATAATAAATTTACAGGTAATTTGATATTTTGTCATTGCGAAATAATATTCGTTGCGGTTATAACCTTCCAATTAAGGTTATACCGTGTCATTCTATTGCAGTTCCCCTTACTTGAATTTGCAGCTTTTTAAGCTGCCTATGTGTGGATTTATTATTATTTATCAAAATAAATATATAAGTATGTAATTTAATGAAAACTTGTCCTTTTAAAAATAAATTAAAGCGTTTTTATTTTTTTACCCTCTTCTCCTTGATGCAGCCTTCCTCGGAGAGCGCCCTGTCAAATCCCAAGATGGCCAGGAGCAGGAGCGGTGGTAAGTGAAAAAGCTCGTTAAAACAACAAAATATATTTATATTTTTATGATAATTACAGATCACGAGTGTCACAGCCCTGTCAGGTATGTTTTTATATTTGTTTTATAATGCAACTTTCCCGATTTGTTTGGTTATTAAGTAGGTATTATCTGTGCCCATTGTCATTGAGGTTATTATTATTATTTAATTATAAGGTTTATTAGGTTTAGTGGTCCGCTTGACCAAATGAATTCTTTTAAATTAAATTAACGTTTTGGTTGAAATAAGGTCAGTAAGGTTATAACATTTTTTTACCAGTAAGGTTATAACATTTTTTTTACCAGTAAGGTTATAACATTTTAACGATCAATAAAGACCACAAACTTACCAGCAAGGTTATACTGTGCTTATTGTTTACACTAGATTCTTTACTTGACAACCACCCACAAAACGCTACTTGTTGTAACTTTCATTGCTGATCAAGTGTGAATTTGTCATTATTATTTATCTATATCAAATATTATTATTTATCAAATAAGATAATAAATTTATAAATAATGATTATATCAAATAATACAATAAATCCATAGTAATGATTATATCAAATAAGACAATAAATACATAAGTAATGATTATATCAAATAAGACAATAAATACATAAGTATTGATATTTTGACGATGTAAACCAATTAAAAAATGTTATAACCTTACAAGTAACAGTGTTTATTGTTTGTACTAGATTCATTAATTGATTTCCACACACAAAAAAGCTAACAGTTGTAGGTTTCATTACTCTTTGTGTGGATTTTTGATTATTATTATTTATCCATATCAAATAAGACAATAAATGCTTAAGTAATGATATTTTGACAATGTAAAATTAAAAAGGTTTTAACCTTTCAAGTAAGGTTATACTGTTTATTGTTTACACTAGATTCATTAGTTGATTTCCACACCCAAAAAAGCTAACAGTTGTAGCTTCCATCGCTGGCTATGTGTAAATTTTTTATTATTATTTATTTATCTCAAATAAGAAATAAATTCATAAGTATTCATATTTTGACAATGTAAACAAATTTTTAAAAGGTTATAAACTTACAAATAAGGTTATACTGTTTGTAGGTTATACTAGACCAGCTTTTAATAGCTTTTGATAATAATATATATGTAAAAACGTATTTTTATTGTAAATTAATTTTCTTTGTAGCATTGGAAGCATTTCCAGTAGCGATGACGATGTCGTGTTTTACTGTCATTGTCACAGGTAGGATTTTTTTTACCTTCTTTCAGTTTTGGGTGGGGATGTTTCTCATGTTTTCAGACCGTTGGCAGGGATTAAAAAGGCCGAGGGGGTTTTTTTGCACTTTACAGATCATTGGGTAAGGGCCGTACGGCGAGCGGTTACACGATAGATGAGGGCGATTCGGACCCGACATCGAAAGGGGGCCAGGACGAGTGCCGGCGTTTCATGAAGTTCCAGGAGCAAGAGCGTGAGAAGAAGGCGAAGCCGGACAAGAAAAAGCAGCCCAGTCGGCGCGGCCACGTGACCCTCCTCGTCGAGAAGAACAGCAAACTGGGCAAATGGGGAGTCAAGACGCTTCAATGAATACAGCAATTTATTTAAAAAAAAAAGAATCTTTTATTTCATTACTATTTGTTTTAAATTAGACAAAGATAACAAAAAGGACAGTGACAAAAAAAAAAAGAAAAATTTCTTCTTTTTTTCTGCAGATTCCGTCATAAAAAGTCCAGAAAGTGTTGCTCCGTTTTCTGCCTTGACGGTGGTGATCCGAGGCTCGAGCTGGAAGCGGCCCTCGACAGCTTCAACAGCAGGCTAGTGCAAAACAGGAAACTTATTAACCGTTATTATTAAAATGAAATTATATTCTTCTAAAAAATCCAGACAATTTTTTCCGCCCCCTATTTCTTTCCCACTTTTGAAAATTGGATCAAGATAATTTATTATTTGCAAAAATTTAGTTTATATTCGACAAGATCTGTAGCAATTTTGTTGGAAATAATTTGATCCCTTATGCAGCTAAATAGTTCCTCTTTAATGATGTTTGCTGATCAATTCTTTGCTCCACATGTCAAGTATGGCGATTTTGATACAAGAAACAAGTTTGTTTTTTTTAAATGAAAAAAGTACTCGGCCTTCCAGACTCAACCCAAACTACATTATATAAGATAACTATATGACAGTTTTGAAGATCATCAGATGTAACAGTTTGATAGATTGTCAGGTCTCACGGTTTAATAAAAACCTCAGATCCGACAGTTTGCAAGATCATCAGATCTGACAGTTTGATAATTGTCAGGTCCGATGCTTTAATAATATCGTCAAATTCGACAGTTTGTATCAAATGCAACAGTGTCATAGTTAGGTCTGAAGGTTTAATATAATCATGAGATCTGGCATTTGGAAGACCGTCAGATCTGACACAGTTTGGAAGATCATCGTAAGAGGTTCTCAACATAATTTGCACCTCATTTGTTAATTAATTAATACATATATTGTATGTCGCCCATTTTAACCAGCATGGATTGAAATGATTAATGATAATAATATTAATAATAATAATGAAAGAAAATAATTTTAAAAAATTTATTTAAATAATAATAATAATAATCATAACTATGAGGGTTATTTCTTTATTTACAATCATGGTTTTATGTTGCAATTGATCCGTAAAAAAAAAAGAAAATGAGAAAAGAAACATCTCAATTTGTCAAAAAATCCCTTATTTTTTCGGATCGGGCGAATGCGATTCGTCGGCCTTTTGCTAAGACCTTTCCTCGGCCCGTGCCTTCATCCTTGTGATAAACGCTTTCCCCTTGCTCTTCCTGAAATTCTCGTATGGGTCGTTGAGGTTGACTCCGACTCCTTTGTACTGGTCGGAGCGGTCGCGCACATCCCCACCGGATATTGGCTGTTCAATCCCTTGCTCCTTAACGCCGAGTCCGGCGCCTGACCAGCCCATCTTCTTAAGCATTTGGTGGCCCTTGTTCGCCTCAGACAGCCTATCTTCAAGTACCGGTGCCTGATAAGAACCAATACCGCTAAAAAAGAAAAAAAAAGATGAATATCCTGTTGTTTTTTGTTTTAAATAAAATTTCTATTACAGGAAAGAAGGTGGCGTCGGGCTCCTGTTGTCACGCACCGGTGTGTTTTCATCGTTACGCTCATTCCTCTGGTGTGGTGAACGTGAACGCTCTCTCCTTGACCTCCTTGGCTTGGTGCGTTCCCTCTCCTTCGAACGACTCCGACTACGGCTTTATAAGTTTATAATTACGGTTACGGACAAATTTTAAATTGTATAAGTGTAATTGTGTGTAAGTGTAAAGTAATACCAATTAGAAACCCCTCGCTGCAAAACGTAGGCAGCACCCTTAATTCAGGTACTGCCTCAAGACCTTCATTGACAACTTATATCTCTTTACAGCATATTACTATTAAATAGTAATATAAATCATAAAAAGTAAGTAAAACATGTATTATATAGCTTTTATATAATTTAAGAAAATAAAATTATCAAAGGTGCTTTTGCCGGAAGTTGAAGTAATGTTAACTAATTCTTGCGACATAGTTGGTTAATAGTAAATTTTTTGTAAAAATGTGGTAAATTTACTATAGACAATATGTTTGGAAGTTGTTTCAAATACAATGATTTGTTTCACTGTCATATTAGTGAGTTTGAAAGATTGTCAGACCTAAAAGATGGAAATATTATCCGATCCGATGGTTTAAGATTATCAGATCTGATGGTGAAAGAACATCAGATGCAACGGTTTGGAAAATGGTCAGATCTGACAATTTAATAGATCGCTACAAGTATCCAGCATATTACCATCAATATCGTTTAACATACCTGCTGTAGCGTTTTTTGGGCGGCGGTGTCCTTGCATTCTCCTGGAAGCTTTTCACCGGGCTCGGCGACCTCGAAGGCTGCCTATGGCCGCTTTCTATATCCTAAAATTTTTTTAAATTTATTATTATTAAATGCAATTTGACATTTTTTTAATTTTTTTATTTTACCAGTTCTTTTTGCTTCTTGGCCGCAGCTTTTGCCCTGAAGTACTCATAAAGGCCTAACTTCTCCCAGCCGTCACTGTAAAGTTTTGGGAAAAAAAAGAAAGTTTGCGATTATAATTTCCATTTCCTGCTTATGACAGGTGTGAATGAGGAAGGATTGAAAAGAAAAAAAAAATGGCCGAGAATTTTTCGAAAGCGAACTTACCAATCAACATTTTCGCCCCTACAGATTGTCCTTGACTGGTTTGAGCTGTCGTCCAAACAGAGAAAATATTTTACAAAAGTTTTAAAAGAGGAGAACAAAAATTATTGGCTTGGGGAGGGAAAAGAGAGAGAGAGAGAGAGAGAGAGAGAGAGAGAGAGAGAGAGAGAGAGAGAGAAAAAAGGCCGATTCTCGGACTTGAAAAAGGTTGAGGGGTGCAAAGGTGAAAGGATTTGATTACTCACCCATCACGTGGTTGTTCGTGCCCTGGCGGTGAGTAGAATGCCTTGACGGCAGCGAGAAGCCTGTCGCTTGGTGGTACTGGGGGTGGGAGCCGTATCGCATCTGGGTCGAGCGGTTTATAATTGAAATCCTCAAGCTTCAAACAATAAAAAAAAGTTAATTTATTTAAATAAACTTAAAATTTAAAATTTACCTTTATCAATGGGACCATTAGGCCAGCGGGGAGGTCGTAATACGGCAGCGACGGGAGCAGGTCTTCAGGCTGGATCTCTGGCTGGACTGGTGGGAAACCAGGAGGTGGCCGTGTCAGATCCGGCAGTTCAATATCACCTGCAGACGGTTCTGATTAAACGGGCGGAATACAATTTACGAAATTTATGACACAACTTACGAGGAGGGAAGTGGAAACCGGGTGGAGGCTGGTTTATGTTGATGACTATGTCGAACGGTGGCGGCTGGCTTGATGGCGGCTGTGGAGGCTGAGGATTCATTAGTTCCCTTTCACTCTCCTGGGCTGGCAATGGGGGAAGGACGTTGGCGGCAGTCGTGTTGAATTCGTCCACTTTGAAGTCCTGCGAGTTGATTGCTGCGGCGACTGCCTCCTGCTGCTTCTGCGCTTCCAGCTGCTGCTTTTGCTGCTCTAAAGTCTTAAAAAACAATTAAAATAAATACAATATTATTTGAACTGGTGGTTGTAATATCATAAGATTTAGCTGTTAACAGTTTGCAAGATCATCAGATCTGACAGTTTGAAACATCATCACATCCGACTGTGCAAAACATCTTCAGATCTGATGGTTAGAAACATCATCAGATCTGACAGTGGAGAACATCATCAGATCCGACGGTGCAAAACATCAGATCCTATGGATGGTTGACAAGGGGTCGAAATACATTCTAATACAATATTTTTTCCATATTACGATTGATTATAAAGCCGTTGGATACTCCAGAAATTCGTTAACATGGAAAACATGAATAGGACGCCAGACAAACAATAAATAAAATAAAATTTTACAATTGTGAACAATTATAGTACTTGTATCTGACGGTGGGCATGCGAGATGAAGGCAAGGTGCTGCGACTGGAAAGTGGTGAGTGCGACTTTCGTCTGCGACGCAATCGCCTCGACGATTTCAGCATTGTCCGTCAGCCGTTGCTGTTTGTACTTCGCCCAGCTGTTTGTCGGGTCTTTCAACTGCGACACTATCTCCTCGTTGAAATAATGATTCTTTGACTCCCAAATCGTCAAAAGCTGATTAAAACGAAAAAGTAATAATAATAAAATAATTAAAATGTTTTAATAATAATTTAAAAAACCTTGCTGAGTTTCATCTGCTGTTCGTCAGTGACTGATAAGGAAGCGTTGCAGAACATGGGTATGACGACTTGTTCAAGGGCGAGCTTGAAATCTTCAATATGCTTCCTAACGCTGGCAAATAAATGCAAAAATCAAACTTTTTTTTTTTGTTAATTGTGACTTTTATTACCAATGGTGGAGTATGTCATTGACTAGGTAGATGAGATGTAGTTTATGGCTGAACTTTCGATCTGGCTCGAGCACCCTGAAAAGAAATAAAATAACAGGAATGAGTTTTATCTTCTTACATTTTCCTTTGAGATAATTTTTATTTTAGTTCATGCACTGTTAGGCTTTGGACTTTTGTTTTGTCGAAAGTACAGTAAATGCTTTTTTGGGCAAATGCACAAAATCTTAGACTTTTTTTTCCTTTTTTCACTGGTCGAAGGAGTCAATGAAGAACGGTTTTAAAGATTGACATCCTATGATTTGCTAAATTGCTAAATTCTTAAATCCAGCAGTTTAGAAAGATTATAAATCCTGATGGATGGAAATATCGTCAGATCTGACGGCTTGAATGGTTGTTAGTTCTGATAGCTTGTTTTTTAAGTTTATTTGTTTTAAGTGCAAAGATTGGATAATTTGTTTATTAAAAAAAAAAAAAATTAGGATGACCCATGTGACTAGATTGTATTGTTATCCCTCTATTGTTTTCTAAAACTTGTTGCTGACAATCCTCATAAATGTCACCTAGCCAGCTCTTGCACAATAAAAGTATAACAAGAATTATTAACAAGTTGAGGATAATAATCTCACTTGTAAAGCAAGTAACGCGTCAAAAGGTCATTGATGCTTTTTGAAGTCGCCCTCTGGAGGATCCACGCTTTGCCCGTCGAAATTGAGTCTTTGGTGCAGGAGTCGATTATAGGTTGGAGTATCGCATCAAAGTCTTTCAGGTTGACACCGAGCTCGTCGGCCTCCCTGTTGACGATGTCCACCTCCCTTTTACGTATTGCCTCTTCAACCTGTGCCTCCTGCTGCTGCATCAAAACCTTGGGGTAGAAAAAAAAAAGATAAGTATGATTTTTTTTTTTTTAATTCCAACATCAGTATGATACCATGTGCTGGGCATTGAGGTTCTGCTCGGATTGCGTTGTCTGTTCGTGTAATGCCTGCTGTTGCTGCGTGATAGCCTCGACCGTCAATGGCGGCATGAAACTACCCATGGCCGGGCCGACATTCTGCTGCTGCTGCTGCTGCTGGACTAACCACTGCGCCACAAAATTCACCTGGCCTACGTATTTAGAAAAAAAAAAGAAAAAAAGAGTGGATTTGAAAAATCATCAGACCTGACAGTTTGAATGATTGTCAGATCCGACAGTTTAAAAGAACATCAGATCCGATGGTTTCAAAGATCATCAGATCCGACGTTTTCAAAAGTGATCAGATCTGATGGTTTCAAAATTTATCAGATCCAACGGTTTCAAAGATCATCAGATCTGACGATTTCAAAAATCATCAGATCCAACAGTATGAATGTCAAATCCAACATTTGGATAGATTGTAAGATCTGATGGGTCGATTCAACAGTTTGAATGTTGCTCTCATCATCAGATCCGATGGTGAAAATCCTTGACCTGGCCTAATGTATATGTTAAAAAAGGTGAATATTTTAACAGTATTCCAAGAACTGTTGTCAAACCTTGAGGGCTATTCAGCGAGAGGTTCTGTGGTGGCTGCTGCTGCTGCTGTTGATGAATCCCTTCAAAAAAGAACCAAGCAAAATTAAGAAAAAAATTCAATCAAAATTAAAATTAATCATGGGTAATAAACTAACTAGCTTGTTCTGTAGTGACTTTATACTGGTAATAGTTGAAATACTCTCCGCCGAAGAGAAAGCCAAACTTTGGATTACCCTTCTGCTTGTTTTTTGTCATCTGCTCAAACTCTGGGCCATTCCTCGCGACAAACTGAGCCAGCTTGTCGATTATGTTCCTCAATTCTATGTCTGAAAAAGCAAAACCAAATAAATTAGGGCATATTAGGAGGTGGTATTCTATGCTCCACCATCGTCCTCTCGCACCGCACGTTCATCATAAATACATTCTTCATGGACACATACTAAGTGTCGACCTAGCCTATTCTTTCTGCATTTCAGAATATTTCTCCATTTTCCAGCAAGAATCTGACGAGAGGGTTCACGTGGGACCTGGGGGCTGCACTCCAGTCGGCTCGAATCACGTGGAGTGCGCTTTGGACTCTCTGAAGGCGAAAACCAGTGTACCTCAATTCCACAAACTTAGCTATGTAGGGGATGACAGACAGGCCCTAAGGTAAAATCGGCCAGTGTCATCCTGGCATTCTGTAATAGTATTTCAATGGGTACACTGTATGATTGAAAGCGAGATCTCGCAATAAAGGCCTCCTTCCCCAAGACTGGTAACAGTAATGAAACTTTCTATGAACCTACGCAAGGCAGATCTGTATGAAACAATGAAGGCTTGTCGCAGTAAGTCAAAACTTATATTGTTTTATTTTATTTTCTATCTGGCCTGTTTAAGTTGATAAAATATATAAATATGAAATCTTATGGTGGTGGTAAAAGAATACCAGTATATCGTAACCTAGATAAATCCTACCATGTTCCACTGTTCCCTGTTCGTAGGGCAAATCCATAGGCAATTTATAGAATTTAAAAATTTAATAAATACAGTTTTGTCTTTTGTTTCAGAATGAGCAATAATTTTCTATTTTTCTTGTGATAACTTTTTTTAGGAGGAGGGTGAAAAAAAAGAAAAAACCTGAAAAATCCTGTTTGTTTACTCACCCTGAGGAGCCTTGGGCAGGTCCATCTTCGGTGCCCGTCCGGTACGTTGATCACTGATGAAAACCGACCCCCGAAAGGGTGAAATCGTGCAAATCGGGGAGGAAAAACGTCTGCAAAGGGGGGAAAATAACAGGACCGGCCTTTACCACTTTACAGCAGTACAAACATCAATAACCTCATGGCCGGCTTCCGAGTTTACGACGAGACCGCTTCATGGACAGTGTTGACTTGTAAATTTAAAAAAAAATTTACTAATACTTAAAAAAAAAAAAAAAAAAAAACATCACAAATACCGTATTGACACAATGTTAAATACTCGATAGTTCACGAATCACTTTTTAAACTTTTTCAAAAATTTTCATCCGTAAATCAATCAAATCTCATTCGAAAACGTAACGATTCAATAAAAAATCCCATTTTTATATATTATTATTTAATCTAACGTTTTACTTGATTTTTTAATTAAAAATTATATAATTTTTGTTTTTTAATTAATTTAAATACTATTTTTTGTATAGGTATAGTCGTTGGTAGCACTGATTATCCCAGTCGAACAATCGTTTTCCAGAGCCATCTCCAAAGTGGAATCAAATATTAATTTTATTATTTCAACAATTTATACGTATAAATTAATCATAAAAGATGATAAAAACGCCGTAGGAGAAGGATAAACTGATTTAAATGCTATTCGGTAAATAAATTGAACAATTTTCACTTTTTAAATTTTTTAAAAAATTTTCATCCGTAAGTCAATCAAATCTCATACCAAAACGTAACGATTCAATAAACAAAATCCCATTTCTGTAAATTATTATTTAATCTAACGTTTTATTTCATATTTTAATTAAAAATTAAATCATTTTTGTTTTTAAATTAGTTTAAATACTTTTTATAATTATAAACACGTTGACAGCACCGATTATTCCAGACGAACTACGGGAAGTTTAAACAATTTATACGTATAAATTAAGCATAAAGTATGATAAAAAAAAAAAACGCCATAGGAGAAGGATAAACTGATTAAAATGCGATTAGGTAAGTAACTTTTACAATTTTCACCTTTTTTTTGAACTTCTGGTTAAGGCAGAACTGAGCATCTTCGGCCGCACTATTCCGGTGAATTTTCCAAATAATCAAGAAAATCCTTAAATTTTTCCAGAGATTGCAAACTTGAAAATGAAGAATTCTAAAAAGAAAATGTTTGCATTCCATAAAATTTAATTAGGAAAAATGAATCAAGTAGGATTTTTGTCCATTATGGTGAACTCGTTTCCGGATAAAATCAACGCTCTATGTGTCTTTGGTTCGGTATGACAAAAAAAAAGTTCAAATTTTTCATAGCTACAATATTATTGATTTATAAATCAGTGTTTTTGTCGATAGATAATTAATCGTTCTTTAATAAATCTGTACGGGAAATATCTATTTTATTAAAATTTGTCATTCTTGGAATAGCGCCCCCTCCGTTGAAATTATCGTAGGTTTTCAAATCGGTATATATGTGTATATATATNTTTTTTTTTTTTTTAAATATAATGTACATACACAATGAGACCATAATTTATAAATCAATAATAGTTTTTCATAATTTATAAAATAGTTAAATTGAATTGTTTATTTTGATTAGGTTTTGCAGTTGAAGGGCCATCTTGTCCCAAACTCCCAATTCGGTCGGAACCTCCCCTTTTCCGACTGGTCCACGTTGTGGGTCCGTCGATACCGTTACATGCGACCTGTCAGATCTTTCTCATTCTCGTCACTACTTCGCTGCGTCTGGGGTTCGAAAAAAAAGCACAGGGACGTGCCTATAAAGAAGACAGCAATGGGCGACTCGGCCAACGAACAGGTGTTGGCGCCTCTCCGCGCCTCAGTCAAAGAACAGGTAAGACCCGACAAAAACGAACGATAAATCGATCCAGATTGATCCTAACAAATCAAAATTTTATGTCAGGTAATCTTCTTCTCTTGTTTAGTTATATTCAGATTACATAGTAACATTGCTCATCTGACAGTTCCATCTTACACCGTTCTCTGTCATTCAGCTCTTTATTTTACGAAACCATAGTTTACGCCATAAAATGTATCGTTCCTAGGATCCATTTTTTTTCTCTCCCTAGGACATCTGCCTTTTTTCCCCATTACCCTTGCCGTGCGTTTATTTCATCATTGGTCAAATAGTGATTAATGGTGATCATGATGATTATGTTGATTAGAAAGAGGGAGTTTTGTGCTCCCTTCTGGCTAATAATTTCCTGGTTCTTTTAGTTCAGCTCAATCGAGTCGTTCTCTCGAGAAGTATTAAGGTCGTTCGCTGTTCTTCCTGAAATCAAAAAAAATTTTCCTGGGACTTCTTTGTACGCCAGGTGGCTGTTTCAACTCCAACAATGTTCCAAGCTGAGGTTCATCCGATACAATTCTGTATAGGAGTTAATAAAAAAAATATATGAAAGGTGCACAGATACATACTTGCATCCTGGTCACACTAAATGCGTATGCTTTCCCAGGCCTTTCAATCTTTGAAACCATCAAATCTGACAATTTTTTTTAGGTCATCAAGTCTGACGATCTTCCAAACTGTCACATCTGATGATAATTCCATCCATCAGGTCTGACAACCTCCTAAACAATCGGATGTGACACGATAGTACTAAACCGTTGGATCTGACAATCCATCAAGCCATTGGATCTGACATTATTTCCATCCATCAGGCCTGACAATTTTTTTTCAAACAGTGAAGTCTGATGAACTTCCAAGCCGTCAATTATGAAGATATATCCACTCATCGGATCTGACAATATTTCTGTCCATCAGGCCTGACAATTTTTTTTTAAACAGTCAAGTCTGATGATCTTCCAAACCGGCAGTTTTGATGATATTTCCATTCATCAGATCTGACAACATTTCCATCCATCAGGTCTGACAATCATCTTAATTGTCAAATCTGATGATCTTCCAAACTGTCTCATCTGACGATCTTCGAGGTTTGGTTAGGGATGGTTGGGTTGAATAGTGTTGCGGATTGGAGGGTTTTATGGAATTTTTCATTTATCTTCCCCCCCCCCGTGTAAGGATCTAGTATAACCTTTAAACACAATATAATCTTACTTGAAAGACTATAACCTTCCCAAATTGTTGGCAGTTGTAGAACCTTGCATATTTTAAAGATTTTTTTTTCCACTAAGGGTGATTTAGTTCGTAAGTTGAAGAGCGAAGGCGCCTCCGAAATTGACGTGAAGAAGGCCGTAGCCGAGTTGAAACTTCGGAAGAAGGCGCTCGATGACCGTGAGCTCACCCTTTCGCCGCAGGTCTCATTCGACAGGGCCAAGATGGAGGATGTCTTGAAACGCCGTTTCTTCTTTGACCAGTCGTTCGCCATATATGGCGGGATCACGGGCCAGTTCGACTACGGCCCGATGGGCTGCGCGCTCAAGACCAACCTGCTCAACCATTGGAGGAGCTTCTTCGTTATTGAGGAGAACATGAGTGAAGTTGAGTGCTCCATACTGACACCTGAGCCTGTCCTCAAGTAAGTTGAGAAGAAAAAAAATTATAAAATATAAATATTTTTTGTATTGTAGGGCATCAGGGCATGTGGAACGATTTGCAGATTTGATGGTCAAGGACGTCAAAACGGGCGAGTGTTTCCGGCTCGATCACATCATCAAGGCGAGCCTCGAGAAGTTAGCAGGGTCGAAAGGAACAGCGCAGGACGTCAAGGAAAAAATCGCCGATATTCTCGTCAAGGTAAAAAAGTCATTCGTAAGATTTTTTTGTTTTAGTGATGACTTAAGCCGTTTTAGCTTGACGGGATGACAAAAGAGGAAATGTCAGACGTACTCACCGATTTCAAGATCAAATCACCGCTCACCGGGAATGATCTGACAGAGCCGATTGACTTCAACCTGATGTTCTCAACACAAATAGGCCCCACGGGGCTCGTCAAGGGGTAAGACACAGCAGTCGTAATCACATAATCCACTGTATTCAGATAATTATCAATTTTTATTATAGTTTCCTGAGGCCGGAGACGGCTCAGGGTATATTTGTCAATTTTAAACGCTTGCTTGAGTTCAACCAAGGCCGGCTGCCGTTCGCTGCGGCACAAATCGGAAATGCTTTCCGTAATGAGATCTCGCCCAGGTCTGGCCTGCTGAGGGTACGGTGAGTCTGCTCATCTTCCTTTTTTTTCCCTTCAATTAATTAATTTTAATCAATCAGGGAGTTCACACTGGCTGAGATCGAACACTTCTGCGACCCGAGCGACAAGTCGCACCCGAATTTCGATGCCGTGGCCGAATCTGAGCTTATGCTCTATTCGGCGTGCGACCAGATGGACGGCAAACCAGCGAAAAATGTCAAAATCGGAGATGCTGTAAAAACGGTGATTGATGTCGTATATATGCATTTTTTTTTTTTTTTTTGACGTTTATAAATAAACCAGGGGCTGGTGAACAACGAGACTCTTGGCTACTACATGGCGAGGATCCACGCATACCTGCTCAATGTAGGCATAGACAAAGAACGACTGCGTTTCCGCCAGCATATGAACCAAGAGATGGCTCATTACGCTTGTGACTGCTGGGATGCAGAAGCACTCACATCCTATGTACTGGATCTTAACGATCTCAATGATTATTTATAAGTAATCACTGGACAGTTTTTTTTTGTTTTCTTAGGGATGGGTCGAGTGTGTAGGCTGTGCTGATCGTTCGGCGTATGACCTGACTCAGCACACTAAAGCTACGGGGGTCAGGCTGTCTGCAGAGAAGAAACTCCCCGAGCCGAAAACTGTGACCGTGACTGGTCAGTAATTATTTCAATTTTTTATTTGTTCAGTTTTGTTTTAAATTTAATTATATTAATTAATTTTTTTATAGAAGCACAAGTGAATAAAGGCATTGTGGGTAAGGTGTTTAAAAAGGATGCTAAGGCGGTGTCGGAAGCACTGGTCAACGCATCCTCCGACGTACTGAACACGATGGAAGATGCACTATCGACTACTGGGTAGCATATAGTTTTTCTAAAAAGCATATATATACCCATAACGATGCTCACTTTCCCTCCAGGTCCTATGACTTGACGGTGGATGGTGAGGTGCGCCGGATTACGAGAGACATGGCGTCGCTCAAGGTGTACGAGAAGACAATGCATGTCGAAGAGTTCACGCCGAGCGTCGTGGAACCTGCTTTTGGCATCGGACGTATACTCTACGCCTTGCTTGAGCACACATTCGCCGTGAGGGAGTCAGACGAGCAGAGAACGGTATCTTTTTTTCTTTCTTTTTTAAGTACAAGAAATCTAGCAAAGATTTTTCCCTTGCAGTATTTCAAAATTCCGGCGAGTGTCGCGCCGCTCAAGTGTGCCGTTTTTCCACTCAGCTCTAACGCCGAATTTCAGCCGTTCATCCGGCAGCTCGGTAAAAACAAAAATATACAAATATAAGGCAATAAATTATTTTGTTTTAAATTATTTTTTTTAATCCCGAAGCATCTGCATTAAAAGTGAAGAACGTCAGCCACAAGGTGGATGACTCGGGTGGCTCCATTGGACGTCGTTACGCCAGGACGGACGAGATCGCAGTCCCCTATGGTGTGACCATTGATTTCGACACAGTGAAAGACTCAACGGTAACCCTGCGTGAGCGTGACTCTATGTCCCAAGTCAGAATTCCCGTAAGTTTCTTTAGTTTTTTTTTTTTTTTTTTAAATTTGATTTTTAATTTTCTTTGTTTTTCATGTACAACCAGTTGAACGAAGTCCCTGCTGTCGTCCAAGGTCTTTCGTTAGGTGAAACCAGCTGGCCCGAAGTCCAGGGCAAGTACCCAAAGTTCGAACAGCAAGAGTCAACAAAAGAAAAATAACTGAATTTTTTAAAAATTCCTATAGTTCATTTTTTGGGAACGCCAAGTAATAATTATTTATTTGAGAAAAAACTGCTTTTGTAAAATTAGTTTATAAGAAGATGATTTATAAATAAAATGATCACAATTGGTTTTGTTTTCTTCTACCTTAGATTAGTTCCTATCTTTTCATAATCTCCTCATAAGATGCATTGTACACATGATGGACAGTCATCAAGTTTTGTGTCTTTTGTGGCATGATGGTTTGATGTGTTTGTGGCAACACTGATGTTTTATGGCATCATGGTTTGATGTGTTTGTGGCAACACTGTTTGATGTGTTTTGTGGCAACATTGATGTGATTTCTGGCAACACTGTTTGTGATGTGTTTTGTGGCAACATGGTTATGTGTTCTGTGGCAATGCTGTCTGATGTGTTTAATGTCCGCACTGTTTGATGTGTTTTGTAGCAACACTGCTGTGTTTCGTGGTGTCATTGTTCGAGATGTGAGAAATGTTGGTTGGTAGGTATATATGTTGGATGGACTCGTAAGAGATATATGTAGGAGGACGATGTAGTGGCCAGTAGGAGTGGGGTGTATGTTTTGGGACTTGTTACAGAAAAGAAATAATACACTGTACAAACAATTGACTGAAATATACATAGCCGATTTGTTGCTTTTTTGTTTGTTTTATTATTAAAATATTTACAAGTACTATGTACACTTTTTTATTTCCAATTCCTTTGTGTTTTAAGTGTCGTCGACTCCGTTGACAACGCAGCAGGAGGAGGAGGAGGAGGAGAAGGAGGAGGAACGGCGTCGGGCATCGGCTCTGCCGGGCGTTCAGCGTTATTCCCCTTTCGCTGGAGCCTTCTTCGGGTAGGCGCGGATGTAGAAGTTGTAGAACAAGAGGAGGAAGGAGGCCGTGTTGCCGACGGCGAAAGTGATGAACGCAGACGGGACCTGGCACGGAGCGATCATCACTGACACCAAATAGCTGATTATTATGAGGAACTGGACCTATTCACAACAACACCAAATGAAACAAATAACGCAGCATGATGGACAAATATTTCCACTGTCCCCTCTTACAATTTGTAGCCTCGTGATGTACCTCTTCCACCAGAGGTACTTCTGGATTTTGGGCCCCAGGGCTGAGAGGAGGTAATAGGCGTACATGACGACGTGGACCAGCGTGTTGCAGAAACCGATCATCATCGTCTGACTGCCTGGAAAAAAAGGATTTTCGACGTCGTAAAAACTGTAAAATCATGCCAAAAAAAAAGGATTCGTGTCGTGGATGACCTTTGACGTATTTGATGAACGCCCAAGTCGAAACGGCCATGTTCGTGTGGTGGTAGACGTGGAGAAACGTCACCTGGTTCTGCTTCCGCCTCAACACGAAGAAAATCTTGGCAAAATATAAGAAAAACGATAAAAAACACAAATAGATCGTTTTTTTGGCAACACTGTTCGTTATATGAAATGTGTTATGAGGCAACACTGTTCGATACGTGAAATGTGTTGCTTGGCAAGAATGTTCGGTACGTGAAATGTGTATTGTAACAACACAATTCGACACGTGAATGGAATTATGTGGCAACTCAGTTCAATATGTGAAATGTGTTGCCTGGCAAGAATGTTCAGTACGTGAAATGTGTATTGTGGCAGCACTGTTCGACACGTGAATGGAATTATGTGGCAACTCAGTTCGATACGTGAAATGTGTTATGAGGCAACACCGTTCGATACGTCAAATGTGTTGCCTAGCAAGAATGTTCAGTACGTGAAATGTGTATTGTGGCAAGAATGTTCAGTACGTGAAATGTGTATTGTGGCAACACTGTTCGACACGTGAATGGAATTATGTGGCAACACTGTTCGATACGTGAAATGTGTTATGAGGCAACACTGTTCGATACGTCAAAAGTGTTGCCTGGCCAGAATGTTCAGTACGTGAAATGTGTATTGTGGCAGCACTGTTCAACACGTGAACGGAATTATGTGGCAACACTGTTCGATACGAGAAATGTGTTTTGAGGCAACTCAGTTCGATACGTGAAATGTGTTGCCTGGCAAGAATGTTCAGTACGTGAAATGTATAAGGTGGCAGCACCGTTCGATACATAAATGTTGCCTGTTGTTCGTTAAGTCAAATGTGTTGCTTGGCAAGAATGTTCGGTACGTGAAATGTGTAATGTGGCAACACTGTTCGACACGTGAATGGAAATGTGGCAACTCAGTTTGATACGTGAAATGTATAAGGTGGGAACACTTTCGATACATAAATGTTGCCTGTTGTTCGTGTGGTGGTGTGTGGCAACACTTCGATATGCTGTGTGGCATCATTGATAGAAATGTTTGATATGTTGAGTAGAAATAATGACTGTTATGGTGAATGTGTTTTATGGCAACAGAAAGGTAGCTATCATCTTACCGTATCAAGTAGTTCGACAAACTTTGACATAAGATACCACCAGCCCATGACATCGAACTGAAAAATAAAAAATACATAAATATACGTTTCATTTTTATGTCATCTGATGTTTTGAACACTGTTGTGGTAAGAGGCCAAATGCATTAAGGATTTTTTTTTGTGCCAGTTTAAATCTCAAAATTCCAATCTGGAGGACGAGTGATTTCCCTAAACGCCCAATTTTGGAAGATAAAATTCCCGTTTATCTGTTCACCCTTGGCAGGATCGTCGCTTAGAAGCTTTTACTTAAGATAAAACTTTTTTTTTGTGGATGGAAAAAATAAATAAATAAAATCCCACCTGGTTTGCAATCGCCGAAGGAAGGAGGCTAGGCCTGCAAGCAGCATTGATGACTTCGCTCGCTTTCAAAACGCTAAAAATGCCAGCAACCTGAAAACAAATTTTTTTTAGATGTTCAAAATTTTTATCAAACATTGTCATCACTAAAATTTCCGTCTCTCTCACTCTCTCTCTCTCTCTCTCTCTCTCTCTCTACCTATCTATCTATTGTTCACCCTCACACTCTCACCCCCTCCCTCTCACTCACATATTCTCATCTATTGCTCACCCTCTCACTCTCACTAATTCTCACTTCCCCTCACTCACTCTCCCCTTCTCTCAATTTATCTACCGTTCACCATCTACTAACTCTCCTTCTCCCTCTCTAACTCACTCACTCAGGCATTACTCTCACTCAGTCACTCACTGACTCTCCCACACTCAGGCACTCCCTCTCTCACTCACTTACTGATTCTCACTCACTCACCTTTTCTCTCCCTCACTCAGGCACTCACTCTCTCTCTCTCTCCCTCTCGCTCTCTCTCACTCACTTACTGACTCTCACTTACTCACCTTCTGACTCTCTTCCTCTCTCAGGCACTCTCTCTCTCTCTCTCTCTCTCTCTCTCTCTCTCTCTCTCTCTCTCTCTCTCTTAGTCACACTCGTTCTCTCTCATTTTCCCAACTGCCTCAACACTCCTCACCTTGTAGACCCACCAGGACGAGAAGGCCACCTGCGCCGCGTTGTAGAGTACGATGAGAGGCTGTAGGCTGAGCGGCTGCTTCTTCGACATCATCGCCGGCCCCAGCCAAAGGACGAAGTAGAGGTAGACCGAGGTCAGGGTCAACACCGGGAACGGCGACTCCATCATGAACCAATTGTCCACCTCACCTGAAACGATAACCGAAAAAAAATCGCAAATATTTGGAATTTTGTTTCGTTTGAGACTACGAACCTGTGCTCATTGTCGAGTTGTTGGTCAAGTCGGGCAACCTTTCGAATTCCATCCTGGAACAGAAACGTCGCGTCTAAATTCAGACTTGGCGAAAGGGGCAAGGGAGAGAGAGAGAGGGAGAAAAATGAAAAATTGGCAGTTTTTGGGTTTTGGTCAAAATTTTTTAATTTTTATTTATTACTTATTTTTGTATTCAGGTTGTGAGAGAAAAGGAAAGAAAAAAAGGGGCTACTCTACTTCATCGTCTGAAGGCGGAGGATGTCCGCTCGTTTCCACTGCCACCCAGAGCCATCGTCGTCTCGGAGAAAAACAAAGTCCTTTTTTTTAAATTTCCTCCTTTCTTTTTTCCTCTTCCGACGCGGTATTTTCAAACTCGCGCGCGCACACACACCAAAATATATTATTTAAAAAATTGGAAAAACTAACTAACTATCTAACTACTTTTTTGCCCAAACTACATTTGCCCACCTTGATAGTCCGGTGTTTTTTTGTGTGTTTTTGTTTTTCCCAACGTCTGTGATGGTCAGCCAGCTGTTTTTTTTAAATTCAGTTAAATTTCCTCCCAAAAAGTAAAACTAAATCGTTTCAAAGGTTTTGTTGCCTTAAAATATTTATTACACTTTGATTGATCGTTCTTTTGGCACTGTGTTCCTTCTTTTCCTTGTTAATTTCTTTGCCGCACGGTTCACTGTGGACCGCTGAACTAACCGTCTCAAGTTAAACATTTTTCGTCTTTATTTATGGCCCCTTTTATCACGATGGGTTTTTATTTTTTATTTTTCAATACTAAATTGGCTTTTGTTGATGAATTCGGCCGTTTCGACAAACGCATGATGTTTACTGAACGAACGAACGAGTCATCAGGGCACGGATGAGAGAGCTAGTGAACGGGTGAACGGAACGAGCCGGCTGTTAAGTGCATGGATCAGAGGACAATTGAAATGTTTAGCATGTGGATCAATGAGTGGTTTATTGAACGAACGAGTGAGCCATTGGAAGAATGGATCCGTGAACGAATGAGTTAGCGATTGGATCAGTGGAAGGACGAGTCCACCAATCAGTGTGAAAATGAGTGAACGAACGATTTAGTCGTTTATTATCGGTAAAGAAGCATTTCGGTGAGTTACTGAGCGAATCACTGAACGAACGATTCAATGTCATTGAATAATTTAACTTTTTTTTTGGAACCAGGGATTGGAGGAGTTCCCTCCTGAGCACTGCAGCTGAGCTGTACAGCTTATTGTACTTTATCCTCTCGCTCCATATTTTTTGGGGGAGGGCTCACAACACAAATATGAACCGGTGTTCTTCCATCGAAGAAACTCATTTTTGAAGGGGGGTTGGGACCAAATTCAGGTTCGCTGAGATCCGATCCCGCCCCTTCCATTGATGAGTGCCGTGCCAATTTCTTTTAATTGCGGCCACCGGTCCCCTTAGGCGTCAGAAAAAGTCCAGAGGCGACGGTGGGGATCGAACCCACGACCGCGGGATCTACTAGCCGAGAGTCTGACGCCTTAACTACTCGGCTACCTCCAGTAGTAGTTTACAAAAGTGGAAACTGGCCAAGACGCACAGACGGGATCGGTGTAGGAGGGAAGAAAAGGAGTCTGGGTAAAAAAAAAGAAAGAAGTTGGAACTGCCGGAAGAGGAAAAATATAAAAGGGGGCCGTGGAAATTACATCGGTTTTTCAGCGTACCGTTGCCTAGGACGAGTTCACGTCCAACGTCGAATTTGTAGGTCGATGGAAGAGAGTGGTTTACCGTTCTATCACGACTTGGAGTATTTTTCCTTCAGTTTTATTTTTATTTATTTATTTTTCCATCCCCGGGTATTTTACGCAAATATTTTTCGATCCAGAACCACATGAAGAGTGAACTTTGAATGAGTTAGTGAGGCTATCACTATCATCACAGAGATCATTGGACCATTGGCGCAGATCTGTAGAGGATTAGTCAGTTAGAGGGCGTAACTCTGAACGAACGATTCAGTTATTAAGAGGTTCCGTAAAGGCAAGATTAGTCGGTAAATGATCAAAAAACAAGCATTTAGGCTAGTTAGGACTACTGAACGAACAATTCATTAAGGGGTTCAATCATTGAACCATTCAGTTAGGGAAAGGTTGAAACAACGAATGATTCAGTCTGGCAATGATCAGTAAAGAAGCGTTTCGTTGAGTCATTGAGCGTATCACTGAACGATTAGTAAGTGATTGAATGAGTGAGCCAACGATTCAGTTAGTGACCGGATGTATCTACAAAGATTAACTCCGTTAATGAGTAATAAACAATAATTTCGGTGAGTGAGCGTTCACTGAATGATTCTTTAAGTGATTGGATCAGTGGACTAACGATTCACGTAGTAAGCTGTGTAACTTCCGGCAGTTCCAACTTCTTTCTTTTTTTTTACCCAGCCTCCTTTTCTTCCCTCCTACACCGATCCCGCCTGTGCGTCTTGGCCAGTTTCTACTTTTGTAAACTACTACTGGAGATAGCCGAGTGGTTAAGGCGTCAGACTCTCGGCTAGTAGATCCCGCGGTCGTGGGTTCGATCCCCACCGTCGCCTCTGGACTTTTTCTGAAGAGAATGAAAGATTCACTCTGTCAGTATCATCAGTGAATGAGCGTTTAGGCATTTACTGAGCGTATCACTAAAAGATTCAATAAGCCAATCATTGAACCATCGATTTGGTCTACGGAAGATTCGGCCGGTCAGTTAACTAGACCAAATAACGAACGACTGAATGGGTGCGTGTTCTACTGAACGAACGATTTGACCATATAATGGGCGGATTAGTAAACAACTACTCCGGTGAGCCAGTGAACGTACTACTGAACGAACGATTTGATCATATAATGAGCTGATTAGTATATAAGTATTCCGGTGAGCCAGTGAGCCTACTACTGAACGAACGATTTGACCATATAATGAGCTGATTAGTAAACAAGTTTTCTGGTGAGCTTGTGAGCGTAATACTGCACGAACGATTTGACCATATAATGAGCTGATTAGTAAAAAAGTATTCCGGTGAGCCAGTGAGCGTACTGCTGAACGTTTCCGTAAGTGATATTAACATTAAACTAACGATTCAGTTATTGAACGGTTCCCAAAACGAACAAATGATTCGCTCTGTCAGTTAATGGACCAACTAATGAACGATTTGGACATTTAATGAGCGGATCAGGTGGCGTGTTCCAACGAGGATCAATAGAGTACCATTCAGTTAGTGAATGAATCTGTGAACGTATCATGCGTCGGCTCAGCGTTTTAATCACTATTACCCCGTTGTCAGCAGTGCTTGAACATCCTTTATCCAATTTGTTAGTCGAATCGTGCCTATCATCTAGACTTCTAGACCATAAAACCGGGGATGAGAGCTTGACTGCCGGCAGGACTTTCTAACTGTACTTCGTTCTGTTTTAGGGAGGCGGACTTTCACAAATCCATACCGTCCGTACTTATATGAAGGCTTATCGAGCCACGACCAAAAAAAGTAACAATGGGACAAATTGAACTATTTAACGATTTAATTAAATCCGCGATGAATTAAAGCGCGGATGGACAAAACGAGGGAGATCGGCGCGGATGGTGTCTCGGAGATGACCTCTGCCCCACTGACCTTCGTCACGATGACCCCCTTGGGCGTCCGTATACGTTCGAACTTTCCCCGTGGGCCCGCACCTCCTCGCTTCGTCAGGCTTCAATTATTCGTGTATCGTTCGTTTCTTCGATGCCTAGTTGCCACTTTTGTTGCCTTATCTTTCATATTTCGATCAGACTTCGATAAATAGGCATTATTTTTTTATTTTCCCCTCCTTTTCCACAACAAATTCCCGATTTAATCATCCTGTCGTCCTTCAATTTGAATTAATTAGTAATGCTTTAATAGTAATTAATGAAAATTTTAATTTTATTTCTCGTTAGAGGACATCAGGAAAACTGGTGAAAAATGTGGCATATCAATTACACGGCGTAAACAAATAATTTCACCTGAAATTTCCCAAGTCTTGTTTAAATTATTATTATTATTATTTATTTATTTATTTTTTTTTAAGACAANGCCCGATTATGGCTTGTTTTTCTAATTCTTGACCTAACGATTTGAAATTTTTAATGGAGGAATAAAAAAAAATATTCGCCCGTCGAAAATTAAAATCTGGTACTGAGTCCCCGTGCACAGATGAGCCATTTTCACGGAGTGATCGTCGGACGAACGGTTCGTCAGACGCCGAGTGAGAGAGAAAGGACGATTCAGTTCAGTTAACGATCGGTAAACGAAGGAATTACTGAAAGAAGTCAGTGTGTGAATTATGGAGGGATGGATTCGATGAGTGAGAGGGAGAATCCGGCAAACGAATGGATCGTTTATCTTGTGAGTAAATCCGTAAACCAATGGGTGACTTAGCGAATGGATCGGAGAAACGAGTACGTCAGTGTGAATCAGTGAGCGAACGATTCTTGAAGTGATTGAATCACTGGACCAACGATTCACTTTAGTGAACATTTAAGAAAACGAAAGGTTCAGGCGGTCAATGATCAGTAAACAAGTGTTTCGGTGAGTTACTGGGCGTATCGTTGAACGATTCATTAAGTGAATCATTGAACCGACGATCCAGTTAGAAAAGGGCTCAGTAAACGATCGATTCCGACTGTTAATAATCAATAAAAAAAATTTGGTGAGTTTATGATCGTACCACCGAACGAACGATTCAGTAAGTGATTGAATCATTGAACCGACGATCCAGTTAGAAAGGGGCTCAGTAAACGAACGATTCCGACTGTCAATAATCAGTAAACAAACATTTCGGTGAGTTAATGAACATACCACCGAACGAACGATTCAGTTAAGGAGCTGTTCAGAAAATGAAAGAATCAATCTGTCAATAATCAGTAAACAAACATTTCGGTGAGTTAATGAACATATCACCGAACGAACGATTCAGTAAGTGATTGAATCATTGATCCAACGATTCAATTCATCAATGAGCGAATTGTGAAAAATCTTGACGATTTTGTCAGTTCAGTTTCCGTAAGTATATACAACTTACTCTGTTAATGTCGGACGATTAAGTTAGTTGTCAATGATAAGTGAACGAACTATTCAGCTAGTGAGTTTTTCAGCGGAATCGATCAGTTCGGCTCGTCGACGTAAACCAGCAATACTGAGCGTTTGAATGAACGGACGATTCAGTTAGTGAGCGGATCAATGAATGACTGAACTATTCAGTCTATCCACAATCGACAAAGTGCCAAATAGCAAGCCATCGAAAGTAAATAAATATACAAAAAAAGAAAAGCAAGGATATTGTTAAAATCGGCTCAAGGGCGGGTTACAGGAAAAAGGGGTATGCCGAAGGGAAAAAAAATCAGAAAAAAATTACAAAAAAAATCTGGCAAAAGTCAAATCTGTGAAAAAATCGGGTCATGATCGGCAGACCGGTTTTTCATCGTTTTCATCTCTGTAATTACCGTCTCCTTATGAGCACGGAAGGACAAAAAAAATGATTAAAAAAACACCTATCTCTCCTTTATGTGGACTAGTGTGTCAGTGGGATTTTTTTTCTCACCTACATATAACATAATTAAAACAAACATCCAAAAAATTCTATCTAACTGACCTTCGTAATAAAAAAAAAACACCGTGTTTATAAACCTCGATTTTAAAAAAAGTTATCCTGGAAATATTTCTGAAAAAGCGAGACCCTGCGGGCCAAATATTGGACAGCGTATTCTTATACGAAAATGTCGAAAAATCGAATGAAAAAGAGATAATACGTCCAGTCCAATTTTTTTGCCTTTTAATATTGTGATGGCAGCATAACATAGCGAGACGTTACGGACCGACAGTTGGGTTGACGTGAGTCATCTCTGGGATAGGGGAAAAGAAGCGAGACTACACGGAGAGAAAAAAAAATACGGTTAACATAATTGTGACATTCTGTGTGTTTAACTAAAGGAAAACAGTGACACAGCGGTACAAAAAAAAAAAATAAAAATAAAAAAAATAAATAAATAAAAAAACGACCTACTCACTTTGTTGTGTGTCGTATGTCCAATGCCTTGCCGGCGAGTGTGTCTTCGTTCCGAGGGAGCTGAGGACCCGCCGGCTCACGAGGAGCGGGGGCCTCCCTCCAGTTCGAAAAAGAAAACTAGGTCCCGGGGGATGAGGGTCAAGGACGGTGAGGGCGGCAAGTAAAAAATAAATTTTAAAAAATATTTGTTTTCGCGTCAAATTTCCCCTCGGACGATTGTAAATCTGTGCCAATCCTGGATTTGAGAGAACAAGTCCGTTTCCCGACCGTTCTATCCGGTCTCAAATCTTACATAAAAACGTCCAAAACAATTATAAATTCAAATTAAAGATAAATATGAGCAATAAAGATTGGAGAGTACGGTCATTCGGCGATTAGAAGTGTATCTCGTGTGAATGGATCAGTGAACGAACGAACGTCAGAAAATATTCGGTAAGAATTGACGTAAGTTAGCGACCGGTGAACGAACGTTTCAGGGAGTGGCTTGAGAAGATCAGGGAACGAATAATTTGATTAATGAGAGGATCTTTGGTCGAACGAATCGGCCGTTTTACTGAGTTGATCAGGGAACGCACGATTCAGTGAACGAGCAAGTTAGTGAGATCATTGAACGAACGAATGAGTCGAACATGAGTTAATGATTGAAAATGAGTTAATCTGTGAATGAGCGGGCCTTTTGATATGGGAGTTACGGCACGTCCGGTAACAAAATGAGTGAGCCAGGAAGTAGATAAGGACGATCCGGTTATTGAGTGGATCAGTGAACGACCGATTCGGTCAGTTAACGAATCATTGAACGAACGAATAAGCCATTAGGAGAGTGGAACTGTGAATGAAGAAAATTAGTGAGGTTTTTGAACGAATCGTTCGTTTTACAGAGTTGATCAGGGAGCGCACGATTCAGTGAACGAGCAAGTTAGTGAGATCATTGAACGGACGAATGAGTTGAACATAGAAATCATAGTCCATAACATGGACCGGCGAACGAGGAATCGGTCAGTTGACGAGTTATCATTGAAAGAAAAGACCGTTTCTCTAGTGAGTGGATCCATGATTTTGTGAATAGATCAGTGAACGACCCGTTTATTTAGTGATTGGATCAGTGAATAAACTTATTCAGTTAGGGAATGAATCATTGAACGAACTTATGGCCGAATGCAGATCGTTCAAGGAATGAGTGAATTAGTTAATGGATCATAAAATGATTGGACTGGTGAACGAGGAATCGGTCAGTTGGCGAGTGTAACACTGAACTAATGACTGAATCGTAGGGAGAGTGGATAAGCGAACAAATAAACCGTTTATCTAGTGGGTGCGTGACTTTGTGAACGAATCCGTGAACGAACTAACGTTTATTTAGTGATTGGATAGTGAACGAACGATTCGGTAAGAAATCGAGAATCAGTGAACGTACGATTCGGTTGAAAGACCGAGAATGAGTGAACTTACTAGTCGGCTAGTGAGTGGATCATGGAAACGAACGATTAAGTGAACGGCTCAGTGATCGAATGATTTGGTACATAGTTGAGTGAATCAGTGAACAAACGAGAGTCAGGCAGTAGATAAGTGAATGAACGATGTGTTGAGTTAGATAGGATTTGAGAAACAAACGATTCGGTCAGTCGGTGTATGGTACGATTAAGATTCAGTTAGTGAAAGAATCATTGAACGAACGAATGTCAGAAAGTGGATCAATCAACGAATGAGTGAGTTAATTAATATATTTGGATTGGTGAAAGAGGTATGGGTGAGTGGTTAATTGAACGAACGAGTCAGTGGATTAATAAACAAATGAACCGTTCACCAAGTGAACGAACGATTAGTCTGTTAGTGAATGGAACAACGAACGAACAATCCGTTCCGTTGGAGAGAATATGTAAACAAACTGAGATGGGGGCGTCGGTGGCCGCAACGGTTTAGGCGTTGACACGGCGCTCATCACTGTAAGGTAAAGGTTCCGGGTTCGAATCCAGCAGCCCTGCATTCGAACCCGACATCCTTACAAATGGGCTTTTTTTTAAAAACATCAGCACCCCAAGGGTTCATATAACCTCGTAGTTGAAAGACCCTCGTAAAAAAATATAATTTAAAAAAAAAAAAAAACTGTCGGTACGAAAGTAACCGAATCAGTGAACGAATGAGTATCAGCGAGTGGATCTGAGAAGGAATGAGTAATCTATTGTATGTTTAGATTATATACATTCTATATAGACTTTAGATTATTTGACTGCGGCAAGCTAAAAAAAAGGCTGACTCGGCTTACTAATAAAATATTTTGGTTTTTTCCGTTTGAGGGTTTCTTTGGGGGAAGGGGCTTCAGGTGATGCGAAACTATGTGAATTGTCAGAATAGTCATTTCCTTAATTTTCCGAATGTGCGTGCTTCCGCTCTGTGTAATTCTATTGTCTATACAAACGGCTTCAAATCTCTATTTTTTTGTGTGTTTACAGCATTCTTTCTCACTCTTTTTGTTTTGTTCAAGTTTAACGTCTGTCCATCAGCCCCGCATATAAAAGAAGGACGAAGGATGTGTGAAATGCATTACCGAGATTAGCTTGTTAAACTCTATTATATGTATTGTTATCCATATACACTGATAAAACATTGTACAGCCTTCTTTCTAAACTTACAAAACTGTACAAACTTCTTTCTAAACTGACCACACTTTGTACAAACTTCTTTCTAAACTGACAAAACATTGTAAAAACTTCTTTCTAAACTAGCAAAACTGTACAAACTTCTTTCTAAACTGACAAAACTTTGTACAAACTTTTTTATACTATATAGTATAACCTTATTTTGACATGCGTAACCTTTACATAATCGGTATAACCTTCTTTCTAAACTGACAAAAGTTTGTACAATCTTTTTTTTTAAACTGGCAAAACTTTGTAGAACCTTCTTCCTAAACTAAAAAAAAAAACCTTGTATAACTTTTCAAACTGGAAACCTATAACCTCTCCTCTTCTTTTGGCATATATAACCTTTACATAACCTGTAAAACCTTCTTTCTAAACTGACAAACACCTGTATAACCTTTTTAAACTGAAAAACCTTGTATAATCTTTTTTTCTGAACTGACGAAACATTGCATAAAAAGACAAAACCTTGAATAGCCTTTCAAAATATAGACCATAGTATAACCTCTCTTTCTTCTTTTTACGAATATAACTTTTACATAGTTTAAGTGCATTTTAGGGTAATAAAAGCGCGTAGAACCTTCCTTCTAACCTGACCAAACAGTATAACCACTCTCTTATTTTTCATGTATACAACTTTTGCATAACCTTCATGTTAGATTGATGAAACCAAAGAAGCCTTCTTAGGTAGATAGATCTTACTAAGCTGACAAATCCTAATACAACTTTCATTTTGTAAGGGAAACTATAGTATAACCTACAAGGCTGAAACGGTTCATCACGGAAACCATAGCATAACCTCCTTTTAAAACAAAAACCGGATTTAAAAAATGCTTACATTTTATACTTATACGACATAAAATTTACTACCGATTGTTGAAAATAGAAAACTTTCTGTAAAAAAGTATGTTTTAAATATCGCTGGGTATGGTAGAGGTGGATGATGTGTTTGAACATATTTGAAGGATTAGCTTAGGCAATATTTGTATATAAGTTTATGTAAGTTATATAAATTTATGATAGTTTCATACCTGATCTTCTCTTTGGGCTCGTCCATCACCGACGGCGAATACTGGTAAAGAGAGAGAGAGGGAGAAAAGTGGCGAATGCACTGCGGCAATCTCCATACAACGTCAGACGTTCCTCCCCTTGGCGACGACCACAACGCTTTCTCACCTTCCCCACCCCACGGTGGTTGTTTTTTAATTTTTTTTTATTTCTCTCTCTCTCTCTCACTGCCTCTCTCTCTGTATATTTCACCGTCCGCCCCTCGCGTCGTCGTTATAGATCGTACGGGTCTCAAGGTTTCCGCCCCCCGCGAAACGGAACCCAGTCACGCACCGGTCCGTTTTGACCTAATTTAGAAACTGTTCGATCTGCTTCGCCCCCCGCCCCCCAACCAGTGTGTTTCGAACGAAATACATAGAAACACAACATGAGAGAGAAAGACAGAGGGAAAACGCCAAGACCGACTTCACTCTCTACGCAAGCCCTGTTTAGATTGATCCGACTTATCCAGGACTTGTGAGAAAAAACCGTAAGTCACTGCAACCGGCTGAGAGCGAAACTGAGTGGACCCACGCCCTCAACAACCCGGCAGAATATTTTCAAAATAAAGATTCCATACTGTCATGTTGAACTATAAGCCTAAAGGCATTTTAATAATGAACAAAACTTTAAAAAACGTGCAATTTTGGTCAAAACGCTAAGATAAAAACCTCACAGATTAAATACAATGAAGTGTGTAGTTCTAAACGAACCGTTTAGCTAAAGAGCATGAGCGAATCAATGAATGGATCAGTGAACAACGGCTTGGTACGAAAGTGAGAGTCATGGAGAGTATCGGTGAACAAATGAGCGAATGGATCAATGGAACGATGACTAACTGGAGAGCGCATCCGGGAGAAAATTGAATCGTAAAAGAATGAACCAAACAAATAAAGAGCGGTTTGGTGAAAGAACGATCCTTTAACTTAACGAATAAACTGGTAAGCAAACGATTCGGTAAGAAAGTAAGTGAGATTCAGAGAGGATCAGAGAACGAATGAGTCAGACAGTGTACAGATCATCATCGTGTGAACGAGCTTCTCAAGCAGTGAACACGGATAGCCAAACGAATCAAAAATGAATAAGTGAACGAAGGAGTGGGGTCATTCAATGACCGATTCAGTTGGTTATCGAATGATCAATTCGTGTAGCCTACCTTTTAAACAGAAAACCTTTGTATAACCTTCACCCTTGACGTATAATCCTTCTATAACCTTAATTTTATAATAGAAACATCTGAATGAAATATAATTTAATAAAATTCAAATAAAATCCCGTCCAACTTTTTATATTTATTGTTTTTAGGCTTAAACCTGTAAGCTTATATTTTAGTTAATTATCCTTTTTATGTAAGGTCTTGGTTGAGATGAAAAAGTTAGTGTCACCGACGGGACTCGAACCCACGACCTTCGGCTGAGATGGTTGATGAGCTCAAGTAGTTAGAGCAGCGGCATATACCCCGGAATTCGTGGGTTCGAGTCCCGCTCGTGACACTAATTTTTCATCTCAACCAAGACCTTACATAAAAAGAATAAATAATTGAAATAAGTAATTTGGTCAATTAGATCGCTAAACATAAACGGACTCATATTTAGGGTTGAGCATCCCCTGTATAACCTTTGTATTGCATGTTAATCCATTTACATTTAATTGACCAAGTTACTTCTTTCAATTAATTATTCTTTTATCTCAACCAAGAACTTGCATAGAAAGAATAATTAATTGAAAGAACTCTGTATCGAACTTGATAACCCTTGCAAAACCTTTATTTTATGCCCTTCGGCAAGTTGCATTATACAAACCTTCATTTTATACATTCATACAGCCCATAGCATGACTCGTTTTTTATACTACAGTTTATGGATATATAATTAAAAAGAAGAAGAAAGGGAAAAAAACAAGTTAATTTTTCATGTTGGCCGCCATCTTGTGAAATTCAGTAAACTGTCTCAAATAACATTAAAATTTAATTAAAACATTGTTAATTTTCTTTTTCCTATTTACATATAAACAGAAAAAGAACTTTCCAAAAAAAAAGTTCTATAGCTATAGACGGTAATTAACTAATTGGCCGTGTCTTATGGCAGGGTGATTCATGCAGCATGGCGGCGTCGAAATAAAATATGACTAAAAATTAATTAGGCAACTAAACGATTTTCCGCCTGTTTTTTGCTCTTGTAACTCATGAATTACTGATCTCGTTTATTTGGTTTACTTTTAAAATAAGTATGTTGTAATTTTACGATAAAAATACATAATTTGAAATAAATAATAAAATACGAGTGTCCGGTTTTTTTGTCCTTGAGTATACTTAATTTTTTTTAGTATATTAAAAACATTTTTACGTACCTTTTCCATAAATAACGGCCGTTTTTTTGTCGATTCGGCGCACGAAAATATTAAAAAAACGGACCGTGTGCATTTCACAACGGATTGCAAACTGATTGTTTTTTAAACAGCGACCAGTGCTGCCAACTTAAAATTATCCGCATAAATATTAAAATTATTCCCCCCGCGAAAATATATATAAAAAAGATTAAACTAACTTTATTAACTGAACTTAATTAATACATGCGTTAGTGTACTTATATTTTCACGTCTTTCACACCGGATATTTTTTCATTCCGTGTTGTTCCACTGTTTGCATCATCGATCGTAGCCGTCTTGATATCACTTGCACCACCCCTAGTGAAACTGGAGAACTCACCCCCACCATTAAAGGGGTTGCAATTAAGGCAGTATCCCTTGAAAAATCCTCAACCGTCTGACAGATTTTGTTGGGTGACTAATAACGACAAGGGGAGGGGAAAAAGAAAGAAAGAAAATAAAAAAAAACACTTGTTTTAGCCTCCACACATGCCCAATATAATTTTCGTATGAGGGATTAAATTAAAGTACTTTCTTTTATTTTATTCGCTGATTTTTTCATACCACTAGATACTCTTGTAACAATACTTGTTTATTTCTATCCTAATCTTAGGTATACTCTTTTTTCACCTGCATGGGTTAACGGTGTCCGTTCACGATCGCTCGGAGCCGTATAGTTAGTTCCATTTGGAGTGCCTGAAATTTGAGGGGCTTCCCGACTGCTCGCTCCACAGCCAGACGCTCCCCGATCGTCGACTAGTGAATAATACTTCCTCAAAATGTATGACGATCTCTTGTGCTACGCTGCTATTTGTTTATATATAAAAAGCAATAAACCGATGAGGAAATGGTGTAAGAATTGGCTCCTGAACAGAACCCCTAATACCCACATCGATTTGATTAGTCTTTCTTTTGAACCCGCTGATTGGAGGACCTATTGAAGGATGGATAAAACGTCTTATTTATATTTACTCCAGCTTGTTACTCCCTTGATTAGAAAACAAAAGACAGACATGAGGGAAATCATCACTCCACATGAAAGGTTGGCAGCCACATTACGATTTCTACAGGGATGAACTACGAAGAACTTAAGTTCTCTACTACGATTTCTGCTCAGCGCTTAGGCGTTATCAATACCGCATCTCTCGTTGCATTTGTATCCCATGTTTTGAAAAGTCTGGTCGAGGACCGAATTTCTTTTATTTCTATCGTAGTAATCATTGTCCACCACTTTCCATAAACATGATAAAACTTTTAAACAATTCAATCACCTCAACAATAAATTCTTGATTGGATGTCATTGCCAATAACGAATAAACGTTTTTGACTTTTTGAGGATGTACGACGGAGAAGTTTGCTCAGTGACAGAAAGACGGAGACTGGGCCAAAAAACGCGGGTTTTCCCATTCACGACCAAAGCCAGCGCTCCAATATTCCACCGTTCACGCCAGGTTTCCCATTCACAAACGCGCCATGCCGTCGTCGCGCTGGAGATGTTTGGAGTGGCGCGATGAAGTTTGGACCGGTCGAATATTCGGCGCAGCCCGGCACGCCAGTCCAGTTTTGCCATTGACGTGTTTTTGGAATGGCGTCGCTCCGTTTGTACTGTTGGGAGCGATCGTGAATGACCACCTTTACTGTTTCCATCTAAGCAGGGTGTATTGCTGATCATGCATATCAAGCGTTTGTCCCAGTCCACTTTATTTATTTTTTTAAGGGGCATCCGACAGCTCAGTCATTTCAGCCCCGAGCGCATGCGAAATATTACAACACACATTCACACCCATATACATTTCATTAGTTCTATTTGGTAGATGGGGTACACAATAGTGCTTCATCGACCTGCATACAATAAACAACTGATCTAATTGGGGTCGACGGGGTACTTTTATAAATATTCCACCATCGACCATACAGCTTGGGGTCCACCATCAGCCCCTACCCATTCACTCTAATAAATCCACTCACTCATACAATTTATTTGTATTCCGTAATTTTATGTTTTGAAGGGACGTTATTAAAGTCAATTAAGATCGGTTACACCACATAAGATCATCCCCTACTTCCATTCAAAGTTGAAAGTTATACTGGGGCTACAGCGAGTTGTCAATAGCTGATCTGACTTTGTGTTGTTAGGTCTTGTTTTAATTTAAAAATCAGAGTTGGTCAATTATAAAACTGAAAAGCCAAGTAAGTATGCTATAGACTTGTCACGTAAAAGGGTCAATTGATATTTCCCATATTTAAAATGCTTAATGAAAAATTAAGTTTACAAAAAAATTAATTAATTAAAATAATAATAACAATCAAGAGTTTTACACAGTGCCTGGGGCCTTTTCTTGGAAATACATCTTAGAATACCAAACAAATTTCCCCCTTAATGACTTGTAGTCTTGTCTATCTAATGTTTTCTTTTTAATTACCGGCAATTTTCATTAATCATAGTGCATCGATAGAATAAACTATATCTTAAAACTTTTTTTTCTTTATGACTTCCTTTAAAGGCAGTACTCGACCCCGATATATCGGCCATGTGGAATTGCAGTCAAAACGTAGACCATTTTGATGCTACCACTAGAAGATCCAAACCTTGACCAAGGCCAACCTATCTGTTGGCTCTGATGCACTTCCCATACACTCTAAAGCAAATAATCGAATCGAATCAGTTGATTGTCTTTCGTTCAGCTTGATTTGCTTAGCATGTATGCATCTTAATGTTACAAACTGGCGGCCCAAGGAGGGGAGGGAGAAAAAACACAGTGGGGCTGGATCAAGAATTGATTCTGGCCCTTGAAGGACCTAAATAAATAATAATAATTTAAAAAAAGGCATCATAGCCACCCGATTGGGGAATACATGCGATAGTGACACATGGCCACTTACTTCTTGATCAAAGAATGCTTGATGCGTCCCGCATATTTGAAGGGTGGCTCCACGAAGTGTGCAGGAATTCAACTTAAAAGAGCATTCATAGAGATTTAATGAATTTATTAGCATGAATGTAAAGTGTGAGAGGGTAAACAGTGGAATATCGAGTACTCCAATCTTTCTATTTGATTGATATATAAATAAGAAAAAAAATGTTTTTAGGTGAAAATTGCATGCATTTGGTGGGCCTAACTTGGGTGGTGGTACGGATAAAACGACAGACCACCCAAGGGAGGTAATAGGTTCAATTCTGCATATGTGCAACCATATATAAATCTACAATTTTATCTGTTCAAAATTTGAATATTCAGGGGAAATAAAACAGCATTAGGAAACTCAGAAATAAACATACAATTTTAACTAATTAGTTTTAAAAAACTGTTTTTTTATTTGTTTTAAAAGGGAAATAATAAACAAAGACATACTACGAGGTAACCTTCTTAGTAGGACGGGGGCCTTCCCTGAAACCATTCCTGCGAACAATAACTGATGTGAGAAAAACACCGAACGCCAATAATAAGGGTCGGTAAAATAAAACTTTGCTCACCTGAAGCGCCTCCTAACCACCTTCAAGTACCTCATCCTACCGGTTCCGGTCGTCTTCCTCCTCTGAGCCTTGACGCTCCAGTTATCTGTCAGGTGCAAAATGAAACGATTGTAAATATAACAGTTTACAAGGTGAATTTTATTAAAATGTGCTTAACAAGTATATTCAGATTTAGGACGGATTAACATGGTTCAGTGCCAAATTAATGAAACAAACGATAAACATAAAATTTGTGCACCCTTAGGGGTTAGTTAAATTTTGCCATAATTAGATAAATGACTAATATTCAAGTGTATTTACCCCAGGAGAGTGTATAAAACAGGAAAAAAATAGAAAAAACTATAAAACTTCACAACTGAATAGAAAACCTAGAGAATAACCTTAAAGGTTAGGTAGGTTTAGGTATCTAAACAGGTACAGGTTTAGCGGATGAACATTACAAAATGTTCTGATTTTGAAGTTTAAACCCCTAGGGTCACTTAATTGTACATTTAAACAGATAATAAAGAGGTTGATATCCCATCCAAATGATACAAGTTTTGGAAATTGAAGAAGAAGAAAAATAAGAGATTACTATTCATCTAGATAACCAATATTAGCTAGTGTTTATATACCAAAAATTATTATGAGGTTTTTTAAAACTTTAATATGATGTATGAGATCAAGCAATTAGGTTAAATATGGCTGGCGGTGGATTGCCACAAGGGATGGATATTGAGTACTCAATGTTTATAAAACATCGATGGCCAACCATCCGATTTTTGTATAACATCTATATTTTAACTCAAACCATCGATGACCCGATCAAACATTATCATTACGACTTTAAAAAAATTCTGTGGTTTTATCATATTAAATATAATTGCACTTTATGACCACTTCTAATTTATATCGCTCAGAAAAACAAGACAAATGTATCCAAATCTTCATCGATAGTCAATGCCACCATTAAAATTAATAGAAGAAAGCCCACGGAAGAAATACTGTCTAGCGAGTATGAAAAAGGGAGGTTTTTCATTTTAATGTTTCGTTGTTGCTCCTCCTTTCGATGGTTAATACTAGTGTGTTAATTCATAATTTTCATTGTTTATCTTTTGTTTTAAGTTTATTATTTATTTTTCAATTCCTATAGTCTCATAGGAAATAAAAAGTATTCTCTGGCTTTTAGGATAATAATAAATACAATTAATGGGGTGGGGGGAGATAGCCAAACCAAACATTGATGTTTTTGGGTTCGATATCCATCCCTATTCGCCAGACTATATTCACAAATGTTAAGGAACTAAAATCGTACAGAGGTAAATTGTCTGTTTTAAATCATTTACACACTCATGGTTTTGGCCGTGACACCCATTGATTAGATGGGACATAAAGCCGTCCTCTTGTATGACAGGAATTACCTCCAGACATGCTGTATGCTGCACAAATGTTTTTTTTTTACTAAATTTGGCTTTTGTTTACATATAGACTAAATATTATACATATAAGTGGATTATTATTATTTTAATTTAGAAGACATGTGAAATCAAGTGGCCGGGTTAAATAGCCGACGGCTTATCACATGACACCGATAAGTGACAACCAAGCAAAAGAAAATTTTGCAAGAGATTCAAATGGAAGTTTACTGTAATTTATAAATTACTGTTGTTGTAATAACTGACACATCTTTTCAATATATTCCTGCTTGTCAAGAGATCAATAAACGCAATTTGGAGCATTGATACATTCATGATTTAGAGTTTATTGTAAAATTAATGTAGGCCCTGATTATGACCTTAAAATAGGTGGTTGAAAACTTGGCAGTAAGAAATGAATTTGCTTTTTTCTTCAAGACTATACTTTGATCTAGACTGTTCCTGAATTGTTTTAGTTTTTAATTTTGTATTTTAAATAACTAATTAGCACTGACAACTCCAGGAGGAAAGCACATTTGGGTCAAAAATGATCTTAGTTAAGCTTATTACATGGATATTTATACTTTTTGAAATTATTGGTTATTGGATTTCCAAGACTGTTATGTCGGGCCAACCATTCTTAACAAACAGAAACAATGCTATGTCGTTCACTCATTTATACATCTATACTACTTAGGAAAAGTTTATTACTGAAAAATATATAGCAGTAAAGAAGTATGGGGGCCGCAGTAGCCAAGTGGTTAGGGCGATAGATTCTCGGCTAGTCCGATCGAGTTCCACCGTTGTCTCCAGACTTTTGATGCGTAAGGGTGGCCGCAACTGAAAAAATTCCCACGGCACTCATCAATAGAAGGTCTGGGGCAGGATTGGATCCCAGCGACCCTGAATTTGGTTTAAACCCCCTTCAAAAATTAGTTTCTTCGATTGAAGAACACCGGGGCTCAAAATCCCACACCTGTTATGTGCCACCAAAAATGGAGCCAGGAAGGAAGTACAATAAGCTCTAAACTAAAGCTGCAGTGCTCAGGGGGAACTCCTCAAGTTCCCCTGGTATCATCAATTGGGAGAAAATAAACAAAAAAGAAGAGATAGATAGATAGAGAGAGAGAACCTTTCGATCAGTTTCCATGCATCGAAAACCTCCAACCAATTTTTGGATCAAACTGTGGAGGAACTCAAAGACTTAAGTTGGGCCAACCGAAATAAAGCTACATTTTTCTTTCATTAATACATCTATACTAGTTAGGAATCGTTTATTATTAAAAAATAAATAGAAGTAACTAAGTAATGTACTTAATAGTTACTTAATAAGTAATTCACTAATTTCGTGGTCCGCTTGACCAATTAATATATTACAATTAATTAAGGTTTTTAGTTGAAATGAAAAAAAGTTAATGGCACGAGCGGGATTCGATTAATAAGTAATGTTTGGCTACTTTTGAGTTCGGCTACTTTGTCAAGGCAATATAGAGGAGTGTGGGGAAATTAGGTCTAATCACCGCCTCCTCGAGAGGGTAAAATGGTAGAGTCCAGGCAATCAAGGGCCTTGGTGTTCAGGTGTCGACCTGAACCCGAGAATAGAGAAAGGACTGTTCTAATTTGGCCAATTATTGCAAGAGTAATTCAGGTATTTCTTTCAAAGGCACATTTTCATTTTATTTTAATTATATTGATTTATTAAATCCCAAATTTCATTTTATTTTTTCTTTACCCTGATTTTATTTTTATTAATTAGAAACCATAGTGTTCAGTTAAACTTTCTGTTTATTTACCCTCTTTATTATTTCTATACAAATATAACGTTAGCTTCCACTACAGGTGTACCTCGAAACGATGATGATACCAACTTCATGAATATTTGTGCACTTTGAAGTGGATGAGAAAACCGACAATTATCTGAGCGAGGAGAGCACTGAATATTGTTGGTCAGCGAATAACCGAGCACCTGGCCCCAGTAGTTGGGATTTGGCAAATCTTCACTTGGCATTTGGTGAATCCCACACGTCTGGAGCCACCATGGAAGTTTGTGATGAGAGAGAGAGAGAGAGAGAGAGAGAGAGAGAGAGAGAGAGAGAGAAAGTAAGTAGGAGAGAAGCGAGAACCTGATGCAGGATGTCTAGAGATTAGGCTGTTCTTTTCTGACGATTGTTTTACGCATTACGGACCATTTGGGTTTTACTATCAAGAAAGCCATTAAATGACGGTTCCTTAACGTGGTAAAAGCAATAAAACTATTGTCTCTACCATGTACATCGCTGTCGACCACTAACTTCTCTTTGATCAAGACTTTCAGTGGCGAGATACTACCCTGGACGGTAGTAGAGCATGGCAAATCTAGGACCTGGGCTGTTCAGACTGCAACTGTTTTTTTTCTTTATTTTTAATCTAAAGAATATAAAACGTTTAATAACACAACGAAGGTAAACAATAGTTATTAAGCCTCGAACACGAACGTCAAAGTGAATGACGAATGTACTGACAAGTTTACAACGCAAATGTGTAATGAGATAATGTATTTAAATCAGGGATAAAATTGACGAGACAATTTGGATCAGTAAATAATTATTATACCAATTTAAAAAAATAAAATCAACTTACAGTGTCGCAGTTTTTTGCTCGGGTATCCACACTGGGAGCATTTCGACTTTTGGATGTGGTAGGAAGACCGCCCGCACCTCCTGCATAGGGTGTGGGTCTTGTTACGCCTCTTACCAAAACTCGATGTACCCTTCGTCTGTAAAATTTCAAAACAAAAAGTTAGGTTTTTGGGTTAAAAAACACACGAAAAATACGGGGAGTGAAAAGAAAATCTGCAGAGTGGACGACCACGACGAAGGGTTAGAGTCGGACCGACGTGACGGTCTTTCTCAAAAAAACAATTTAAAAACCCCGTCAAATTTTGAATTCCATTCAAAATGCAAACTTTTACGTTTAATTAATTTTTATTTAACAAGATCGTCGAGGGAAATTGAGATTAAAATGGATAAAAAATAAACATGAACTTACCATGTCTCCAACGAGAAAGGCACGCACACACGAGACGAAGTAGGATGGTGCAATGTGACCAACTTAACTCTATCACTAAAACAACAAAAAAATAAATAAATACACAAAAAACAAAATGAAAGTAAATCGACATGAAAACTAAAATAATAAACGATATAAAAATAATTACAATATTTTATCATACTTATTTTATTTAACAAATTAAACAAAAATTGTGGAAGGGGCGCCCAATCCTAATTTGTTTTTAGCTAGAGGACTTTTAACGACTTTTTTATTTCAGTGTCGATGTGATTCTCCCAGTTTTTTTAAATATTTATTTTTTAAGGGGTAAACTAAAAAAAAGTTTATTTTTAATTGAAACTGAAATTTTTAAATCCTTACCGAACCGTTCACCCACCAATTCAATAACTCAATGAATCATTGATTCAATTAATGACTGGAATATGGAATAAACTTGGAATGATTAACTGGCTGATTGAAATATTATCTAACCCACTCACTCACTGAACTATTCACTCAATTTCAACCTATCCCCTTTGTTGAATAACTATTCACTGATCAGCTCGCTCACTGATAAAATGACTGACCAGTTTATTATCTAATCAATAGTAATATTAATCATTGGCTGTCTTAAATATCAACTGACCCACTCGACTGAATGAACCATTCACAGGCAAGTTCATTAATTCAATCAAACACTGAGTAATTCGCTTACCGAAATATGATCAATTTCAACTGATCTCCTTCATTCAATGAACTATTCAATGATCAACTCGCTAACTGAAATAATGACTGACCAGTTGATTATCTAATCAATAGCTACATTATTCACTGACTTTCTTAAATATCAACTGACCCACCCAACTCACTTAACTATTCACCGACAAATTCATTAAATCAATCAAACACTGAGTAATTAACTTAGTGTAATGTGATCACTTTCACTCAATCCCCTTAGCTCAATGAAATATTCACTTATCCGCTCTCTGAACCAACTTATTGACCTTCTCGCTTGCTTAACTATTCAATCATAAATTCGTAAAACGATTACAATAATATTTTTCGGGGTGATTTTTTATTTTTCAATAAATATAATCTGTCGTTCTGATATGTCGGTAGCTTTTTGATCTGTGGTGGCGCCACCTCCGCGCCGCCGGCCCGGTTCACCGAATCACCATATTGGATTTCACACACCTCGGGGTGACTGTGTTTCATGAGACGCCGTCCGCCAGCGAGCCTCCGAACGAAGCCTCTTGCCGCCGACGCCGCCGATTCGAGCGTCCGCCGACCCAGAAAAGCGTCGAAGAACGGCCAGCGGAGGCCGGACGAGCCGGAGCCACGCCGCGACCTTCCCAGACACCAGCCCGACGGCGAGGTTAGCGATTTTTAATACGTTTTAACCGAACTCGATTACTCTGTGTAAGATGCAGACGAAGGTTTTTGTTCTGAGAAAAAAAATCAATATTACTTTTTTTTTTGGCTTTTGTTCAAAATCCAATCGACATATCAGTCAAAGATCTCAAAACCACAAAAATACCGGCGTCAGTCATTTGTTTCTCCTCCCCCTTCGATTTCATCCATAACTCGTTCAAAATACTTAAATGATAATCAAAAATATTTAAAATAGAATAAAATAAGTAAATTTGTTTGTTTCTTTTCCAATCGGGACCCGTTCCGACGAACCGGCCGGACACGCCGTAGCATTGTGACAAAAAATGGCGGGAAAACAAATAAATTTCTATTTTGATGCAGTTTTTCCTAAAGAAAAGAAACAAGTTTCTGTTTTTCTTTCTTATGTCCTATCCATTGGGAACGTAATGGACTCGCTTTTGTTTTTCCTTTTCCCCGGGTCTTATCCGAGCAGCAAGAAACATTGCTCTCCGCAATGGCCATGTTTCGGAATGATCCCTGTCTTGCATTTAACATTAATATTGGCCACAACTACTTAACTGACCCATTAAAAATTGCAAATCGAAGATTTAGCAGATTTCGAGCTGTTACTGGACAGATCGGTCGTCCTATTTTATCAGAAAGCTCTTGACCAATTAGCTGCGGTACCTCTACATTGGAGAGCTCGTGTCATTATGCTATAATTACTCATAAATAGCTCGTAGTTTGATATATTACATATTAAAACCTGCATTTTGTTGAATATTTTATAATACCTGTTTTTTTATTATTTTCGTTGGTCTGACAGGTAACTGGTCGACCTCATGGCTTATGTCGGCCCACCATTGTCTACAAATCCAATGTAAATTAATAACTTTCAAACAGTAAACTGGCTGATTAACGATTAAAATCACTTTTGTTAAATTTTTAAAATATTTTAGGTCTCTTTTCTGTCAATATTCAGTCTCGGATGAAACCTTCAGCTTTTCTGACCAGATCAGACAGCCTATGTCATCCACTACCATTATTTATGCTATATTTACTCATAAACACTCCTAGTTTGATGTATTAAATATTAAAAAATGTATTTTGTTAAATATTTGATAATACCTGTGTTTTTTTTATTAGTTTCGCTGGTCTGATAGATAACCGGTCGACCCCATGACTTGTATCAGCTCACCATTGTCTACAAATCCAATTATTTGTGTAAAATTAACAACTATCAAATGGTAAACTGTTCGATTAAAGATTAAAATGAGCCTTTTGTTGAATAGTTAATATTTTAGATCTCTTTTCTGTTGCTGCTCCAGTCACGGATGAAACCTTCCACCTTTCTGTCTAGATCGGACAGCTTGTTTCAATCAATACGATTATTTATGCTAAATTTACTCATAATTAACTTTCAATTTGCTAAATAAATCTTTAATAGTAATTTTTCGTGTATTTTTTAATTTTGAGTGGCTTTTGTCGGGCTGGTTTGATAACCAGTCGACTGTCACGGTCGTATCTAGCAATGAAAGGTAACAAGCCCAAATATTTATGTTTATATATAAAATAATGGAATATTAAGTGTTCATTTGGCCAATTAATTTTTTTTTTTTAAAGTTGGATATTTTATAGGTTTGTTGGTCCCTTCAGCCTCAATTGAGATGTCCCAGTTTTTAATCAGTTGGAGGCTTGTCACTTTATATTACTTCTGAAATATTTATCAATTAGGTATTATTTTTGCTTTGTTGCAGTTATGGTATTGAGAGATGGAGGGAAAGGTTTATGTAGAAAAAGGCACGTTTTGTGCAGTGAAGAACTGCAACAGCAGTTACCATATAACGAGACACTTGAGCGGTGATGAGGCCATCAATTATTTCCGATGTCCCCGCGACGAAGCTGTGAAAATGAAATGGATTGAGGCCTGTGGGCGGGCGCAAGTCCAGTACGTGTGCTCGCTCCATTTTGAAGAGGAGCAGCTCGTACGCGACCATGAGAACAGGAGTGTATCACTCCAGCCTGGTTCGATACCGACTCTCAACCTGCCGAAGAACGAGACCGCCGAAGACGTGGTTGTCGAGCAGGTCATGCTCATGGAACCTGTCTCGATGCCGGCCAGGGGCACAAAGCCTATCGCCCGGAAGTCAACTGTCCCTCCCATACTCAAAAAGCCGATGCGAAAGAAGGACGACGACGACCTGGAAGAGTTCAGCAGGATGATGGAAAGCGAAGTAGAGCCGGTGGAGAAAAGTGAGTCAGTCGAGAAAATAACCGAAGAGGAGTTGCTCGAATGCCTGTCGTCCCCGAGCCACAGGGAGGAGGAGAAAACCGAAGAGGTCGATCCATCACTGCCAGAAGCCTACGTTCTCCTATCTAAATGCGATCTCCCTGAGAACACGACAACTGTGTATTTAGAAAATGAAAACAAACTGTAATTATTATTTAACTTTTTGTGTGTTAAATGTACAATATATTTATTGATATTTTAGACAGGAGGAGAAGGAATGTTGCGTAGGGGATTGCCCGAACACGGAGTCGACTAGGATACGAGGCAAGCCGCTCATGTTCTACGAGTTCCCAAAGGACTCAAAGGCTAGGCGTAAGTGGATCGAATGGACGAAGGTCCACCCAAAGAGGATGGACCCGATTTACATATGCTCAGATCACTTCACGCTCGCCGACTTTGACGAAAAGAACGAGACTGAGCTGAAATCGTACGCCGTGCCAAGCAAGAAGCCACGACGTGAGGAGAGAATGCGTGAAGAGGCGCCGCCCGAGAAGCAGGGCCGGTCGCGTCTTAAGTCGACTCATGTCGTACGGCATGAGTTGGAGTCCGAGCCCGAAGAAGACGAAGAAGCCAAAAAAGCCAAAAAGGCAAAATTTTCACCAAAGTAATTTTTTTTTTAAAATAGAAGTAACAATAAAAACCTTTTTCGACTCAGAACCCTAAATAGAAATTCTTAATCTAATTTCAGAAAGACTGCAGAGGAAGAAAAGAAAGCAAGAAAGTCGTCCAAGCTGAGTGGCATTAAATGCTGCGTTGAGGGCTGTTTGACGAAACAGGGCGACGGACTTCATTTCTATCCGTTCCCGAATGAAAAACCCGTACGGGCTGCTTGGCTCGTCGCTTCCAAGTATTCAGGCCCGATGACAGAAACGACGGCTGTGTGCTCGAGGCACTTCTTGGCCAAAGACTTTGTCCCAACGCCTGGTCAGTTAACACTTATTAAAATATTAAATAAGTAATAATAATAGTAATTTTTTATTGAAACTCCAGGATCCGTACTTCCATCGACTAGGTTACGAAGGGGTACGATACCTTCTAAGTTTCTACCTGACAAATCAAAGAAGTTCAAAGCGACTCGGAAACGGAAAATACTCAAAGAATCGTCCTCTGAAGACGAAGGTCCTGAGTAAGTATCATTGTTTAAATTTTTTCGACTATTTACTCATTCCCTCTTTGGCTAAATCATGGACAAATTGAACGACTCATTGACCTCATTTACCGACAATGATTCCTTTTTTTAACTGTTCACTTTTTGACTGACTGAAACTATTTACATGGATGCTCACCAACTGAACTGTTAAATGACCCGTTCACTCATTGAACTTTACCTTGACACATTTACTCACTGAACTATTCACTGATATGTTCATTCACTGTACTTTTCTTTAATTGTTTCACTCATTGAACTGTTAAATGACCTGTTTGCTCACTGAACTTTGACCCTCTCACTTACTGAACTTTTCTTTAATCTTTCCACTCACTGATCCTTCTACTCACTGAATTGTTAAATGTTTGGCTATACTTTTTTTTTGTTAAATGTTTACTACTAACTTTTCTTAGATCCATATACCATTAAAATTTCTCACTGATCCGTTCACTCACTTATTTTTGTTTTTCACTCACCGAACTGTTCACTAACTTGTTAACTCTTTCTACCTCTTAACTAGTCCCTGTTGAGTTCCCCGTAGCTCAATCACTTAACCTACCTGCCCACTCCCTGAACCATCAATCGACCTTTACCGTCAATTACTGCACTGTTGACAGGATCACTTCGCTTACTGAACTGTTCACTCACTAGCTCACTGACCGAAGATTGTCTTGTTAAATCAATTGAACTGTCGATTTATCGTTTCACTTACTCCTCCCACAGACTTGCCATGTTCAATCGACGTTCTCTTCTGTAATTTTTAAAATTTATTTTTAGTTCGTATCTCGACCAGTTGCCGCCTGAAATAAGGAAAGGGCTCGAACAGAAAGAAGAGAAGACGAAGAAGCTTGGTAAGAAAATTGAGATAATCGCCGAGTTCGACGAGGAGAACGACGGTTCGATAAAGAAATCGTACAAAGTTGTTATCAAGAAGATCAAACGTAAAGGGCCGGAGGGCGAGAGAAAACGTGGCCTACTCATGGACTGCAAAAACAGCCTGATACTTGTCAAGAAGATAATTGAAGGGCTCGACATCACTCGGGTAAGTCTTCGATGCGACCAATTTTGATCAATTTTTGTATTAATTTAATTTTTTTTTTTAATAAATGTAAAGATGCAGGAAATTAAATTTAAGCCTGGAGATGTCGAAGAATCTCGAGTGGTTTTGACAGGGACAGGCGGCGGTCCGAAGCCCCAAGGGTCGTTGCCGGTGCTCACGTCTTTAAACCAGGGGTCGATGTCACCGGTCACAACTCTCAAAGTGCCCGTCGTCAAGACACAAGACGGCCAGGCATTCGTCCGCGTTCCGAACCCAAGCGGCCAGCAGGTCCAGATCTCGCTGCCGCAGTCGTTCATTGTCCAGGGCCAGCAGCAGCAGCCGCTCCTCCTCCTCCAGGGCCAAGGCCTCCAGAAGCAGGTGCTGCTCAAGGCGCCACCACTAGTCAAGACGCAGGACAAGAGTCCGTCAACATCCTCCCTGGCAACGACGACTGCTACGACTACGACTGCCTCGGCCGACAAGCCTATCCTGCCCAAGTCTAATGCTGCTGTCAAACAAGACGAGGAGAAAGAAAAACGAGCCCTCAACAGTGCCGAAGAGCTTGCCAAAATGGAGGATGAGATGGCCAAGTGCAAACTGGCCTTCGAACTTCAAAGGTAAAGGTAATTTGATTTTTATTTCATTTTATACATTTATAACTACTCTTCTCAATACAATCAATAAAACAATATTATTTATCAATTATTACCTTTAATTTTATATTTTATAAAAGTATGTAAACTTATTTTGCAGGTACAAGAACAGCGCACAGAAACAGGGAGCCAAGATCAAAGTGCTCCAGCAGTCAAAGAGGAGGCTCGAGCGCCGTCTACACGTACTCAAAAAGACACTCGACCTGGCGCGCAAGGAGAGTTTCATGTGCGTACTTGAACCGGACGTTGAAGGAAAAGCGTGAGGCACAGGTCTTTTCCTCTATTTTACATCGTATTTTTTCCCAATCAAGTGTAAATAGAACGATTAAAGGAAAAAAAAGTTTTGACTCTTGAGGGAACAGCCTTGCTTGCCCCCCTCCAAAGTTTAAAAAATATTTTATTTTCATGAAGTGTAAATTTTGTAAATTGTTGTTTAGGAAAAAAAGCACAAGAAAGAAGGTATATTTTATTTTTAAAAAACAATAAAACATTTAAAAATAATGTTAGTGTACAATTTTTGTTTACTTATTTGCAAATTAGAACATCAAAGCACTCACAAACACAAGAAATAAGCTGAAAAATGCAAATGTACACATTAAAGTAGCACAAATGGATGGAAGAACTAAAACAAAAGAATGAACGAACGACTCACTGCACCCATGTACGACACAGTGCTTGAACGAATGACTAGCAGAAATAGTAACCTACAATTTTAAGTAATGAACGATTCACTAGATCAATGAACAGTATATTTAACAAATACGAATGAACGAACGACTCGCAGGAACGAACTAAAACATATTTGAATGAACGATTCGTTGAATCAAAGATTGACGTCGTGAACAAACGACTCGCTGAACCAAAGATTTATGCAATGAACGAACGATTGTCTGTATCAAAGAATTATTCAATTAAAAACTCACTGAACCAATGAACTTTATAGTGAACGAACGAACGACTCTCTGGACGATGGATTATTAGATGAACGACTCAGATTTATGATGTGATATAGTGAACGAACGACTCAGTGAACTAAGATTGATACGATGAATGAACGATTAACTGAATCCAAGAATTTAATTGATTAAAGACTGAACCGATGAACAGTATAGTGAACGAACGACTCACTGGACTGATGATTATTAGATGAATTCTCACTGAATTAAAAATTGAAATAGTGATCGAACAACTCAACTAAAGGTTGGTATAATTAACGAACGTCTCACTGAACTGAATATTGATATAGTGATCGAACGACTCAACTAAAGATTGGTATAGTGAACAAACGACTTGCAGAATTAAAGATTGATTGATGAACGAACGACTCTACTAAAGAATTGATATAGTGATCGATCGACTCTACTAAAGATTTATTAGTGAACGAACGAATGACTCAAAGAAACAACGAACAAAAACTTTCTAAAAAAAACGGACCACTCCAAGAACTAATCAATGATCGATTGAACGGACAAACTACTCACAGAAAAAATGGACGATTTAGTGAACTGAACCAATGAACGATTCTCTAATTCATCAACGATTAACGAAACACTGAACGGTATAATGAACAAACGGACTACTCACTGAACCTAAAGATTGTTTTAACGAACGAACGAATCATAGATGCACGAACGAAAAACACGCCAACGCACGATTTATTGAACAAATTTCTTATGAAATGAACGACTCGCTGAAATAATAAACAATGAAAACAAATTAAAGGACGACTCGAAGAACCGATTGACGATGAACTCAAAGAAATAACACACGGTATAGTGAACGAACAATTCACCGAACTAAAGATTGATGTAGTGAACTAAAGACTCGAAACGATAAATTAATACTTAATGAACGATTCACTTGGCCATTGTACTTTTGACTGAACGAACGATTTGCTGAACCATTGTACGATTGAGTGAGTGATCAAATAAACATGAAGTGCATACACTGCAAAATTAAAGTACTTTTTAAAAATATCTTCCCTTTTAATTTATCCGATTTAATTATTTTTTTGAAATATTTCTTACTTTTGTCGATTTTACATGATTGGAGGTTTTTTCTCCTTTTAATTTTCGGGGTCCCACACGACATTGTCTTCTTATTCTCCTTGTCCCATTGTTTAATAAAATTTGCACAAATTAGCCCGAATTGCGTGCCCGGCTCGGGTTAAACAATTTCCTCTCATTGAATTGGAGAAGGAAAAGAAAAATAAATAAAGCAATTTTCGATAAACCGCCTTCCCCTCCCCCACCTTGTGAGAAAGACGCGGAGGTCGTCACCGCCTTTCCATTCAACAGATTTCATAAAACATAAAATTATAATTTTAATTTTCGTTTGTTCACGTAAAATTTCTCGCCTCCCGGGTACACACGCCGTTGGGCATTCGGGCCTCGGGGCACAGCGAGAATCGACGGACCCCCCCCTCGGAAAGGCGGAATTCGAGGAATTTACAAAAATTGGAAAAGCGTCAAAACGACTAGAAAACCAGCCGGCCGGACTAGAAAGTCGCGTTAATTTTCAAACGGCAATGAAAACTGCAAATAATCAAGAAAAAAGAAACCACTTTGACAACAGTGCCTGAACACACTGATATAATCCAGGGGATTAAGGACGATGCATTTCTGTATTTGCCTTTAAACGAATTGGTCTGTTTTGCTGAAGTACGAGATTTGTCGAATGACAGCATGATTGACATGCTTGTCGTGTTGTATCATAACCCTGATCGATACGCAGGATTTGTTGTGTGACAACTATGATTTATAATGTGTTTTGTGGTAACACTGATTGTTATGTCGGATGTGTTTTGTAGTAACACTTATGTCGGATGTGTTTTGTGATAACCCTGATTGATAAGTCGAATGAGTTGTGTTGCAACACTGATTGTTATGTTGGATGTGTTTTGTGATAACACTGATTGATATGGTGTCGGATGTGTAGTGTGGCAATACTGACTGCATATCGGATGTGTTTTGTTGTAACACTGATTAATTGGCCCCGATTGCCCTCCAACATAACCCTAATTGATACGCAGGATTTGTTGTGACAACTATGATTTATAATGTCGGATGTGTTTTGTGGTAACACTGATTGTTATGTCGGATGTGTTTTGTGATAACCCTGATTGATAAGTCGAATGTGTTTTGTGACAACAATGATTGATACGTCGGATGTGTTTTGTGATAACACTGATTGATATGGTGTCAGATCTGTAGTGTGGCAATACTGACTATATATCGGATGCGTTTTGTAGTAACACTGATTGTTATGTCGGATGAGTTTTGTTGTAACCCTGATTAATATATTTGACGCGTTTATGGCAAAACTGATTGTTTTATCCTGCAACAATGATCCCTATGTTGCTTGGCCAATCTAGTTGATATGTAAGAAATGTATTATTTGTAACACTTGTGGATAGGTAACTTATACTCATAATTACCCAGATTTGAGTGCTATGTGGCTAATCCTTGTTTTGCAACGAGTTTCTTGCGTTAATTCATTTATTTCTGTTTCCCACTCGTATTAGTCCAAGGTGGGGCTAACAATTTAATAATTTATTATTATGTGTCGCAAACCCCGTGTCGGAAACCGTGGATTGTCTTAGCATAATGCTTAATTAAGCCCCTCCGGGTGCCATTAGGCGATGCAACCTCCGCGTGTGTCCTCACAAGGCGAAAGATGTTGTTTTGCCCCCCTCCCTTAGCCTTTTAAAGTTTTTCGCCGTTTCTTACAAGAAACAAACAAAAAACCAACTCCGTTTTAAAATAATTTTTCAATACGGCCTCGAGAAGCTTTTAAAAATCGATATGTACAAATTGCAAAATTGAATTTCTGACAAAATGGATACAGACATATACGATAAGTACGCGGCCGTCGTGGGGGGGGGGGCTGGCTCGAAAAACCTTGGGATTAAGAATTACAGTCCTTTGTAAAAAAAAATTTCTCTTTTTTTCAACCAACCTATTATCTAAAAATGTACGCAGGCGAGGTCCATCGGATTGTTTTTCTTCCAACACGTATCATATAAACGATCAAAATTGTCCGAAGGATTTCTCACTTAATAAATCATTGAATTGTGCCCAGGTTAAAGGCTGCTGAACGCTCCTTTTTTTAACCGGAAAACTCGTTACGGGAATACATTCGAAATAATCAACCACGAATCGTTCATTTCGTTCACTCAACAGTTCCGTGGTTCAATGAGCAGGTCGTTTAATCCCTTTGATCGTTCATGAGTTCACTCGATTGTTCATTGAATTGTTCTTTGTTCACACGATAGTTCCTTGATTCAGTGAGTAGTTCGTTTAATCACTTTTTTTTTTCATCAGCTATTTAGCCACAGCCAGTTTTTAATGATTTTTAAATGTAATAATTAAATTTTCATTTACATTTCGTATTATTTTATTATTATTATTATTATTATTATTTTTTTACTAGATTTGTTTTTGCGACTCGTTTAGAAATTTGCTAATGGTTTTAAAGACGTCCGCATCTTTTAATCACTTGATCGTTCATTAGTTCACTCGATAGTTCATTTAATTGTTCTTTAGTTCACTAAATAGTTTATTGAGATGTTCTTTAGTTTACTCGATAGTTCATTAAATTGTTCTTTAGTTCATTTGATAGTTCATTGAGTTGTTCTTTAGTTCACTCGATAGTTCATTAGTTCAGTGAGTATTTCGATTAATCTCTCGATCGTTCGTTAGTTCACTCGATAGATCATTGAATTGTTCTTTAGTTCACTCGATAGTTCATTGAATTGTTCTTTAGTTCACTCGACAGGTTATTGGCTCAGTGAGTAGTTCATTTAATCCCTTAAACGTTCTTTAGTTCACTCGATAGTTCATTGGTTCAGTGAATAGTTCGTTTAATCCCTTGATCGTTCATTAATTCACTCGATAGTTCATTGAATTGTTGATTAGTTCACTTTCTAGTTCCTTGGTTCAGAGTGTCGTTTTGTCCTTTCCTTGATCGTTCATTAAATTGTTGATTAGTTCACTCCAGCATTCCATGTTTAATTGATTAGTTCGGTCCTTCAATCGTTCTTTTTTTCATTCAATCTATCAGAATCGTATTTGCTTATTAGTATGTCAGGCCCAATAAGGCTGACTCTAATAATTTATTTGGCCTTCTAACCTCGTCGTAAAACTTACAAAAAATTAATAGTAATAAATAAATAAAAATTTACAACAAACGTACGGGCGGTGGCGGTCTTCGGGAATGGTGGGAGAGGAAGGTGGGAGGGCATAGCCGGCGTCCGCCCCCAAGGTCCAGTCTTCACCGTAACTCCGACCAGAAAAGGGAAACAGGAGAAAGGACCGAAGAGAGTGAGGAAGAGACGACACGCAAGTCGTCAAAATTGGGCCCAAAAAATCTCTTTAAAAAATTATATAATTAAAAAAAAAGTTTAAATAATTAAGCTTATGGCATTTGACCGGTGAAGTTGGAAAACAGAAGGAAAACCCAAGACCAAGTCAAGAAAAGAAAAAAAACAGGTAAGCTTATTTAACAATATTAAACATTAAAAAAATTTTTTTTAAACGATTTTGCGAAAATGGTTATCATTCATGAAAATCGGAATTTAATATGGCCAAAGGGAAAATATCACCAGCCTCCCTCGCTCAATCAAAACCCTTCGTCATCGTCAGCCGTCCATATTTTGTCAAAATTCAAACAGAATTTTAAAAAATCAAAAGTTTTGCCTTAGTGTTTTTGTATTATTTTCCTTTCGGTACTATTTTCATTTGGTTATCGTGTAAATCGACCGAGGGGATCGTTTAAGGAACCCAGTCGGCGATTCAGTGATCAGCATTTTGATTATCGGTCGTTCGTTCTAATATTGATATGTTGGACGTGTTATACGGGAACACTATACCATTTTTGATGTATTGTGTACGTAAGACAGATTGATAAGTTGGACTGCATTGATACTTAGAGTATTTTGTGTGTTATGTGGCAACACTGATTGATACTTGCAGAATTTGGTGTCAAATGGCAACACTGATTGATACTTGGAGTATTTAGTGTGTCACTGATCGCAAGTGTAATGTGTTGAGTGGAAGCACTAATTGAGTCGTTAGTTTGTGTGGCCAGACAGATTGATATGTTTGGTGTGGTATGTGGCAACACTGATTGATACGTTGGTTGTGTGGCCAGCAGATTGATATGTTTGGTGTGGTATGTGGCAACACTGATTGATATGTTGGTTGTGTGGCCAGCAGATTGATATGTTTGGTGTGTTGTGTGGCAACATTGATTAATTCGTTGGTTGTGTTGTGTGGCCAGACAGATTGATATGTTTAGAGTGTTAGTGGCACTACACTAATTGGTACCTTGGACGTGATGTGTGGAACCCCGATAATTGTGTAGAATGTGTTGTGTGGCAACACTGTTAGATCTGTTAGTTGTGTTGTGTACATAAGGCAGATAGACAAATTTGGTGTGTTATGAGTCATCACTGATTGATACGTTACATATGTTGTGTTGTCAGACTGATTGATATATTCGGTGTGTTACGTCTATGTGGCAACAATCATTGATACCTTGGCCGTGTTGTGTGGCCAGTCTGATTGATATATGGAGTGTGTTATGTCTATGTGGCAACACTGATTGATACGTTGGATGTGTTGTGTTGTCAGACTGATTGAGATGTCAATGAGCCGGTCGTTCTGCCAGTGAACCGTTCAATCCTAATGCTATTTGTTTATTCAGTGAAGGCCAATTAAAATACGTTCATTGGTAAACGGTTTCGTTATTTAACAACCCAATATGAAAATTGATCGAGATTTCACGAAATTGTCGGCATGTACAATACACGGATGACAAGTGTTTGGATTATAGCCGGCCGTCGCGCCCCTTATTCTATGTTAATTTGTGTCCTAATCATAAATCGGACCCGATCGGGCGCGTACGTAGGCCACTCGTCTCGAACACTTGCCCAACACGGATAAATAGATAAACGGTAAAATTTCGTCACCGACGATGCGCTTTCTATGGCTCTTCCTTCATATGGCGAGATGACTTTGCCAAACGGGGCGAAAGTCGACACTTGTCGTAATTGTCCCAGGCGGGGCCCGCCCGGTCTCGCTGTCCCGACCACGTCCGTCGGCTCGGGACCGCAGGAACGCCCCCGACAAAAGTCCAGCGCCAGAGGTCAGTCGCAGGGACACCTTTGTTGCCAAACTCCGTTTCACACACGGTAATGTGATAATTACAATGTTTAAAGTGTCCCTGGAAGTGAAAGGGGAAATGTGAATGGTTTGTAAATTTTTTTCTTTGGGAAAGATAGGGCATCGTTTTGCGTAGTTAAGCGCACCACCTTTAAAAAAATAAATTAATTTATTTAAAAAAAAAAAAGACGGCCCGGGGCCATAGGTACAGATACTCGGTGACTCGGTTGTTCGTTCATTAAGTTGATCGGTTCAGTTTTTTATTAAATGTCCGGGTCCATGGTTCAGGTAGTTCGTCAATTGTTCATTCGTGCATTGAATCGGTTCTAATAATCAGTGAAATGGTTGGGTTGTTCGTTCATTGAGTAGATTGGTGCGTTCAAATTTGTTGTAGCTACACTGATTGATAAGTGGGATGTGTTGGGTCACAACACTAGATCGTGTGTAGAATGTGTTGTGTGGCAACATTGACATGCGTAAAGTAGGACGTGTTACGTGGCGTCACTGATTGATACATTCAGTTATGTCTATGTGGCAACACTGATATATTGGACGTGTTGTGTAGCAACTGATCGATAGGTTAGATGTGTTGAGTGGCCACAGTGATAGGTATTTAGAATGTATTGTGAGGCTAGACTGATTGATGTGCTCAATGGGCTATGTGGTGAAACTGATTGATACGTTCGGTGTATTGTGTGGCAACACTGATTGACAGATATAATACGATGAGTGGCAACACTGATTGGTATTTTGAATGTATTGTGAGGCCAGACTGATTGATACGCCCAAAGTGTTATGTAGCGACCCTGATTGATAGGTAGGTGTATTGTGTGGCAGCACTGATCGAATACGATGAGTAGCAACACGGGTTGGTATTTTGAATGTATTGTGAGGCAGACTGATTGATTTGCGTAAAGTGTTATGTGGCGACAATGATCGATACATTGGGTGTATTATATAGCAACATTGATCGACAGGTGAGATATGAGGCGACACTTTGGTTGTTGGGTATGTTCGGTGGCAAGACCGATTAGTTTTTATCGTTCATTAAATTGTTGGTTCGCCCGGTCAGTTTTAATTGTTCAGTGTTGTTAAATATTTGAATCGTTAATCGAGTCGATCTTTTAGCCTTTTAAATCAGAGATCGTGTTTAGAAAAGCATCCCAAAGGCCATGACCCTCCCGAGGTCTTGGCCGTTCCCGTGTCCAAACTCGTCTTTCGATATTTTACGCCTCTTCTTGAGCCAGTCGTGCAGGTTCATTTATATTTTGCGGCGATTTATTTTTTTTTTTTTTCATCGTTCTCGCGAATGTGTTTTTTTGTATACAAACCGGCCGCGAGTTGTTTTTTGCATAGAAAAACCAGTTCCAAGCCGCGGGGGATAGGATGGTGCGGTGAAGGGGAAAAGACCGATACCGGGCGGTGCCACGAGCGCTCCCCGGTGACTTTTCATTTCTTGTCCGTCGTTTCAACGAATTGTTTTGTTTTTTTAACCCGCAGGATGGCCGGTTTGGAAGTGCTCAAGTACCAGGAGCTGGACAAGGACGTCAAAAGTGGATACTACGAACCTGGTAAGTCAATGTGGTGGTGATCAAAAAGAAACGACACGTTTGACCGGTGCACCATGTATACATTTCAAAACGAGTTTATCCCGACTTTTTATCTGTTTGAGTTTCTTTTTCCTATAAAGTTCAATAATCCCAATTCTCGTGTGGATCTTTATCTGTTGTTCCGTTGGCCAGACTGGGTGTGATATTTTTCTGGGCCGCGGCCGATTGGGACAAAGGGGCGGCCCGCTACGGATCCTAAAGAATGGGACCAAACGGTGGAGAGGAGGGTGGACAGAGGCTGAAAAAAAAACTCCGGGGACCCGGTTGAGAGAACGGTAAAAAGTAAAAGGCTTTCTTCCGTTTTCTCTTCTTTACGGATCGAGCGGAAGAGTCGGTCTGCTCGGAGCTCTATGAACGATTGAATCGATCGGCCACCCGATGAATAGTGAAAGGATCAATGAACGTTAAAATAGATCAGACGATGAGTGGATCTATGAACGAACGAATCATTCAGTGCGCGGATCTGTAAAGGAACGAGTCGATCAGTCAGTGAGCGAATTTAAGCCGACTGATTCGATACCGTCAGTCAGGGGCTCACTGAAAGCCTGAATCGATGTCAGTGAGCGGATGTTTGACCGAAGGATTCGATCTCTCAGTGAGAGGTTCGCTGAATGTTCGAATCGATAAGTCAGTGAGCGAATCTATGCCGACTGATACGATCACGTCAGTTAGGGGCTCACTGAAAGTCTGAATCGATAAGTTAGTGAGCGGATCTATAAATGAACGAATAGATCAGTCAATGAGCGAATCTACGAAAGAACGAGTCGATCAGTCAGTGAGCGGATCTACGAAAGAACGAGTCGATCAGTCAGTGAGCGGGTCTACGAATAAACGTAACAACTAATCAGCGAGCTGATCCGATGTAAGAACGAGTCGATAAGTCAGTGATCGGACTTGTGAAGAAATGTGTCGAACGGGCCGACCAGACAGCGTGAGAATGTATGATCAGATGAATATACCGCGGGTTCAGTTATATTAACAAATGAATCTATTTGTCAATGAATGGTTCAAATAATGAACGAGTAGATCATAGAGAGGATTTTTTCGAATTGTCCCGGTTAATCCTGTGCGTGCATACAACATGTGTACTAAGCGGCGAAGCGCGCGACCCATTGTCTTTTTAAGTCGATAATTGATACCCGTGTAGGAAAAAATAAACGATTACGATAAACTGCTTTGGGGATGGATTTTTCGTTTTTCCCACACTTATGGGAAAATCGTCCACTTCCCATGGATCCACTGGCGGGGGGTGGCAAACTGTCGTAAGGCGCGTCAAATGGGGGAATGAAACGGTACGGCACAGTAAGGCGAGGAAATTCGATTGCCAGATATATAAAAACAAAATGACCTTGTGGTAAAAGTTTTTTTTTGGCCCTATGGTCTAGCCTATTGACCAAATCTCAACGGTAAAAATTAAAATAAATAATAAAATAGGTCGAGAAATGTGCTTGTTCTTAAAAAGGAAGGTGTGGCTGAGCAGAGGGTGACGTTGGGAAAATTCCGAACCCGGATGGAAATGGACTTGGTGATTTTTTTTTTTTTTTAATCCAATAATTGCAGGAATTTGACGTCTGTTGTGGGGGGGAGAGGCTGTAGTTTGACCGGCCGTGGAACGTGTTTATGTTTTATTCTCGTCCTTGGATAGTAAGAGAAAAATTCCTCCTGTCCAGATTTCCGCCAACGCCCGACCCGAAGATGGGTAGAATAGCTCGAGGGAGTGAAAGTCCACGTGACGGATTAAAGGGGTCCACGTCGGTGAAATTTTCCTCTTTGTGGATAAAAGGGCAAAGCGTGTCTGTTTATCTGACCGTGGTCTCCACTCGTTCGTTCATAGAACCGCTCAGTGATATCGATTCGAACTGTCAGTGATCTCCTAACTGACTCAAACTGAAAGGCAGATCGAATCGTTCATAGGACGACTCACCGGCAGATTGATTCATACCTTCTTCGATTGATCGACTCGTTCTTTTATAGATTCACTCACTCACTGATCTGTTCGAACTTTCAGTGATCGCCTCACTGACATCGTATCAATCGGACATAGATTCTCTCACTGACTTATCGATTCGAATTTCCCTTTTAGTTTTTACACTCAAGATGACCGGTTTGGAAGTGCACAAGTTCATTCATTGATCATCTCAGTGATTGGTCGACTCAGTCGTGTCAGTGAGCGAATCTATGACCGCCTGATTCGATCCGCCAGTGAGGCGATCACTGAAAGTTCGCATCGATAAGTCAGTGAGCGGATCTATAAAAGATAACAACATACGAGTCAACTAACCAGTTCTAGGATCTGCGAATAAACGAATCAACCATTCAGTGAGCGCATCTATGAACGAACGATTCGCCAAACCAGCTCGCGTACCAATAAACTGAAGAGTCGACCAAACTATGAGCAGATCTATGAACGAACGAGTCGACCAAACCGTGAGCCGTTCTATGAATGAACGAGTCGTCCAATCAGAGAGCGGATTTATGAATGTACGAGTCGATCAATTAGTGAGCGGATCTATGTGCGAACGATTAGAACAATCATTTTGCAGATTTATGAATGAACGAGTCGACCCACCAGCTGGCGTATCTATAAACGGAGGAGTCGACCAAACCGTGAGCCGTTCTATGAACGAACGAGTCGTCCAATCAGTGAGCGGATCTATGTGCGAACAATTAGAACAACCAGTTCGTAGATCTATGAACGAACGGTTGGAACAATCATTTTGCAGATCTATGAATGAACGAGTCGACCAACCAGCTCGCGAACCAATAAACAGAGGATTCTACCAAACCGTGATCCGTTCAATGAATTAACGAGTCGTCCAATCAGTGAGCGGATCTGTGAATGAACGAGTCGACCAACCAGCTCGCGTACCTCCAAACGGAAGAGTCGACCTAACCGTGAGCTATGAATGAACGAGTCGATCAATCAGTGAGCGGATCTATAAACGTTCAAATCGAAGAGTGCGTCAACTATTCTTCGAATATTCCGCGCATCAGTGAGCCGGTTAATGAACGACTCGCTAGTTGAACGAACCGTCGTGTGATTGAGCTCCAAAATTATTCAGTACATATTCCCATCGAAATATAAACATTCCCCTAGCTTATTCTAAATCCGTCCAGGTCGTGTTACAACATTTTTCCGCTCAAATGAAAGTCGATCCCCCTCCTCCCGGCGTATTTTCTATTTTCCATATTCCCTCCTCGTTTCAATATCGCAACCCCTTTCGAACGATTTTCCCCAATTTTGGAAAACAATAACGGTAACACGGACGAGTTTCGGAGAACGTTGTGCTTTGGGGGGAGAGGGTGAAATAAATTCATCTGGGCAGGGGTGAAAGTCGCCCCCAAAAGCTCTTGCTCATCATATCGCACCCCGGACTGGATAACAGGAGCATACGATGCAGTGTAAGTGTATTTTTTCTTCTTATGCCTCATTTATTATCTTGCGTGTCGAGGCGGTACCCTGCATATACTTTATTTTTTGCAAATTAACCACCCCGGCTTCATCAAAAATTTACTATTTTTGCAGATAAAGAGGTGGACAATTGGTTTCTGATGGGTTCGCCGATCCCGATCGTCGTCATCCTCAGCGCCTACTTGTACTTCGTCCTTAAGCTCGGCCCCAAGATAATGGAGAAACGGAAACCGTTCGAGCTGAAGATGGTCCTCGTCGGGTACAACCTCTACCAAGTCGTCTTCTCGTCCTGGGTCGTGAGCCAGGTTTTCGACCTAGACACGATACGACACCTGTACAAATTCGCTTGCGTGCCACAAGAGAGGCACTTGAACAAGTACATCGAACTGGTTAGGGAAACGAGCTACCACAATACACGCAAATAAAAAAATTTATTCATTTTTTTCCGTTCTCCTATAGATGAACGTCATGTCGTGGTGGTACTTCTTCTCCAAGGTGATCGAGCTTTTGGACACGGTAAGTGACTTAAAAACTGGGCAAGATGGAGTGAGAGTGCGAAAGAGCGAAAGAGACATCGGTGAACGATACGGTCACTCTGTACAGATTGTTCGGCCATTTAATGAATGATGTTAAAGGTAGGCTGAGGTAAGGTGATGTGGTGTAGGCGGGTTAAGATGAAAAGGTGTAAGTTGTTGGTGGGGAAAGGCGGAGGCGGAGGTGGGTTCGTCGTCAGCCCCCATGAAGGTGGAAGTGTAGGGTGGAAATAGTAATGTTGTGTGAGGCGGTGATCCGGTGAATGAACGAGTCACTCAGTGAGTGAACAAAAGAATGGACAAGCTGTTCAGTGAGTGATCCTGAGAATAACCAAGTGAATGAACGAGTCGTTCAATGACTGAACAAAAGATTGGCCAAGTTGTTCAGCGAGTGATCAGGTGAATGAACGGATCACTCAATGAGTGAAATGGACGGGCTAGTAGTGAATCGCTCAGCGAGAGTGCGGAAGAATGTATGAGTCTCTAGTAAATGAGCAGAGGAATGAACGCGTGTTTTGGGGAGTGAGCAGAAGAATGAACGAATGAACTACTAACTGAGTGAACGAAAGAATGGACGTGTTGCACAATAAGTGATCCGGTGAACGAGTCGCTCAATGAGTGAACAAAACGATGGACGAGTTGTGAATCGCTCACTGAGACAGTGGAATGATTAAGCTTCTCAGTAAGTGAGCAGAAAAAATTAACGAATCTCTCAGTGAGAGAGCAGAAAAATGGATGAATCGCTTGGTGAAAGATTCTGTTAATGGGTGAATAAATCTCTGAACGATTCGCTCATTGAGTTCAGTTGATAAAAGAATCGTTCATTCAACGAACGGGTCGATAAGAGTTTGGTCAGTTAATGTAATGTTTAATCATTGATTATTTTGGCCATTCAATTAATGATTCAAAGAAAGAATGAATTGATTGGTCAGTCGAAGAAAGAATCGTTCAAAAATTGAACAGTTCGTTGAGAGTGAACAATTCAGTGATTTCATGATAGAATCGTTCTATCAATGGACTGGACGTTCATTTAATGAACTATTCGCCCCTGAGAGTGAACAAATCTGTGATTTCATGATAGAATCGTTCTATCAATGGACTGTACGTTCACTTAATGAACTATTCGTCCCTGAGAGTGAACATTTCGGTAATTTTGTGATAGAATCGTTCTATCAATGAACTGTTCGTTCACTTAATGAACTATTCGCCCCTGAGAGTGAACAAATCTATGATTTCATGATAGAATCGTTCTATCAATGGACTGTTCGTTCACTTAATGAACTATTGATTGCTGGAGTGAATATTTCAGTGATTTCATGATAGAATCGTTCATTCAACGAATGGGTCGACTCCAGTTTGGTCAGTTAATGTAATGTTTCATCAATGATTGTTTTCGCCATTTAATTAATGATTCAAAAAGAGATTTAACTAATCTGTCAGTCGAAGAACGAATCGTTCAAAAATTGAACAGATCGGTGAGAGTGAACAATTCCGTGATTTCATGATATAATCGTTCTATCAATGAACTGTTCGTTCACTTAATGAACTTTTGACGATGAGAGAGAACAATTCCGTGATTTCATGATAGCATCGTTCGGTCATTTAATGAACGAGTGGACGAATGACACTTCGAGCGACTGGCTAATCAACTGGCCCCCCGTTTAGTCGATACGATCGTTATATATTGTTTCCGTCCGATTTCCAGGTGTTTTTCGTCTTGAGGAAGAAGCAGAACCAAGTGAGCGTCCTTCACGTCTACCACCATTCCAACATGCTCGTCTCCACCTGGGCGTACCTCAAGTTCATACGAGGTATTTTATTTATTTTAATAGTTTTTAGTTTTATTTATTTATTTTTACTTTTTCAGGCGAGCAGGCGATTATTCCGGGCTTGATAAATAGTTTCGTGCATGTGGTTATGTACAGCTACTACCTCCTGGCCGCTTTGGGCCCTTCGGTTCAGAAGTACCTCTGGTGGAAGAAGTACATCACGAAACTGCAACTCGTACGTTCCGAATTTCACCGTTGGATTCTTGTTGTTCTAATTAATTAATTTGAACAGGGCCAGTTCGTTGTAATACTGATCTACCTCAGCAGTCTCTTGGCGTTCGACTGCAACCTGCCGCGAGGCCTGACCATCTACATGAGCGCGACGACAGTCACATTCCTCATCCTCTTCCTCAACTTCTACCAGAAGAGCTACGCCGGGCAGGCGAAGAAGGTCGACTAGCACATGTCTTAGAATAAGAAAAATTTTAATTAACACAAAAAAATTATATTTAATATTTACTTGTGATTATTTATGTTAAAACAGTGTCTTTGTATTTGGTTGTAAATATATAGTTTTTTATACTTTTTTTTTTTTTTTAATTGACTCATTGGTTCGTTTGGTCAGTCTGATGGTGAGCACCTCATCAGTTTTTCTTTTTTTTGTAATTTAGAATCACCTCCACCAAAATTCTAGAAAAAACAAACATTAAAAATAAAAAATAAATCAATTTAAAAACATATATTTACAAAATACACATAGGATTACATATCATTTTTCTGTCTCCCCTCCTCTTTTTATTAGAAGCCTTAAAAATCTAATATTATCACAAAGTCAAGCTTTTGATGCTTTGGAGGACGGAAGAAAACAAAAAAGATGGGGATACACGGAAATACATTATCTATCTTTTTTTTACAATTAGTCGATAAAAAATATATATTTATATTATATAATATATTCAGGGATAATAAAAATCTACAAGGGGCCGTTGTGTTTGTTACATTTTAAATATATTTATGTCTAATTGTTAATCAGAAGGCACAATTGGTTAAAAAATTAAAATTAGGGAGGGGGGCTAGAACAATTACAAAAATAATAGGTACCGCACCTCCAACGAATCTATATAATAATCATTAAAAAAAAACAGTCGTCTTTGGTTAGGACTAACGCTAATTAGGAAGCATGGTGCTGTCGATTAAAAAAAATCGATTGATTCGTTTTTTCCCCCCAGGGGTAGGAACTTATATACAAAAAGATCTTTCAAAAAATAATAATCATGATTGCAGTGTCAAGTCGGTTAAAAATGTGAGAGGTTATGTAGTTGATTAAACAGCGATAAATTTGCTGAGTCGATTCAGTGGGTAGGTTTTTGAGATAGAGATTAGATCAGTGAGTCGATTCAGTGGGAAGGTTATTGAAATAGAAATTAGATCAATGAGTCTATTCAGTGGGAAGGTTATTGAAATAGAGATGAGATCAGTGAGTCGATTCAGTGAGAAGGTTATAAAGAAGCGATTGGATCAGTGAGTCGATTCGGTGAGTAGGTGAATGATTGGATCGGAACGTCAGTTAAGTTGGGTGAGTTGATTGCAAACGAGTCGTTCAGTGAAAGTTCAAGTGGATAAATCGGTGAGTGGATCTATGAAAGATTGAGTCGTCCCATGAATTTTCAAATTGTTAAATCAATGAGAGGATATATGAACGAACGATTCGATCAGTGAGCGGATCTATGAACCTTAAATTTGACCAGTCAGTGAGCTGCTCTATGAACAAATGCGTCTATGGAAGATTGACCCGTTGCATGAAAGTTCAAATGGATAAATCCAATGAGCGGTTCTATGAACTATGAATGAATCGACCAGTCAGAGTAAGATCTATGACCGAACGAGTCAACCAGCGAGTAAATCTTTGAACGAAGGGTCGTTCAGTGAAATTCAGTGAGTGAATCTATGAGAATGTTGAAATTGTTAAATCAATGGGAGGATCTATGAACGAACGAGTCAATCAGTGAGAGTATCTGTGAAAGATTGTATCATCCCATGAAAGCTCAAATCGACAAGTCAGTGAGCGGAACTATGAACGAACGAGTCGTAGGATGTAAGTTCAAAAAGATAAATCCAGTGATTGAATCTATGAACCTAACAAGGACCAGTCAGTCAATCTGTGAGAGATCGAGCCCTCTCATGAATGTTGAAATTCTTAAATCAATGAGAGGACCTAGGACCGAACGAGTCAAACAGTGACAGGATATATGAATGATTGTGTCTTTCAATGAAAGTTCACATTGTTTAATCAGTGAGAAGATCTATGAACGAACGAGTCGATCAGCGAAATGATCTACGAACCTTACAATAGACCAGTCGGTGAGCGGATCTATTAAGGAACGAGCCAAACAGTGAGAGGATCAGTGAAAGATTGTGTCGTCCAACGAACATTCAAATTGTTGAGTAGTGAGCGGACCTACGAACGGTTGAGTCGTTCTATGTCTGTGAACGGTTGATCGGTTCGGAGGTGGCAAATAGAATTAGAGATAGCATCGAAATGTCAGAGATTTGGTTAGCGATTAGTGAGCCAACTGAAGGTTTTAGTGAATAGTCTTCGGCTATTTTCGGCAAAACAAGTTAATTTTGAAAGATCTTTAACAATTTTTTTTAAATAAAAGAAACGGTTTCAGCTTTTGTTCTTGCGCATGGTGAACCTCCTCCAGAAGCCTTTCTTCTCCTCTTCCTTCTCCTGTTTCGGCTGTTCGCACTCCACCGCCTCCTTGGCCTCCTCCTGTTCGGCGGCGAGCGCCTGCTGCAGGTCCCTCATCATCTTCTTCCTTATCGTCTTCTTCATCGAGAGGTGTCTCTCGAGGTGTTTGGCCTCCTCTTCCGACTTCTTCTTGCACCTCCGCCGCCACGCCTTTTCCGAAGTCTCCTCTTCGCCCGCGGTCGTCTCGTGCCGCTCGGATCCGAATATGTCACGGATGTGGGGGATGCTCCTTTCCGACATCCCTGGCGGAAAAGGGTGAAAAAGATTTAAAAAAAAAGTTATTTACAAATCAATCGATACATCAATCAATCACACTCTTTTTATACTGAACAACCCGTCAAAACCTTTCGACCAGTCCAGAAAAAATTTATATATTGAGACAAACAGATTTAGGTAGGAAATTCTATCGAGCGTGGAGGGGGATCCGCCTCCAGGTTTTTGTTTTCGTTTTCGTTTTTGAACTTGAAAAAAGAAATTGATGCGAGAAGGAAGGATCGTGATGCTGTGTCCTTTTATTTGTTTAAATTGTATTCAAAAGATTTTTCTTTTTCTCTCGATTAATTTTCCCTCTGACCGCATGTCAAGAGACTTTCACGAGGATTAGAAAGGTGATCCGGTGGGATGTCCTTGGTCCAGATTTTTCTCACACAGCCTCTCACCGTCCTCCGTGAAAAAATGGAATAGAACGGACGGGGAAAAAAAGAAAATGAGAAAATTTACTTTAGTATTGACAAAAAGAAAGAAAACTTCTTACCTGTTTTTGGACGTTGTTGCGGTTGTTGTTGTCACCTGGTGGTGTCGGAGGGGCCCATCGCGGACGTGGCCTCGCGGTCCGGGTCTGGCGTCGGACTGGCCCCCACTCCGGCCAGGGAGACGGAGGAGCCCCTGGTGGGGAAGGAGAAGAAGAGAATTTGAAGAGATTTCCTGAAGAGATTCTGACCCTATGGCCATCCATGAGAATCATAGAAAAGAGGACTTATACAAAAGGAATCGAGAGATGAATCAATGGATTCGATTCAGCAGTCGGATCGTTGATGAGCTGAATACGAACCGAGAGATGCATCAAAGATTAGATTCAGAAGCTGAACTGTTCACGAGTTGAACAATCACTGAGATGAAACAATCATCTGACTCAGAAGAATCGTTCACGAGTAGAGTAAGTACCGAAATGATGAGTCAAAGTTAGATTCAGTAGACGGACCGTCGATGAGCTGAATAAGCATCGACATATGAATCAATGATCTGACTCAGTAGAATCGTTCACGACTTGAATAAGCACCGAGAGTCGAGAGATGAATCTAAGATTATATTCATATGATGAACTGTTCACGAGTTGAACAATCACTGAGTTGAATCACCGATTCGATTAAGTAATCGGTCACGAGTTCAGTAAGAACCAAGAGGTGATTTAAGGATTAGATTCAGTAGCTGAACTCTTCATGAGTTGAACAATCAGTGAGTTGAATCAATGATCCGATTCAATTAATCGAATTGTTCACGAGTTGAGTAAGAAAAAAGAGTTGAATCAAAGATTAGAGTCAGATGATGAACTGTTCACGAGTTGAACAATCACTAAGTTGAATCAGAGATCTGACTCAGTAGAATCGTTCAGGAGTAGAGTAAGCACAGATATGATGAGGCAAAGTTTAGATTCAGTAGCTGAACTCTTCATGGGGTGAACAATCACTGAGTTGAATCAATGAACCGACTCAGTAGCCGAATCGTTCGCGAAATTAATCTACTTAATATTCTCTTTTTTACATGATCTCCTTCCTGTCATCCTTTACAATAGAAAAAAACAGTACAATTTCCTTTCTGCGCACCCCCTTCTTGCCCAAGGATCAAATAAATTAATTTTTTAATTTTTTTTAAAATTAAATAATTTCGGTTTTTGTTGTCTTTTAATCATTTTAACACGTTTTATTAACGAGTCCTTCTTGTTTTTCGATTCTAACACACTACTCTCGCCCTCCGGGTGTTAACTGGGAGATGGTACACGGAGGCCTCAGTCGTCAAGGACGCCCCTCCACGGTTCCGGGTTCTTGTAGGAGACGTTCACCTGAGAATTGGCTGTTGGAGAACAAAGAAATGTTTAGTTGTTTTTTGTTTTTTTTGGGGGGGTGGTCTTTTTTCTTACAGAATATGCTGCTCGGGGTCGGCTTAGGCCTCCTCTGGCTGATACCCATCCAGACCTTGACGACCTCTTTCGACAGGTTCTTCTTGAGTGTCTCCTTCTCTTCGAGTTTCTTCTCTTCATCTTTCTTCTTCTGTTTTTCCGCTGTTTTTTTTATAATTATTATTATTTTGAGGATTAAATATATTTTTTTTACCTTCGATGGCAGCTTTCTTTTTCTGCAGCCACATCTCCCTGTTGGCGGCGATTATCCTCTTGTCCTGCTCCTCCTTCTGCGTCTTCTGCATCTTCCTCCTCTCCTCTTCGCGCTTCTTCTCTTTTTTCTTCTCCAACTCCTAAGTAGAAAAAAGTTTAAAGTTTTTATTCATTAAAAAAACTAAATTTTTTTTTTACCCTTTTCTCTTTGCTTTTGACCCATCTGGCGAATGCCTCTTCGTTCTTTTTCTTCCTCTCTTTCTCGTCAGGATCAGCGTGGCCGTTCGTCTTGTTGCACCTGGTGGGTCCATCGTCTTTCGCCTTTTTTTCCACCCCCCAAAATAAAAATTAATTAAATTTTCAATTTATTTTTGCAAAAATGATTCGATTATTTTTCTTTTTACATAAGAGTCGAGCTCCTTTTTCCGCCCGTTTGCCCTCGCGTCCGTGAAGTTCTCCTGGACGAAGCATCTTTGGACGGAGCACATTTGAACTTGGGGGAGGGGGTAAAAAAAAACGAAAAAAAAATGGAGGGGAAAAACGAAAAACCAACCACCAAAGAAAAAAAGAAAAACCCCGCGCTTTATTTCCAAAATTAGCTTTTCGTGCTTCTCTCGCAGCGGCTACGAATCTCGCCTGGCCGGAAAAAAAAATCATGGGTCAAAAAACGTCTATTCGAATTTCAATTAAAATACTTAACCAAAAAAAAAAAATCCAAAAACCAAAACCAACTCACCCTTCAATAACGATAGCATATCCTTTGCCTCTTGCTAAATTCTTCTCTAAAGAAACAACAACAACAACTTAAATTCTATGCTGCCACTAAATCTGACGATGAAGTAAAGAAAAAATATAAATATGACAACTACTGTATTAAAAAAATGCTACTGGCCCGAAAACATATGATGGATCAAGAATTTAGAGATTGTTCACACATGAGACGGTTTTGTTAAAAAATGTTTTATTTGCATTTCCCCAATGGAAAAAATGTCCACGTTATTTTATCAAAATTTTATCCAACATACATAAAATGTTTTGTCAGTTTACATTTATTTTATTATAATAAATAAAACAAAAAAATAAATACAAGAAGATATGGGCAATACCGGACAGAACTGGCGATTTTACTCTAGGGAATAAAGAAACGAGGGGTGAATAAGGCCAAGTCAGATTATAACACTGTTATAATAAATACAACAATTACAAGATTTATTCAATATATAAAAGTCGTAACTGGCCATTTTACTGGTAGGAATGAAGAATAAAGTGAATAAGGTCGTCAGGTTATACTACTGTTATAATAAATAATAATTACAGGAACCCATTAACTGACCTTGATATTAGCAGTGGTACATTTACTCCGTGGAAGGGATAAAGGAAAGAAGGGCATATGGTTATGACAGGTTACACTATTTCATAACAAGGCATGAGGTTATAAAACTGTTATAACTGGGCCAATGTTGTCACGGTATACGACTGTTATAACAGGGCGCTACTACTGTTACAACAAGGCGCAATGTTATATCAGGTATTATTACTGTTATAACGTGGCACAAGGTAAGGTCATAGTACTGTTATAACAAGGCAATTTGTTATGATAGGTACTGTTTATAACAAGGCCCACTTTTAGGTCAAGTTATATTAGTGTTATAACAAGTCATAAGCTTATGCCAAGTTATATTACTGTTATCACAATCCCACAGCTAATCTAGCTTATATCACTGTTATAACAAAACACGTTGTTATGATAGGTTATACTACTGTTATAACTGGGCAAATTTTGTGTCAGGTTTTAATACTGTTATAAAACGCTACAAAGTTATGATAGGTTGTACTACTGTTATAACTAGGCACAAAGTTATGCCAAGTTATATTACTGTTATAACAAGGCCCACGGTTATGTCAGGTTATACTACTGTTACAACAAAACATTTTGTTATGGCAGGTTATAATATTGTTTTAACAATTGGTTGGTTGCGTGCTGCTACAGAGTGAAGATCGGCTCTACAATTTTTAATTTTTTGACTGGTCATTTGTTTTCTTTATGGTTCAAAACTTACTTCGTTGATTTTTCAAAGATCTAAAGAATATTTGTTGTGTTTCTCCGTGTCATTTTGTGATTTATTTTCAGAGCTGAGAGAGTAAATTTAAAAGTGCGTTTTTTTTCTCGTTTTGTCGAAGGATCCATGCAACTTTAGATCACTATCGTGATAAGAATTGCGCCGGTGAGAATGGGAATGTACCACGAAAAATGGTGAATTTAATTAATTAAAATGAAGTACACTTCACTAAAGCTCTCCGTGGCCATTTCACTTGTCGCCGAGAATCAAATAGATTACACATTTGTAAAATGGTAAAAAGGAGGGAAAATTCAAAAGGTGCGGTTGAGATGGGAAGTTAGTGCCCGAGGGGATCGAAGTCATAGCTCAAGTGGTAGAGTAGCGGCGTATCAAGCCGAAGGTCGTGGGTTCGAATCCCGCTCGTGGCACTGACTTTTTTACAAGGATGTTCTCTCGATAGATTTAAAACAGAGATACTTTACTGTCTACCCTCGTGTTTATAGAGAACCTCTGTTTAATTTAATAATCATAGGTGACCTTAATGAAAGAGTGGGCACTGCACAGTCCCTTCCTGAGGAATTAGGGTCCATTTTCGTCGAACTTCAGGTTGACTCGATCTTCAAAAGATAAGGAAGTAAATACGCTGGCAGACTCTTCTTGGAGTTTTGTGGTGAAAACGATTTATTAATATTGAATGGTTGGTCTCCTGGGGATTTAAATGGCGATTTTACGTTTATTGTCTCAATGGGAATTTATGATGTGCTTCGAGTTCTTCTATCTACTATGATTGAGGATTTCAAAGTTCTATCTCAAATATTCTCAGACCATCTTCCTATTTCTTTGCAATTCTCTTTAAGAAACCATGAAGTGGAGTCCCTACTTCCTGTAGTTCCCCAAATGAAGTGGAATGCTGTTTTCCAGGATGAATACAAACGGAAAACACTAAACTCACTACATGATCTGCCTTACCCTCTCCCAAAAGATCCTCATGCTCAATTAAATTTATTCAAGCAAGTAATTAAAGTGTGTAGAGATTAGTGACCGTTAATCGATATCTGAATAACCAAGTAATTAAATCTGCAGCGGGAAATGGCACTGTTAAGCCTATTAAATGTTCTATAGAAATGCATGGTTTGATTATCATTGTCTCAGTTCAATGAGGAAATCGTTTTCTCTTTTAAAACTCATCCGTGTGACAGACTCAGAAATTGTGTGGAAAGCCTATGTAAGAGCAAATGTCTGCTATAAAAATCTTTGTAAAAATAAGAAAAAGGATTATTTTTCTCAAACTGCACTCATAAAGGACTCTAAAGAGTTTTGGACGTTGATACATAGACTTAAGGGCAAGAATTTCATTTTTAGTAACCAGATTTCTGCTTCTTCTTGGGCCCAACATTTTCAGGCGCTTCTGAATCCCATAAGCATAACCCAATCTTATTATTTTTATGCGGAACCTAAGTCTGGTGTTTCTTCTCTAGATAGTCCAATTTCTTTCAAAGAACTGCTCACAGTTGTAAACAAACTAAAAGATCATAAGGCGGCTGGTCCAGACAGAATCCCATATGCATTTTTTAAATATGCTCCTTGGGAATTCCTCTACCGTCTTCTTTCTTTATATAACTTAACTAGTTTTCGTGGTCCGCTTGACCAATTAATATCTTTCAATTAATTGAGGGTTTTAGTTGAGATAAAAAAGTCAGTGTCACGAGCGGGATTCGAACCCACGATTTTCGGCTAGATACGCCGCTGCTCGACCACTTGAGCTATCGTGACCTCCATCTTACTGCAATATCAGGTTATATTACTGTGATAATAAGCACAAGGTTACGTTATTTCACTGTTATAACAAGACACTTTGATATGACAGGTTATACTATTGTTATAACAAGGTCCACCGTTGTCAGGTTAAATTACTGTTATAAGAAAGCACAAGTTATACAACTGTTATAACAAAGCCAACTGTTATGACAGGTTACATTAATGTTATAACAAGGCACTTTTTTAAGGACGGGTTGTACTACTGTTATAACAATGCTCACTGTAATGCCGGGCTATAAGACTTGTTATAATCCGACCAGGAATAATAATAATGTGAATGAGGAATTAATGTTTAAGGGTGAAGGAGAGGTATTAGACAAAGTTAAAACGGCGAGTATGTGTGAATGAATGAGAAACGTGTGCGAGTGAGTGTGAACTAATGGGCAATAATTTATGCGGGTGTAAGAGAGCGATGAACGACTAGGATGGATTGAGCTTTTATGAACGAGGGCTAGTGAAAAGGTGCGATTGATCGAGTGATATTGATGACGGGGTGAAAAGAAAACCCAAATCTTTAAATATTTGTCTTTTTTTATTACTCCTTTGCCTTCAATTACAATTGTACAATATTGAATAACAATAATTAATTAATTTCGCTGTTGTGTAAGTTCTTGTCTAATTATTTATTTAGTTGTTTTCAATTTTTGCCCCCCCCCCCGAATAGGAAAAAGCCAATTTTTCGACAACAGTTTTACAACCTCTCTCCATTTTATACATAACCATTCCTTACCCCAAGTCATATTTGAAAACCCGAAAAAATTAATTATTTTTAATTAATGTTTTTAATGCTATAAATTCCGTTTGAACATACCCCTACTACGAAAGCACTTACTCTTAATGCTGTCTGAAAGATTTAAATATTTTTTTGTTAAATTATAATACCCCCTAAAAAAATTAATTAGTTAGCGCTACAATTATTGGTATTTATTTATTTATTGTAATTATTTGAAGAAAAAATTAATTGATTACAATAAAATCGAAGGAGGGAGAAAAATAAAAGGACGGTATCGCCCCAATGGTTAATTTTATATTTTAATTAATTAATTATTAGTCAAAAATGTTTTTTACAATATTAATAATCAATCAATCAATCAATTAAATAGTACGGTAGAAATATTTACAATCTAATATTATTGTTAATTTTAATATCAATATATTCTGCGTGTGAAATATGTAAATTAACAACCTTTTTTTACATTCTATTGTATTATTAATTTTTTTTTTAAATCGCGGGCGGGTGAGACAAGGCGAGGCCTGGCGGACCCACGGCCGCGTCCGTACTTTTGAGGTTCACTAAATATAAGCGTGTCGAGGCTAGATCGATTCGAGAAGAAAAAAATAAGAAGAAGAATAAAAATTACTATCGAGTCAATAGTCAATTTTTTGATCAATATTGACCTTGTGCCCGGGTGTGTGGACGGGCTGGGTAGAAAACTAACCCCTTCCACCGCAACCCAAAACGTTTGGACGATCCAGGGTGGGGGGTTCAATACCGAGACTAATTCTTTAACCCCCACCCCAAAATTAGTAACAATTCATTAATTTATTATATTATTAATGTATAAATAATGTATTATTAATGTTTTTCGTATGTTTTTGTTTTCAATTTATACATTTCCTGTATTTTTTTAATTATATCAGAAATGATATATTTTTATGCGTAAAAAAATACAAAAAAACATATACATTATACATATCGGGAGAAAAAAATGTGCGCGTCGCTGAGGAAGAAGACGTTGCATATTTTTTTTATACATTATTTTTATATATATATTTTTTAATAAGTAAAAACGATTGCTTTTTATTGTGATGAAATCGCTCTGGCGAAAAACAACTGTGCCACGTCCATCGACGGTGATGAAGAAGTAGTAAAAAATCGCCTGTAAAAAAGAAATCATTAGAGTGTTGGTGGAGGATTGGCCGCACTCGTCTCACATGTCTAAATATTTCGCTTGTAGCCGTGGTCTGTCAGCTTGCTGTGGCAGTTTGCAAAGCAGGATACGAGGCATTTGAAACGTACCTCCTTGAATATAGACACCAACCAGACTGAAAAAAATAAATAAACAAAACAGGTAAACACGTTAGGTATTAGGAAAAAACAGATGAGGCAGATATAAATTTTTCTCGGCTCCTGCCGCCATTTCCAATTCCTACGTCCCAATTCTGGATTCAGTTGAGTATCGAAGCAATAATCGATCCGTTCTTGGACCGATAGCCAATTCGATCGGCCATTTGCGATTCCTAAGTCGCCATCTTGGATTCCATTTAGAATCGTTCCAATGATGATCGATCAGTTTGAAGAATCGTCAATATGCTAGAATTTTTTCTGTTGGCCATTTGAATTCCTAGATCGACATTTCCGATCCAATTGAGTGTCAATTTACATCATCATTGACCAGTTCAAGAATCGATTTTGATCCAATTCTATTTTTAGCGATTTGGTCGGCCATTTTGCAATTCCTTCGTAGCTATTTTGGACTTAATTACGTATTAATTCATATGATAATCGATCAGTTTGAAAAATCGATTCTAGCATACTCAATATTTCGCTCAACCATTTACAATTCCTGCATATCGATAATCAATTCATTATATCGATAATCGTGCTCATCGAGAATCGATACCAGCCGAATCGAATTTTAGCGATCGGTCGGTCATTTGCAATTGCTACGTCGCCATTTTGAATTCAATTAATGTCGATTTATATGCTGATCGATCAGTTTAAAGAATCGAATCTAAAGCGGATGCGATTTTTAGCAATTTGGTCGGCCATTTTGCAATTTGTACGTCGCCATTTTGGATTCAATTAAACATCGATTCATATGATAATCGATACGAGTGCAAAATCGATTAAATTAGAACTATTCAAAGAGAATCGTTTCAATGAGAGTAGAATTAATTGGTTTTGTTTAGATATAAGAGGCAGAAAATTGAATGCTTACAGTGGAGCTATGGAGGTGACGAGGCATACTGTCACTGTATCGTGCAGAACGGCATCTTCTGCTGTTTCGATTCGGTCGGCGACTCGTCCGTCTTGGGGGATTCGGGCGCTGCCGTCCCAGGGGGCGGCAGCATTGTTTGTCATCTGAGGGCAAGGGTCGAGACCATGGGCGCCCTCGCCGGCTTGTTCCCGAGCACTTTGTCCAGCTCGGACATAATGGTCGAGTTGAGCTTCGGCACGAGCTGGAGGCTGTGGATGCAGTGGTAGAGGTGCTGGACGGTCGTCGCCCCGAGGAGGAGGCATTGGACAGAGTCGTTCTTCGAACACCAGGCGATGCTCAGCTGCGTCAAGGAGCAGCCGAGACGTTCAGCGATCTGTTCCACCTGCTTCAGCTTCTCTGACTGGCCAACCACCTTCTCTGACTTCTCTTTCCCCCAACACCCCTTTAAAAAATAGAAAGAAGCGGAAGTTTAAGAAAACTCGACTCCTTCTTTTTTGGCCTTACTTCCTTGGACTCCTTGCTGCTTGGCAACGTTTCATCTTCGCTCCAACTAAACGATGTGTACTTGTTGTGCTGAAATAGACCGGTTGTGAGATACGCGATGGTTGTACATTTCAATGTAATCCTTGACCATCACTTGACAAACTGTAGAACCTTTGTGTAACCTTACCTTGAGCGCGGATCGCGTCAGGACTTGTGCGTTGGCGTCGTCGACTTTGGGCGAGACGAGCCCCATTCCGATTGGCGACCAGGCCATGAGACCGACCCCGATCTTGTTGTACAGTTCGGCCATGTACAGCTCTGTCTTCTCCCGGCAGAACATGTGGTACTCGGCCTGTTCGATGATGGGCGTGATGCAGTTGAACTGCCTGCAGTTTGAGTACGCCTCCATGATCTCGACTGGTGACCACTTCGCAGTGCCCCAGTACATAACCCAGCCCTGGGATATAACGTGGTTCATCGCCCGGACCGTTTCTTGAAATTTAAATAACAAAAAATTACAACGAGGCGGCGGAAGACTTCAGCGTCAGGTCTCACCTTCGGTCGGGCACATCGGATCGCACTTGTGGAGTATGACGACGTCTATGTAGTCAAGCTTCAGGCGGACGAGAGAAGCCTTCACGCTTTCGATTATGTGCTTTCTGCTCAACCCTCTCTCATCGGATCTGAATTAAAAAAACACATAAAAATAATACTCCTAGAATCGATTCTATTTACAATGATAAATCGATTACTACGTCTCCATTTTGAATAAAGATTCATATGATAATCTATCAATATGAAGAATCGATCCTAATCTAATCGATTTTTAATCGTTTAGTCGGCCATTTGCAATTCCTACGACGCCATTGTGGGTTTCATTCGAGTATCGATTCATATGATAATCGATCAGTTTTAGAATCGATTCTGGCCTAATAGAATTTTAGAACTTTGATTAGCCAATCTTAATTCGTAATGGGGATTTTGAATTTCATTAGAGTATCGATACATATGATAATCGATCAGACCAAGAACTGATTTTAGATTCAATTAGATTTCTATCAGTTTGATCGCCATTTGCAAATTCCTACGACGCCATTTTGGTTTTCATTCAAAATTTGATCCATGATAATCAATCATTTAAAGAATCAATTGTTGTCTATTAGATTTTTAGCTGTTTGATATATTTGATATGTTTCATTCGAGTATCGATCAGTTCAAGAACCGATTTTGGCCTAATAGATTTTTGACAGTTTGATCGGTCATTCCAAATTTTGAATTCATTACAATTAATTAAGGTTTTTCATCTCAACTAAAAACCTTAATTAATTGTAATGTATTAATTGGTCAAGCGGACCACGAAGTTAGTGAATTTAATGAATTAAAATGAAGTACACTTCACTAAAGCTCTCCGTCGCCATTTCAATTGTCGTCGAGAATCCAAACCGATTACACGACATTTGAAAAATGGCAAAAGGAGGGAAAACTCATAAGGTGGGGTTGAGATGGGGAGTTGATGTCCAAGTGGATCGAGGTCACGATAGCTCAGGTGGTAGAGCAGCGGCGTATCTAGCCGAAGATCGTGGGTTCGGATCCCTCTCGTGCCATTAGCTTTTTTTCATCTCAACTAAAAACCTTAATTAATTGTAATGTATTAATCGGTCAAGCAGACCACGAAATTAGTGAATTTTGAATTCAGTTAAATATGGGGTTGATATCATAATCGATCAGTCCAAGAAACGATAATCGAGTCCATTCGATTTTTAGCGGTTTGATCGGCCATTTGTAATTCCTACGTTACCATTTGGACTCATTTGAATATCGATTCTGGCCTAATAGATTTTTAGAAGTGTTTTGAAAAAAAAAAAAAAAAACAGTATTACTCCACCTGCTACTCACTTCGAGTTGAAGTAGATCTTGGTCGTGACTATGTAGGAAGACCTCGGCCACGGCTTCCTCTTGAGGATCTGGCCGAGGAAAAGCTCCGCCCTCGGTCCCGTGTGCGCCTCGCTCAGGTCGAACAGGTTGATGCCCGCGAGGTAGGCCGCCTCCACGACGGCCTCCGCCTCCAGCTCCGACACGCCGCCGCCGAACGTCACCCAGGCCCCTGGAAGAACAAGACGATGACCCATAAACTCAAATGATGTAACGACAGACATAAAACACACTTGGATTTTGTATGACGGGGTGGTGAAGCAGCAAGAGGTGGGGGCCGGAAAGCATAATGCACCAATTTTGGCGATTCGCCGGATTTCGCATATATGGCAGGGCATTGTGAAAAGGGTAAAGAAGGCGGCTGTGGAAAGGGTTACAAAAACGAACAAAATTGACACATCCCACGGTTTTTAAAATTTCTTTTTAGAAGGGGGAGTCAGCCGGCGGATGAAGGTCAATGTGCCGAGGTCGGGGCAGGCGGATCGATCCTCCCTGCCGCCGCGGCACACCGGAACAACGCCGAGCCTCCCCCGTCCCCCAATCGATCCGCCGCCCCCGTCACCTGGGGCACCACAGGAACAAAAAAAGAAAAAAAAGAGCTCCAAGACTAACCGAGACCGATGTTCGAGACCCGGAGTCCGCTTTTCCCCAGGTTCCTGTACCTGAGGCCAGGCGTCAGCTGCCTCGAGTTCGAGCCCATATTCTCAGACAGCTCTTCCATAAACTCGATGCTGGCTATCGGTGCCCTGCAACTGGAAAACAAAAAAGACCCTGGATTAGTTAAAGCATAACTAAAATGTAGTTGACATAACCTATTTATACGTAAACTATCGTGGACAAGATAGCAACAACTAGTACATAACCCGTAAACAAAAAATCAGCCGGCTATACCGATCGAGTGTCAAAAATATAACCTGCAAATTTATAACTTCTCAAACGCAAAATAGCGTGGCAGTTGAATATTCACAACATATCAAATTAAAATCAGACAAGATAATGAGTATAACACTTTCAACGTCCAGTGAGTTGAGACAGATAAAAAACCTGAACATAACAAGGTGAGAACATAAACTACTCCCATGTAACCTACTAGAATACGACCTACAGTTCTAAAACCTCCTTGCTAGATCCATCAAGTTTGAACTGCATCAATTCGTACATAACCTATACACTTTTAACCTTCATCCTCCAATTGGAAAAGGCTAGACTCTGAGGAATGGTAGGACCACTAACCGCTTAGTGGCATCTGAGAAAACATCTACAGAACATTGGCATGTACAACGATTTTCCCAACTGCAGATTATGTAATGAGGAGAAGGAAACAGACACCCATATCATCTTCGAATGCAAAACAACAGCTCAATGGAGATTTATCCTAAAATACGAAAAAAATCTAGGGAATGAAACTGTAGCAACAGTCAAAGACCTGATACTTCTAAGAAGAAGGATTGGGTCTATTGAACTGAACTAAGGAACTAGGATGGTACAATAAGCCAGAAGGGTGCAGTGCCTGGGGAGCACAAACGCCGCTTCCTAGTATCCTCATTATCAAACCACACCGTCTGTTATCCATCTATCATATATTAACGGTTAAATTAGGATACAGTGTCAACTTTCATAGCGTACAGCTAACATATACGGAAGGTACCAACATAATCTATACAATTATATTCAATCTCTGACCCACTCGTTCATTCTATGATTCACTCCGTAATTCACTAAATTTCTTACCGGCCGTTTGTTAATGGTCCAGTCGCCTAGTAAAAGGATCTTTCGTTTACAGATTAACCATATTGTTGACGGTTCGTTCGTTTAAAGATCGACTCATTAACGGAATCGTTCGCTCGATTAATAAATAATACCAACTCGAGCATGACCTCTACACCTCCATAATCTCCTTGCATTTTCCATCAAGTATGAATGACATCAGTTCATACATAACCTGTACACTTGTAGACTCCATGGGTGATCTACGAATCGTGTATTAATATATCTCAAAGCCTACCTCAAAAATAACCTATACAAGTTCAACATCATATATCTAACATTTATTAATAGTACCGACTCAAACATAACCTATGCCTTTATAACCTACATAACCTATACACTTGGAAACTCCATGGGTTATCCACGTATCATGTATTATCGGTTACAACTCAAAAATAATTTATACAAGTTCAAGATCATATATCTAATATTTATGAATGATACCGACTCAAACATAACCTACACCTTTATAACCTCATTGCCAAACCCGTCAAGTTTGCACGACATCAATGCCTACATCACCTTACACTTGTAAACTCCATGAGTTATCAACGCATCGTGTATTAACGGTTGTAACTCAAAAATACTGTATGCAAGTTTAACAACATATATCTAACATTTATGAACGGTATCGGCTCATATATAACCTACACCTTTATAATCTCCCTGTTAAACCCACCCAGTTTGAACGGCATCTATTCCTACATAACCTATTCACTTATAACTTCTTTTTATATATCCATGATGTTTGAATCACATCCTTTCGTACATAACCCACACACTTGCAAACTCCATGGGTTATCCATGCATCATGTATTAACGGTTAAAACTCGAAAATAACCTATACTCCCTTACTAGTATATTATCGGTACAGTTTATATGCTTGTAAATGTATGCTTGTTTGAATTTTGTAATATCTGGCTATGTGGGGGAGATTGAACATGTGTTATTTTTGTCGCTGCTTATAAACGATTTTGTTGTGTAAAAGTGTTTCGACTTTCATGGATTTGGAGGAGTTGAAGCTTAAGTGCGACCTCACTGAGGATGAGTGCCTTGAGAGCAGCAGGCGGATGCTCTCCTTGTGCGAGGAGAGCGAGCGCGCAGGGGCTGAGACGGTGGACGCCCTCGCCGCCCAGGGCGAGCAGATACAGCGGATATCTGCCGGTGCTGCGAAGATGAAGGAGGACCTGGAAGAGGCGAAGGAGTCGCTCCAGAAGATGGCGTGGTGTTGCATGTTCATACCGTGCAAGGTGTGGGGGAAGAAGCCAGCCAAAGAAGAAAAAGACGAATCCGGGAAGCCTTTACCCGTCGTTCAGCGTCCACCGGCACCCCAGGCACACTGCGACACCCCGGACAGGCTTAAAACGAGGAGGACAGAGACGGACGACAACATTGACCTCGTCAACGGGATCGTCTCTGGACTCAAGGCGATGGCTGTCAGCATGGGTGACGAGCTGGACAAGCACAACAGACAGATCGACTCCATCGCCGCCGTATGCGAGCAGAACGGCTTTGACTTGAAAAAAGTCAAAAAGAAAACCGACCGTATATTAATTTAAATCACGGAAATCACGTCAAAAACGCATACTAATTATTCTTCCCCTCTGCGGGTTGGTTTTTTTTATCCCGATAAAGCCCGGACTCAAACCATCCCACAACACAGTAACCCCGCGAACTTAACGTCAAACCTTTTAGAAAACCCGTTAAAAAACGATTAGCATCGATTTTCCCTTTAGGCGTGACACGTTTTTTCTGCCTAGGAACATAGCCAGAACCGTATCGACGCACTGCTCGGATTCCGCATTATCATTCTTACGCGATCTTGAATTATCATATCACCGCAAGTTATTATTTAAAAAAAAGATCAAACATACATATTTTACTCTTTTTAAAAAAATAAGTTTTTGATAATAATTGTTGAATTTCATGTAAACGAAGTTTGATCGTTTTCTGTAATTGAGTTGGTACCATTCAGATATCTTGGATTTATAAAAGAAGGTTGAAAGTTATTTTTGAGTTACAACTGTTAATACATAATGGATGCATAACCCATGGAAGTTATAAGTGGATACGTTTTGTAGGATTTGATGCCATTTAAACGTGATTGATATGGGTAGTAGGTTAAGGGAGTGTACGTTAAGTTCGAGTTGATGCTAATCATATATGTAAAGAAGGTTGAAAGTGTGTAGGTGATATACGAGTTGATGCCTTTCTAACATGGTCGATATGGCAAGGAGGTACTATTTACACAAGTTGCCTGTATGAAAAGGTTGAAAGTGTGTAAGTTATTTCAGAGTTATAATCGTTAATACATGATGTACGGATGATATTACATGATTATAAGTGTGTAGGTTTGGTAGGATTTGATGCCATTTAAACTTGATAGATATGGCAAGGAGGTTAAGGCAGTGTAGGTTGATGCCTTCCTAACAAGGCAATGAGATTATAGAAGAGTGGGTTATGTCGAGGTGTTGTAATTCCTTCATACAAAATCCATGCCAAAACTGTTTTAACTGTATAGGTTATGTGCCAGTTGATACTGTACAAACTATGGCAAGGAGGTTTGAGTTGGCACCATGCATATATGTGACCATACACCAAGAAGGCTGAATGTTTTTAGGTTATGTTCAAATTAAAACAATAGATGTATTACCCATGAAGATTATAAATGTATAGGTTATGTACTAACTAATCCGTTAAGGCTTAATGGATATGGCATGGAGGTTCTACAAGTTTAGGTTAGGTTTGACTTGGTGCCATTCTATACGAAAAGAAGGTCGAAAGTTTATAGGTTACATACGAGGTTATGTTTGAGTTATACTATTTATAACATATATACTACTTATAATTGGGTTGAGGTGGGAAGTTAGTGTCCAAGTGGATCGAAGTCACGATAGCTCAAGTGGTAGAGCAGCGGCGTATTTAACCGAAGGTCATGGGTTTGAATCCCGCACGTGACCCTGACTTTTTTATCTCAACCAATACGTTACTAAAATATTAATTACTTGAAAGATGTAATTTGGTCAATCGGACCATGAAAGCTAATGGAACTATTTCTAATGTTTGTATATATATATATATATGTATATGTATATGCTGAAAGTGTTTAGGTTATGTTAATAGAAATGGATGTATAACCCATGGAAGTTATTAATGTATAGGTTATGTGCGTATGTCTAGATTATGATGTTCTCTCAAGTCGATCCAATCGAGAATCGCTTGGGGTTCAATATGTTAAAAAAAGATTCAATCTGGAAGATATTCCAAATTGAATCGATTCTTAACTCATTGACGCGATTCACCAATGGAGCCATTCTGTTCGTTGGAGCGATTCCAACTTGGGGATTGAAACGATTCTTAATTCATTGAATCTTTCCTTTACTCCCTTTTTTTCCTTTCGGCGAGTAGAAACTATTTTCCATTTGGAATCGCTTTAAACTAAGAATACAAATATTTAATTGGGAAACAATACAATTGGAAATCGCTACAATCCATATAGATCCAGTTCAATCGGTAATCGCCTCAAGAGTGCAGGAATCGCATCAATCTCTCTGTTATTGATTCATTGACCCCCATACCCCCGATAGATCGAACCAATTCGATTGGGATTCCTCAATTAATCCATTTAGACATGGTGAATCTTAGATATATGAGAGCCACATGGCTTAACTGCTTACAGTTATGCAGCGGAGGTGAACTGTATCGTGCAGCGGCGTACAAGACCTAATACCTGAGGAGCTTGGAAAAAGAGTTGCTTCAGGTTGCAAGTACAGCATGACATCCTTGTCTGCATAGGATAACAACATAAACACAAATACAAGCTGTATTCGTGTTTCCTGGACTCTCCGCGTGCATTTGGAAGATAAGACGAAGGAAGCGTATAGCACACGTGGATGCAAAGATTACGCCTACCAAGTCCGTCGAAATGCAGCAAGGGAGTTGTTGGCTTGCTGAATCAGAGTCACACGGGGTTAGAGTACCAGATCATGTCTGCATAGACGGGGGAGGGTGCATAACCATCTGAACTACGGGGCAGCGAAAGGTCCAAGTCCAGTCCAACTGTATGGTGTCCAGTGGCTTAGTGGCGAGGCTCCTTAGAGAAGAGCCTGTTTTTCGCTGGTACCCTTATGGGCTTCCTTTACCGAAGGCAGGTTCCTCTAGGGGGTGGCTAGAAATTCCACTTTAGTAGTTTTCGACGCTGGCGAGGCCCCTCAGAAAGGTAGAGTTGCCTCTTTCTACGGAGCGCATTGATGCATTTCAGCCCTTTCGGGTATTCCTTTACATGCGGCACACTGTTAAGTGCACAATATTGACCTTTCGGAAGAGGCAAGCGAGAGAAGTCGGCATGATTAGTCTGGGATGTGGTGGCTTCTACACCGAACTTCACGGTGTTCACACTATCTACCACGAGCGGAGGTTAGTCGCTCCTAGAGATAAAAGAAGCGGCCATAAGGCCTACTGCACCTCGACCTGAATCGATCTATTGTGCTCCCCTGTTTTTTTATAACTAACTGGCTAGCTTCAGGTCTGTTAATAAGCCTCTATAGCTTTGCCAGAGGCTTCTTAGTATAGGATCTTGCTTGCGTTTTTCTTCTCCTAGTTGCAAGAACCCGTACCTACACCTTCACAGAAACATAGAATGTGTTCTGCGGTGAGTCGCTCCTAATTTGAGAATTTAAACGTGTCATAAAGCCTATGTACCAAGTGTGCACTCTAAAGAACCTCATTGTCTAATGACATTGCGACTCCCAATGGAAAACATACATGTCTGCATAGGAGCTCGGTCGTAAAAAAAAAAAACCACTTATTTGTGTGCACGGCCTAAAAACAAAGAGGTGGTCTCTTGAGAAAGTCAATATACCTTAAATTCACGCGATGCAATTTTGTCATGGATACCGTCCTGTGATACGGCAGCTTGAGTCATTTTAATTATTAAAACAGACGGCACGTACACTAGGTTTTCTTGTTTTGAACTACGAGCAGACAGGTAGTTCTTTTTTTTCGCCTTACCGGTAGATGGTGGGTTGTGCAGGGGATCCAGGCCGGTTGTTGTTGCTGTCATTTGAGTTGTTATTGTTGTTGTTGTTTGCGTTGTAGAGGGCAACCGACTCGCCTAGGGAGCAGAGCACGATCTGAGACATGTCCGGGTTCGGCGTCGGGAGGGGCGGGGACGGGGGACGGGCAAAACAAAGGCGCGGGGGGAGAGGGAGGGAGGGAGAGCGAGTGTGTGCGAGTGAGAGAGAGGGTGAGAGAGAAAGGACAGAAAGAGAGAGAGAGTGAGAGAGAGAAAAAAGAGAGAGAACGAGAGAGCGGGCCGGGTCGGTCCTCAACCGGCGAGCAACCCCGAGCGACTGCCGCCCCCGATGCGGATCCCCTCTCTTGCACCCGTTCCCACGCCGTCCCCGCCCCCGCCCCAACACCACCCGGGCCGGTCCGTGATAACCATTGCGGCCCCGAACGGCACGACATACTTTTAACTCGCCCCCGACCGCTGCCCCCACCACGTTTTTGGCTTTATAGTTTATACGCCTTTCAGCCGCTGTTCAACCCGGTTCGAACCGGCTGGTCCATTTCGAATTAACCCGAATTAAATACAATTAACGACGGCCTTTTTGATCTATCCCGTTCTTGTTTACAAAGGACATTTAAAAGCAACAACACAAAATAAACAAATGGGCCAAATAACAACATCAAACCCGAAATTAAGGTCGATTGTCATTCATACTACCAGAAATCCTTGAGACATAAATTAAACACAATGCTGGCACTCTCAACAGGACACGCAAGGATGGCACAATTACACAGAAGACAAACACTTTGAGCCCTGAAGATGATCTCAATAAAAGATCGAAACGTTGGCACGATAAAGAAAATGTTTTTCTGAAACCTACATCACACCCGACCGCATCTCACGATATCTGAATATTTATCCGTTTTCATAATTGAAACGATAGACCGTGCTAAAATCACCACGGACACGTGATAACCTCTAGGTCACAGTAAACTAGGTTATAAACATGTAAGCAATAAATGCACTGACGTAACTTTTAAAATAACCGATAAGCAGGTTATAGACATCTAGTTTCGATAAACAAATTTAAATTGTCAGATAACAGTTGTCAGTAGGTTATAGATATTTGGTGACATTTTTTGACTTATCCGTTTTCATAGTGGACATAATATAGCAATACGACCATCATGTCTTTATAACCAGGTTATATGTTAAACAGGTTATAAACTTCTAGGGGTTATATACCGTGATATAAAATGTAAGGCAACATTAAGTAGGTTATAAACATGTTGGGATGACATACTCAAATTTAACCTGTCAGGTAACAGTTAAATAGGTTATAAACATGTCGTGACCTAGTATGATTTCATTCACGTTAGAGGTTACATCACTCTAAGTCATCTGGACATGGTTATAATCTACTTGACGGTTACCTTACAGGTTTTACAATTACGATTGTAGCTAAGTTTATTGTGGCAGAAGTAAATCTGAAGAAGTTGAATCCTCCCAAACCATGAAATAACCTACTTAACTGTCACCTAGAAGTTACATCAGTGTATCTAATTTCCAGATATTTGTAACCTACTCGACTGTTACCTTACAAGCTACATTGGTTTATGTCACCCCCTAGGTGTTTATAACCTACTTAACTTTAACGTTATAGGGTATAGTTGATGATGGGTCTGCGAGTCGGAGAGCTCATGTTGAACCGGCGCACTTATTGGGTCTGTTTCCATAAGCGGGTTTTGAGTTTTTCCAACGCGTTTCGGCATTGTGCCATCTTCGGTGAAAAATTTGGTTATGCTATGTTAGCACGAGATATCAAGACAAATAATTTTTAAAAAATCTTAACACACCAGTTGAACGCTTCAATAGCTTTTACACATCTATGCATATAACTCACTTAACTGTTACCTTAGAGGTTATATCATTGTATCTCATACCTAGATGTTTATAACCTAGTTAACTTTTGTAGGAGGTGGTTTTATCATGAGTTATTACGTTCGTTATGACTACTGACAAAGTTAAAAAAATCTTAACACGGATATTAACCACTGCGTAAACTTTCACACATAACCACATGCGTATAACCAACCTACTTTACTGTTACCTTACGGGTTACATCAGTGCATTCATTATTTTATTTCTTTATGTTTATAACCTAATGAAACTTTAAAGGGTACATCAGTCTAAGTCAAATCGATATGTTTACAACTACGTAACTGTTATCTCGTAGGTTAAATCTGTGTATTAGATGTTTAAAACCTGCCGAGTTACACCATACGTCGCGATACTTGGATGGTCTAAAATATGACATGGAAATATGTATAAATGTATGTTTTCTCCTGACCTGGACTGTGAGGCGAGGAGGAGTCTCCTTGCTTCGGCAGCATGGTGGTCTGCCGCGTGCTGTGCAGCCACAGCCTGCGCGGCCGCCTTCTCCTTCTTCTCCTCGTCCGTCTGGCCTCTCCCCGAGCCGCCCCCGGGCGGGTACGAGAACCAGAATTGGTGGGCCAGCTTGCCGGCACTGCGAACAAAAAACGTCAGGGAATATATTATATAAAAGTCAAATTTAAAAAAATAATAGGTCGTGTGCCGCCAAATCGTCTCGCTGTTTACCTGACGTTTTTTCTACTTTTACCTTTCACTTTACCCGCCTGGAAAATATTCCAGCGCGTTCTCTACACTTTTGGAGTGTTTCACGATCTCGCACTTCCAAGGGGGGTTTGTTTATTTACTTTTTTGAACGGCCGTGGGAGAAATATGTTTAAAAAAGAAAAACACAACCTTGCCCCCCCTCCCTTCGTGGCTGATAGGTCTAAATTTAAAAAAACCGGCTCTTGGGCTCCTTTTTTAGATTTGTTTTTATCTTCTTCCAGGGTTTTTTTCTTCTTTCTTCATTTGGCTATTTGTTTAATTTAAAATCAAAGGGCCTGAACGGTCCGATTGCTGCCACCTCTCGGTGGAGGCGGCTCACTAACCGGTTGAGCCCGCTAGCGCTGACGACCAGGCCGACAATTGACTCAATCATTTCAACCCAGATAAATAAATAATTCAGATAATTAATTATTTATTATTAAATTTTTAACGGAATTCTTAATTTCCGTTATTTATTTAAGAAATTAAATAAATAAATTTAAATAAAGCACCGACCACTTTTTTACGCACGTACAATCTAGATGACGGTATGTCCTTATGAAAAAGCAAATTCAATTGTTTCCTGTTTTAAGGTCATCATCAGAGCCTACATTAATTACACATTATAAATACACATTTTTATAGTTGACTGAAGAATCAATATAACTATCTAGATCTTACAGAACTATCTTAAATATGTCTACAAATTGATATAATTTAAATTTTAATAGACGATTTCAAATTTCTTTGAAGACCGAATCAGTCCCAACATTGCCTAGGACTGCAACAGTATTGCAACCTCATGAATCTACTGCATAAACATATACGTTACATTTATATTATATGAATGGACGTGGGTTCGATTCCCACCTTCTCCGCTGGCCCTTTTTTTTTACGCAACCTCCCTATCGCACCAAACTATATATGATGAAATAATCAACGAAATGTACTCTGGTTTAATTGGAAGCACATAAGGGCATTAAAAAAGTTTATGTATTATTTTATATATGATTTTATATAATATTTTTTATAACACATATTTTTATGTACAGTAAAATATTGAAGAGATGTATATTTTTTGAGAGAACGGTATTTTCATTATCTCCCTCCCACCCACTATCATTCTCGTTCTCTCACAGTTTCTCTCCCTCTCAAATCTCTTTCTCCGACCCTTTTACTAACTCTCTAACTCACTCATTCACTCAATCTCATTCACTCACTCACTCACTCACCCTCTCTCTTCTTCTTTCTCTCATTCACTCGCTCACTCACTCTCTCCCCCCTTCTTTCTATCATTNATTCACTCTCCCTCCTTTTTTTTCCTCTTATTCACTCGCTCACTTACTCACTCACTCACCCTCCTTCTTTTTCTCATTCACTCACTCACCCTCTCTCGTCTTCTTTCTCTCATTCACTCGCTCACTCACTCTCTCCCTCCTTCTTTCTATCATTCTCTCTCTCTCTCTCTCTCTCTCTCTCTCTCTTCCTCTCTCGCCTCGCTCCAACCGGATAAGGTAGGGAGGCAGGTAATGGAGTACTCAGCGCGCAGGGTATCCTGTCGACCCAGCCATTTCCCTCTTCGCCCTTGTTTATCACATTGCCCTCGACCTTCACCTCCGGTGTTCTGGGATTCTTCCGGGGTTCTTTGGCATTTCGCCATAGGCCGGTTTTTGAAAATTTGATGGTTGACCGAGACGTGGGGGTGGCCGGGCGGTGCTGTGGCGCAGCCCATGGCCCGCCTCGGAAACGGGCCCCCCCTCATCCAGGATCAATATTGGCAACCCAGGGAGCCTCCACCTCCGACGCATCTCTCGGGATGCAGGCCTGGAGGATGAACAAGATCGCGCGATAACGATTTTTAAAAAATCTACATATTAAACAATTACAAAAAATTTCGACCGAATCCGCCCAGAAATAACAGAAAACTGAATAAATAACAACCGCTTGAAAATACAACATAAACTAATAAATATGTATATACAATTTTGAATTAATACACAGTAACTATACACTACAATAATTTTAATCTAGCTTTTAAAAAAATCATCATTACAGAAATCAATTTTTTCCGAGGGGGACTGGATTCGTCGAACCGAAAATTCAAATTCTTTGATCATGAGCTATGATTTTCATGATCTAATCATGAATTCCAAAGGTAGTCGGTTGTGTGTGTACGGTTTGGTGGGTGATCGATTCCCCTTTGAATATTTTATAGGAGAGCCAAGTTTGATTGATTTCCAGGCGGTTTTCGAACAAACGGAAGAAAAGGCATTTTCCTTTTTACATACTTTCACGCTGATATATGATAATACAAAAATTCAAGGGCGAGAAAGGGTGAGGCACAAAAAACCTGCAATAGATCGTCTGAGGAGTTAATTTTAGCCTGACTGTCATCGTTGAGTGACACTTTGGCAGCTGATGCCGGTGAACCCGGGTCGAAAATAGGACGTCCCCGAGACGGGCGAAGTACCCGCACCGCGGTACTCTACGCTCACATCGATCCTGGACCTGGGCCAGGGAAAGCAGGAGGGAAGAGGGACCGGGGGTCCGTGTGGCATCGCTGCGACTGGCCGGGACGGCTGCCAGTGGCCCCCACGTTTAAAAACAGCCCAGTGACACTGGGGGCCTCCTATTTTGATTCCATTTATTTATTTACGCTGCGTGCGACTGAGACGCTAAAAAAAGGCCCGCAAGAAACAACAGAAAAGGTTTAAAAAGAGAAAATTAATAAATAAATTGTGGCCGGGGCTAGTAAAAATTAGCTTAAATTAAAAATAGGCACGGGATAATGAAGACATGAAACCTAAGAATGCATAAATATGCAAGATAATGCATAAGAGCCAACAAAAACATACCTAACGTGAATAAAGAAATAAATTGACTCAAATTCTGGAAGGGGCTTATAATTCTGAATACGATTTTTAGAAGTCAGATACCTAGAAAACCGTTCGAGAAACTGGTAAACATTATATCTTATTCAATTCACTAGTTTCGTGGTCCGCTTGACCAATTATCTCTTATATAATATCTATTATCTCTTATATCATTTGGTCTAGAGGAAAAAAGACTTGAAAAGGAAAAAAAATGTGGATCTGATTTTGGGAGGGCGCGCTCAATTTGGGGTTAGGGAGAACCTTTTGAACTTCAATACAAACACATAACCACAAAACAAAAAAAAAGTAAAAATCAGAAAAAAGCTATCTTTCCAAATATGTTAAGCGTCAGGGAAACCATTTGGGGTTCGAGAATCACAAGAAACATTACATCTTACAATAATTTTGGGTGAAAGGAAATAGGATTTATAAACAAAATGTGGACGTTTAAATTTTGGGGTATATTTTTGTGCCCAATGATCTCCGAGGTAATTGAAAAGACTTGAAAAAGAAAAAAATGTGTACACGATTTTGGGAGGGAGCGCTCAATTTGGGGATAGGGACAAACTTTTGACCCAGTGAACTTCAATATAAACTCATATGACAATACAATTAAAAAAAAAAAAAAAAAAAAATCAACTCGAATTGTAGAAAACTTTTCTCGATTTTTTTCTAAAAAATTGTACGAAATATGACAAATGCAAGGGAAACCGGAGTTCGAAAAACACAATTAACATTACATTTTATAACAATTTTGTGTGAAAGAAAATAAGATTTAAAAATGTAGGAACTTAAATTTTGGGGTAATTTTTGTATGATTTGGGGTGTAAAATTTGAGAGGGGCAAATTTCGGAGACTGTTATCACCTCCAGTTTCTTTTCTAAATATTAAAAGAAAACATCGCAAACGTCCAAATAGAAAAATTACGTTAAATACGGGGGCGGGGGCAAAAATTGAGGGTGAATAAGGTACATACACCTTTAAAATATTTCTAAATACAAAAAACATTGAAATGCAAAATTAAAAAACACTTGAAAAAATAAACAGTTTGATAGATATTAAACTGAATAAAATAAACATAATTAGACAAACCCAAGGTGACAAATCTCCTGTTTCAATTTTTTTTTTTTTGGGGGGGGGAGCGAATTTTTTCTAAATATTCAAAAAAAACATCGTAAACGTTATAGTACCATACAAAAAACATCATTAAACGGAAAAAGGTAATGACAGAAACTAGTCGATAAACTTAAAACTTCTGCAACATACCTGAGTTTAACGTTATCCCATGAAAAAATGCCATTTCAATTTTGGGAAGGGGCGCAAAATTTACAATATGCAAAAATTCAGTGCAAAAATCAATTAAACAATAAATAAGATTTGGACACGATAAGATTACGAATTCTTAATAATAATAATAATTTAAAGAACAAATGAATAAATTTTCGCATGGACCCGGAGTTAATCGACTAATATTGGATGAAATTTCGATTGAATTTTAGGAAGGGACGCAAAATTTTAGGAAGGCTACTGTACATCATTTCAATCTTTCTAGATATTACTAAAAAAACACGTTAAATGTTAAAATTCGTTTTACAAAAATTAAGCAAAAAACAAGTTAACGATACACAAATGATAATGAAATTAGTCGATAAACATCTTCACCTCTAAAATCTTTAAAATAAACCTCGTACACTTTAAAAACCAACATGAAAAATACAAGTAAATAATAAACAGAATAAAATGGACATATTTACTCAACGTCCCCGATATAAAAGATTGTGCCGTGGACCACCTGTTACAATTTTTGGAGAGGGCGCAAAATTTCGAAATTTTTTTATAAACTTCAAAAATTGGAAAGTAAGAGATGATATTTATAAGAAAAATAACAGTTAAAAAACCAATTATATAGGGTATAGCAGAACTGTTTCCCCTCCTCCAAGAAGTTGGACGTTTTCCTTCCTGTTATAAAATTTTATCCCTTTATAAAAATAAAATAAAATATGTATCAAAGCAATATCTCAAGACACTATACTAACGAAAAAATCTTTAAAAAGATTATTAATAAAACGTAATCTGTTTTTAATTTAAATTAAGGCAATTAAAAATATAAAAAACTGAGAGGGCCAAAAAGGTTATAAATGCTAAAAGAATTTTAGAATTTTTCAGATTCAAAATGCAGGATGTTTATTATTTTTCAAGCTTTTTTTTGTCAACGGATTTCTAATTGGAATAATGGAGTAATTAAGAAATAAAAAGTTTTAAAATAAAAAAAAAAGTGCTCACCTAAGTGCTTTGTTTTGAATCCATTGAATTTCAGGTGTTTGTGAGTTGTGTTAGAAAAATTAATTAATTTAGAAAAACTAACAAAAATCTTTTTAAAAAAAGTATTTTTCACAAAAAATTATTATTATCTTTTTGGAGGGCGAAAGTTTTTTCCACCCCCGAGAAAATTTTCTCCTGAAATCGGCGCGCGTTCGTAAAAAAATTCAAAAATAAAAGCGTAGATTTTCTTTCTTTTGTTGAATATAAAGTTTCTCTCAGCGTTGTTGTTGTTGTTGTTGATCGAATCGAGGGCGCGCCTCACCAGTTCGGGGGGTGGACGTCTCGGGACTGATCCGCGCCGGTCGCATGTTGCGTAGGGGGGAGGGCAGACAGGTGTGCCAACTTGACACCATGGCCGGGGGCGGCATTTCCCGCCGGGATTGATTATGCCATGATTTATATTCATAGTGGACGAAATCATGATCAAAACCCCAAATCACTGTCACGTGTGATAAAGCGCAGATCATCTCTGGTCAAAAGTGATCTAGCGGTTCTGCCATTTGATCATGCCATGATTTTTACATATTAGTAAGAAAGATCATGATCCAAGAAAGATTACCGTCATATATGTTCGTGCACAGATTCAGATCACTTAGAATCATGAAGTAGCCCGTGTAGTTCCGAAATCATACAATGATCGTAATCATGGGGGAAATCATGAGACAACAACATTAAGGCTTATATCTGGTATACATAAAGTTTAGGTTTCAACCCAAACACTATCAGTGGCTTTCCCATTTGAACAAGCCATGATTTGTCATAATCTTTTCGCCATCATAGATGAAATTATGATCAAAAACTCATATAAATGATAAGATGTGGAAACAGTACTGTCCAGGTCATTATTGACATAACAAGCGATAAATTTGCCGTTAAGTGAATGATTTTTTCCCGTAAAAATGGAAGGGGGTCTCAAAAATGATAGTTGATTGATTATAGATCATTGAAAGAATCAGAATATTTAGAATCATGAGATACAGATCTGAATAATATCACATGTTCAGCCGTCCAAAAATACCGAGATTTGCACTTTCCTGATCATGACGTACGTGAATCGTGAGATCATGAGTCATCATAACAGCGTTCTTCTTCCACCATGTTTTACGTCTGGATCTCGATGAAAAAGGGGCATTTTTCCGGTCGGCTAGTCAATTTCTCTGCCGATCGGGCTGGCACCATTTTGACAGTTGGTTGCGCGTTTCAGAACCAGCCGCCTTTTTTTATTGGTTTTCCATGCGTTCAGTCATCAGTCGTTTGCCCGGAGTCGTCGAAATGGCAACCGTCACCTGGGGACTGATGCTGATGCTGCTTCTATTTGCAGAAGGCCTACAGCATGTGGCCGATTGCGAATTGTTCTGCAGGAAACGGGACCAAGGTGAGTCTGAACCGTCCCAGTCTTCCCTATTCTAAGCGTGATAGAACTCTTTGACAAGTTTTAGTCATCTATGCCTCTTTAATAGTGCTAGTAAAGAGCGATCGATCAAAGAGATGAATAGAATAGAATATATAATAAAATATATTATAACAGAAAATAATAAAAAAAGTAAAAGAATCTGCTTTATTCGAATTAATCAATAATTTTATTACAAATGATTCCCAGAATAATGTATCAAAAAAACAAAGAAATGGGACTAGAAGGAAAAAGATGCGCACCTCCAGAATTTTTCAATTGTGTAAATTAATAAACATATTTTATTTTATTTCTAATAATATTCATAAGTACAATTCATAGATCATGATCTTATTTTACAATCTAGGTAGCCTATAAATCAAGGTGCAGAGAATAAACAAAATGTTGCTTACATGCAAATGTTATTTATAAGATCATACTTATATTAGCTGCTGGGGCAATAATAAAATATTAATACTAACATGCTCACTAACCNAGGACGGCAGAAAATACAATTTTGAAAAGAAGCAGGAGAGTCAAGGAAGGATAGAAAAAGGATTCCAGTAAATAATATAATGAATCAGTGAATCCCAGTTATGGAAGGCCACATATTGCAAGCTTTTGTCTTCCATTAATACAGAGTCAATATATCAACAGTTAATTGTATGAGTGGTTCAGGGAAGTGGTCCAATAGGACTGTTGATCAATCACAACATCCTTCCTGTATCTCAAAGGTACTTTACCCAAGGAACAAATTTAAATTTAAATCAAATGGATTTCAATTAATGGATGAGGTGGTTCCTATTACAAAAGGTGGCCTCCAAGGATCATTAAGTGTTTTAAAAACAAAAAAATTGAAGAAATTTTTTTATAAGACAATCACTTTAAAAAAAAAATGCATTAACAAATTGAATGTGTTTCGCCTTACCTTTGAGATAGTGATCCAATGTTACCGACCTCCCTCTCAAAAAAAAAAGAAAAGTCTTTATTAGCAAATTGTTGCTTCTGGTTGAAACAAATATTTATAGATGACAAAATTATGTTTCCATGGAGAGTGTCCACATAATTTATTTAATTATTAATAACTGCTGATAATAACAGGCACAGTCCTTCAGCTGCAGCACAAGTAATAAAATTGGATTGGGAACAACTATCCAACAGAGCACGACATTCTAGTATTTTTTTTCCTTTCTGATCCTCAATATGAATGTCAGCTGTGGAAAGTAATTCCCTTGGTATTCTTTTTGCAAACTGAATTTAGTTTCTTCTTCTTTATGCAATTGACCATTTGCGGCATTTATAAATAGAGCTTTTGCGCTTTCTAAGGCAGTTCTAAATTAGACGCCCCTGTAACCTATAGATGTAGATAATACTCTAAAGAATCTACAGACAGATTTTATGAGATTTCTTTATAATACAATTTATCTTCCACTTGATTAAATAAATGTAGATTTTTTGATTTATTCTGTTTGAAATCATATTTTATTATGGTACACTTTCATTTTTGTTTTGTAGAAAGGAAATAAATTGGTTAAGGGTTGGTACTTCCCTTTTATTAATTAAATACAAACAGTAATGACACATCTACACAGAAAACAAACACTTTGAGTGAGTACAAATACTTTGAGTTTAAAATTTTATTGTATAAATTCATTTTTTCACATCTTACATGTATTTGTATAATTTACACAATGTATATAAATCCCAGGCCCTGAAGATGATCTAAATACAGATCAAAATTTCTGAATGTAGTGTTTGAAAGCGTAAATAGAATATAAACTTAGTTGGGGGCTGAAATGGCCTAGATGTTGGAAGCCCATAAAAAAAAAAAAAATTCATTCCCTAGATTTTTTTGTATTTCAGGATAAATCTCCATTGAGCTGTTCCTTCACGTTTGAAGATGACATGGATGGCTGTTTCCTCCTCCTCATTGCATAATCTGCATCATTGTTGTATATGCCCATGTTTTCTCAGATGCCAGTGACCAGTTAGTAGTCCTATCGCTCCTCTTAGTCTAGCCCTCTCCAATTTCAACAATGAGTTTGAGTCTTGGTGAGGGCTGTTTCATCATAAGTTTACTGTGTCTACCATCAATGACCCTAATGATCGGATGGTCAATCTCTTTATAATCCCCCCTTCAAGTTGGATGTACCAACTGATGAAAATAGACCTTGTTAAACTTAATGCATGTTGTCAACGAATGCACAAATGAAATTCTTATGGAGGGTCAAGGAATTGAGGGGAGCCATTCAAAAGGAATTGGGAATATAGTCGATGGTTGAGAGAATCAAACAAAAAAGAAAGATTGTTTTTCCACATCGACTGAACGGATGAATTCTGGGATCTAATAGGGGCAGAGGAAGGGAACGAAAAAGATGCTCAGTGAAGACGCAACAGGATGCAAGCCTAATTCTGATGTGAAAAAGAAGGAGAATCAATTGCATTTTACATGGATATAATTTTTCAAAATATCAAGGGATAAATATGAATTTTGGTTATTTTAATATGGATATGTTTTTGCATTATGAATTTAATATTAGGTGTGTGTGGTGATTAGTGATCGTTAGTCGATGATTATTCGAAGATCGTGAGCTGCGGTCTGGTGGTTTTAGAAAAACATTTTCTTTATCGTGCCAACATTTTGATGTTTATTGAGATAATCTTTAGGGCACATGTTTGATTTCTGTGTAATTGTTCCATTCTTGTGTGTCGTGTTGAGAGTGCCAATTTAATATTAGGTTAAGAAGGATTAGGTAGGGTCAGGGTTTGGGACGGGTTAGTTAACTTATACATGATTCAATTTTCCCAAAGCTGAGTAATATATAAGTATGAATTTTGAATCCAAATTGGATTTGCCAGAAATTACTCATGTTCAATAAATATTCCTATAGGACAAAATTATGGCTGGGGTTGGGTTAGTTTAGTTAAAAAAAGGGTATGGTTAAAGACTGGTTAGGGTAGGTTCTGGCTAGGGTTAGGGTTATGGTTACGTAGGGTTTTTAAAAATGATAAAGGGTGGAGTGAATATGTTGTTTAATTTTTTTTAAAGATTAGGTAGGGTTATTGCTACGGTTAAGGTTGGGTCGGGTTAGGTTACTTATTCATAATTTAATTATTCATCGTGAAGCTGAGAAGATATGTGAGTGCAAATTTTGAATCCAAATTGAATTTGGCATAAATTACAGAAATTCATAAATATTTCTACATAACAGGATTGTGTTATGGCTAGAGATGGATTAAGTCATAGGTTTGGCCATGGCTAGGGTTAGAATTTGGGACAGGTTAGGTTACTTATTCATAATTCAATTTNGACATATTCAGTGCAAGTTATTAGATTAGAGTAGGTATCAGTATATGTCCTGCACATCATGACCAGTATGGATGAACCAATGGATGAGCGGGGTGCGTAAGGCCAGAAATTATACAATTCAAGGACGGCAGAAAATACAATTTTGAAGAGAAGCAGGAGAGTCAAGGAAGGATGGAAAAAGGATTCCAGTAAATAATATGAATCAGTGAATCCTGTCTTAAGGCTTTTTACCAGATTACAAAGCTTTTTAAAGGAATCTTGTATCACAGACCCAAGGAATCTCGGCCTACATAAATAGGCATTTACACCAACAGAGGACATGTTCCACTGCTTCTTTCTGGCTAATTATGCACAGGCTTGTTTCTGCCACTCTGAGTCTATACATACACCTCTAGAGTAACTAACTATTATTCTAGTCCTAACACAGCCTATGTCCTTTTATGAACTATTTTGCATACTTGGATTCCCATTTCTTTTTCTAAGGGTGTTGAGCCATTTTTACTTCTTTTTTTTTTTACATATATTTTCATAAAGTGCTATTTAAACAGTGCGTTAAGTTGTTCCGTGAATATTAAACAGTGTATAGTTTGCTGGTTCACAGTAGTTGTTTTTAGGCGAGTACTGTTGCCTTCAGAGGGTAAATTTCATTTATATAACATCTATTTTATATATGTACCTTGTGTACTATTATCTGATTTTGACTTGTTTCTTTAACTATGAGGGATTTACGAATGGTCACAATTAACTTTCTCTACTGGCAGTCAGGTTAGTGAGCATGTTAGTATTAATATTTTATTATTGTCCCAGGATTTCATGCAAACAAGAAAAATGAAAATATAACTCGATCAGCAGTTATTAATAATTAAATAAATTATGTGGACACTCTCCATGGAAACATAATTTTGTCGTCTATAAATATTTGTTTCAACCAGAAGCAACAATTTGCTAATAAAGACTTTTCTTTTTTTTTGAGAGGGAGGTCGGTAACATTGGATCACTATCTCAAAGGTAAGGCGAAACACATTCAATTTGTTAATGCATTTTTTTTTTAAAGTGATTGTCTTATAAAAAAATTTCTTCAATTTTTTTGTTTTTAAAACACTTAATGATCCTTGGAGGCCACCTTTTGTAATAGGAACCACCTCATCCATTAATTGAAATCCATTTGATTTAAATTTAAATTTGTTCCTTGGGTAAAGTACCTTTGAGATACAGGAAGGATGTTGTGATTGATCAACAGTCCTATTGGACCACTTCCCTGAACCACTCATACAATTAACTGTTGATATATTGACTCTCTGTATTAATGGAAGACAAAAGCTTGCAATATGTGGCCTTCCATAACTGGGATTCACTGATTCATTATATTATTTACTGGAATCCTTTTTCTATCCTTCCTTGACTCTACTGCTTCTCTTCAAAATTGTATTTTCTGCCGTCCTTGAATTGTACAATTTCTGTCCTTAGGCACCCCACTCATCCATTGGTTCATCTATGTTAACGGGCTGAAACAAACTTTCAAACAGCAGGTAATTTCCTTGAGGTCTTATCCTCTCAGAATGTTCCCTGTAAACCCCATCTTACAGCCTTTTCCATGTTCCACAGGTCACCTGATGAGCTTAACACTCACTTTGTTTTATCCTTGTAATCTGTCGGTCCACTTAACCTTATTCATTACCATTCCTAATCACCCTCCGTTTGAACTAACAGCTTATTTTCACCTGAAGCCTTAGTTGATGTTATTATATGCTGTCGGTTGTGGCAGAAATGCCTAATAGAGTGCGTCTGTCTATTATCCTTCCTGTTCTACATTTTTTNTGAAAATCTCTAGAAAGCAGCACTTACTCCATTTGTTATTTATTTAGTTTTTAGTTATAAATTGTTGGATTTATTCTACATTTAACCAATAATAAACTTTAAAAAAAAATGTATATAAAATTATAGAGATATAGATACAATTATTATAGCCAGTCCTGGATTATTCATTTCTCCCAATTTTAATACTTATTCCATTTATTCTTCATTTCTTTTATTATAAACTATCTATTTAGCCTCTTCTAAACAAAAATATAAGATAAAATACAAAAATTAATAACAACAATAATAGAAAATAGCAAAAAAACGAATAAATTTACAAAATCTGACTTGATTGATTATCTGCCAATTTTTATACCCATTTTAAACTATTTTTTGATTCATTTATTTTTTTACAAACTGTTTATCTGACCAACAATCAATAAAAATATAATATAAAATACTTAAAATATTTATAATAATGGAAAACAGCAAAAAGGAGTAAATTTCCCAATTCTGGCTTTTAGATATCTGATTAGGTTCTCATACTTTTTTCCTCTCATCTCTCCCTCTTTCATGGACTCATATACCTTCCCATAAGAGGTGCTTATTCCATTTGTTATTAATCTTGTTTTAAACCGCTTGTTTAGCCTATAATTAATAACGAATTTTTGGAAATTATCAATAATAATGAAAAATGCAAAAATTAGTAAATACCCAGTTCGGGGTTTTTGATACTTGCTGATTATTATTATTCTTATTCCATTAGTTATTAATTTCTTTTCTTATAAACAATTTATTTATCCTACAATTGACAGTCATCCCAATCCCAAGCCGGACAAAGATCACACCCTATTTAGCGATTATCAATTTTGCATCTTAGTACCCTCGCAGCAAGAAAGAAAATAGAAATCATAAAAAGAGAAAAATCAGCCAGTTCTGGCTTTTGGATAACTCCAGAAGTATTCTCAAGTAGGAAAAAGCTTTGCATTGCCGTTGCTTTAGATTATCCCAACTGGTTAATCTTTATTTAGCACTTTCACTACAAATCGACTATCTGAATCTCGTTTCCTTAAACAGTTTCTCACAAACCTTTTCTTCTAAAGTCAGACTCGGATGCAAAAACCCTTCTTCAATCCCCCAAACCTTGCATAACTCTTCATCAATTGGCTACAGGCTGCTACAGTTACATCTCTTATTACTTCTTCTTTTGAATGTTTGCAAACCATGCCTCCCTCTACCCAATTCCATGGTTATGAGTTGTAATTTTGGCAAGTTCTTCCACAAAGATAGTTGCTGGCCCTTTCATATACAGAAAAATAGTTCAACTCCAATGTGCATGTCATCTGGACCAGATTGATCAAAATTAGGGTCTGCAAGAAACAAATTAGAGGGAATATCACAATCGGTGGTATTGGTGGGAGAAGACTTCTAGCTTTAGTCTAAAATGACTCAAATCAAGATTTTATGATACAATCCACTGAATAGTTTAATTTTTCTGATAATATTCCTCCTATGCCACTAACTAAAAGTGCTGATGTTTCAGTAGGACGGCATAGTCCTTCAGCTAGAGCAGATGTAATAAAATTGGATTGGGAACAACTATCCAACAGAGCACATTCTAGTATTTTTCCCTTCTGGTCCTCAATATGAATGACTGCTGTGGAAAGTAACTCTCTGTTTGTGATGAACAGACAGGGCACTTGTAGTGATCTTTGTTTCCTTTTCATCATATTAGCTTTAATTCCCTTGGTATTCGTTTTGCAAACTGGATCTAGTTTCTTCTTCTTTATGCAATTGATCATTTGCGGCATTTATAGAGCTTTTGCGCTTTCTATGGTAGTTCTCATTTAGACGCCCCTGTAACCTGTTAGATGTAGATAATACTGTAAAGAATCTACAGACAGATTTTATGAGGTTTCTTTATAATGTAAATCTTCCTCTTGATTACATAAATGAAGATTTTTTGATTTATTATTACTTTGTTTGAAATCATATTTTATTATGGTACACTTATCCCCATAAATAGATTCTAAGTTTTCATTTCTGTTTTGTAGAAAGGAAATAAATTGGTTAAGGGTTGGTCCTTCCCTTTTATTAATTAAACACAAACAGTAATGACACATCTACACAGAAAACAAATACTTTGAGTGAGTACAAATACTTTGAGTCTACAATTTCTATCATTGTATAAATTCATTTTGTCACATCTTACATGAATTTGTATAATTTACACAATGTATATAAATCCCAGGCCCTGAAGATGATCTCAGTACAGATCGAAACGATGGGATGATAAAGAAAATGTTCCTCTAAACCTACATCACACCAGACCGCACCTCACAATCTCCAAATAATCATTTATTAATTACACTTTCCCATTTTTGACATGTTCCAGGATCTAATTTTCTGCTTTTAAAAGATTGTAAATTTCATAAATTGGTTAAAGTAACATCCACAATATTATATTAACAACTTACTAGCTGAAGCCTTTTCCGCCTTTTCATAGTCAAGGATTGTCTTTATATGCATAAATACAATGCGCCTTTTATTATAATACCATTCATCAAGCAACTCCCATGCCAAGTTATAATTATCTCAATTAATTATTCTTTTCATCTAAGAAAGTTGGTTGAGATGAAAAAGTGTCACGAGTGGATTCGAACCCATGACCTTCGGCTCAATACCTTTTTGCCATTTTTCAAATGTCATGTACTCACGATTATATTCTCAGTGAGTTATGAAGTGCCCATGGGGAGCTATTAGTGAAGTAACTACTTCTTTTAATTATTAAATTAATCCTTATTTGTTTAATGGCCATAATTGACCATATTAATTATTCCAAATAATTATTCTTTTTATCTAAGGTTTTTGGTTGAGATGAAAAAGTATTGTCACAAGCGGGATTCGAACTCAAGACCCTCGGCTCAATATGCCTTTTTGCCATTTTTCAAATGTCATGTACTCACGATTCTAATTAATGGCCACTTTCATTCATACGAATTAAGGAGGCTCACCTTTCTCTTGGTGATTATTGTCACTATTTCTTTTAGGCGAATGTCAATGCGGTAAGAAGGACCATCATGTACTCTATGGTACTTATTTTATTAGTATTTATAAACAATAAATATTTAGGTTTGAAAAAAGAGAACTCATAACACTTTGTTTCTTTAACATTTTATTTTAGAGTAATAAATTTCCTCTCTTGCTACAGTTTCTCTACTGCTCGCCATGATGGCAGCATCATTTAAATACAAAAAGGTCAAAATGCTTACTTTTACCAATTTTCTTAAGTATTTCAGCGTTTCAGTAATTTAAATTTTTTTTTTACATTTTGGGTACAATTTCTGGAGCGATCAGTATCTGAGATCTAATAGAAATATAAAATGTAATGTTTAGGGATGGTTAGGGTGGGTACATTAGTACATCCCTAAATGTAATGTAAACACAATGAAATGTAAAAACAACTGGTGAAAATTTAAAAAAATACTTTTTCAACTTTTCAGCTAAATGAGGTTTCAGAAATGGCCATAAAAATGTCCAAATGTTATAAAAAAAATTATGGCCAAATAAAATTTACATGACTCGTCGGCTTCAAATAACGTCAATTTTGGCTTATTTTTCTAGAGTAATTTAGAGTGAAAATAGGTTGCGATAATGAATGAAAAAAAAACTATTTAATTGTTTTGAGCTCAAAGGAGGATGTCAGAAATGATCATAAATACACTGAAAAATGACCACTTGGAATAACAAAATGGCGGCCTAAACCAAGTTTCCCTCTAGTACTGTTTAGGACTTTTGGACAAAAAGGCACTTTTTGAACTGTAAAAAAAAACTCTTTTTTCAAAAGGAAATCGCTTAAAAATTATAAAAGGAAGAAAAATGTCATTGAGAGGAAAAGCATAACTGTACAAAAATTAAATTCAACCTAAAAAGAGAAAAGGTAAAAAAAATGTTTGGGTATGTTTTTGTTCCGATCGACAAGGCCGTGGTGGGGTGGTAAATCGATTGTGGTGAGGTGCCGCCCCCGGGGGCGAGGGAGTTGCCGTGGGGAGGCGGCCGCTGAACGCCAACATGCTCACCCCCGTCTACGACTTCCTCAGCCTCCTCTACGCCATCTTCCTCGGCGAAGATCCCGTAAGTAGATATATTTATTGTGTTATGAAAAGGGGTCCGCGACGTTTCGCTTTGCCGACTTTTGCCGTACGCGATGAGGCGTTTGTCACGGGTCGTCCTGCGTCGAGATGAGTCCCGTTTCGACTGCGGACAAGAAGCGACTTTTAGTTCAACATGTCCTTCGATCGAATGATGGTTCTTTCTATTTTTAATATAGATGTATAAATATTTTAAATATTTTTTTTTACATGTAGGATATCGATAATTTGTGTTCGTTTCAAAGCAATATATCGATATTATTGAACGTAAGTACATCGATATAATGAATTTCGATTTTTTACATCGATATATTGAATAATAATAAATTGTCGATGTGCTATTAATAAATATCGATATTCCATACGCCTCAAATGTCGACACGGTACCCAAATACATCCTCAATAATATCGACATATTGAATATCAATAAATTATCGATATGCTATTAATAACTATCGATATTCTATACGTCTCAAATATCGACATTGCTATAGTATCGGTTTTTATTTCATCGATTTGAACAAATGTTTCTTGATACGTTTTTAAGGAAGAAGTATATCTATATACGACATTCAATATCGATTGTATCATAAAAATAACGATTTTTTATTTTTGTTTTTTTTTTTGGGGGGGGGGGAACGCAACTAATTTTTAAGTATTAAATATATAGATATTGACGGTATTTAAATTTGACCTAAGGGATGACAGTTTTCAATAGGACGATATCGATACTCAATATATCGATATTATTGAGGGAAACGATATTTGTGACATGGAATATCGAATATCCAATAGATATGGATCTTATTTAGCGAATGCCGTTTTAATATCAATGACTCTCAATAATACCAATATTATTTATGGGATGTATTTGGGTAGTCATATCGATATTTGAGATGTATAGAATATCGATGGTCATTAAAATCATACCGATAATTTATTATTATTCAATATATCGATATTATTGAGGATGTATTTGGGTAGATATATCGATATTTGATGTATGGAATATCGAGTTATTAGTAGTGTATCGATAATATATTGAGGGGATATATATATTTTTTTATTCATTTATTTTCTACATGAACCACGTTGTAAGGCATTTAATGTAGATATTTAGTTGAGATAAAAAGGTCAGTGTCACGAGCGGGGTTCGAATTATGATTATATAAAATTAATTTTAAATTTCATAAATGAAATATATAATGTAATGTAAATGTATCTATATTTCATGTACTACAATAGTGGTGCATGTAGAAAATAAATGAATAAAAATACATCCTCTCAAAATATCGATATATTGAATATCAATATATTATCGATATTCTATTAATAACTATCGATATTCCATGAGGGGATGTATTTGGGTGGACTTATCGATATTTTATGTAATATCGATATGGTTGTAACCAAGTTGTCCCTAAATATACACCTATATTGTAATGTATTTGTTTTACATACCTACCAATGTTTAGTATTTATCTTTGCATATATATTAATACTACACTGTTGTGGGCTTCTGCCTGTTAATAAATATTTTAATCTTAATAATCGATATCCTGTACGCTAGTATTTGGGATAACGTATTTGTGGATTGACTAGTTTAAATTTAAAATAACTTTGTTGGTGGTGTTGTAGACAGCCGAAGACTACCTCCTCCTCGTCGGTACGATAGTGGCTTTCGTCGCGTTTATCCTCTGGTGCTGCTTCCCAGTCGTGCCGAAGGACCCGCAGTCGCCGAAGCAGTATGACTGGCAGGGTCACTACACACAGTACAAAAAGCACGACTCACCACATCCAGGATGAAAGGGAAAAACCGCATTCTTTTATCCACCCTCGTCCACAAACTCTTGTGTATAAGATGAGGTCTGGAGGTGAAAGATCTTTAAAAACAGTTTTATTATTTTTGATTTAAACAATAAAGATAAAACGAAGGCCTATGCCAGTTTATTTTTTCAAGCTCGTCGTGCGAAGAAAGTATCTGCATCAATTTCAAGATTTTTGCTTTCTTTTCTTTTTTTATAATATATTTGTATGAATGTTTTGTCTATGTAAATACAACTTGGTAAATATTAGCATAATAAATAAAATATAATTGTTGTCTGTATTGATCTCGTTTCAACCCACGGCTCCTGAAGAATCCAAGTCTACGACAGCACAAGTCCTAAAGATCGGCAGAAAGGTCATATACATAGAAAAACATAATTGGGCCAAATAAACAATCCCTGGGGATTACCAGAGCACCTATGCAAACAACTTCAGAAGTGCGAGTGGACACCAAAAACTGAAGAACAATGATATAAAATCATTAGAAAGGTCATGAACATACAAGAGACACCTGGGTTTTATATCATTAGAAAAAGAGAAGAATGACCCCCGAGTAAAATGACACATTTATACACATATCGCACACCTATAAGAAAAGTGACAACTCGAGAAAAAAAAATACAGGAAAGACAGACGGAAGTTTACTTCTTTTTTTAACTTATATATTAATTTGTCGAAGTTGTGAGGACCGGTCAAGAATGAAGTAGTTTAGAAAAACACCTTTTTTCATTTTTTGCCAACATTTCGACCTTTATTCGGGTCATCTTCAGGGCCTGGGTAAATAACGAAACATATGTTGATTGTAAAAAATATAATTTAAGATGTAAAAATTTTGAATCGAGTATTTCACTCTCATAAAGTGTGGTGCTAATTCTCGTGATGTCATGTTGGTAAATTATATACATATACATACATATTATATATATANATATATATATTACAATCAACATGTTTTGTTATTTAACCAGGCCCTGAAGATGACCCGAATAAAGGTCAAAACGTTAGCAAAAAAAGCCATAGTTATATAAATAGGAATGCAGGGGGAAATTAACAACTATCTAGTTTGGCATCATTTTATAATTACACAAACAATTCATATTACTTGTAATACGTATGTACAAGACGTGCAACCTAGGCACGCATAATGCTACAATTTTCTTTTGTTTTATTTCCTACTAAGCGTCCTACCCCATCGACTTGAGGGGTAGGCGAGAGTGATGGAATGAGTCCACGCCGAACGTGACTGGACACAGAAAGAAAAAAAAAGAAAAACCAAACAATTTGTACATTCAGTTCTGTTTATTATAAAATATAAATATAAAAAAAAAAATCTAACGAATTATCTAATGACTAACAAGTTACCGGGTGGTTTCTCGGCGACATAACGCACGACTAAATGCACTAACAATGTTTTTTCCTTTCACAAAGAAAACAAAATCTTTGTTATGATGTTTAATGTATTTAAAAAAAAGTTTAAAGACAAAACTTAGGCACTAATTAACTTTTTTTTCATTTTTCTTCTAATTTTTAATTATGAAAAATATAAAGGGATTTTTATTTATTTTTAAGACCGTTATTTTTAATATAATTGTTTTTTTACCAAGAAAGTTACGGTCTTTCTAAATGTCGCATCCTTATTATTATTTTTTTTTGCTTTGTGTTTTCCTTACAAAATCGTCTATGCACCAAAACGGTTTAGGCGTTCACATCATTCCTCCCATGCCACCCATACCTCCCATTCCTCCCATACCGCCCATGCCACCCATACCGCCGGGCATAGCTGGCTCCTTCTGCGGTATGTCCGCGACAACCGCCTCGGCCGTCGTGAGGAGGGAAGCGACTCCGGCTGCATCTGTGAGTGCCGTCCTTACCACCTGTAAAAAACAAAAAAACAAATTTGGGTTAAAATATCATTAAAATATATATATATATATATTTCTACCTTCGTTGGGTCGATAATCCCTCGCTCAATCATGTTGACATATTCATTGTTTAAAGCATCATAGCCCATGTCACCAGATGCTTCGAGAACCTTGCTCACGACTACAGCTGCATCAACACCTGCGTTGCTAGCGATTGTCATGCACGGTGTTCTCAAAGCCTTCGCGACGATATCGACTCCTTAAAAATAAAATAAACGATTCATATAAAAACAATATTGATCTTTTGAACAAGACACGAGAAAACAATTTTCTTTAAGAAAATCTATTTAGATCCGATGAACAAGGGTCCCCTCTTAAATAAACGTTTCATATGGGGGCATAAAAATGATGGATTGTCCATCCAGTAGGGAGGCAAACGAACATTTTCTAAAAATCTGTAAGGAATAGTTATGTGACAGACGAATAAATAAAAGCCCCCAATAAATAACGAAAGTCGAAGCGTTATTCAAGAGTGGAAAGTTTGTTGCAGGACTGGGACATGGTTCATCAAACTGAGGGTCATGTCAACTGGGGTGGGGTGTTGTATACTCTCCTCCAGAGGTACATGGACAAGGAAGGAAGCGTAATGCAAACTCGAATTATGAGTTGTTCCATGGCTGACCGGGTCATGCCAACCCTTGGAAAAAGATGATCATCTGGCACATTGTTTGCTTTTCCTTTCCTCCTCTGCCCTTGTTGGGAAAAGAGGATGATTAAAAAAGCAAAGAAATAGGAGCCATGAGGGTACCCGGCCAGGGCAGAGTCGCTGAACAGTGGCCCAATGCAGGAACTAACCGACTCTGAACAAGCATAGACAATGGCAAGTCGGTCAGGTCAGGGTCTATGTGAGAACAGTGTACTTTTTTTACTTAACTAGCACTACAGGCCATCTTCACTCGCGAGTTTGAGTCGTTTAACAAATCATTCATCCATCTTCCCCTGCTAATAACAGATTTTCAAGCCTCGTTTTGTATCAATATTGAACGATATTCAATTAATTATTCATTTCATGTAGAGTTTTGGTTGAGATGAAAAAGTTAGTGTCACAAGCAAGATTTGAACCCACGACCTTCGATTCAATACGCCACTGCTCTAACCACTTGAGCCATCATGACGTGGTTAGAGCAGTGGCGTATTGAGCTGAAGGTCGTGGGTTAGAATCCCGCTTGTGACACTAACTTTTTCATCTCAACCAAGACCTTACATAAAAAGAATTAATTCAAAGTAATTTTGTCAATTAGACCACTAAACATAAATGATTAATATTGACATTTTACAAAATTAGGTTGGGGTATTTAACACCAGTATGTCAAATTTGTGCTGGATCCAGTGTAAGTTACAATTCTGATGTAAAGGCCTACCAGCCTAACACAGATGAACCAGCACTAGATCACATATAAGGTCCCATTTTCACTCGCATGCGGTTTGTTAAACTACTCAGGAAGGAGGAGTTTGAGGAACTCTCAAGAAGTTCTTCAACAAACCTGCAAGTGAAGACTGACCCAATGCTGGTCAGCAAGTTCACTATGCACAGACTAACACAACTTCAACTCATATTTTTTCTGTTTAAGATGTACATTCCATTTAATATTAACAACTAAAGCTGACATCAGAGCCAAGTTTTCATCCTCGACCGATACAGCAGCCTCTCAGTGGAAAACCCAAAAAGCGACCCCGCATTCCGGCCGGCATAACAACCTCTGCGAATGGTTTAACAGTATCATCATTTGTCAGCAGCAACGTTTTCATAATCTCCACAAATGGTTTAACAGTATCATCATTTGTCAGCAACAATGTGTTAAGTCACACAGTATAATTCAACTGTACCGTTTTCGTTGTACCTGATATCAATTCGCCGATTGCCATTAGCTGAGATAATTGCAATCTGTACCATGGTGTCGAGACTGGATGTACTTTTTTATAAATTGCTAAAAGATTTTGTAAGCATGAAAATAAAAATAGTTCTTGAAAACAAAAAATTAATATGAAAGAAAGAGATCTTCCACCAGTCAGTTGTACGATCTACACCTGAATCTATCGGGTTGTCCGGAAAATAATGCAGGATTTTAAGTTTTCATTAAAAAAAATCTATATAAAATATTCTGTTTACGTTTACAGGATTACTCATTTGTATGAATGTCAACANTTGATTAAAGAACATTGCTTTAAAGTAACTAGTTTCTTTTTTTTTGTTTAATACCAAAATCCTGCATTATTTTCCGGACAACCCAATAGCAGAGAAGAGGCGAGAGGTAATAAGCAACGAGAGGATAAAGCAGCCGGAACTAGAGACAAACTTAAACCTATTAATTTCCGCCTTATTAAAGAGTAATTCATATTTTAACAGTATGATAAAATGATTAACAATTTAAAAACAACCTTATTAAAAAAGTATATCCTTACATATTTAAAACCTTGAACTTGAAATGAAATAGATGACTACTATTCGAACGCAGTGCCGAACACCGTTGGTGTAAGGATATGGAGTTAGGCAAAAGAAATAATTAAATAAACAAAATCAGTACTCTCAGGGTCCGGGCAACAACTTTAGTGCTTTCAGCAGTCGTTCCCATGCGCCGGAAATGGGAATTCTTTTAATGTGGACAAAAAAAAAATTGAATAAAAAATCGTAAAGGCCGCCAAATCGCCCTTCCACTAGTCACACATGAGGCCGACAGCCACTAGTTTTTGTTTATTATTGTTACTATTAAAAAAAAAAGAAAAAAAGTATTCTATTTTAAAAGACTAGAAATTGCTGTCGTGTTATTTGTATGTTGGCTTCATCGAAAAGGTTACATATATTTATAAATATATGCATATAAATTATACGAATATAAACTGTATATATAAATTACATATATTTAATACGTATCAATTTTCACGAAATGTGTGGACGCCTGGACTTAAACAAAAGTCAATAAAAGACTATCTTTTACTAAATAATCTTTTCATAAAGCTATAACCACATTTCAATGGCTCAAGTGGTAGACCAGCGGCGTATTTAGCCAAAGGTCGTAGGTTCGAATCCTGATCACGACACTGACTTTTTTATCTCAACCCATACTTTACATAAAGATTAATTAAGTGAGAGATGCTATTTGGCATCAATCAGACCACAAAATCTAATGAACTATTTTGTTTTTATGATATGATTGTAATATAATTACAAATTTTCGGAATATCCGGACTTTCAATTATTCAGACAAGTCCCAATTCCTTTAAGTCCGGATAAACGGATTTCTGCTGTACTGTATTTGGGTAAAATTGATTATATGTCTAATATTGTAATTGAGGAAAATCGGTTTAATTTAGACTATGTAATCGGATAAACTGTGAGTCCTCCAAACCACCAATGCTTTCTTTCCCCTCCATACTTCATACTACCCCTTGTTAACATTTCACTGTTATCTTGCTGTAGCAGATTTACATTTGCAAAAGACATATGTAGCGAGGTGATGTCTCGACATAGTTATTTGCCTCTGTAAATACTATTACACGTTTTATGACACCTTACAATTTTTATGATTGTAGGAACCATACATAAACTTCTACACCAAACGTTTTAAACCCAAACCAACCTGAGTAGGCTACCTTTAAAATCTGGATGGGAAAACCAGTGTGATGTACGGTTCCGCTGAGCAGTGCTTGTAAAATTTTAAAGAGATTTCACAGTGAATTATAATTGCGTGTAAGTTTAAATAATAAATGACAGCACTGAGCTTTCACCAGATGAAAAGTTGAGATTATGAAAGGTTCAATGAAACCAAGGAGCTATGCTGTAACTGACATTGGGGACCAGGATAGAGCCACTTAAAGAAATTATAAAAATAATTCATAAAGGTATAAATAGTGGGGAAAAACATGATTTACCGGTTTTTTGGTCTTTGTTGGCAGTTGGTAGAGATTCAAGTTTCTGGATGCACCTGAGGAGTGCGGTTCCGCCACCAGGTACAATTCCTTCTTCAACAGCAGCACGTGTTGCATTGAGGGCATCATTGACCCTGTCTTTTTTCTCGTTGACCTCTACTTCGCTCGACCCACCAACTTTGAGCAAAGCCACACCCGCAGACAATCGTGCCAGACGCTCTTGTAGTTTCTCTTTCTCATACTCGCTTGTCGTGTCTGCGATCTGGCTGCGCAGCTGCTCTGAACGGCGGTCGATGTCCTCCTTTTTCCCCTTGCCCTTGAGTATGAGTGTGTCGTCCTTTGTTATGACGATTTCACCCACTGTGCCAAGATCGGAAAACTGGACATCTTCAAGTTTCACCATAGTGCCTTCATCGCCGAATACCAGGCCGCCGGTGGCAATGGCGATATCCTGGAGGGTGGCTTTCCTGTTGTCGCCGAAACCGGGCGCTTTGACGGCGGCGACCTGGAGGCCGATCTTGAGCCTGTTGACGACGAGTGTTGAGAGTGCTTCACCGTCAACATCTTCGGCAATGATCACGAGCGGTTTCCTCTTCGAGTTGGCAAGCTCCAAAGCAGGGATAATAGACTGTACAGAGCTGATCTTTTTCTCAGAAAGCAACAAAAGGCAGTCTTGAAACTCAACCCTAGCACCTTTCGACGAGTTGATGAAGTATGGCGAAATGTATCCTCTGTCAAACTTCATACCTTCGATGACTTCAAGCTCATCATGTAGTGTTTTACCGTCTTTAACGGTGATAACACCTTCCTTTCCAACCTTAAACACAAAATTAATATAAACTTTTTCCCAATAAAAAATGTTGTTTTATTATAAATAATATCATGGCATAAAGCTGACATCAGTGCCAAATTTTCATCCTCGACTGCATGCTCGACCAGTGCAGCAGCCTCTTCAATGGAAAACCCAAAGAGCGGCTCTGCATTCCGGCTAACATAACAACCTCCGCGAATGGTTTAACAGTATCATCATTTGTCAGCAGCGACGTGTTAAGTCACCCAGTATAATTCAAAAATTACTGTACCTTTTTCATCGCATCTGATATCAGTTCGCCGATAGCCTTATCGCCATTAGCTGAGATAGTTGCAACCTGTGCTATCTCCTCAGGCGTTGTGACCGGCTTTGAAAGGGTTTTGAGATGATCCTTGATCGAATCCACCGCCAACATGACACCTTATAAAATACAAGACTTAATTTAATAAACAAATCTCAAACTTACAAAATAGTATAGATTAAATTTTTAATTTTCAGATTTTATTTAAATAATTGTAATCAAATATTTTTCATACAAGAGGTGTCAGAATAAATGTTAAGATCATCATGTTAAAATTTATTTTAGTTTAGTATTATTATTTCTATAAGAAAATGAAAATATTACCTCTTCTGATTTCGATTGGATTGGCGCCTTTGCTGATCTTTTCAAAGCCTTCTTTTGCAAGGGCGCGGGCAAGTACGGTGGCAGTCGTTGTACCATCGCCTGCCTCCTCGTTCGTATTGTTGGCAACATCCTGTACAAGCTTGGCGCCAATGTTCTGGAATTTGTCCTTGAGCTCGACGCCCTTTGCAACCGTCACACCGTCCTTTGTTATCTTGGGCGAGCCCCAAGACTGTTCGAGTATGACGTTGCGTCCTTTGGGACCCATCGTTACAGCAACAGCATCGGCTAGGATGTCGACGCCTTGGAGCATGAGTGCTCGCACTTCAGGACCGAAACGGACATCCTTGGCATAGCTACGCCTTGCGAGGTGGTGTGTTGCTCTCAACATACGGAACATCTACAAACAAAAATTCAAATTAATAAAAAATGAAGGCTAAACATTAAAATAAAAAATAAGGTACAGAGAAAGAAAATTTCATGGAAAATGAGAAAAAAACATAATTACATAACATCTGGACCATAATAAAATATGGACACTACTGTCTCAATGAAGCAAAAAAACTCAAAAGTATCAAATACCTTAAAAAACGCAATGCTGAACAATTTGCATAAGGAAAGTAATAAATGAATGTAAAAACATTTATCAACGGAAACCGCAAGGCCGTTTGACAACGGTTAATGATAATAGTGTGGAGGCCATTTACCTCTAGATTGGCTGGCCAAGGTTCCCGCAATGTGTTATAGAAATAAACGAAGTGTTATTTTGCATCGGAAATCAGTATAAATTAGGACTAGATATAAATTATGATGATCATGTTCGACTCACAAAGCTTCCAAACTAAAAATTAAGGATCAAGTTAAGAAAAGAAAGTCGTAAAGATCAACCAATTCGTATAAGGTTGAGAAAGTTCATTTGGCCATTTTTCTCTTGTTTAATGAAGACTCTTAAAGAAAAGGCATAAAAGTACCGTGGAGAGCTAGAATGGACAATGTATCTATCATCTATTGATCTGGACGAATGAAATCACGCTTGGCACTACCCAGGATATAAACTATAGCCTCAATGGGCTCAGCCTAGAAAATCACATGCGGCCATATGCATCAAAATTAAGTTATCTGCCTTACGATGAACCAAAAAAAAAGTCCTGTATATGACAGCAACATTGAAAATTAATTGAACAGGACGCATAAAATCATTTTTCTCCCTACCCAGCCACTTCACCTAAAATTTCAAGGGGCCTGTGTTTTGAGAACATTTGGCATTTGGCGATTTACCTCTAGTTTAGCAGAGACAAGGCGCTTCTAAAGAAGGGCGTATATGTTGTGGGGTTGGTCGAGACATTAATCAATCTACCAGAATGCTTAAAATCGTTTACAGCATTGTAGAATTATTGGGTTGATGCAAAATAAACGCAATTTTTCCTTTACGCTATACTTTTAATACCAAATGTATAAACAAAACTAACCAATTAGGCTAAGGGATACACATCATTTTAAAGCCTATTTATTTTGCTTTCTTTCTCTTACAATGCTTTTAGTAAAACGTTTAATTGTCTGTTGTGCCTTCAAACTAACTGTCAGTGATTTTCGGCAAATTTATTTTTATGAATTTAAACTTGGGCCAGTACAAATCGCTCGAAATATTAATGTCATTTGTGGGCAAGGAACCATAAATGAATCCACAGTGTAGCATGTTTCAAAAATTCTGTAATGAGGATTAAGAAGTTCCTGTATAACCTAATCTAATCTCCTTAAATCATTTGGAAACTTCTTACCTCAACATCCCAGAGAAAAAAAGAAAAGAAAAATCTAAGTTTCCCCATACAATTTTCAATTTGAATAAAAACAAACTGCGTTATTTACCAACGCATTGGTTGCAGTCAAGGCGTTATCAGTTTTCTCCTCAAACCTCAGTGTTATCATAGACCAATGCCCTTTTTTTGGCGGTAAAATGAGTTTCTTGGGAATACCAGCATCGAAAAAATATTCTGAGACAATTACGGGATTAAACCGGAAAATGTAAAGGAGCTTCTTTAACCAATCCCAACGCCTATCGTGAATGCACCAATTTTAACTACGCTTCAGAATGGAATCTAAAAAGAAAAGACGTGATGCTTCACGTAATTCACATTCATTCAAAAGTTCATCTCCTTCAGTTAAATTGTGGGTGGGTACACAGGGTGTCCTTTTCAGATAGTTTCAAAAACTCCATAATGTAGGCAACGAGCAAAGGTAATGGCCGTTCTGCTGTTGACAACGACCAGTTGAAGGATTATAGTCGAAGCTGACCTCACTACTCGAGAAATGGCCGAAGAACTTGGCGTTGACGAATCCACAGTCGTTCGCCATCAGAAAAGCAAAGGTGCATGAGCTGACCCCTAAAAGGATTGCAAGAATTCTAATGCTTCCTGTACGCAACAAAACTGATCCATCTCTCTGTCATATAGTAACAGTGGGACAAAAACTTATTAAAACAATAGCATTCTAGACAGTGGCTGGAGAAGAGTGAAAAACCAGACCACTTCCCAAAGCCAATTTGCACAATAAAAAAAATTGTATGGTGTGTAGACCCTTAGTTAATGATTATTTGGAGATCGTGATATGAGGTCTGGTGTGAAGGAATGGAATGTTTAGGACCAAGTGATAGGAAGTTTTGGATTTCTGGAGGAATGTTAGTTTTGGTTAGGTTTAGACACCAGACTGCATCTCACATCTCCAAATAATAAAAAAATTATTGTCACTGCTTGGTGGTCATCTGCAGGACTGATTACAACTTCCTCAATCTGGGTGAGACACCTTCATTGCTGAAAAATGCCAAATTGACATCAATAAAACGGACCGAAAACTGCGACATTTATGGCCAGCAATAATCAATTGGAAGTGGCCTATCCTCCTTCACGACAACGCACTTACACACCACAATGGACTGGTATGACTTCATAAGATGAGTTACGAGGCTTTACCGTATCGTACTCAGCGGATCTTTCTACTTATCACTTTTTATCTTACCGAACATCTCAACAATTCATTTTGTGCAAGAAAGTGTTCAGCAGCCAGAATGAAATTGAAAATGCATTTTGGGAGTTCTAAGATTCCAGAGATTCTGGTTTCTACACTTCTGGGATTAACGAATTGGTTGTGCATTGGCAAAAATGTTTAGATAGTAATGGAAATCATGATTAAATTTTTTCCAAGTTAAATTGTAGCTTGTTTTCTACTGTACATTAAAAAAAAAAAAATCATTATTTTTCCATAAACCCAATATAAATTGAAAACTCAAAGGGCTTAGGTTAAAAGGTGGCCCTTTCTATAGCTTACCAACCGGCACCTCATGGCTCTAGCTTATGATACTAAAGCTTAATAAAATCAAAAAACGCTGAAAACCCCAATAAATAAACATAAAGTCTTAAATTTATATTAAAATAGAAAGAATTATCGTTGGGCCACGTTTAGGCCCAGAAAAATATTCTTATAAGAGGAGAATTAATGTCCGGCCATGCTTCCACCAGGCTTAGTTTAATATATAAATTTTCATATTTATCAATAAATAAAAGTTAATATTTATTAAAAATAAATAGAAACCTTATTGGGTATAGAAAAAAATTGGGGAAAATATCTCTAATGGGAAAGAAACTCGGAGTTACAAGGACCGGCATTTTTGTTTTAGGTTAAATACGTACTTGTAATTTTTTTTAAATAAAACATTTTTGTTTCTTTTTTATTCAATAATTTATACATGTAAAAGCGTTTTTTCTTACTTTTTTTAACTTATTAATAGAGTTTAGGACTTATTTTTTAAATAAGAAATAGTGGAGGGGTGGAAGCATGGACCTTTCTAGACCGTCCGAGCCGCCCGGCGACGTGTTCGTACCTAAAGTGTTTTCCTCACCTTTTTTGGTTTTTTCACTGTCGGAACAAAAGATCCTCTTTCTCTCTTCACAATTCTAACGGACCGAAAACCAAGAAAAGAACAAAAAAAATCAAATATTAATGAAACTTTTTTTACGTTAAGTTGTACTGCCGGTAGACCTCGTGCTCTCAGCCGTGAGAATGAACAAAATACGTTCGGAGCGGCCCCTGTGGAGACCAGATCGCGCCACCGGACAAAATCACTAAAGGAAAAAAAAAGTTTTTTGAAACTCCTTTATCCACTTTTTGGCCCTTTTTTCTTAACCGAAACGCAACAGTTAAAAAAACAATCAAGTCTGAATTTCTCTCGAATTTATTCACACATCTACCCGGGTTTTTTTCTGTTCTCGAGAACGGAAAAAACAAATGATGGAGGGGGCATCTGTAAGGAGATTTAGAAAAAAAAGAACAATCTATTTGTAAATAACAAAAAAACAAATATGAACTATATTTTTTTGCAAATAAAATAACTCGTTTATCTTTTTTGGAAGAGATTTTAAAAAAACTTTAACTTTTTCATTAAAAAAAAATTCTCATATTCAAAATTCACTTTTAAGTCAGCACTGATCTCGTGGTCGGCGTGTCGGATCTATAGCGCAGTCCAAGTTCGACCGGCGTTTGACTTACAACTCGGAGAATCTTTACGCAAGCTTTAAGCAAAAAGCTTTAATTATTAGAAGAAAAAAAGCTTTTTCTTAAAAAAAACAAAAACAAAAAAGGGCGTCCGAACCGAAAAGATTCGTCCAAAAGTTTCACCAATTGTAACGAGAAAAGATGGTAAGTAATTAAAAAAAATCCAAGCATATAAATTTTTAACATATATTTACATTAAATAACCAAATTTGATCTGTTCAGTTTTATGTTTAAATATATTTACAACCCTAAGGCTGGAAATTAATGGGATCTGGAACCTCGTGGAACGTTCCAGGCCCTTCGAGGTGGTGGGAGGTTATCTCGCCCTATCCGCTTAATTTTGGCAAAAAAATTACAATAATTGTTTAAAAACCTTACTGCTAATCAAACTAAACAATAGACGCTATAATTAATATTAATAAAACATTTATTGTAAGTTAATATAAGGAGAGGGCCTTCTATCAGTTTAGATAAGCTAAGCGAGGACGTAAGCAGGTAGTTAAAAAAAAATCTGGTTTCATGTGAAATGTGTTATATAGGGTGTCCTTTTTGTAGGGTTGATTCAAAGATAATGCACTATAAATTAGGGTCTTTTGAATAGATGAACTCCCTAATCGCGTTTTCAATTTCATTCTTGCTTCTGAACCGTTTCTCGCATAAAAAAGTTGTTGAGATGTTTAAAAAGGTGATAATGCTTAGAAGATAGATCTGGTTAGTATGTTGTGGTAAAGCCTCATAACCTGATTGATGAAGTCGTGCCAGAGGACGTGCATTGTCCTGAAGGAGGATAGGCCAGTTCCAATTGTTAATGCCAGCCATAAATGTCGCAGTTTTCGGTCCATCCCGTTGATTTCACTTTTCAGCAGTGAAGTTCTCATCCAGATTCAGGAAGCCGAATGTGTTACCACCAGGGGCCATATATTTTTTTTTTTTTTTTTTTTTTTTATATATATATAATATAAATTGGCTTTGTGAAGTGCCCTGATGTTTACTCTTACCCAGCCACTGTCTATTGTATAATATCCATTTTTCATTACCCACGACTGATGTTACTATGTAACTGAGAGATGGACCATTTTTGTTGCATACGGAAAGCATTGGACAGATTTCATACCTGTGATCCTTTTTGGGGTCTTTCAGCTCATGCTGTGCACCTAATTTGCTGTCCTGATAGCTTCCACATGGCGAACAACTGTGGACTGGTCGACGCTAAGTTCTTCCACCATTTCTTAAGTAGTTTTTTGTAGGGTCAGCTCATGGTCGTTGTCAACAGCATGACGGTCACCACCTTTGCTTATAAGGTCATAGTCTGCATTAAGTAATTTTTTAAACCAAATTAAAAGGACACCCTGCATAAGCCACCCACAACTCAAGGAGGTGAACTTACAAGATTACCAAAGACATCATCAGGTCGTTTCTTTTTTTTTTTTTTATGTTGTTCCGAGGGCTAGTTAAACAATGCATTCAGGATAGGCTTTGCGATAGGAGAAAGAAACTCCAGGGTAATCCCGTAATTATCTCAGAACATTTTTTTGATGCCATTATGCCGAAGAAACTCATATTACGGCCAAAGAAAGGCAAGGATCAATGATAACCCTGAGGTTTGAGGAGAAAACTGAGACGCCTTGACCGGGCTGATGCGGTGATAAATAGCCTGGTTTGTTTTTATTTAAATTGAAAATTGTAAGGAGTAACATTGATTTTTTCCTTTGTTTTTCTCCTGTCTGGGATGTCATCGAGGTAAGAAGTTTCCAAATGATTTAAGAGAGATTTGATTATATTTTATAAGAGCTGGCCGCTTTACACAAGGTTTTTTTTACCAGACAAAAGCTTTTTCAAGGGCTCCCACGTGTAACCTTCAGAGTACAGGCCCTGGTCTGGGATGGGTGGGGGGATTCTTTAAAGGTTCTAGCGAAGTCCCTACAATTTTCTTTCATGCCCCCTTTCCCACATAAATTTGATATACATATACCTAATACATGGAATCTCAAAAAAAAAATCTTTTCCCCTTTTATTTATTTAGTCTTTAGTATAATTTATCTATCTACACATTTCTTTTACACCCTCAGGCCAAAGCAGCAGCTGCAATCAAGAAACTTATGCCGATGTTCGACAGGGTCCTCGTCCTGAAGGCTGAGGCGGTCACTAAGACAAAAGGGGGCATCGTCATCCCAGAGAAATCCCAGTCAAAGGTTCTGCATGGGACTGTCGTCGCTGTCGGACCCGGCTCTAGAAATCAGGTAAAGCAGATGATCAATAATGTCATCTATGATGTGTGGTCTTCGTATCATCAGGCAGACTTTACTCGTCAATTTTTTTTCTCTTTCTCAGAAAGGAGAACTCGTTCCACCTCAGGTGGCCGTCGGTGACCACGTCCTCCTCCCTGAGTACGGAGGTACAAAGGTCGAAATCGAGGAGAACAAAGAGTACCACCTCTTCAGGGAGTCAGACATCCTAGCGAAGCTGGAGATGTGAGACGAGGTCGAAGGCCTGGACCCCGAAGTAGTAACAAGCCGGGCGTTGCCTTACAAGAGGAAACGTGCGAAATTCCAATTGTAAATTTTTTCTCTCTATTTTTTTCCTTCTTCCTTCCCCCATCACCCAGAAGTGAAAACAGAAAAAAAAACTATAGATTTTTCTAGTTGAAAAGCGGGAATATTTTTTGTATTTTCCCCTTTTTTTTATATGTTATATGTTTAATAATAAATTTATTTAGTTCTTTCTTTATTTTTTATTATTTATAATTTTTGTTATTTCTTTACACAATATTTTAAGTTCCAGCCTTTTCACAATTTACAAATTCCTGCAAGACTTCATTTTATTTTTTACTTTGAATAATGAGGGGGAACGCTTTTTTGACGAGTGTGTACGAAGGGTTCCAGGTATTTAGATCGTCAAAAACACTCGAGGATGTTTCTCGGATAATTCAATATGTAGTACAACTGCAATAGTCTACATTTTAGTGTTATAAACTTGAAAAAGTTTGATCTTTCAAAAATTATGTGTCATCTAGGAGGAAAAAAATATACGTAAAATTTCCCTTTAATTCATCCCCATATCTCAGGCGTAAACCAGCTTACATCAATTTGCAATTAATAACGTACGAGTAAGAGTGTGAAGATAAAGATGATGCTAGGAAGCGAGTATTCCCACAGACTTATCGTGCGTTTTCCCTTAGTCCCTCAGTTAAGTTCAATTTACCCGATCCTACTTTTAAGAAGTAGGTCATTGACTGACGTTCCTCCAGTCGATAGTAAGTACTGATAGTGTCGCTTAAGCTTCATAATTTACTATATTTTTTAAGGGTGAAAAAATAGTGTTTTATGAATAACATTGACATTATTGTAGATCAATGTTTTCAAATAAAATGTACAAAAAAATTAAATTTGGTATTGTTTGAAATATATTGGTCTATCCTAGAGGTTATTCTATTTTTACTTGACCCAGTTCTCATTTTTGTTCTAAGTCTATTTTAGTTTTTAATATAAACCTATGAAGTTTCGATCCTGCGGTTTAGATTTAAGTCTGTTCTCGCTTCTCTGACATTGCATATTTTTTATCACTGGGTCATATCTCCTGAACGATGGCCCACTAACAATTGTCAAACAAAAGCACAATGATCCAGCGAGAATCTGTTGGTACTCGGTGTACACAAAAGTAAGATGAATATTCTTTGTTCTTTGTTTTTTGTTTTTTCCTTTCTGAAAATTTTTTTTTTTTTTAATTTATCGTACTACCATAATTTTAATACAAAATGAAATGCAAAAGTAGGGTAATAATTTAAAAACTTTATATCTACTTGAGAAACCAATGGAAATAAAGGAAATCTGAACCTGTAAAAAAAAGTCATTTACTCTTAAAGGTAAGTTCTTGCACAAGGGTCACAACCAGGTGGGCTTTTGTGACACTACGCTTAACACATAAAATGCGGGTGATACCACAGCGTTTAAGCCGTTTTCTGTGAGACTTTTTTTCCCCTTATATTTTAGTTAGACAAGTTGTACATACCCATGGAGGGCTCGAATGGTTCAGAACAGCCTGGATTATCTTATTGTGAGCTTCATTTGCAAGTCTCTAACCTTAAACTGTTTGATAGCGCTACAAACGCATTATCTACTTTCTACGCCGCTTTTACGGTAAGTTTGACTTTTTGTGTAAATAATAAGCCCTAAAATTAACAATAAGATTTGTCTTTATATCTTTTTTTATATAAACTAATGTTTTTATGCTTTAGTAGTTAGAAAAGAAAAAAATTACCTTGTTTCCCTTCTATCTGAAAGATAATTTTTTTAACTTAACTATTTTGTCTCCAGTTTTGTTGAAAACCAACTTAGACGAAAGTATATAATTATAGAAGCAATATATACTAATTAATTTTACCTCCTTTTTCGCATAACAGAAGAAAGTCTAGGATGACCCATGTAAGTATCTTTTCACAAAATTCATCAACTTTGTCTTAGTTTTTTTGTGAAATTATATTTTAATTTTCCTATACTGTTCGTCATATTTTTTCCAGAATCACTAAAGCCAGGACCATTTGTATACATGGACACATGCTACATGGGGGGGGGAGGGTTTCCCAGAGAAACAGGAGGGCTATGAATTCCAAATGGTTTTTGTAATTTCACAAAAACAAAAATGTTAAATTATTCAATTAATAAAAAGTATGTTTAATATTTTTGTTTTATTGCAAATAGTAATAGTAGTTTGTAATTTTTTTTCTTTGTATTATTTGCTGTACCTTTATTTTGTATATTCGCTGTTTTATAAATAATTTTATATATACATTCTTTATTTACCATAAAATTTTACAAAAAAAAAATATATAGAAAATATAAATTCCAGTGTACATAAAAAATTCCTTCTGGGGTAGTATATTTACATGGTGTTTTCAGCGCCAAATGTTTATTTTAATCCATTTATGTTTAGTGGCCTAATTGACCAAATTACTTATTTCAATTAATTATTCTTTTTATGTAAGGTCTTGTTTCAGACGAAAAAGTTAGTACGAGCGGGATTCGAACCCACAACTTACTGCTCAATACCCCGCTGCTCTAACCGCTTGAGCTATCGTCACTTCGAAAAATGGCAAAAAGAGGTAAAATTCGATAGGTTGTAGGTTGAGAAATGGGGAGTTCGTGTCCGAGTGGATTGAAAAATATGTTAATATTTATTAAATTCACTAGTTTCGTGGTCCACTTGACCAATTAATATCTTACAATTAATTAAGGTTTTCAGTTGAGATAAAAATGGTAAAAAGGAGAGAAAATTCAAAAGGTGTGGTTGAGATGGGAAGTTGGTGTCCGAGTGGATCGAGGACACGATAGCTCAAGTGGTAGAGCAGCGGCGTATCAAGCCGAAGATCGTGGGTTCGAATCCTGCTCGTGCCATTGACTTTTTTTATCTCAACTGAAAACCTTAATTAATTGTAAGTTAATATTTACATTATTTTTTTATTATAGTTTTTTCTTTTTTTTTTCACAATTCAGATTAGTGTAAAAAATTGTAAATACAGTAGAAATCCGTTTATCCGGACTTGAAGGGGCCGGAACTTGTCTTTTTGATCGACTTAGAAAAAAATAGTTTACACTCTTAGAAAAAAAAATAGTTTACACTTTTATTCATATTTAAAGTAATAGTCTTTTATTAACCTTCTAAGTTTGGACACACGTTTCGTCGCTGTGTGACCTCTTATTTTCAAATGCATTAGATTGCTAGCTGATGTAGTCTCCCTGCTTTTCAAAATACGCCATCGACTCATCTAGCATTCTGGTCCTTATCCATCTCTGGCTCGTCTTCAGAACTATCAGTAGCTCCTGTTTGGATGAGGTTGCCACCACAATATCCGTTAAAATTTGGTGTCCAGCGTCATCTTCGTAGTTGATCTACTGTTTCTTCTTGAAATTTGATATCTCTTTGAAAACCGTTTACCATCTCAACCAACTGTATATTATTAATTTTTATCCAATTTTAAGATAGGGCGGAATTCTGGTGGAATACCAGATTTTTTTTTCCAACAATCGTTGATGGTTTAATTTCATCCCATGCTTCAGCTGCTGTGCAAATAACATTTTTGATGGTCATTATATTGAGTAGCAATGAGATTCGTAATTTCACCATTTTCCAAAAGCAGTAGCAATTTTTTTTTTCTTTTTGGTAGCGACGCTTTATAGTCTCGATGACTCCTTGGTCTGAGGGCTGGATAAGACTGGTTACCAACGAGGGAAAATACATAACGTATTTTTTTCCAGTCATTTTTGTTTGGATGGGAAGGGGCCTAGACAAGAAAGAGCCTTCTTCCTTCAAGGCTCTTCAATCCTTCGTTTGGTAGAAATTCGAAAATTGAAATCCTTAAAAATTGGCATTCATCCAAAAGTCAGAGTGCTTCTATGGTTTGTAGACCTCTGGAAGGGATCAGACATTGACACGTTTTAGCTCCCTAGGCTTAGCTTCCTGTCACAACCAGGGGCTGTTGTTAAGTAGTAACTGTCACTCTCCTTGCTTACCTTGTGTCCCTTTACATTTGAGTCAAGCTTCAAGGTGTTTTCTTGGGCAATAGTTTAAAATTGAATCCTGTTTCATCAGTGTTAATATCTAGGAGAGACTTAAATTTTCATTGCAGATGAATTAAGGAATTTAGTCTTGAAATTTTCACCAGAGACGAGCTTGCTTTATACCATGACATCCTTTCAGTCTTACCGTCCAGAATCAGCCGTGAATAAATGGGTCACCTCTGTTTTTAATTTAACGTTACAGCTACAGCCTTCACCTGCAAAATTGGATAATGGAACCCCCTGTTCTCTGGTCTGAACAAACCACATACAAGGCATCAAGAAATTGATTTTTAAGTTGTTTTTGGGGCCTAAACATGCCCAACAATTCTTTCTATTTTAATATAAACATAAGGCTTTATGTTACTTATTTATTGAGTTTTTCAGCGTTTTTTGATTTTATTAAGCTTTAGCTGTTTAATAGCTTATAAGCTGTTTCTTGTTCAGCAAGAGAGCCATGAGGTGCCGGGTTGGTAAGCTATAGAAAGGGCCACCTTTCAACCTAAGCCTTTTTATGTACAGTAGAAAACAAGCTACAATTTAACTTTGAAAAAAAAAAATTGAATCAATATAACTTCCATTACTATCGAAGAACTCCCAAAATATCTTTTCAATTTCGTTCTGGCTTCTGAACCGTTTCTAGCACAAAATGAGTTGTCAGATGTTTAAAAAAGTGATAAGTAGGAAAAATATCAGGTATGATGGGTAAAGCCTCGTAACCCGACTCATAAAGTCATGCCGTTGAATGAAGGAGGATGGGCTGCTTCCAATTGATTATTGCCGGCCATAATTCCCAGTTTTCGGTCTATCTCGTTGATTTCATTACGATACTTTTTAGCAGTGAAGGTCCCAGATTGAGGAAGCTGTACTTAGTCTTGCAGATGACCACCGGTGTCCTTTTTTTTTGCTTTTTAATGTAAGTTTAGCTTTGGGAAGTGCCTGGTTTCTGTATTGTGAATAAACTAGAAAAAAAGGAACAAACAAGTCTCTTCAACGAAAAAACAAAACGGTTAGAAATCCAAATTGCATAAAAGTTCGAACCTCGTCGTTCTTTTCCTTCTCGCTCTACAGCAGTTCTTCCCTCAAAGTCGGAAACTTCCTGCTCCACGACAATGAGAAAATAAAGTCCCACAAAAATTTAATCCACCACTATAACGTCCTATTTTTCACCTTTCTTTTCGACTCGTCCACGCCGACCTGTACAAGCTCGAGTCTCGCCGATGTCCCTGCTGAGCCCTGGCTGGGGGCCTCCTTTGGCTTTCAAATACTGCCCAAGCATCTTTGGCCTCATTCAACCTTGCCGAGGGCACCCTCATTTCTGCCCAAGTCTGGTCACCCCAGTGCAAAAAAAATGTTTTCCTTCTCATTTTCACTTGTAACGAGGTTTTCTGTATAATCATAAATAAATGACAACAGAGGAGGGAAAAGGGCGAAATAATTGAGAACAAAATTTTTGTTTACATTTTTTATTTTATCACATATGATGTTATTTTATCTATTTTTTTACCCCATGACACCACCCTATTATACAAACATAACATCTTTTTTTTGCGTAAAAATTTTAACATTTTATACACCCTATAGAAATCAATAACAATTCATTTAAAAAAACCAACCACTGGGTAAATATAGAGGTTGGGTAGTTAATAATAAAACATTTTTTTCCCTTCTAAAAAATATATCTAGATTTTAATCGGATTTAAAAGACGATCACAGAAATTTTAAAAAATATAAATTTATATATATTTTTTCCTTGGTAAAGTTTTGATTTTAACTTCCTTTTTTTTAAAGGACGAATGGTTAACGATTGTTAAGAAATAAAAAAGTTCATCGATTATATAATTGTTTTTTCTAACCTGTCTTTGAGCAATTTAAAAAACTTACACCTTTTTCGGGGTTTACGAGCCAAATTCCTCCGTCTCTGGCTCGATTGGTTTGAAATCGAACGATCCCCGTCCGTCCATCAGCAAATAATACTGGAAAATACAAAAGAAAAAAAAAATTTATAAACATCGATAGGATTAATTTAAAATTTAAAAAATCAATACATCATGATGTTTCCAAAGTGACTTCCTGTGCGATACGGTGAAAAGCGTAATCCCAACTTCTCGGCAGTACTGGTACATGGAACCTTCGACATCGACGCTCACAGCGCTCGTGCACTCGTCGAGGATTGCAAACTGTGGTGAATGGTAGAAAAGCCTGGCCATCTACAAAATATATATATATATATAATAATAATAATAATAATATTATAACCTTCTCTAAAGAGGTGCAGCCGGATCCGGGCGGTAGAGCGCATGGAGGAGTGGCCATCTTAATAAGAGAAAACGTACCGGTACATGGGGTGAGGATAAACACAGAAATACAGGCGATTGCAGCGAGGATAGCGGCGCCGATGAACCTCACTCTGTGTTCCGTCTATCTCCCTNAAAAAAAAAAAAAAAAATAATAATAATAATAATTTGTCACAATTAAAATCACAAGGGAGTTAATTTTAACGGCCGTACCGCAATCCTCTGTTTCTCGCCACCTGATAGAATGTCGATCCAGTCGGCTATCGAGTCCCATCCTCCTTCCCTCTGGAGGAGGTATGACAGTTGCACTTGTTCTAGGTGTTTCGTGAGCAGGATGTCATTCTTCCCTCGTCTTTTCATCTCCTCTTTCGTATGTGGATATATCACCTTTTAAATCAAATAATATAAAACCTGGTTAAAATAATTTTTGGTTAAATAATTTTAAATATTAAAAAAACCTGGTCTCTCAGCGTGCCCAAGCACATGTAAGGCCTCTGCGGTATATAGAACAGCTTGGATTTGTTTGGTTTGGTCAGCGTACCACCAAAAAGTGGCCAAAGCTACAGAAAAAAAAAAACATTTATTTTTGTTTTGCAATGAAAAATAAACTGACCTCCCCGAGGACTCTAAAGAGTGAGCTCTTCCCGCAGCCGTTCGGCCCACAGACGAGGACGTTCATGCCTGACTTGACTTCGAAATTGAGCTCTTTGACGAGCACATCACCATTGGGCGTGATGAGTGGCACTTTTTCAAATCGTATCGTCCTATCCTGATAGACGACTTTCCCGTTACCGAATTGGAGCCCGTCTAAAATAAACAGGGGGGAAAAATTGATTCGCTTATGTACAACATCAGTTTTTTTTTATTTTTATTATTTTTATTTATTTATTTTATTTTTTTTTATGAGGGTTCGCAAAAGCAGAGGTTATATCAACCCTCTGGGGGGGGGGGGGTTTTTGAAAAAAAGCCCATTTGTAAGTGTGTCGAGTTTGAATGCAGGGACACTGGATTCAAACCCGGGACCATCACCTTACAGTGATGAGCGCCGTGTCAACGCCTAAACCGTTGCGGCCACCGACACCCCTATACTTCATACCCTAGACTTCAGTTTCGCTATACCTGTAATCATTGTACGCTGGTACTTCCCGTTGTTGATGTCATCGAGGACCGTTGAGAGCTGGCTGACTCGCGATGTCAGTCCTGCGAGGCGGTTCAGGTCCCTCAGCGCCAGGACCATCCGGCCGACTGATTCAGCCATTTTGACCATCATTCTTCCCATTGTGTAATATTCCTGTACAAAAATAACAATAATAATAATCAAATTAAACAATAATAAATAAACAACGTACCATAAAACGGCCTTCTTTAGATTTTGACGAGAGGAGGTGATGCTGGGTGTTCATGAATGGCATGCTCACGGCCAAGAAACCGATTACAGTTCCAAAATCTGCATACACATACATCACACAAATAAATGATATATAGTATGTTCAATCAGCTTGACTAATATTAGTCTTCTCATTGTTACCAACCTTTCTTTTCTTTTTCTCCATTATTCTTATTTGATAAATATTTTGTTTTCAAGATGGAATTATACTTTATTTGTTTATTTAGATAATCGGTATGAAGAGAAAGAAACAAAGAGATTTAGAAAAATGTCCTCATTGGCAGTGAGGGGTTGAAAGGGGAAGGCCAGATTAGAAGTGGGGATATGAGAAGGGAAGTCAGATTAGAGATGGAAATGTGAGAGGGGAAAGGCCAAACTGGAAGTGGGGATTGAGAGGGCTAGTCAAATAAGGAGGGGATATGAGAGAGGTAGTTGAATAAGAAGGGGATGTGAGAGGGGAAGACCAGACTGCAAGTTGGGTTTGTAAGAGGAAGGGTAAAATAATTGGAGGGGATGTGAGAAGGGAAAAGCCAGACTGGATGCGGGGATCGAAAGGGAAAAGGCCAGAGAGAAGTAGTGATTGAGAGAGGAAGAGTCCAATAAGGAGGGGATGTGAGAGGGAAAGATCAGATTAGAAATGGGGATTGGGAGGGGAAGAGTCCAATAAGGAGGGGAAGACCAGACTGGAAGTGGGGCTTGAGTGTAATAAGGAGGGGAAGGCCAGACTGGAAGTGGGGATTGAGAGGGGAAGAGTCCAATAAGGAAGGGATGTGGGAGGGGAAAGGCCAGATAAACAGTGGGGATACAATACAGGAAGGACCAGACTTTTTTCTTCTTCTTCTTCCATATGGTCTTATACGGATTCACTTAGTACTTAAACTTTTGTCTATCTTTATATATTTAATTATTTGTCATATTTTACTTACATTTTCCTAGGATGTTGTCCAAGGTGCCCATTAGAACGCGGAATTCCAGGAACTTCCTCATATGTGAGATCTGCCGATCCCAAGACATACGATATTTTTTTAAAATATTAAAATAATATTTAAAGAGTTTTGTTTCAACTTACGAGTTTTTGGAACGATGCGAGCACGGTGAGTTTCTCCCTGTTGTTTCCGCCGTAGAAGGCGATCTCTTCCGAGTGGGTAATGAGACGTGAGTTGATGTACCGGTACTCGCCCTCCAGCTTCTGCTCTTGGACCGTCATCCGACCAGCAGGACGGCGCAAGTATGTGAGAAGTGTCCCGCCGAATAAAAAGTAGCCAAGCATTATAGATGGAACCTGGAAGTAATGAATAAATAAACTTTATATCAATCAGAAGGGTATTTATGGTAGGATGTGAAGAAGAAAAGGGCAGATTGATAGTAGGGATTTGAAAGAACGAGATTAATGGTGGTGATATGAGTAGGTAAGGGACAGATTGGAGGTGGGGATGTGGGAGAGAAAGGACAGATTGGAGGTGGGGATGTGGGAGAGAAAGGACAGATTGGAGGTGGGGATGTAAGAGAGGAAGTCACGTTAATGGTGGGGATGTGAGAGGAGAAGGGCCAGATTGACGGTGGGGATGTAAGAGGGGAAGGGCCTTTTTTTTTTCTTTTTTAAAAATTAAGGTTGCTATGTAGAGAACGAAAACGTATCCATCATCATTTGGAAAGTTTTGTAACCAGCTAGTCAAATCAAAAAGATCCTTTTACATCAATAAAGATCAGCAACAAGGGTGTTATAATTGAAAACACCTTATGAGAAATTAAGGCTTTAATTAGCATAAGAAATACATGTACGTACAGAAACAACACACTACAAAATGATCACGCTGGTTACAAGCTAAATAAACAATAATCGATTACTAGACAGTCGATTCTATATCAAAGGGTTTCTTTAAACCTGAGATTTCAAATAAAATATATCAAATTTTTTTTAAAGCATCAATTTTACCACGTTGAGAAGTAAATCCATATTTTTCATCCAATAATGATCATTTGATGTACGTGTGGTTTTTTTTTTAATTTTTCCTGGAGAGTAAAAAGGTATTTTTCTGGGAAGTATCTGATTGTTGCATGGTATGAGGTGTAAATTATAAATTTGTTTTTTATCAATTGTTATTCAGGAAAAGAGACAAATGGGAAAAATTTTCCGTTTGACATTTTCCCGCAATGACTTTTCAAAATGCAAATCAGGCCAGGTAAGGATAATTGGTCTAGATTAAATTATCCCGCCTGTCATTGTTCTTTACATACAGGTCATTTTATCAAATCATGATGAGTACACAATGGAAAGTAGAAAAAAAAAAAGCCCCTTGAACACATGCAAATGACAATATTGTATTATAATTTCGTCGCAAAGTGAAAAATTTGTTGTGCCCACCTGGCCTCCTAGGTTGGTCGTTAGCCTGTACACGTAAATCGCCATGTCAAGCAACGGCTTGCACATGTTCGAATAGAAGTCAGTGACCATGTCGCAAAACTTGTCGACGTCCGTCGTCAGAAGCTGGTCGGCATTGGCTATCCTGTTATCGAGGTTGGACATTTTGTAGTACGTGAAGCCTCTGAGGAAGAGAAAAATTGTGTAAAAATTAGAAGAAAAAAAAAATAAATAAAAATATGTGGGATGCTTTGTGGGGGGGGGGGGTTACTTTAGATACTGGTCGTAGAGATAGTGCGTTATCCTCGTCCTGAGCCTTATTTTCAGCTCCCCGAGGCCCCACTGCAAGAGAAAAAATAGATCACATAAAATATCGCTACCAGAAAGAAAAAAAATCGAAAAGAATACTTACTTTTAAAAGATTATTTACAAAAGCGATCTGTAAGACAAAAAAAAATTAATATACGTTTTTTTATTTTTTTAAATAAAGGTACATTTTTACCATAGGCATCGCGGTGAAAAATTGGAATAGGAACCTCTTGAATTTTTCCTTGTCCATAGTGACGATCGCACTAAAAAATAAATAAAAATAACAATAATTTTAAAAAAGAAAAGATTAAGAACAATATTTGCAGCCAGAGGCAGGGTTCCTGTTGGAGAGTCATCCTGGACAAACAGGTCTGGAGTATGACTCCTTACCTAACATCTCATCCTAAAAAAACAAACCCTTGAAAATATCAGTGGGTCGGATCAGCACAGAAGCTCCTAATCCTGAATAGGGTGGCCCTTAGCTGAAGAATAGGCCATATCAGGTTGACCACACCTTTGGGGATAAATCTTGTGTTTGTAGAGAAATAGGCCATCCGATCTTAACTGAAGAGCTTCCTCGGCTCCTTATAGTGTGAGGTACACGTTTTTGTCTCCCCAATTCTGCTTTTTAGGATTTTTATTATTTTAGCAGATTTTTTTATTATTATTGAGAATGAATGTATTTATTAGCATGAATGTGTATCAACCCTCAACTAGACCACGAGTTTTGTCTGATAGAAATGTATCCATTGTTGTCTTATTTTCATGCTTAATAAAAACGAAATAACAATAATAATTAGAACAAGAAATAAAATAAGGACAAAAACAAGGAAAATAATATCAAGAAAACCAGAAGAAAAGAAAAAAATGAACAAGAATAATAAAAAAAAATAGGACTAAGGAATAAAAAAAAGCTTAGAATAAGAATAGAAAAATAAGAAAGATAAAAGTGTAGGAGAAATGTGGCAAAAAGCTTTGACATGGAGAAGAAATGACTTCCCATAAATGGACACTACTCGGAAATGGATTTTTGTCTGCCTATTAGAAGGCTATTTATTAAAAATGGTCCACATGTAGTTAAAAAAAAAAAAAATAAAATAAAAAAAAAAAAAAAAAAAAAAAAAAAAAAAAAAAAAAGCATATTAAGCGAAAGTAAAAAAGTAAATTGAATATACATGAATGGAAATTTGGGAAGCATACATTCTAATATTTAAAATAAAATAGTGTGAGAGATTACTTTTCGATTGCGGTCGCATTGCGTATCATCCAGATGTCGCAGAGTGTCCTGGCACCCAGGCATGCTGCGACGAGGAATAGGAATCCAGCCTCGGCTGTGAACAAGCCAGGCACGCCAATCTTCAGCAGGCGACACAGCTGTCTGAAGAAATTGCGGTCGACGTGCGCTTTCACCTTCACCTCTGACGTTTTCTATTAACAAAAAAAATAATAATAATAATAATACAAGATTAAAAGGTTTATATATAGATTGTGAAAGTGTCAGAGAAAGGGGATTAAAAGAGGATTATTTAAAGAAAAATTGAATGGCTAACGTTTCATCCCTTTCATGCGGACTTTCGGGAAAATCAAATCACTTTCGCTTTCGGTCATTTATGATTGTCCCGATCTGCCCACCGTTGATCCAGCAGATCGAGGCTATCGGGAAACAACCTTATAAAACATAAACGATGGGTTCTTACCTCGCCAATGACATATTCCACTTCAGGAGGAGGCGGTTTTTGCCTGTTAAACAAAACACAAAAATTAATCCGAGTTATGTTATTTATGTTTACTTTGAGGAAGCAAAATTTCACTTGGAGGATAAAATCACGATATTTATATATACGTTTAGATATACTTTCTATCATTTCTATCTTATACAACCTGTGCCATTGTTCCGACCTAATAAATTGTTTATTTGATTTTTTTTTTTCTGTAAACAAACTGCCAATGAAAAAAATAACATTTAAGCCTTTTGTTCAATGAGAAAAAAGAGATAAGCATGGCTATTGTGATTTCATCGTCTACTGTCAGACGCAGTGGTCTCAGAGTAGGAGTGGAAATATCCTAAATAAAAGGGAAAACATGTAAATCTTAAGGCAGATAACTTTGTTATAAATAGTAAAATTACATTAACAAGTATCTTATTTTACAATATTTTTTTCCTATTATTATCAGTTAAAAAGCCAGGATACGAACACAGAACCACTAATGAGGCAAATAGAAGGCGGATCCTACCGTGTTATAAATATTAAAAAGGGGGATTTGGGTGACCATTTAGTTGGATCTCCTTGAGGCTAACGATAAGCATTATTAGGAATCAAAAAATTACATTTGCAAGTATCCTACATAAGATTTTATGAATAAAATATATAAATTGTACAACTTAGAATTGCGTAAGTTAGGTTAGAGCTATTTTGGTATATGGATTTAAGGGCCTATCAGATCCGGGGATTTTCTAAATTAGTGTACATCAAATTGGAAGACTCTAGGAGAAAGTGGAATTGAAGAGACTATCTCTTTTTTGACCTGGCATCAGTAGTCATCAGAAAAGTCACGATGGACGGTAAATAGTCCAGTAAAGCAGTCAAGTAGTCAGCCTCGTCCCATTCATTTATTTCCTCTCAGCCTTCTCATAAAGATTGCGTAGGCAGTGAATAAAATTGAAAATATTTGATTATTTACAAAAATTTAGCTCAACAAGAAGTACCTAATCACTAAGCAGCATACAAAGATTAGCAAACCCATGTATCACAGGGGCAATGTGAACAACCCATACAAATTACTGGAGGGTTACTGCTAAACTGTAAATATTCATACAAGAAGCTACGAAAAACTCGTATGGGCTCCAAAAAACAATTAAATTGGATGGGAACTAAACGGACACACAACTATAATTAATAAAATCAGACGCCCAATCTTAGAAATGGGGACTGATTATATGAACCCGGAAACATTCTTTACATTCTATAAAGTCTCAACAGAATGTAAAGGGGAGGAAGAACTCAGGAGAGCATCAGATACAATATATATAGACGGCTCCAAAACCAATGAAGGAACCAGATAGGGCGTTTTATTGTACAAGCCCAAAATATGAGCAATCAAACTCATTAGGGTAGGTCTTTCAAGCAGAAATATTTGCCATCAACACTTGAGAAAATCTTAAGAGGTTTCACTGGCAAAAAATCCTCATAAGATCGGATAACCAAGCATTAAAGCATTAGTGTGTAAAAAAATCACCTCAAAATTAGTGAATGCATCCAAAATCTCCAAAACCTGGGGAAACGCAACACCTGATACCTTGGGTGCCAGGGCACAGAGGAATTTTGTGTAACGAAAAAGCAGACACACTGGCCAGAGGAGGATCTGCAAGACCATACATAGGCCCCGAATCTAGACTTGGGATAACAAAACAAAAAAACAGACTACTCCGTCACAGAATAGATCTAAATAGCACAAAATGATTATGATAAAACAACCCTCACCAAGACTGGCAAACTCTCTGCTGCAGTTGGAAAGGGCCAGACTCAGAGTCATAGGACTACAACTGGTCACTGGCATCTGACAAAACATCTACACAACAGGGGCATATATAATGATCCCATTCACAGATTATGCAAATCTGGAGGAGGAAACAGCCTTGTGCGAAGATAGAGACATAACCTAGCATACAGAAAAAAACCTAGGGAATGAAAGCGTAGCAACAGTCAACAACCTAATACTTCTGAGAAAGATTGAGTCAACTGTACTGAACTGGCGAACTAGGAAGGTACAATCCCAAAGGCTGCAGTTCCTGGGATGAACAAACCCTGCTTCCTAATACCTCATACCATCACAACAAAATGAGCACAAACAGACATTTAATAGCTTTCGCCCACGCCAACAATTTACACATGAAATCAAAACAACAAAACAATACCATTTTAGATACACTCGTAATAAAACAACCAGATGGCACATTAATCAGAGATTGGTATCAAAAACCGAGAAACACAGATCCCTACCTCAACTTTATATCACACCATCCTCTTCATACAATAATAAACATGGCCAAAGGGCTACTTCACAGAATTATTACGCTAAGCCATGAATCATTTCACCACAAGTGCATAAAGATATACAAACATATCCTCCACAACAATCACTACCCTAAATACATAATCAACGGAATAATCAACACTAACACCATCCACTATTACTAATAATGATTATTTTTTGAACTTGAGATGCGGTCTGGTGTGATGTAAGTTTTAGAAAAACATTTTATCATGCCAACGTTTTGATCTCTATTGAGATCATCTCCAGGGCCTGGTATTTACAAACATTGTTTAAATTTAACAAATACATGTAGGATGTGGAAAAAAAAGTGAATTTATACAATGCAAAAAATATTTTTTATATTCAATCAAACTATTTCTATTCACTCAAAGTATTCGTTTTTTTGTATGTCGTTTTTGTGTGTTGTGTTGAGATATCTCACTGGCACTCAACACGACACACAAGAATGGCACATCTACACAGAAAATAAACACTTTGAGTGAGAAAATAAATACTTTGATTGAATCTAAAATTTCTAGCATTGTATAAATTCATTTTTTTCACATCCTACATGTATTTGTAAAATTTAAACAATGTTTATAAATCCCAGGCCCTGGAGATGATATTGAGATAAAGATCGAAACGTTGGCACGATAAAGAAAATGTTTTTCTAAAACCTACGTCACACCAGACCGCATCTCACAATTTCTGAATAATCATAGACTAACGGTCACTAAACACCACACATTACTAATAATACTACAACAAATCTATCAAATACAGACAAACCAACATACATTTCCATGCCATTCATTCACGGCTTACCACATAAATTAAACACCTTTCTCTCTTCTGATAATTTTAAAATAGCTTTCAAAAACTATAAAACAATTCACACATTTTTTTTCCAAAATTAAAACATCCCACACCAGTAACAAATAAATCTGACCTAATTTACAAAATCAATTGTTTAAATTGTCCGGCGATTTACATCGGTATTACATCCCAATATTGGGATAAGAGAGTAAAGCAACATATCTGATTGCAAAAAAAAAAAAAAAAATCCTACAGCACTGGGCTACCCACCGTTTTGAACACCAACACAATTTTGACTTCAACAATCCAAAAATATTAAACACAGAAGAAAACAAACATAAATGTAACTTTTTAGAAATGGTTTACATCAACAGAGATAAACACAGCATCAATTACAGAACAGACACAGGTAAACTCAGTCGCTGCTACGCTAATATCATTAATCGAATTCAAAATTAAAATACAAATTACAACAGGGATCAGTTATCGCAAAAAGAGAATGTTTGGTACATTTTTTCCAAGTTTTAACAATTTGACAAATCGACTTTGTTCGTCCATTGTTGTAACTTGAATGACTAATTATTTATTTTATAAATAATTTCGATTTATTACTTTTTTATCTTGGATTTTTCAAGGTCTTACGCAGGTCATCTGACAGCAACCGACGATGACAGTCTACCAATGGACCATTTCAAAAAACAAAAAACAAAAAAAACAATCCCAATTTACATATTTTGTTGTTTTTGTTTGTTAATTTTTAATTTTTTTATTTATTTATCTACAAGTGGTCTGAAATATTGCTATGTCATACCTGACTGGTTTCCTCCCACCCTTGGAAATCTTTTTAGCGAGGAGGAACGCGACGACCGAGACGGAGGCGGCGCCGACGGCGTTCTGCCGTGTCAGGTACTTGCTCAAATTGGCCATCTGACAGACCGCAGAACGACTTTGTATGCACCTGTTACGCGTCCGTGCCCCTCGTCAGCAGAAGTGACACAACCACTAAGCTACGAAGACGTTAGACACTCCAAACGCCAAAGACCAATCTTCGATCCTAGACCTTCACTGAAGTCGGAAAAAGTGGGAGAAAAGCGGGCTGGAAGGGCGGCCAAGGTTGTACTGCAAAGCGCAACGCGTCCCGATCGCGCCTCGGACCCGTACGATTTTAAAACGGTAATTTTTTTTTAAACAATACATTTTAAACAGATTATAACATACGTTAATTATTTATTCTACTTTTAACTAAAAAAAAAAAAAAAAAACGAAAAATAAGCAAAATATTCAACAATAATGTAAAAGAGGGAAAAGGAATAAACCCGCCACTTGTTGCCGTTTGATATTCGCAAATTTCAACAAGTATTCCATTTATTTACTCATTTCTTTTTATTATGTTTATTCAGGCCTAGTTTAAACAAAATATATTAGAAAAAACAATAATTTATTCTTTTTACGTATGGTATTGGTCGAGATGAAAAAGTCAGTGTCACGAAAGAGGAGACGCTTAGCTTTTTCATCTCAACCAAGACCTTACATTTAAAAAAAAATAATAATAATAATAATTGAAATAAGTCAATTAGACCAGTAAACAGAAACAATTAATTGTGTGTTTCTTAGTGTCCTGTTTTCCCCCATAATTTGTTGAAGTCATGGGGAGCGGTCAAAAATGAGGTACAGTTTAGAAAAACGCCTGTTTTATTATTATTATTTTTTTGTTTTTTGCCAACTTTTTACCTTTATTAAGGCCATCATCAGGACATAAAGTGTGGTGCTATTATTGTGGTGTCATATCAATATTATAACTAAAGAATAACTTTATGCCTTCAAGATACAAAAGTTTTATTGTGTTAAGAAAAAAAACACGAATGAATTCATTTTTATTTTTTACCTTGTTTTTCCTTACTCAAGGAAACACCCCCGCGCTTCTTTTAAGAATGGAAGAAATGGAGTACCAATGTTTAACCCGCCCACCATTATGTCAGGGATGGCACAATTCGATTGGATGTGACAAGCTAAACGTTCCTCTACACACGTTTCAATTTAGCCCGTAAAGCCCTCCATTTTCGAGACCAAAACCAAAACAAAAAAAAAAGGATTTTTTTCAATGTAAAACGCCCTGCTTGTATGATCGATGTGGAATTAAGCCAGTAAAGCCCTTAATTTTGGAATCGAACGAGAAAACAGAGAAAAAAAGAAATTAAAAAAAAAATAGTTTTTCCAATGTAAAACTGCTGAGATGATTGGAAGTACAACCAAACTCGTAAAACCCTTACTTTTCCATATAAATGCAGAAAAAAACCGAAAGAAAATTTTAATTTATTTTTCAATGTAAAACCACTTCAAAAGATACAAAAGTTTTATTGTGTTAAGGAAACAAAGTACAAGTTTTGTCATTACATTTATCAAGAATAGGAGAAATTAATACATTTTTATCCCACTATTAATATATGATAAAACTCCTCAAAGGCATTCACAGTGAGGAATTTTGTTATTTTAAGTATAATTTTTTTTCAGGTAACAATTTGACATCGTCTGGTAGATTATTAAAAAAATTGTATAGCTCAATATTTACAAGTTTTCACATCTTTTAAGGTTCGGCCACTCAGGAACTATTTTATTACAGTTTTTCGTATAGTGATAATGTACATAATTAATTTTTTTTTTAATAGTCTTGCTTTGTTTGTAACAAATACAGTACACATTGTAAGTTATAAAAGCTGGGCAGAGTCAAAATGTTTAATTTAGTAAATGTTTCTCTGCAACATTCCCAATACTTGACCTGTAGAACAGTAAAATGATTAAAACTTAATGTTTGACTGGTGTTTTTAGCCTTTTTTTAGCCTAAGCATGGTTGTTAGTAACGGCAAGTTTATTTGTGCAATGTTGACCTGTCTGGTATATTGCAAATCAAAATGTGGGCGCATTTCTAGTCGTTAATACTTGAAGTAGTACTTAACACATATTTTGATGTTTAATTATTTTCAAATATGTAATCTGTATTTTTATTTTAATTATGTTTTCGAAACATAAGTGAAGGTTGTGTAGAGACTTGTTACAGCAGTGTCAACTGCATATGTGGCATTCTCATTTGTAGACATATCAGAAGTAAAATTGTGTACAACAGCGGAGACAGTATTGTCCCTTGTGGCACACCTGCAAGCACGTCTTCCATAAGTCTCTGTACCCTGGCTAACTGTGAAAAATCACTCCTTAAGGTATGATTGTATAATCAGACAATAAGCCTGGGGTAACAATAATTTTAATTTATTCTAGAAACACTCCAGACGGGTACAGTTTCTGCTCGAAGTAATTAAATCTCTGTGAAGTAGATGAGTAGTGTAATGATGGGTCCGAAAGCTAAATTGACAATCTGGTAAGATGCTTGAAAGTTAAACTTTTTTAATTGAATTTTTGAATTTTGGTACATGTGAGAACAGATCATGGCTGACATTATTGTAAAATTGGCGATTTTTGGCCGAACAATCTGAAATTATTTTGTAAATTTTTTTTCACCTGTGAAGTCTTAAAAAAAACTTTTTAAAATTTATTTATTTATTTGTTTTTTGTTTTGTTGAGTATTTTGAATACCGGTTGAAAGTCGCATTCAATGTAAAATATCCCAAGGCGACTTGCAAGCATAGGTAAACCAACAATCGCCCTCAACCCTCGCGACAAATACATTTTTTTCCTTGTAAATTTTGTAATTTTTAAATTAATAATAAATAAAAATAGAAAATTGCACTCGTGGGGGGAGGGAAAAAACCCGTCGGTACTTCGAATTCCTCGATTTTGTTTTTGTCTCGAAACCGGAGGGGCCGCCATATGTGAATGTCAGAAAAATTGTTTTACTCAATATCGCGTCACGGTTTGTTTTGTTATTATTTTTTGTTGGGGAAAATAAAAAAAGAGAAGGGTGAAAAAACATTTTTTTTCTTTTAAATATTTCTATTTACTTGTTCCGGTTTTAAAAAAATCATCGTACATCCCTGGCACGACGTCGCTACGCCATGTGCGATAACGCGAAAGGGGGAGGTAACGATGTCGAGGGCTGTCCGTCAACAAGGTAATTGACTCAATTTGTTGTTGTTTATCGTATTGTTTGTTTTTTCTTATTTATCCTTACCGTAAAGGGTTCGAAGGTTTTTTTTTACATATGTATTTTAAAATTGTCCTTTTTACGAAAAGGTTTGTACAATCGTGCCCCCTGGCCGATCCGGGATCGCAACCGGTCTGTTTTCTTCATTTGAAAACATAGAATATTTTAACGGTTGTGTTTGGATGGTAAAAACAGCAAGAAAGCAGTTCTCTGTATAAAGAAAAAAACCCTTGGGTTTATACGCTTTCAGTATGGTTTCAGGTCACAACCCTATCCCTAATACAAACAAAACAACCCCAAAATAAGTTTTCAGTTCATTTTATATATTACACACAAAAAAGATTACGTACAGTGTTTGACTTGTTCATAAAAATTGCTACCATCAAAATTCGTGTGAAAAATTTTTCAAGATGTTTTGGACAAATATTAAATAAATTGGCACCTCTAATCTTAAACCCACTTTATGTAATGTTATTTGTAAAACTTTACTGAATAAAAACTAGTCCAGCTAGATTCATATTTTATCGTTTAAATTATGGCGTATAAAAACATATGTTCTCAACTTAGAACTATTCGTCGGCCTGTAAGTTTTTGATTACGTAAGCCTGGTGCGGTTCAAAATGGAGCTCCATTAATATACAGTGTTTAATACACCAATATTTAATTATTTTTTAATTTCATTTTTTTTTAATATTGTACACTTAAAATGTTTGATGGGTGTTTTTAGGCTTACACCATCCACCTTGTTTGAATCTGAAAGTTTTCCTGTGTAATATTGGTCAGCCTGGTATTTGCAAAACAAAATGGTGGCGTGTTTCAATTCAACATATGTACAACAATTAATTAATCATCATTTAAACAATTTCTAGTGCATATTCTGTATTTTTTCCTTTTTTAATAAGTATTGTATAATGTTTAATGTTTGATTAGTGTTTTTAGTCTTATGCCCTCCACCCTAAAAATATTCTTGTGTAATGTTGGCCAGCCTGATATTTGCAAAAAAAAAAAATGGTGACATGTTTCAAGTCATTTAGCATATCCATTATGCTTAGTGGTCTGAGTGACCAAATTATGTCTTTCAATTAATTATTCTTTGCATGTAAGATCTTGGTTGAAATGAAAAAGTTAGTGTCATGAGCGGGATTCGAACCCATGACCTTCGGTACATACACCACTTAACCTCTTGAGCTATCGTGACTTTGATCCATTCAGACACCAATTCCTCATTTAACATATTTACAACGATTAATTCACCATTATTATTATTATTATTTTTTTTTTTTTAAACATGGATTGTATAATGTTTTAATGGTGTTTTTAGCGATACATCATTCATCTGAAGATTTATTGTGTAATGTTTGCCCGCATGTATTTCAACTCAAAATGGTGGCATTTTCAGCTTCATCGACTTATTTAAAGTGCTCAATTCACCATTATTTAAATCTTCTTTTAATGCATATCCTTTATTTTTTTAGGTTTAATGTTTGATCAGTGTTTTTAGTCTTACATCATACACCTTGTTTGAATCAGAAAGTTTTCTTGTGAAATGTTGCCCAACCTGGTACGTACATTCAAAACAAAATGGTGGCATTTTTAAGCTCAATTAAAGCGACAAATGGTTGTTTAATTATTTTCTGATTCGTATTCTGTATTTTTTGTTTCTTTTTTTTAATATGGCTTGCATAATGTTTAAAATTTAATGTTTGACCGGTGTTTTTAGTCTTACACCTAGCACAATTGTTAGTAACGGCAGGTTTATTTGTACAATGTTGGCTAGCCTGGTATATTACAAATCAAAATGGTGGCACATTTCAAGTCATTAATACTTGAAGTAGTACTTACCACATAGTTTTCTGTATTTTTTTTAATAAGACGAAATTATCAAACAAGATGGATGAAGATCTTGAAGATGAAGATGAATGGATGGCCCATAAAATATTTAATGGAAGTTTTTAGTCTTCATCCATCTTGTTTGATAATTTAGTCCATCAATTGTTGTTTCATCGGAAGGTGAAGAAATTGATTGTCACTTATAATCATATTATGGCTTTCACTGTTGGTCTTTGTCATTTAGAATGGTATTGGCCATTAGTTACTTAAAAATGCTAGACCCTTCTTCTCTTTTAAATAGGGTATTATATATTTTATTAATCTTTGTATCTCATGTAAATGACTTGAATGCCATTTTAGGTCGGTAGGCTGTAAGGTTCATTGTTGGCAGAGTATATTGTATACACAGCTTTTGACCTTATTCACAATAAATGTATCTTTTTTTTTCTTAATTTTAGAAATTCAACATTGAGAAAGCGAAAAATGTGCAGCAAGAGTGAAATTCAGCTCACCCTCGACGGTTCGCCCGAATTCAAAAAGTTCGAGGACGACGACGACCGCCCTGAAATCCTCACCCCTCCACCAAGGTTATTATTATTTTTTTTTTTATCAGGGTCATTTTATTATGCTCTCTCGTCAATTTTTGTATTGAATTATTTATGTTATTTAATATAATCTCATGTCTGTCTATTGTAAGGTATGGTTAATCCAATGGAAAAACAACATTCTTTTTGTTTTATCGATTTTTTCGAAACTTTGATACTGTCATTACATTCTTGTTAATGGATCATGTATACACATATGTGCCAACATTTGTGCGCCATATCCTCATAAACTTGCTCTTTACCCCATCTAATCCTCACCCGATCAGACCCTGCCCTTTTCACGTCCCCACCATTATCCTGGCACATCTCCTCCTATCATCATCATTACCACTTTCCCCTATCATACTCATACCTCTAAATCTAATCTTACCATTTTTCCTCTCAACTCCCCACTACTAATCCTGCCCTCCCCTTTTCACGTCCCCACCATTACTCTAGCACTTTCCCTCTCTTATCACCACCATTACCCTCGCGCTTCCCCGCTCATATCCCCCCACTATTACCCTGGTATTTTTCCTTATCATACCTCCACTAATAATCTTACCAGTTTTCCTCTCAATTCCTCACTACTAATCTTGTTCTCTCCTTTCATGTCCCCACCATTGCCCTGGCACTTTTCCCTCTCATATCACCTCCATTACCCTGCTACTTCCCTTCTCAACTCCCCCACCTTTTCCCTGGCGTTTCCTCTCTCATATCATCATCATTACCCTGGCACTTTTCCCTATCGTACTCCCACCATCAATCTTACTATTTTTCCTTTCACATCCCCACTACTAATCTTGCCCACCATTATACTGGCACTCTCTTTTCACATATTCTTCACATTTCCTGTCATAATTCCATCATTAATCGACCCCTTCCCCATTCTCACATTCCCACCATACCCTGGGCCTTTTTCCTTTCACATTCTCACCATTCATCTGTTCATCTGGCCATTCCCCTTTCCCATCTCACCACCAATCCAACCTTTCCCTTTCTCTCCATGATCTAAATAAAAAATAAAATAAAATTTTGTTTTGTAGACAGAATAAAATATTTCTTTTATAAAAATGTACTCTCTGTATTGCATTCAATTCACTAGTTTCGTGGTCCGCCTGACAATTAATATCTTTCAATTAATTAAGGTTTTTAGTTGAGATAAAAAAGTCAGTGTCACTAGCAGGATTCGAACCCATGATTTTTGGCTAGATACGCCGCTGCTCTACCACTTGAGCTATCGTGACATCAATCCACTCGGACACTAACTTCCCATCTCAACCCCACCTTTTTTGAATTTTCCCTCCTTTTTGCCATTTTTCAAATGTCATGTAATCTATTTGATTCTCGGCGACAAATGAAATGGCGACGGAGAGCTTTAGTGAAGGTATACTTCATTTAAACTGATTAAATTCACTAGTTTCGTGGTCTGCTTGACCAATTAATATCTTTCAATTAATTGAGGTTTTTAGTTGAGATAAAAAAGTCAGTGTCACGAGCAGGATTCGAACCCATGATCTTCGGCTAGATACGCCGCTGCTCTACCGCTTGAGCTATCGTGTCCTCGATCCACTCGGACTCATGACACACTGTTTTATCTAAACTAAAAACCTTAATTAATTGCAAGATATTAATTGGTCAAGCGGACCACGAAACTTGTGAATCTAATCAATTTAAATGAAGTATACCTTCACTAAAGCTCTCCATCGCCATTTCATTTGTCGCCGAGAATCAAATAGATTACATGACATTTGAAAAATGGCAAAAAGGAGGGAAAATTCAAAAAAGGTGGGGTTGAGATGGGAAGTTAGTGTCCGAGTGGATTGATGTCACGATAGCTCAAGTGGTAGAGCAGCGGCGTATCTAGCCAAAAATCATGGGTTCGAATCCTGCTCGTGACACTGTCTTTTTTTATCTCAACTAAAAACCTTAATTAATTGAAAGATATTAATTGTCAGGCGGACCACGAAACTAGTGAATTGAATGCAATACAGAGAGTACATTTTTATAAAAGAAATATTTTATTCTGTCTACAAAACAAAATTTTATTTTATTTTTTATTTAGATCATGGAGAGAAAGGGAAAGGTTGGATTGGTGGTGAGATGGGAAAGGGGAATGGCCAGATGAACAGATGAATGGTGAGAATGTGAAAGGAAAAAGGCCCAGGGTATGGTGGGAATGTGAGAATGGGGAAGGGCTCGATTAATGATGGAATTATGACAGGAAATGTGAAAGAGGAGGGAAAATTCAAAAGGTGGGGTTGAGATGGGAAGTTAGTGTCCGAGTGGATCGAGGCCACGATAGCTCAAGTGGTAGAGCAGCGGCGTTTCTAGCCGAAGATTGTGGGTTCGAATCCTGCTTGTGACACTGACTTTTATCTCATCTAAAAACCTTAATTAATCTCTGTATTGTGTTGAACCGGCATTCGGCCACTTATTGGGTCTGTCTTCACTCACGGTTTTTTGTTTGAGTTATTTAATGGTTTTGGCATTGTGTCATCTGAATGAGAAACTTATCCCCAGCAGTGTTCAATAGTCTACTGTCTCCGCCATGTCAGCTTCCATCACCTGAATAAATTGGGGTATTATACATAGTCCATGCTCTGCAGCTGCTGTTTGACTATTAGCTTGAGAGTAGATCATTGGAGGGTACGCTAAGGGAGAAAAGGAGAGAGAGAGAGAGGTGCTAGAGCATTGTGACCCTTATTTGTGATTTAAACTTGTGTTTCTTTGTTATTTATTTATTTTTTTTTGTGTGTGAAGTTGCGAGGAACAATGTATGACGGCTAAAGAGCCACCTCCAGACCTGCCAAAGATGTTCCTGGACCTCCTTGAACCCGTACAAGGGGTAAATATATTTATAAAAAAAATATATATATATATATACATATTTTAATGATGAGAAATTTTTTATTTATATTTTTTTTTCTACCAGCTGAGACCGCGCAAGCTCGAGTTCACATGCCCAGTCTGCTCACTCCGCCTTGCCTCGCATAACTCCCTAGTAACACACAACAAGACGCATGGCCGTCCAGCCTGCCTCCACTGCCTCAAGCGGTTCCCGTCGCACTCGCTGATGGCCCGCCACTCTCAGAACTGCCGCCAGGTCCAGACGGTGATGGTCACCTCGAAATACGGACGTTCACGCAACGTACGCTGCTACCTTGGCCTCTCTTGAACAATTCGAGGGCACATGAAACAAAAAAAAATGCAAATTAAAAAAAAAAGAAGAAGAAAATACACCTTTGTATATATATAATAATCATAAAAAAAACAGAAGTTTTTATTAGCATTTTTTTAAAGGATAGTCTTGTTCGTTTGTGTACTATAATAGTTTTTTTAGATTTTTTTTTCTAACGATTTATTTTGATCCATCGGAAAAGCAATTTCCGATCATTGTGCCTTAATTTTACGTTAAAAAAAAAGTAATAATTAAAATCAGGGTTTCAAATCAAATAGTTGATAAATTTAGTAAGGTAAATTTAAACATTATATATTATTATTAGTATTTTTTAGTCTGATATGCATATATGTATGTGTAAGGGACCAAAAAAAAAAAAATCATACGGTATGTCCAGTATCGTCTTGTTCCTTGTTTATGTTTATTTTATTTTATTATATTTTATTTTGTTTTTAAATGTCTAACCAAGTAGAATTTAGAATTTTTTTAGAGAAAAGGAAATATATTTTTTACGGGGTGCCGGTTTGTTTTGCAAGCCGTACATGCCATGCTGCGTAAAGCGAAAGAAAAACTGAATCAAAGTGCCGTCCGGACCACCGTCTGGAGAGGGGGGAAACCGATTGTTACCGAGGGTAATCTAGTTTTGTGAAACATTCCAAAGTTTGTTTTTTGTTCATTTAAAAATCAAAGTGAGAAAAAAAGAAGAATTGTTATATTTTTTCTTATTTTATATTAATTCAGACTGATAGTCAACAGTCAAAAATTTTGCCAAATACAATATTTTTAAGAAATATGTAAAAAAAATAAATTTAAAAAAATTGCATTCCATTTTATCATTTATTTGTCATTTATCTTCTTTTTTGACAGATAGTAGAGACCCTCTCTACATCTTCCGTATCATATCCCCACTACTTTTCTGCCCCTTTCCCTCTAAGTTATCACCCCCACTTCTAATCTTTCATATCCCCTCTTGAGGGGGGGTCACGCGTCACATCCCCACTGCTATTCTGTCCCCTCCACTCTAAGTCTCTATGGGTGGGGGTCAGTTCTCGTCACATCCCATCAACTATTCTGCCCTTTTTCTTCTAGGTGATCTTTTTGCATCATATCCCTTCTACTTTTCTGCCCCTTTGTCCTGTTATATTACCAAATTTCGACCCTACTATCCTGTGTTCTCACTTGCGATCTGGTTTATCTCACTTCCACTACTATTCTGACCTTTCCCCCATGATTATCTTTCCCCACTCCTTCTTTGTCACATCCTCACTACTATTCTGTCCTTTCCCCTCTTGATTATCTTTCCCCACTCCTTCTTTGTCCCATCCCCACTACTATTCTGTTCCTTCCCCTCTTGGTTATCTTTCCCCACTCCTTCCTTGTCACATCCCCACTACTATTTTGCCTCTTCTCCTTAATATGGAGATAACTTCCTTCGGTCTTTTCTTCTTTTAAATCCCTACAATCTGACCCTATTATGTACCACCTGTCTCTTACTCCAACTGTATTCTGTACTATATTTTGTCCCTACCTCTTTTATATTCCCACTCCAACACTAACCCTTAGTAAGAAAATTTGTTCTTTACCCGTTCACATACCCTCTGCATAAAATGTCCCTTTCCCTTCTTAGTCTCAATCCACAACTCTATTATCCCTAGTACATTTTGCCCCTTCTATTTTCTAACTCCAACAACATTTTTCCCTTACTATCGTTATATCTTTTCCTCGCTAGGATGGGTTTCCCCCATTCCTTCACCAACACTTTTATTCTTTCTTTTCCTTTCTAGGTGATATTTTCATATTCTTCCTCTTTCTTTTGTTACACTCCTTCCACTCTGACCCTTGTCACACCCCCACTACTGTTGTCTTTTCCCTTCTAGGCTATCTTAGAACATCCCCACTTTCATTGTGCCCTTAGAATGAAATATTTCTTTTATACAAATGCATTCAATGTATTTTTCATCATCTTTCGTTCACTATCATGTTCTAAGGTTTCTCGCTGTATTAAAAAAAAAAAAACATAATTATATAATTTTTATTTAATATATATATTTTTTTAGGAGGGAGGAGTTATAAACTTTAAAAAAATCTACATTGATTTTTTTTTGTGGGGAGTGGTTAGGGGTGATTTTTTTATACAATGGTTTCGGTTGTTTTGTCGTCCGTTCGACTTATGACGGGAGCTTGAGACCTCGCTTGGCTGCCTCGGCTTGGTACTTCGCCCTGTAGACGCCGTTCGGGTCGTAGATCTTCTCTAGGGTCTGGAAATCGGCCGGCTTCTTCTCCAAGAGGTATCGCATCACCTTTTCGCTTCCGGCCTTCTGCTTCGGGGTACACTTGGAACAGGCGGTTGTCAGGGCGTCCGGGAGTGCGGCTGTTAATTTAAAAAAATGAATAAATAAATAATTTTTATTCATAATGATCAATTTTGAATTTCATCCCCCCTCTACATACAGTCACACACCAACTCTATTCCCTTTTTTACTACATTTATGTCCCTTCCCCTTCAATACCCCCACCAGTAAAATTATATCCCCTACTACATTTCTATCCCTTCCCCTTTCAAACCTCCACCAATTCAATTTTATCCCCCACTACATTTCTGTCCCTTCCTCTTTCAAACCTCCACCAGCTAAACTATACCCCCTACTACATTTCTGTCCCCTTTCAAACTTCCACCACTTCAATTATATACCCTACTACATTTCTCTCCCTTCCCCTTTCACACTCCCACTCCTACTCTATCCCTTAACAGATTTATGTCCTTTTCCGTTTTAATACCTTCCACTCATGCATTTCGGTCCTTCCCCCCTTTTTACTCTCGCTTCATCCTTCACATCATTTAGCTCTCATCCCCTTTCCTACTCTATCACTTACTACATTTGCCCCTTTCCCTTTATTACTCCCACTCCAACTCTATTCCCCTGTACTACTACATTAACATCCCTTCCCCTTCAATACCCCCACTACTAAATTATATCCCCTACTATATTTCTGTCCCATTTTCTTTCATACTCCCTTAATAGATTTAGGCCCTTTTCCGTTTTATACCTTCTACTCCTACTTTCGGTCCTTTACCCCTTTTTTTACTCTCACTCCATCCTTCACAACATTTAGCTCTCTTCTCCTTTCGTACTCCCCATTCCAACTCTCTCTTCCTTCAAGAGTCCTTCAACCATTACTATTTTGTCCTTGTTCATCAAATGCTACCAACATATTTTTCCAATGCTACATACGAACGAGATTCACTCGTATCTCATTCATTAGTATGAGTACCATGAGCAATGTCAATGTGTAAACATGTATGCAGATTTTGAAGGCTAAACCGTACATCAAAAGCGTTTAATGTATATTAATAATAGAAGAACCGATTAAGATTGTGTATTTGAGTATGTTTGACTGGGTCTCGCTTCTACTCCCGGAGCGGGCGTCCTTCAGGACCGGTCCCAGTATCTCCTATTCGTCGAAGACTCGTTTAAAAAAACTTGTAGGGAGATAAGTCGTAGTTGACGAGATTTTATTAGTTTTGTTTGTGGGAAATGTGGGAGGATTGCGGGCCAATTAACCTTGGTTTTTGCCATCATCTCAACATCCAAAGTACGATAAAATCTCAATTATTCCCCAAGGTGGGGAGGGAGAAATGGGAAAAAAACCTATTTGGAATTTTATGTTTTTCTATTTCTTTTTTTATTGAATTGTAAATTTGCCATATTTAATTTACCTTTGAGCTCTTTTCCGTCGGGCGTGCAATTGCCCCTGTTGGCGAGGCAGTCGAAGTACTTCTTGTATAGCCTCTGGTTGCCGAGTATCTCGTCGAGGTCGATGTTGTCGTACTTGGTCGTGTATGCTGCGACCAGGCCGATGAGGAGGAGGCCGGGAAAAATAGTCTTGTACATCGTCTTGGACTCAGTAAGACTGACTTGGGAGATGGATGAGGGACGGCTTTTTATACTTGTCGCGACGGTGGGGGCCGAGCTGGTCCGGAACCGGGGAAAACTCAGAAATTAACCCGCGGAATGGGATGTGAGAGCTTTTGACGCACTTGGGGTTTAATATCCCCCTGGCGGGGGGGGGGGAGCCCGGTCGACATCTTTTTAGGGGTTCAAGGAACTCGTCCCGGGTTCTGCCTACAACCTCTAGGGGTTGGTCGTTGGTTTCGGATTCAGCGGAAATCTAGGTATATCTTCTTATCTTAGGTTGATGGGAGGTTGTGAGATCAAAAATCTTTTGGGTTACATATATATTGTAATAATGCGAATAAGTTTTTGGTGTGGGATATACATTTCTGGCTTTCATATGCATGTTTTACAGCTGAAAAAAAGCATAGGTTTTCCAGGGTTCCATATACATTTATAGATGAAACATAAGTTTAGGGATTGAATTTATGTGTCAAGGATGCGTATAAGTTGTAAGAATGCATATAAATTTTGGGTGTTCGTTAATTGAGCTTTAAGGATGCATATAAGTTGAAGGAATGCATATACATTTTGGTTAGTTATTTTTGCTTTAAGGGTGCATATAAATTTTGGGTTTTCATTAATTGTACTTTAAGGATGCATATAAATTGAAGGAATGCATATAAGTTTTGATTTTTTGTTCATTTTTCTTTACAGATACATGTAAGTTGAAGGAATGCATATGGGTTTTGTTTGTTAGTTCATTTTGCTGTAAGGGTGCACATAAGTTGAAGGAACGTATATGGGTTTTGGATTTTCGTTAATTTTTCTTTAAGGATACATATAAGTTGAAGGAATGCATATGGGTTTTGAGTTTTCGCTAATTTTGCTTTAAGGATGAATATAAGTGGACAGCATGCATATGGGTTTTGGGTTTTCGCTAATTTTGCTTTAAGGATGAATATAAGTGACAGCATACATATAAGTTCTGTTTTTACTTAATTTTGTTTTAAGGATGCAAATAAGTTTTGGGTTTTAGTTAATTTTGCTGTCAGTGGAAGGAATGCATATAGGTTTTGGGTTTTCGTTAATTTTGCATTAAGTATTATATATGTATATAAAGTGGAAGGTTTATGGGCCGACAAACAGCTGAGGTCATCGCCGGCCCTCCGCATGTATTCCTTCTCTTTCCTGTCTTTCTCGCGTATTTTGTATTGAACTGCAGCCATTTGAGCATCTCGATCTGGTTTTCAATAATTTTGTTTTTAAGATGCTTCTTCTTGGGGGGGGGGGGACAAATACTTTTAGAGGCTGCATTAAGTTATGGGCTTTCTAATTTTGTTTTGAAGATTTTTTTTTGGGGGGGGAATACGTTTTGAGGCTGCATATAAGATTTTGTTTTTGTTAATTTTTTTTCAGATACATGTAAGTTGTAGATATGCATATAAATTACGGGTTTTCTAATTTTGTTTTGAAGATGCTTTTTTTTTTTTTGGGGGGGGGGGGCTNTTAATTTTGTTTCGAAGATGCATATAAGTTTTGAGATATACATGGCATATAAATATGTTATTTTGGAGATATATGTGGGTTTTTTTTTGGGGAGGGTGTTACGTTTTGAGGGTCCATATAAGTTTTGGGTTTTCGTTAATTTTTTTTGCAGATATATGTACGTTGTACTATGTATGTGTACGATGCATATAAGTTTTGAGATATACATGGCATATAAATATGTTATTTTGGAGATATATGTGGGTTTTTTTTTGGGGAGGGTGTTACGTTTTGAGGGTTTATATAAGTTTTGGGTTTTCGTTAATTTTTTTTTGCAGATACATGTACGTTGTACACATACATATAAGTTATGGGTTTTCTAATTTTGTTTTGAAGACGCATATAAATTTTGGGGGGATACGTTTTGAGGTTGCATATAAGTTTTGAGTTTTAGTTAATTTTGTTTTGAGATTGTCATATGAGTAAATGATCTCGACGGTCGAGAACCTTTCCTCAGGTTGGAGTCTTGAGGGTTGAGAACGCTTAACTTTCTTAAAAGCGAAGCCATGCGGACCCAAGGTTTTTTTTTGTGGGTTGTCCGTTGTCGGTCAGATTTATCACGGTTGTGCGACGATCTGGGCGTTTTCCCGGTGACTGTTTCACTCGCCTTGACTCGGTTTTTTTCCCCAGATATGAAACCGCTCTGACGCCAGATAGAAAAACGGGCCAATTAAACCGCACGGCAGACCGAAGAAGATGAAGAAGAAAAAAAGACAATTAGAAACAAAACAAACAAAATATAAAAATAAAAAAGAGAAGAAAAACCTCGACCGCCTCGTAAACAAATCAATTTTCCCCTTCTCCCCCGCCCACTCATCTGTATGCACCGCTCTCATGAAAACAGAAATAAACAAAGTGGAGAAGAATGGGAAGGAAGTGAAGAATTGAAAAGCGCTTCTTCGCCCTTGGGACGTCTCACGGCTCCTTGACCCGAGCCAACCAGGGAGACGACAAACAAATTAAAATAAAGAATCCAACCCAGGATCGACAGGGTCCCGATACAAAATCTATTCAACAGGGGATAAACATTCAAAGCGTGTCCAGCGTTGACCTACTACTCCACCTCCTTACAAACAACCCCTATTAAAATAACACGCAACACCGATACAACTGACACGCCCCCCTCCAGAAATCTCCCACAATCGTATGAGTGACGTGTGCAACCCCTAGAGAGACATCAACCACCTCTCTTAGAACTACCCCTATGGGAGTGACAACAATCCTAAAGGAGGGAGTACGCACATGAATGACAAACTACCCCTGTAAAAGGAAGGCTCCTCCCCCCCCCAAAAAAAAACCTATAAGTGGTCACACCTTATGTAACATACAACCCCTAGAGAGACATCAACCACCCTTCTTTGAACTGACCCCTATAGGAGTGACGACAATCCTGTAGGAGCGAGAACTCATGTGAATGAGAAATGATCCCTGGAAAAAAAGGGGGTGACAATTTCACATGTATGATTAACCACCGCTGTAAAAGTGATAACCAACCCACCTAGAACTAACAAACAACACCCTCAAAGAGTGATAATACTAAAGAGAGAACTACCTAACGAGCGATAACGTGCCATGACATAATACCACTCAATATGTGACAATCGCTCATCCTAAAAGTAACTAACAACACTTATAGGACACACAAAACACACCACTCTCCTAGAAGTTTCGAACATCCTCTATCGGTGCGAAACTTCGCATTAATGATAAACAACTCCTGAAAAAGTGAAAACCAATCCTATAGGAGTGAAAACAACTTCTTTAGATGTTGCAACTAATTTTCAGTAACAAACAACCCTAATAGGAATGACAACAACCCCTCACAAGGGGCAACACTCCCTAGACGTAAAAACAACCCCTACAGTAGTGGGGTGAAGGCAAATATGTGTTACAAACAATTTGCCTTAGTATGACCGACAAAAAACCCCTATAGAAATGGCAACAACCCATTTAATCAAATTGACCATCACCCTCTTTTAGAAGTGAGATCCAATGAAAAACCATCCCTGTAGAAGTCACAACCCTCCTAGGAGTGAAATACAACCCCTGCAAGTATAACAAACCACCTACAATCATACGAGCAACGACCATTTTTATCAATATAATAACCACCCCTTCCTAGAGGTTCCAAACAACTCGTATAGGATATAGACAAATCACACCACCTTAACATTCTTGACCAACTACCCATATAAAAGTGACAACCCCTCCTAGCGGTTCCAAACAACCCCTGTAGGATAGACAAGCCACACCACCCTAACATGAATGGCCAACTACCCCTATAAAAGGTACAACAACCCCTGTAAAAGTGATAACGTAATACAGGCTGAATTAAATGTACAAAGGGTAAACAAACATTACAAAAACAACTTATTTTGTCGATTTATTTTTGTTTGTTAATTTTTTTTAAATTCTCGATTAATTTCAATTGTGCAAGCCCGACAAGTTTTTTCGTCGTTCTTTTAATCGTCTTCCTGGCTCTATAATTGAACTTTAATCGCCTCTGAGATTGAGATAAACGAAGGAAGAAGATGAGAGAGGGTTTATCGTTTCTTTACTATCACCTCAATTAATTCCAATCGTCAGAAACCGGGGAGAGGTCGTTGGTCCGCCCGGCTTCGCTTTTATTTTAACTAAGGGAGGATCCGACATAAGGTCTAAGGCAGAGAGCATGAAGATTCGCGATGTACCGTTCTGACAGGGAAGTTACGACTAACTAGAAAAGAGAAGGGTATTTTCCACTGGCCGAGGCCGTTCCCCCTTCCGGCCCGAGGGGATTTTCCCCAGCATAATCCACGAAAAAGGCATCGCAACGATCCGGTCGTCCTTAGAAATATCAAGCATTTAATAAACACGCGAATAAAAAAGCCGTTGACGTAGTTCAGATCCGAGAAATCGACCAAGAAATGGAAATTTTGTTTTTTCAATATTCGAATCCGAAGAGGTTGGGTATTTAAAGACAGTTTATACCCAGCGAGACCAATCGGACCCAAATGACTTCTATTTACCTGTCGGGTCTTGACCTCCGCGCCTTCTTGGAAATTTTCAATTCTAACGATCGCGTCTTAATTTCCATTGACGCAGATGTCCAGAAAAAGAGGAGAGAGAGAGAGAGGGACGAAAGGCAAAACAAAAAGCGGCCCGAAACCAGTTTTTCCGGTGGTGGGTGGATGTGGATAAAAGCCTCGACGCTCATCCCCCAACTGCACAGTCGCACCTGCACCATAGACGGACACACAAATAAAAAAACAATGAAGACCTTCATCGCTATAGCTCTCTTCGTCGGCCTGGTCGCAGCATACACGACCAAATATGACAACGTCGACCTCGATGAGATACTCGGTAACCAGAGGCTCTACAAGAAGTACTTCGACTGCCTCGTCAACAAGGGCAAGTGCACCCCGGACGGCAAAGAGCTCAAAGGTGACCTTAAATATCCGTACATAAAACACGCATAAACATTCATATTAAATGGGTTGAGATAGGAAGTTAGTGTCCGAATGGATCGAGGTCACGATAGCTCAAGTGGTAGAGCAGCGGCGTGTCTAGCCGAAGATCGTGGATTCGAATCCCGCTCGTGCTATTGACTTTTTTATCTCAACTAAAAACCTTAATTAATTGTAAGATATTAATTGGTCAAGCGGACTACGAAATTAGTGAATTTAATTCACATTAAACTAGGACTTTAAACTTACAAATTAAATCAATAGCAAAAATAACCTATAACAATCTCATCTTCTTTTAAACAACGATATTTAATCAGTATTTTAATATTAAAACAGAAAATTAATTATAATTCAATTTTAAACAGTTTTTTATCCACTAAACGATTTTGTAGTCCATTAAACGATTTTGTAGTCGATTATGATTAAAATCAATTCAACTGGGTTCTATATGATCGATTTATAACGATTATTCATTCATAATTGGTTGTGACGAGTATCGATCATATTTCATGTAATAGGATATGTTGGGTTTAAGGATCGATTCATAATCTATTGTTTTGAAGATCGATTCATAATCGATTGTGTTGATGATAGATTAATAATCGAGAAGGATCGATTTATGTTCGATTGCATACTATATGGTCGGTTTAAGGATAGATTCATGATCGATTGAGACGAGGATGAAATCATACTAGATTGCGTAATAGATCAATTTAAGAATCAATTCGTAATAGATCGTGTTGACGATCGCTTCATAATCGATCGCGTTTTGAGGATCGATTAATATCGATTGTGTTGATGATCGATTGATCATAGATTGCGTACGATAGGATCTGTTTAATAATCGATTCATAATTGATTGTGATCAGAGCAGATTCATGCTCGATTCAATATAGACCCGATTCAAAATCGAATCTCGATAGATGCGATTTTCGATCAACTAGAGGATCTTATTTGGATAGAATCAATTCACTATCGACGGTGAATCTCTACTTTGAATCTTTCCCTCCTTTTCCCATTTTGTTTTTGGTTTAACTTTAAACTAAATTTTAAACAGATGCCATCCCCGACGCATTGGCCACCGCCTGTTCCAAGTGCAACGAAAAGCAGAAAGCCGGGAGCGAAAAGGTGATCAGGCACATGATGAAGAACCACCCGGCCGACTACGACGCACTCGAGAAGCTCTACGACCCGTCCGGAACCTACCGCAAGAAGTACCAAGCCGAGGCGAAAAAGCTCGGACTCCACTGAACAACACACGGCCAAATATCATTACAGAATTTTTTTAGATGTACAATGTAAATAAATAAAAAGAGTTATGTGTATTACATTTTTTCCTTAGTGGTATGATGAGAAACCACGTAATTTCCTTTTTATTTATTGTGTCGTGTTTGAAAGTTTAAAAGGCACACTATTTTTGAAAAGAAAAAAATTTAATGGACGAAGTCTAATCTGGGAACAACTGATTCACCAACAATCACTACCCTAAATACATAGTCAGCAACTACAACTCAACACTAACACCATCCACTATCACTAATAACACGACGTCAATTCTATCAAACAAACCAACATGTCCATTCCATTCGTTCACGGCCTATCACACAAATTGAACACAATTTTTTTCCTGATAACTTTAAAATAGCCTTCAAAAACTACGAAACTATTCACACCCTTTTTTCCAAAATTAAAGATCCACCAGAAACAAATAAGTCTGATTTAATTTACAAAATAAATTGTATAAATTGTCCGACAACTTACGTCAGAATTACATCCCAATATGGATAAGAGGGTGATTGCAACAAACCTAAACAAAATCCTACAGCACTGGCTACCTACCATTTTGAACACCAACACAACTTCGATTTCAACAATCCAGAAATATAAAACACAGAAAAAATAAACATAAATGTAACTTTTTAGAAATGGTTTACGTCAACAGAGACAAACACATCAATTACAAAACGGACACATGTAAATTCAGCCGCAGCTATGCTAATATCATAAATCAAATTCGATATCAGTAACACACAAAACATATAAAACGATCATTACACTCCACACATCTAACAATTCTAAACACAACACACAACAATGACACATCTAGAAAACACACACTTTGTATCAATACAAATAATTTGATTAAATCTAAAATATCTACTTTGTGTAAATCAATGAATTTGGATGCAAACCGAAGATTGAAAAAAGAAAAACGAAGATAAGAAGAAGCAAAAGGAGAAAGGAAGAGCCAAAAAAGAAAGTTTTGTTTTATGCGTTTATTTAAAGCACTGGAGTCAGATTATTTTATTATTTTTATTGTAAAATCAGAATAGACAGTGAGCTCAGTTTAATTTTTATAGGGTCATTTTTAATTGTCAATTTTTTTCCAATTTTGTGTTATTGGCAAGGTTTTATTATCTATTTGTAATAATTTTTTCTTTTTTTTAAAGGCAGTTAACCATTATTTGACCACCAGTTCTTTTTTTCTTTTAAATTATTTCTTTCAGTTTTAAACCTATTTCAGCATTGTGGAATCGACGAGAGATGATTAATGCCATAAAAGAAAATGTTTTTCTAAACTTACACAAGACCGCATCTCACGATCTCCAAATAATTATTAATCAACAGTAACGAAATATAAGATTCACCGATTTGACTCGGGACTGTGACGTCATCGATCACATATACTGCATGAATTTGAGAAGGTAGCCAATAGGTTATTACAAGGTTACTCCGTCTTAAAACGTACCTCTGGGAATAAAAGTACAGAGGAGGCCGATTTACGCTCAACCTTCGACATCGTGAATATTTTAAAGCAAAAAAAAAAAAAAAGAAATCAAGTCTGAATCGACAGAAATACACACTGATTAAAAACGAGCTTATAAAAGGTATTTTTTTTACAGTTTTTTTTGTTTTTCATTCATTTGTAGTGTTCTGTTTAAGTGGATGAGTCTTCTTTTATAGTTATTTCTTGGATGGAAAATAAGGTTGATGGGTTTTATTGTGCCTATTTTGGGTTTTTATATTGTATCGGTGACTGTGCGCTGGATTGTGGGTTCGAAACTTGTCAGTAGATGTTCCGGTGAATTGGGATTCTTATACGGTACTGTCAGTTTTGACAATATGGCGACAATTTACTTTTTTGTTGTTGGTTCGGCTTTTGTACCATACTGGTGGTTGTGCTATGGAGTGGAAGCTCACAGGGGTATTTGTTTTCTGCAATATCTCACTGGCATTCTCAACATAACACGCAAGAACGGCACACTTACGCAGAAAACAAACACTTTGAAGGAGTAGAAATACTTTGATTGAAGAAAAAAATATACTTTTTTGCATTGTATAAATTCACTTTTTTCCTCATCCTACATGCATTTGTTAAATTTAAACAATGTTTGTAAATCCCAGACCCTAAAGATGATCTCAATAAAGATCGAAATGTTGGCACGATAAAGAAAATGTTTTTCTGAAACCTACATCACACCAGACCTCATCTCACGATTTCTGAATAATTATCGACTAACGGTCACTAATGACCACACAAAAAATAATATTAAAACATATGCTAATTATTTTTCAGTTTAACAAAACAACATACATTTTATATTTTTTTAAATTTTTTGTGTTTTCAAAAATGAGGACAAAATTTGTTTCATGATACAACAGGACATCATTTAGGTTGGACAGGGAATTTTTTTTTTATGGTTCATCGCTGGATTTATATAGCAAGTAGCTAGTCTCATGGGCAATACAGTGTCAGCAGCTCAGGTGGCTGCCGGTCAGATTGTCGGAGCGCATGCCACCATCTCGTTCCCGGAGAACAACGGCTTTAAACGGCTGTACCCAGTGGATGGCGTAAGAGCGCCAGTGCGCGACGGCCGTCCCGCGATGCTTCGACCCAAAGTTCATATTTTTTTGGTTTTTCTCGTTTACAGATGGGCAACACGGTGGCCGCCGCTCAGTTCGCCGCTGGGCAGATTGTCGGATCGGGGCCCAACGTTTACTCAGATGGTGCCACGTCGAAGCAGGTTACGGCTTACATCCCTAAAGAGTGTCCAATGCATTATGTAAGAGAAGTGAAAATTATCGTTTTAACATCATTTTAACCTTATTAACAAATTTTTTATTCAATAATTAAAACAACAGAGTTCTGCCGGAGCATGTTCAGGGAACGAAATCAACCCTCTAAACATGGTAATACTTTGGTAAAAAAAAATCTTTAAATAAACAGAAAAATATTTTTAAAAAAAAATTGAAACTTACTGGGTAAATAGATGCCAGCACCAAATCAGATGCCATCCCCTGACCAGCCGTTTCCTCTTTCGACCGAACGCCAGGTCTCGAACATACCGAAGGCCGTGAAGCAGGATGAAAAGGACACACACTGGGTCTACCCGTCGGCGCAGATGTTCTGGAACGCGATGCTACGCAAAGGCTGGCGTTGGCGTGATGACCAGCTCTCGCAGAAGGACATGGATGACATAATAAAGATACACAATGCGAACAATGAGCATGCCTGGCTCGAGGTGCTCAAGTGGGAGGCGCTACACGCCGATGAGTGCCTAGAACCCAAACTGAAGAGCTTTGGAGGGAAGGCAGCTGACTACTCACCAAGGGCGAGGATGCGCCAACTTCTTGGGTGAGACATTTGATTCATAAAATTCTATATTTTTATGAGGCCTTGTGAATTGTCAAGGAAAAATTTTTTTTTATCGATGTATATAAAGAAACATTAACTGTAAAACTTAATACTGCTAGTAATTGTTCATTTTGGTCAAGTTAAAACCATAAAGAAGTTATCCAGTGCCAACGTATCTATTTTAGGCCAAGGGTTGTGATCTTAATTGGAATCATAAGGAGGTTATCCAATGCCCACTGGATCAGCCTGAGTGTATTTATTTACTCGCTGATTCGGTTCAGGTCGTAAAATAATAAGCGATTTATTTATTATTCGGACTATAAATGAGAAAAGAAAGTCATGAGGCTCTATGCCCTTGAAATCATTGTCTTCTCCAGGATCTTGGTTATCTGAAATTAGTGATTTTATAAATAACAAACAAAGCACCACTTATGAAAGTTTCCTTAGTTTATACTTCAACTATTTCGTTCTCTGATTGACTTCTAGCTTTCCTCTAGAATGTATATGAAGAAAAGTTATATTTAAAGACAACAGTAAATATTCTTCCTGGTCAGCGTAGAATGTGAACCATAAGGTTTTCCAATGCTAGCTGGATCAGACTAACAGCATATTCATTACGAGTGGTTGTATATGTCGACATACGTAAAATAATAAATAATTTATTAAAATTTTGATCAATAATTAAGAAAAAAGGTGCAAAGTAATTTAATTTGGTATACCACGAAAAGTTCAGGGCCGAAATGTGTCTCAATCAAATTTTCCTTGGACTGTATTGGCCTCCTTGTTACCCTTGGCTATATGTGCACTCATACCCAAACGAGCACTCTTTTTTAATCTTTTTCGCAAGCAATTGATCTTTTTAATTTTATTTGAATTTTATAATTAATGTGAGACATCAGCTTCGATTTTATTTATTGTCCAGCCATGTTATTCCAGGTACGAGCTCCCGTTCGACAGGCACGACTGGATTGTCGACAGGAACGGGAAGGAGGTGCGGTACGTGATTGACTACTACGACTCGGGGAGTGTCGGCCCGGATCACAGGTTCGCGATAATCGATGTCCGCCCAGCCATGGACAGCTGGGAGAACGTCTGGGACAGGATGCGAGTCGCTTACATGAGGTGGCGGTACGAGTTGGAGGACCGGCTTTCGGCGATCAAGGGCGCCAAAGACGATGACGAGAAGGAGAAGTGAGATATAGTGAGAGAGAGAGATAGGGAGGAGGGGTAGAGAGAAAGAGAGAGAGAAAAAAAACAGAGCGAGAGCCTAGTCCTTAGATTATTGTTATTATTTAATATAAAAAAATTAAATTTTGAAAGGAAATTAAATTTATAAAAAAAAAAAAAAAAAAAAAAAAAAAAACCAAAGGCCTTCAAAAAAATAGAAAAATTTAGAATTTTAAAAAAAGGAAAACAAGAAAAAAAAAATCCATCGACAGTCTTGACAAAACTGTGTTCATACAAACAAAATGTAATTTGTTTTCAAAAAGTAAAACAATTGTTTTTTTTATTTAATAATAATTTTTGTCTTTCATTATTTACTGATAATTAATAATTATCATTTTCTCTCTCTTCGCTGTAAAAAAAAAAGCCTTTCAAGCCTTATATGTAAGTATAATTAATACATAATATTTATTTATATAAGAACGATGACATTCTAATCAAATGGAAAATATAAAAAAGAAAAATTTATATAAAAAAAGGGCTTTGTGGTAATGCAGCATTAATACAATGTACAAGCGTATACAACAAAGCAGAAAATGCGGGGAGTTGAAAAGAAAAGAAAAATTTACACACAAATGAAAAGATTAATTAAAGAAAAACCTTCGATTTTGTACAATAAAAAAAAAAAAAAAATCAATGGGTACTACAAATTCGAGGGCAAACACACAAAAAGAAAACAAAAACAAATATAAAACGTTCTCTTTTTTTCTCTTTCTAAAAAAAAAATAAAAAAAAAAAATTGTCGGGTACGTTCGGTTAGACGGTGATCTTGAACCGTTGCGCTCTTAGGCGCTTCCTCTCTTCAGACGAAATGGCACCGTCGACCTGGACAGGCGTGCTGACTGTAACAGCTTCAGCTGTCGCCAATGTAGTCGTAGTTGGCTTTGTGTCGGTGGAGGCGGGCGTCTGGGAGAACCTCATCTTCCTAGCCTGCAGCTTTTCAAGATGCTGCCTCTGCCGAACGGATTAAAATATTTTTATTATAAATCAAACGTACAAAAAGAAGAGAAAAAAATCCTAAATGGTGTACCTTTGCTTCTACAGGGCTCAGTATGCCAAAACGCTCAGCTCGCCTTTTGAGAACGTCACTTGTTGGTGTGGTTGCCTGGAAAAAAAAAGTTAGGAACAATTCTTGAGTCGATTCACTCAGTGAGTTGGGTCAGACCATCACTGAGCTGGCGGAGACACAAGTCAATTTACATGGTGAGTCAGGTCAGATTGTAAGTGAGTGAATTAGTCAAGAGTAAATTCACTCAGTGAGTTGGGTCAGACCATCAGTGAGCCAAGAAGTCACAGTGTCGATTCAATCGATGTGTCAGGTCTAACAAGACTTCTTCAAAGATAGAATCAATTCTTCAGTCAATGAATTACTGGGCTTTTTCTTTTTCATTAATTCAGTCAATAAAACAACTTTTTAAAGTGAAAAATCGATTGCATGATTAGCTGCTTAATATCAATTCATATCAATGAATACGAACTAGTACGTAAGTAAATAATCTAAAACTGCAGCTAGTCATTTCTTCATTAAACAAGTTAACGAGTTAAGTCAACTAGTAGTGAGTCAATACATCAGCCCAAGAGTTAACGAATTGGTAAGTCAAAAGACAGATTTTTCACCTCGCCAAAGCAAGTCAATAATTACTGGCTATGTCACAGAGAGTCTATTCTTTCAGTTCATAAGTAAACAAAACGGACTTAAAATGTCATTTTAATTATAATTTGTATTAATGAGTCAATAATTATCAACTGTTACACAATGGTATATAACAGAAAGTTAATCCTTCAGTCTCAGTAAGTCTGTTCTACAGTGAGTCAATAATTAAAAAAAAAAAAAAAAATTATCACAGTACATTACAATAAATTCATCTCACGTTAAGCTTATATATATTAACTTCACATAGGTTCAATTCTTTAGTCAATAAATCACTCGCATTTTCTCAAGAGATCTGCTACATTCGTCATTCAATTAAACATATAGAAAACAATTCCTTCAAATAAAGAGTCAATAAGTTCAACTATTAACATAATCAGATAATTACAAACTTAATTTTTTATATGCTAATTTTTACGTTGACATTTCTGTATGTCTATCGAGTAAGTCAATAATGCTCATAAAGGGTCAATTCTTAAGTCAACTTGTTTGTAAGTTTACAAAATACACTATTCGATTTTTTTTAATATATTAAACTAGTTATATTTGAAGAATGAAGCAATACTTCAGTAAATAAATTATCGAGTCGATTATATTTGTCGATAAATTGATTATTAGTAAGATCAGATATTCATTATAAATTTTTTCTTCAGTCAATAAATTATTGAGTCAGTTTGTACGTCAATTGTTAGCACGATCGGATATCGTCTCTATGCCAACAGCAAATAATTCTTGTAAAAAGTCAATAATGGTTTGTAACTCTACTTAAACAGCCTTTTAACCTAATACTAGATATTTAAAGAATGAGTCAATTCTTCAAAAAATAATCTGTCTGGTTTGTCAATAAACAGATCATTAGCAGTTCAGATATTCTCTCTACGAATCTCATCCTGTTATAATTACAAGCTTAATTGTTTTATACATTAGTTGTCATGTCAACGCGTCTGGTCTACAAGAGTATGTATGTAGATAGATAATAACCTCGTGTAAATAGTCAATTCTTAAGTCAATAATGGTTTGTAAGTTAACATAATGAGCCATTCAGTTAGTGAGTCAATCCCTAAATCTATTATTGAGCCACTTTGTCAATATGAGAAAATTACAAACTTAATTTTAACGTGCTAATTCTTATGTTGACGTTTCTGTATATCCATTTAGTAAGTCAATAATTCCCACAGAGTCCATACTTAAGTCAATAAGTTACTAGTCTCATTAAATATTCAGTCAATAAAAATAACTGAGTTAGTTTGTAAGTCAATTGTTAGCATGCTCTATGCCAATGGTCAATAATTCTCATAAAATGTCAATAAGTTGACAGGTTTATAAGTTAACATAATGAGGGATTCAGTTAGAGAGTTAATTCCTAAATCAGTTATTGAGCCAGTTTGCTAATTATTAGCAATATCAGATAATAACAAACTTAATTTTTTATTTGTTAATTCTTACATTGACATTTATGAATGTCCATCCTGTAAGTCAATAATTCTCATAAAGAGTCAATTCTTCAGTTAAAAAGTTGGACTAATTTGTAAGTTAACATAATGAGCCATTCAATAATACGTTTATAATTAATTTCAATTAATTAATCTTTATGAAAGGTATTGGTTGAGATAAAAAAGTCAGTGTCACGAGCAAGTTTTGAACCCACGACCTTTAGCTAAATACGCCGCTGCTCCACCAATTGAGCTATCATGAGTTCGATCCACTCGGACACTAACTTCCCAACTCATCTCAACCTCACCCCTCGAATTTTCCCTCCTTTCTGCCATTTTTCAAATGTAGTGTAATCTATTTGATTCTCCGCGACAAATGAAGTCAAGATAGCTCAAGTGGTAGAGCAGCGGCGTATTTAGCCAAAGGTCGTGGGTTCGAATCCCGCTTGTGACACTGATTTTTTTTCCTCAACCAATACCTTTTATAAAGATTAATTAATTTAAAAAATTAATTGGTCAATTGGACCACGAACTGTAATGGATTTCTGGATTAATACTAGTTTCATTCAATAAAAATTATTGAGTTAGTTTGTAAGTCAATTGTTAGCATATTCTTTCTATGCCTATAGTCAATAATTCTCGTAAAAAGCGAATAAGTTCACATAAACAGCATTTCAATTTTTTTTTTTTTAATACTGGCTTTCTAATAAAGTGAGACAATTCTTCAGTCAATAAATTATTAAACCAGTTTGTCAATAAGTCAATTATAGTAAGTTCAGATATTCTCTTTATGAATCTTATCCAGTTATGATTACAAACTTAATTATTTTATACAGTGATTGTCACATCATCAACACGTCCTATCTTGAAAAGCATGTCCAACCAGTAAATCAAAATAATTCTAATGCAGAGTCAATTTTTAAGTCAATCAGTTCCAGCAGTTTCAGGGCGTACTAACCTTCGCCTGTGTCGTGGTAACTATAGAAGTCGTGCTGTCTGCCTGTTTTGTGAGTGTGCTATTCGACGGCTTGGGGCCAAACTTTTCCACCCTCTGGGCCAAGACGTCCGCCGGCACAGCCTTGGCGTTTGATCCGAATCGCTCAGCCCTCGCCTTCTTTCTTGCGGCGTCCGACAGGGCGACATTCTTGAGATTCACCTTAACCTGATGATACAAAAAATTTTTTTATTTATTTTTTTTAAATTAAAGCAATGAGTTTACATGTTTGTCTTCGAGTTCGGTCTTATTGTCCTTGGCAGAGTCTGGCTTGCCGTCGGCAGCCGACTTTGACACATCATCCTGTTTTATATCCTCGGCTGTAAGGTCAGGCGCGTCGCCTAGCTTCTGCGGCGAGTCTTCCAACGGCGTCTCATCCAACTCTCTCTGCAATACAGAAGTACAATCGAAACAGTTAATATAAGACAAATTACGAATAACAAACCAACATACCTCAAGGTCCTCATCAAAATGGTCGCCTACTTCGCTCCCTTCAAGCAGCGCTTCCGCCGCCGCTTCGCTGCTCTGTAGCCTATCGATCAACTCCTGCTTGTTCCCGGCCGTTGACAAACCGCGCGATTTAAGCAACTTCTTTAAATCAGGCACCTAGAAATGAAAATACAAATAGAAAAAATTAATCATTCGAATTAAAAAAAATCTTTAAACCTAAATATAAAATTGAAACCTCCAAAGGAAGAAACCTGAGAAAGAAAAATCAGCCAAATAATACAGTAACGTTGTATTATTCAACATAAATCCACTTAAAACTAATAAATAACAATAAAATAATCAATTATCAAAGTTAAACTCGCCTTCATTTTCGTATAGTCCGTCGACTCTTCCGGCCCGGCGTCGGACATGTCCGCTTGGGTTGTTTTTCCTTTAAGTCAAAGAAACAAGAGAAATCTACCAAAACAGCTCCAATCCACGCTTTTTTCCCCTCCAGTAACAGAAATTAAAAAAGTAATTTCCTCTTCTTTCTTCTGATAACACAAGTCGGTTCACGTCTGTGGATTATCAAAAATATCAACGTTCTTCGAGGCGCAACGATCCCCCTACGGTGTTAAAAGAGGTAACAGCCACCAACGGACTGTTCCCTTATCAAAACCGTGACTCATAGACGGGGAACAAAATGCCCGCCTTTTTTTAAAAACATCTTTTATGTTTTGTCTAAATAAATCATGTTTTCTGCTCATTCTAAGTTGAAAGAAAACAAACGAGAATACTCATTTTTGTAACGTAATGTTTGGAAAAGAAAACAGTACTGTTCACATGGCTCGAGGGTTCGAGTGTTTTGAGTAGAAATGGCCAAAGCAGTTCCCTTTGACGAATAGTCCCTTTTGTCTCAGACTCTCAGTGAGCTTTCTTAATTTACTTCCGGGAATAGTTCGTTTCAACTAGTTCGTTCCTGGAATACATATCATTAATAGATAGCAGTGATTCCTTTTGATGAGTAGTTCAGTTCGAGACAGTTCGTTTTATTGAACTGGGTCGAACGAATCAGGTGCTTCGTTAAAGATTGAGTCTTTCTTTTGGTAAACCAAAGTTACTAGGTACTTCTAAAAACTGCATATCTTTAATAGCAATTGGTCATTGAAAACTGCAATTCACAAAGAACTATAATTAACCAAAATTACAGATAACTAATAGCCATGGTTAATTAAAAGTGCAATTCACAAAGAACTATAGTTCACCAAAATCTACAGATCGCTAAAAGCCATGGTTCATTTAAAAAACTATAGTTCACAAAAAATTACAGATCGCTACGAACCGTAGTTCATAAAGAACTATAGTCCACTAAGAACTACAATTCGCTCAGTGCCACAATTCTTTAACAAGTACAGTTCACAAAGAACTATGGTTTTCTAAAAACTTCAGATCGCTAATAGCCAAAGTTCACTGATTACTGCAGTTATCAAAGAACTATAATTCACCAAAATTACAGATCGGTAAGATGTAACTATAGTTCAACAAGACAACAGTGCCACAGTACTTTAAATACTACGGATGGCTAAGAGCCATAGTTCACTAAAGTCTACAGTTTACTAAGAGACATAGCTCATTAAGAATAGTTCACCAAGAACTACAGTTCGCTCAGTGCCACAGTTATCTAAAAAGTACAGTTCACAAAGAACTGTAGTTCACTAAAAACTAGTTCACTCAGTGCCACAGTTCACTAAAAATCTATCTACAGTTCGCTCAGTGACACAGTTCTCTAAGAACTACTGATCGCTAAGAGCCATATAAAAAACTATAGTTCACCAAAAACCAGCTTAGCTCTGACTAGTTAGCTCAGTGGTGCCACAGTTCTCTTAAAAAGTACAGTTCAAAAAGAACTGGTGTAACTAAAAAGAAAGATAAGTGGATATAGTTGTTTTTCGACAATGGCTTATTTATTTTGAACTCGTCCCCTTAATGAACGAGATATGCCTGGTTCGGAGTCGGATCGCCCCACCACTGTCCGTCAGTGGTGGTGACAGCGGGAGCCGGGAGCGGCCCAGTGGCAAATCGGACCGACTGTCGAGTAGGACGAGAGATCCCCGCCTGGCCCGCCGACCGGGCCCGAATGATGCCGGCCCAGGAGACATCACCAGCCGATTGGAAAATATGCTCGCCGACGATGACAGACGGACAGCGGACCGACTTCAGGAGCTCGACGTTTCCGTCGACGCGTCCGACATGACTTTCCGAATGACCAACTACCACAAAGACCTCCTCAAGGTAGGACGATTTATTTTCCTTTTTTTCAAACACACACACGCTAAGCTCAATATTGAAACAATTTCATAAATTAAACATAAAAAATAGAAAAAGTAAAGGAAAAAACACAAACGTTCGATGAAGCTTATCAAGTGGTTTTTATCAGTTTGTTGTTTTCGAACGGTCATGCAATGACTCAGCGTTTTTTTCGCAAGCCCTCCTCGCGCCTTTTTCGGCCCCATTTTAACTAAAATGTAACAATTGAATCCTACTTGAATACTGATAAATATCTATCGTCATTGTTTTTTTGGAAATAATTTTGTGTTATGTCTAGGTTGTCTGGTGTCCGTCATTGCATTTGATCTATAAGAAAAATTAAAGAATTAACGAAAAAATCTTAAAATATAGAAATGTATAATGTAAACGAAAAAATTCAACTATACGGTTTAGATGTTTTTTTACGTGCCGAGTTGGTAAAACTGGTTTGCCCGAGCTTGTTTTGTAAAATTATGCTGTTTTTTAACAAGCGCTGGTGAAGTTATCATACGCAAAATATACGCACACTGCTTTATTATAGTTATTATAAAAACGACTATTGCAGGGGTGGGGGCTATTAAAATATTCAATAAACATTGGTGATTTTTTGAAACTGGTTGGCAACACTGTTTTACCTCATAATTACAATAAAAAAAAAGTATTATTTTGTGGACGTTTTGGAAATTAAAGTAGGAACAGTGCATTTTGACAATTATTTCTCGAGTAAAGATGGTTTGGAAATGTTTTTAAAATATACAGACAGTTGGCAACACTGCTCCCATACAATTTTTATACACAGTGGGATTGTATTTTAAAAAAACATTAAACAAAAATTGGTATCATTTTAATGATCATTATTGGCAATACTGTTCCATACAATTTTTATACAATGTATTAAAAACAACACTATTGTCTGAAAGACTTTACAAATTATCTTTACTTTAAAAAAGTATTTACAACAAGCAGTGTTGCCAACTATGATTTCAAAAACGTTCTAGTGTAGGAGCTTATAATGAGTAATACTTTGTATAATAAATTTATTAGTGCAGTATTGCCAACGTCCAAGTATTCATGAACTTTCATCGTACTAGTTGGCAACACTGCTTTTATACAAACAAAGCATTATTGTATATGTATGTTGTATTCAATTAAGTTGAATTAAATCACAGATGATGTCGATGATGCGGTGCCACCAGATGCTCACGGACGTGACGCTAGTCGTCGGTAATGAGAGGCTGCAGGCGCACAAGGTGATGCTCGCCGCAGCGAGCCCTTACTTCAAGGCGATGTTCACTGGTGGTCTCAAGGAGACGCAGAGCTCGACTGTCACCCTTCACGACATCTGCCCCTCGATAATGACCCGTCTCATCGGCTTCATATACACCGGACAGATACACATCACTGAGCTCGCTGTCTGCCAACTCCTACCAGCTGCTTCCATGCTGCAGGTATTTCAATTTAAATTTTGAAATGGATCAATATTAACGTCAATTATATAATATTGACAGTGGATGTGATTTTTTTTTTTTTTAAACCAGATAACGGATGTGATAATGGCGTGTTGCATATTCCTTGAGCGGCAGCTCTCGCCAGCGAATGCTCTTGGCATCTCTTTCTTTGCCGATCAACACTGCTGCACCGAACTGCACAAGAAGGCAACCGAGTACATAATGCAGCACTTCGCCGAGGTAAGGTCAGTTTAAAACAAAGATAATTAATTGACTAATTATATCAATGGTCGCAGGTCTGCCAGGAAGAGGAGTTTATGCAGCTTACGAAGAAACAACTTGTCAACCTGATACGAAAGGATGAGCTCAATGTCAAAGAAGAGACCGAAGTGTACAACGCTGTTTTAAAATGGGTTAAGTAAGTTTTATGACTTTTATTGGCGAGTTGTGTAAATTTTGTGGTGGAAGTGGCTGTATTAAAATAGTTAACAAACATTGGTGAAGTTTTAGTAATCATATTTGGCAATTTGGCAACACTGTTTTCATACAACATTGTATTATTAGTGAGGGGGGGGGTTTGTAAAACATTGGTGAGCTTTAGTAATCATAGTTAGTAACACTGCTTCTATACAATCAGTGTTAGTAGTAGTTGGTAAAATCATAGTTGGCAACACTGAATTCAGACAAAGCATGTGTAGTAGTGGGGGAATTATGTTTGACATTCATACACACAAAGTATTATTGGTGGGAGGATTGTATAAACATTGGTGAAATTTAAGTAATCATAGTTGGTAACATTACTTTCATACAGACAAAGTATTATTGGTGGTGGTGATGGGTATATAAAACATTGGTGATTTTTTAGTAATAGCTTTTGGCAACACTGCTTTTTTTAAAGAAATGATGAATGGTGAAGTGAGTGCGGTGTTCAATCCTTTTTAAAAAGATAGTTCCTACTCACAGTAAGTCCATAATAAACCATAATTGTCCATAATAAACAATCTAATTGAAATAGACGTATATAAAAAACCCACAACTACAGACACTATGATAGGACTCAGTCACCTGACCATAAATGAATCGTTAGGTTTCCGTTGTTTGCCATACATTGATGAATTATCAGAAAAAGTTAGTAAAATTTTTAAACAAGAAGGTTTTATAATAACTTTTAGAAGTACGGGTTACTTAAAAAAATCCTCTCAAAACCTAAAGACAGCATGGCAAAAAGCGGGGTTTACTAACTCAATTGTAATGATTGTGATATTAAATATATAGGACAAAGCGGTAGAGAAATAAAAATGACTTACTGTGAGCAGGAACTATCTTTTTAACAAGGAATGAACACTGCTTTCATACTTATTATATAATTATTATATTATATATAATTATATAATTATTATTGGTGAAGGGAGGAGTTGTATAAACATTGGTGGTTTTAATAATAATTTTTGGCCACACTGATGTCATACCCACAAATTATTATTGGTGAGGTGGGGTTGTATAAACCTTGATGCAGTTTAAGTAATCATAGTTGGCAACACTACTGTTATACAAAGAATGTGTAGTAGTGGGGGAATCATTGTTGGCAACATTGCTTTCATACAGACTAAGTATTATTGGTGGGAGGATTGTATTAACAGTGGTAAGTTTAAGTAATCATAGTTGGCAACACTGTTTTGATATATTCAGGATTATTTTTAAGAGGAGGGTTGTACATACAATTCTCAAAACATTATCAAATGTACAAATGGGAGTTATTATTGAACAGATTAATTTTTCTTGTATTTTTGAAAAATAAAGGTACAACGAAGATGAAAGGCGTCCGAGTATGCATTGCGTCCTGTCTGAGGTGCGGTGCCAGTTTCTTACACCGAGCTTCCTCAACCAACAGATGAAGAACTGCGACGTAATAAGGAAGATGCCTGCTTGCAAAGAGTACCTGGCGCAGATATTCAAAGAGCTTACGTTGCACAAGAGGGTGAGTGTACGAGAGCGGACTCCCAACAGCCCACGGATCGTCTATGTCGCTGGCGGCTTCCTGAGGCAGTCGCTCGACACGCTCGAAGCATTCAACCTCGACACGGGCAGTTGGAGTACGTTGGCCCATCTTACGCTTCCCCGTTCTGGTCTCGGAGCGGCTTTTGTCAAGGTACAATTTTTATTACTCTATTATAAAATTGTATCCTTGTACATTTACTTTTGAATAAATGGCAGGTTATTTATGAACAGGTTATATTACCTTCCTCAAAATGGTCCAGTAGCATGTTCACAATATATGCAGGAAGGCTATTTTCAGCAGGTTATTTCACCTTCCTTCATCATTGTTCTGTCTAAGTAAAAATTGTAATGTGAGGTTATTATTGAATAGGTTATTTTTAGGTTTTTTGCTGGAAAGTGAACAAATTTTTTAAAGAGAGGTTATAATCGAGCAGGTTATTCATTTCCTAATTTTACCACAGCCTCAAAATGGAGAGTAAGTATTTTAATTTTTAGAAGTGAAACATTATGACTGAACCAAGTAATAAAAATCACTTGGCAATATTGTATATTCGCTTTTAAAGCGATTTTAAGGAAGGATATATAACCTGTACAATGATAACCTTACCTAAATATATCTGGAGAAGTGTTCCTAAACTATTTTGATCCCTCTCGTGCCATTAACTTTTTTTCATCTCAACTAAAAACCTTAATTAATTGTAATGTTTAATTGGTCAAGCGGACCACGAAATTAGTGAATTTGATGATAAAGTAAGTGCTTAAACATATTTGTATAGTCGTTCCTAAACAATTTAAAGGAAGATAATATAACTTGCTTAATAATAACCTTACACAAACAGTATATGTTTCTAAACAATTCTGAGGACGAACTACTTATCAATAATAACATTACTTGTGCACAATTGTTCCCAAATAATTTTAACAAAGATAATACAACCTGCTTGACGATAACCTTACCTCAACATATTTGTATAGACAGAAACAATTTTAGATGATCAGTAATAACCATTATTTGGATATAGTGAAGATTTTTCTCGTAAAACAAGGTTGATGAATGTAACATAACCTGTACAATAATAATGTTACATGAAAATATTGCATATTTCTCCTCAAACGTTTAGTGGAATGTGTAGTGTTTAGTAACCGTTTAAAGGAATGTAATATAATCTGCTCAATAACTTCACCTTAACATATTTATATAATCGTTCCTAAACATTTATTTAGGATGACGTATAACCTGTTTAACAATAACCTTACCCAAACCTATTTCCATGTATTCCTAATGTATTTTTTAGTTAAAATGAACTGTTCAATAATAAACTTACATTTATGAAGAGGCTATTTTAGAACATACATATCTTCTTCAAGACCTTTATGGTGCAGATTTTTTACCAAGTTGAAAATGATTTGCTTTCCCAGGGGATACTGTATGCCATCGGTGGGAGGAACAATACGCCTGGCTGTAGTTACGATTCCGACTGGGTCGACAGGTATTTTTTTTTTTTTTTTTAATCAATAATAAATGAGGATTTGTTAAAATAGGTATGAGCCGTCAAGGGATACTTGGAGGCCTTGCAGCCCCATGACGACAGCCAGGAACCGCGTTGGTGTCGGTGTGGTTGATGGTATGATCTACGCAGTCGGGGGCTGTGCTGGTCCTGAACATTTCAATTCTGTCGAGAAGTAATTACAAATTAAAGAATTTTGAAAATGAGGGTAGAAAAGGATTATGTTTGTTTTTTGGTCTATGAAGGTATGACCCTGAGGAGGACAAGTGGTACGCGGTAAAGCCGATGCAGAACAAGAGGGTTGGTGTCGGCGTGGCTGTAGTCAACAGACTCCTGTATGCGATCGGCGGTTTTGACGGGCAGGAGCGTCTCAAGACGGTTGAGAGGTACCACCCGGAAACAGACACATGGTGTCAGGTCGCGAGTATGTCCATAGCACGAAGTGGCTCCGGTAAGCCCTACTTAGAAAGATTTTCTTCTTTTTTTTAATTTTAATTAATTTGTTTAAATTCTAGGTGTGACGTGCCTAAACAATTACATATATGTTGTTGGCGGCTATGATGGTGTTCGGCAGCTGGACGATGTCGAGAGGTATGACACGGAACTTGACAGATGGGAGCGTGTGAGCGGCGTCTCCCTCCCTCGTAGCGCCCTCTCCGTCGCAGCCATCGACAACAGGATATTCGCAATCGGCGGTTTTGACGGGCAGGAATTCGTCTCGACGGTCGAGATCTACGACCCCGCCCTCGACCGGTGGTCATTCGGAGTACCGATGACTTCATCGCGTTCGGGCCATGCGTCCGCCGTCTCCTTCAGCGCGCCATTTGCCCCTGCTGGGTCTTCTCGATGACAAACGCTTCACGCGATTTCCAAAATTTTCTCAGTATTACAGCCATCTTTCATATTGACGTCCTTTTGTGATAATTGAACTAAAAAAAGAAAAAAATCAAAAGCGGAAAAAATCCATCATTCCATTAATTTTTTAATATCTAATGTATATTCCAATTTCTCTCTCTCTCTCTCTCTAGTACCTCGTTATAAATATTGAATAAATAATTTATTTTTTTAAGTATTGTTTTAGAGAGGGATAAGACGACGATACGATCCTGTATAAATGATGTAAAGTAATAAAATAATAATAAATAAATAATAGACAAATAATTGTATATATATGTAATAATAATAATTTATGAGACAGAGAAATTTTATTATTTTTTTATAAGACACATTGTACAAATTGTTATATGATAAGCCTTGTATGTGGAAAAGATGGTGATAAACAAAACAAAAAAGACATTTTTATTAATTTTCTCTTTTCCTAACCTTAAAATTTTTATTCTTATTGAAAAATATTGCGTATTGAATTTGAAGAATGCAATATAACCTAAAAATATTGCATATTTCTCCTAAAACGTTTAGAGGAAGGTAGTGCAACCTGATCGATAACCTCATTAGAACATATTTGTATAGTCATTCCTAAAAACCATTTTTAGGAAGGTTACATAACCTGGTCAATAATAACCTAATGTGGAAATATCCTAAAACATTTAGAGAAAACTTGCTAGATGATAACCTATAGGAACTTATTTTTTGTATAGTCATTCTTAAAAACATTTTTAGGGAGGAAACATAACCTGCTCGATGATAATCTGATAATTTAGTGGAAATGCAACTTAACCTGCTCAACATTAACCTTAACCAAATATTTGCATAGCCGTTCCTAAATTTTTGATAACGTAATATAACTTATTCAATAGTAATCTTACCTAAACTGATTTTTACAGTAGTTTTTAAACAATTTTGACAAAGGTAACACAACCTCCTCAATAATAACCTTATCTAAACGTATTGTATACTTTTTCATAAAACAATTTTGAAAAAGGTAATATAATTGTAAAACCTTACCGAAACATATTTGTGCAGGTGTTCCTAAACTATTCTGCAGAAGTTCAGTAACTTTGCAGTAATAACCTTAGCAATGTTACTGAATAATAAACTTAGTATGTTGGAGACATTGAGAGGCAAAGGAGTGGAAAACCTAGGAAATGAGTTCCTTATGGAAAGTCTAGGTAAGTTATTTTTAAATAATATAATCCTTTACTGTTTTAAATATTATAAATTATAAACAGAATTTTCTTCTCCTCCAACCACTTTAATAGGGATTGGCTACTAAAAAATATATATTACATTACACATTTATGAAAAGTACAAATCATAAAAAATAAAAATCCAGACTATATTCTAAATAGAAAAAAAATTTTTTTTTTAGGTTCAACTTTTGGGAATCCTTCCATAGCGTAGTTTGGCAGTGCACTTTGGTTGCTTTCTCCTGTGGGGGGGAAAATAATTGCCATTTACGGTTAGAAATTTGGGTCCGCCCCATTTCGCCCTTTTTCCCGACTTACATTAGGTTGTGTCGTAGTTTTTGAGTATTTACGGGTCGACGAACGAGATCATGATGTACCTCGTGCCTTTCGTGACCCTGAGCCCTTCGTGGAAGTGCGTCAGCCTGCCTGGGTGCATGAGCATCCAGCCCATTTTCGTGTTGGTGACGCTGCAGTTGTATCTGAGGAAGTGGCATCCGCCTCCTTCGTAGTCGAGACCGGGCCGGTTCAGGGCGATGTTGATAGTGTAAGTCGATGAGTCATGGTGCGGCCTTAGTGAAGGCTGTTCGTCCGGCCTGTACCTGACGACGAAGTTCATTAGAGACCTGGGAGGCTGGAAATACAAGACGAGAAATTAATTCAAACTGATGTAAAATACAAAAAAAGGATCGACTCACGTCGTGGAAATAGCCGGTGAAGACGTGCTCCTGAAGTGGGCGGACGTACTCGCCGAGGATGTGGAGCCATTGTTTCTCTAGTCCAACCTGGTTCATGTGTATGTCCCTCGTTGGAACGTTCTCGTATCCACCTGCCAGTCGTTCATCCTAAAATTTAAAAAAAAAAAAAAAAAAAATCAAATCTGATTCTAAAAAAAAAAGAAGTTTCGATATTAGTACCGTGTTGGTCCCTGAAGACCATTTGCCGAAGTTTTCCATTATTCCAATGAGTTCGTTGCAGAACCTGGCTGTCGTAATGGGGAACCAGTAGACGTCAGGGCAAGGCTACGAAAAAAGAAAACACAAAATATAAAAAATATTGCTGCTTAAGGTGGAGGGGTAGGAGCTTCGGGTAGTGGGTGTGAGTAGAGAGATACCACGTTGTGTAATGGATAAAGGTGGAGAGATGGGAGCTTCGGGTGGAAGAGTAGGACCTTTGGTAGTGAGTTGGAGGTAGGAGCTTTTGGTAGTTGTCAGAGGTGGAGTATAACCTTTTAGTGGTGAGTTAAAGTGGAGGGTAGGACCTATTGATAGTGAGTTAGAGTGAAGGAGTAGAAGCTGTTGGTAGTGGGTTAAGGAAGGAGCTTTTACTATTTGGTTAGGGTGGAGTACAACCTTTTGGTAGTGAATTAAAGTATTGGTAGTAATTTACAATGAAGGAGTAGGAGCTGTGAATTACGGCGAAGGGATAGGTGCTTGAATGGGAGTATAGAAACTTTTGGTAGTGAGTTATGGTGGAGGAGGGTAGGAGCTTTTGGTAGTTAGTTAGGGTGGAGGGATGTGAGGTTTTTTGGGGGGCAGGGAGAGACCCTTGATGAAACTGAACCTATCATTGGTTACCCCATACACTAGAGTTGGAAGGGTAGAGAAGTAAAGGAATGTCAAGAAGGGTTAATCTGTGGGCCAACAGGGCACCATCTGGTATCGTATTTCTTTTTAACAAAAACGTCCGCTTACCTGCTGGATCGTCGAGCCGGGCTGCAAAGCCTGCGAGTAGTTCTCATGTAGGTACCTCCTCTCCCATTGGTGCTGGTTGTCAATGACCTGGTAGAAATCAGCATTTAACAGCTTCGTGTCGTAGCTGTCCGGGTTTGTCATGTAGCCATAGTCGACCGTATTGTCGACATACATATGTACACCCTTCTCACGGAGCGAGCTCGAGAACGCCATGTCTGGGTCGTATTTGTCGCTCTTATATGCCCCACTCAGAAACGAGAGCTGGGATGATTTGACGAGGTAGCAGACGGAGATGTACGGCACGTTCCAGACGCCCCTTTATAGAAAACAAAGAAGGAAATGTCAACTGGGTGGGTCCGCAAGTCCTCACAGTTATAACCCCAGGAACTTGGGCTAGAGTGAAATGATGGAATCCTAGACTATGTGGTTAGTGTGGAGGGATGGAAATTTTGGCTTGTGAGTTGGGTGGAAGTAAGGAGCTTTGGTTTTTTGGGATAAGGTATTGATATAAAAGCTTAGTTTTTGGGTTAGTGTAGAATCATAGGAGCTTGTGTTATTGGGTTAAGGTAAAGGCATTGGATATTAGATTATTTCGTTAAGGTAAAGGCATAAGAACTTGGGTTATTTGGTTAAGATGGATGCGTAAGAGCTTGGGTTATTCGGGTTAAGGAGGAGGCATAATAACTTTGGTTATTGGGTTCAGGTAAAGACATAGGAGCTTGGGTTATTGGGTTAAGGTAAAGGCATAGGAAATTGGGCCAAGGTAGAGACATTAGAGCTTGAATTATTGTGGATGCATAAGAGCTTGGGTTATTTGGTTAAGGTAAAGTCATAGGAACTTGGGTTATTCGGTTAAGGTAGAAGAATATTAGCTCGCTAATGAGTTATGGTGGAAGGGAACTTGGGCTAGTGGAAAATATATCTGGGTGATGTCTGCATGTCCTTGCAGTTATAACCTCAAGACATATCTCAAACCTCCCTGACCTCGTCTCTGCCTAAAATCCTGCTACAAGCCTAGAAACCTTTTTCTTTCTTTACCTTTTCCTATTGTTGACTATATCCATGTAGTCGAAGGACCGTGCGTAGAAGCCGTCGGTGTTGAGCGCACCCCAGAAGTTGGAGAAGGCCTCGTTGTACCTCGTTAGGAGGGGTGCTATCACACTCCTACACACAACCATATATTTTAACAGGATGTCAAACAAGATGCAAAACATAAATAAATAAAACACTGACTTGTCCTGCTGGATCAACCTTGATATCGTGTCTGGCCTTTCCAGCATGGCGAGAGAATAAAGGACAAAAAGGTAGTCGCACTCTTTTTTCAAACAATATTCCCTGGAGGAAAAAACCAAACGTTAATAAAACAAGTGGGTTTTACAAGACTTGAACTGACATCATGATATCCTGGGCAGAATCCTCGTCAAGGTTATCGTCTGGCAAGATCTGCTTCACAGAGGAGTACTTTTTCGAGTTCTTCTTGACAAAGGCCTGGACGATGGGCTCGTGGAATTTCACCTGAGAGGAAAAATGATTAACTGATAATAAATACAAAGAAGGAGGACGACCTATGGAAAGACGGGGATTGAAGAAAACAAGAACCTGAAATCAGGTTGGTACACGAGGATGTAAGACAGTTTGTACGATTTGGATGTTTTTGATACAAACGACATGAGCTGGTATTCCTGATTTGGACAATTAAGCAAAAAGTACGGGCTCGTAGGTTAGGATATAGCGTTGAAAGCTTGAACTAGTGGATTTTGGGATGGGTAAGAGCTTGCATTATTGGGTTGGATAGAGGTGTAAGAGCTTGTTCTAGTTGGTTAGGGTGGATGGTTAGAAACTTGGGCTATGGTTAAAGGTGGAAGGATAAGAACTTTGAGTAGTGCGTTTAGGTGGAGGGGTGGAAATTTGTGCTAGTCAGTTAGGAAAAGAGGGCTGGAAGCAGTGGAATAGGTGGAGTGCAGGAGCTTGGGTTATTGCTTGGTTGGAGGGGCATGAGCTTAGGCTAGTGAGATTAGAGTGGAGGGTTGGAAGTTTGTTCTAATCGGTTAGAGTAAGTGATGGAAGCTAGGGGCCTAGTGGAATTAGGCTGGAGGGGGTAGGAGCTTGGTTATTGGGTTGGTTGGAGGGACTAGAGCTTTGGGTAGCGGGTTAGAGTGGAAGGATAAGAGCTTTGTTTGGTTAGGAGGTTGTAGCTATGTCCTACAAGTCATTCCGCCTGAGCTCACCTTGTTGTAGATGAAGAGGTGTAGTCTGTCAGCCGGGTGAGCCAGTAGAGCGACCCCTTCAAAAAACTCCTCGAGAAACGGCGAGTCCCTCGACACGACAATGGTCATTAATACCGTCTTGCCATCAGCCGCCCCCTGCTCGTGCTTCTTGCATGACGTGCACCCCCTTGTGTCGTCGTAGCCTCCTCCAACGTAGTTGCCGATTGAGTTGAGGAGGAGTTTGCTCTTGCCGTTCCCGTGGAGGATGAGCGGCCTCGTTGCCGTCGCCTCGTTGACTATGTACGAACCCCTTTCGTCCGTGCCGTCCGTCACGAGCTTGACGTCCTCTACAATAGAACGAATTGTCAATAAAAAACTTTAAAAAATTTAAAAATTAAACTTACTTTCCGCAGCATATATGTTTTGGAATATGAGGGCCTTGTGGTCGAGCTTGATCTTATGCTCCTCCCTCAGTGCTTTGTTCAGGTAGATCTTAGTGTAGAAGAGCTGGTCGTCGTCATTGTTCTTGATCTTGTGCAGTTTGAGTATCTCGTAAATATCGCTGGCATAGCCGATGAAGCCTCCCGAGTTGAGGTACTTGTAACCATCCTCGACCTGGGGGTACTGTTCGGCCAGCTCCTCTTCGGGCCAGCACAGTGACTCGCTCGAGAACACCAGCCTCGAGTCCATCTCGGCGAATCGGGCCGCTATCTCTTCAGCGCCGCCCATAAAGATGACGTCGAAGCTGAAAATGACAAATTCGTCAAAAAGCCCTCCCATCCGACATCCTGGGCCGTGATGACAAACCTGTCCGTGAAAAGAACGAGACGCTGGTTGTCGTTCTTATACGGCTTGAGGGCCTTCTTCAGAAGGTTCACCTTGTGACCTCCGCCCCTGTAGTTCATGTCGCCGCCTTCCCAGGCGACGCCCATACCGAGCACCTCGACCTCGAGGCCGAAATGTTCAGCAGAACGCATGTATCGAACAAAGCCGTCCGTCCTGTTCGTCGCGACGGTCATCACCATCAGACCTGGAAAAATATGCCGTCGTACAGCACTTTCGCACAGCTAATTTTTTGAATGATTAACATCATTTGAATTATTCTCTATTAGGAGCTAGCAGTATTCAGTGAGCTCCTAATTTCTCTAACCAGGAGCCGAACTCAACCAGCTTCAGAAAACATCTAGATCTACTAGTTCAACAAATAAATCGAACTGTCCATTAATGAACTATTCCTCGGTATATAAGGAACGATTTCCCCTCCTCTATTATTGATGCGTAGTTCATAACAGAACTAGCTCAATCAAGGGAACTATCTTAAAAGGAACAGCTTTGCCCATCACTATTAGTGATGTGTAGGTCATAAAACAACTAGTGCGATAAAACGAACCATCCAGAAATTAACTATTCCGCGAAAAGAAGTGTTTTGCCCATGTCTTTTAGTGAAGTGCAGTTCACAAAAGAACGTCCAAATAAACTATTATTTACGAAGAACGCTCTGCCCACCTCTATTCATGATGCGTAGATCATAAAAGAACTGTTCGATCAAACGAACCGTCCCGAAATGAACTATTCTTCAAAAAGAAAGGCTTTGCTCACTTCTTTTAGTGATGTGTAGTTTATAAAAAACTAGTTGAAATGAACTATTCCCAGAACTAGTTCAATAAAGCGAACTGTCCCAAAATGACACCCCATCATTTGTGGGATCACGGCGACAAAGGGTGGTATATTGTGCCCGGATCGGGGGGTGCAATCTGAAAAGACAGCCTCGCGTTCTTGGTCACTCCCTTTCTCAATCAATGACCTACGGTATTTTTCTTAAGACCTCTCCTACCCATTGGTTGCAAGGGGGTTTCCAGGCAAAAAAATAACGGTCCAGCATTGAGAGCGTGGCAAATTCTAAAGCACAAGCCTGTATTCCTGGGTGGGCTTTAAGTCAGCAGGCGGGCGCGGTGGGTGCGCGATCATACAGTCAGGATAACAGATCCTGTCTGCAAAGACGGGGAAGGGGTGCATGACCAAGAACTACGGACAAAGTTCCAAGCCCAGTAGTGCGTTACATGGGTAAAGGACTCGTAGTGGCTTAGTGATGATGGCGGGTAGTTAGACTGTGAGAGCCTGTTGGTTTGGTGATGTTGTTTAATCAGCTTCCTCTACCCAAGACGGAGTGTTAAAATTCCACTTGAAACAAACGTGGCCGGATATCCCGGAGGTCCTGACGCTAGAGATCCCTCCATTCTGGGGAGAGAGTTGCCTTCTCTGCCTAGGGAGTATAGCCGGAATGCCGGACAGGCAAGTCAGTCTCTTGTTTTCTTTACTATGCAGCGCACGGTTGGGTGCACAATGTCGACCCTCCCCCTCGGAAGGGCACGTTGGGAGGGTCGTCTTGTTTCCTGTGTCTTCTACACTGAAATTGCGAGTGTAACACACATCCACTCGAAAGCAGAAGTGCGTCGACTCTCATCTTCAGAAACATGATGTCCGATAAGGCCACGAGCTAGATGCGAACGGAAAAGATCCTCACGTCCCCTTTTCAGGACTACGAGTAAATATGGAAAGAATGTCCTAAAATGGACTATTCCTCATAAGGAACTGTTTTTACCGCCTCATTATCCATCTCACCACTGACCTCTCTGTCAGATTTTATTAATCTATATGACCATCCGGAACCAGATTTCAATGAACTCCTGATATCTTTAATTTGTTCAATTCGTGTGTACGTGTGTGTGTGTGTGGGCGTGTATGCTGGGGGCCTGTGTTTGGCAACACTGTTTTTTTTTGTAATCGATGCCCGGTGGATATCAGTATAGCAGAAAAAAAAATTGTTCAAATGTAGATTATTTTTTATCTATTTTTATCTCCCCTATGTAAAAATTAACACAATTAATTGATTTATAAATGTATGTAGATTATTTAATAAAAGGCCATTTCTCGTGTAATAATAATTGAAGTAGAAAATCTTCTCGTATGAAATGACTGTTGGTAACACTTTTTTTTTTCCATTGCTTCTACTGTACATATTCAATTGAGCGTGCGTGCATCGCTACAATGTCATTAATTACAATCGGTTAATGAATGAATGGCCGATTTAATCGGTGGAAAATCAGTTTCGCAAAAAAACTGGTTACTTGAACAAAAGAATGGCCTGAGGGGATAATTGAGTCAAAACACTGTTGCCAACATTTCTTTTTTATTGATTATTAAAGAAAGATTGTATTGAGTAAATGTAGTAATGACGTCAATTTGAAAAAACAGTGTTGCCAACAGTACAGCAAAATAAAATTTTAATACTTTTCAACCTATAAAAGAGATATCTTTGGAATTCCACAAGGTTCCTCCACCATTTCAAAACCGTTCAAATTGAGAACAGTAATGTACAAATTGATTGCCGCATCTGGAAAACAGATATAAAATCAAACCGAAAAGCCTCCCCCTCGACTTTTAAATATTGAAGAGGGCAATTAAGGCAGATTGTCCCCTATTAAACGGCCATTAATGAGGTCGGTCCACGAGCCCGAGGCTCCACGCTCTTCGATATTTCTCCATCCGTCCCAAACGAGAACGCATTATAAAACGCAACACGCAGACGTAGTTTTACATATTAAAATAAATTATGTGAATGCATAAATATTATAGATTCAAATACGTCAAACCTTGCTCTTGAAGGGCTTCCTTCCCATTTCTCTAAAACCGAACAATAACTTTGGGCAACTCTGTTTTAACTGTCATTCGCTTGTTCGTTGAGACCTGAAAAAACAGGGTTGCCAGTATATTATCATATGGGTGAACGCGAGTGAACGACTCACTAAGCAAATGAACGAATAACACGAATGAATGAGTGAGAAGCTGAAAAACAGTGTTGCCAGCATAATGAGTCTTCCCATTCGCACACTATTTCATCTCTCCTTTATCAAACACTCACTCTTACGTTTTCTCCTTTCTCATTCATTCACGTTTTTTCTTATCCTTTCCCATTCACCCTTTTGCTCATTCACCGCACATCTTACTCAGTCATTCTCATTCTCCACTCGGTCACATTCATTCAGTCTTACTCTCGTTCTCTCTTTGTTTTGTCATTAACGTATTCTTTCTTATTTCACATTAGGTTCATTCATTCAAACATACACCGAACAGGTCTTACTTGGTCACATTCACTTATCTGTGTGTGTGTATGTGTGTCTCTCTCTCTTTAGTTTTTCTTTTATCATTCAATCATTCTTTCTTTCGTTCTCTCATTTCTCATTCACACTCTCATTCTTTCTCATTCTCCATTCGGTTCATTCATTCATGCGCGCATACAACGGAATTGACGCACATTTTCCATCGCTGTCTTTACACGATCATAACGAGCCTGTCTTTCTCTCGCTCGGTTGGTTATTCATTCAAGCCCATCTTTCACATTCACGCTTTTAAGCAAGCTATACAGGGTGTATCAACGTCTATAGTCCACCCATTTAATTCGCGTGGTGGTAACAGATTTAATATAACTTTATCATCTAGCTGGGAAGTGACGCTAATTTTGTTATTTTAAATGAGAATCCCATATTTGTACTGTACGATATGATTCTAAAGCTTATTTTATGCCACTTTTACTGAAAGTAAAATTGTGATTCCTAGCCAAAATTAACTTGGGGTTTGTATAAGACTATTTTTGCTAAAGTTAATCGTTTCCGAATTAAATGAGTGGAATATTAAAAAAAAATTCATATGCATTTTTGCCGAATTACAGGTGAATTATATTCACAAGGATGCTAACCCTCGATCAGACTGTAAAGGTACGCCTGTGCCCTTCGACAGTGAAGAATCATTTTGTGGCACTTAAGACTTTGCCCGGATTGTTTCAAGCGAAATTAATGTTTCATTTATTTATTTTTCAATTAGATGAATTTAAGGCCACCTTCCCTTAAACATTTTGCCTTGATTATCGTTCTAGGGTATCTCTTGGCGGAAATCCGAATCTGTGCGATAGACGTTTATAGTCGAGATAGCACACCCTTGCCTCTGACATCACCCAAGTCGTAAAAACAAGAAGAAAAAAACAATGCGAGCTAACGATGCTGATGCAAGCATTAAATCTATTTATAGGCCTCCTTTGAAACCGAGGCGAAACGCGACACGGCCTGGAAAAGCAGTCCGGATAAGACGCTAAGTAATTTTCCACGCGGTCTCTGTTTGTTCCTCATTCCGAGGGGTCATAGCGATCCGTCCTCTGGATAAAAATTTATATATAAAAAAAACCAAGACCGAGACCTTTCGGCCTTACAGATAAACTAACATGAAATGAGACCGAACGAGATAAAAGAGGTGGTCCGAGATTATCTCGAGAACCGCAAAAATGAGAAAATATTCGTCTAAAACGGACCGTTTCGATTTTCGAACGTTAAACGTGCTCCATGAGACAAAATAAACTATTTGACACACTAATCATACACTTTGCAACTTTTCACCACTCCCCAATTTAATAGTAAAATTCTGTTTCTGTGTGGCAACACTGTTTGTTCCTAAACATAAGCGATTATGAATCGAAATCAGTTTTACCAACTTAAAGAAGACGTTCTTGTTTCCATTTAAATAAATAATAATAATAAATCACCCAGTTAAGTAAGTGTAAATGAACTGGTTCAATAAATGATTGGAATGAGTGAATGACTGTCCGAACAAGCCAGAACAGCCCGGGTGTCTGGTTGTGTGAGCTAGCAGTGAGTAAGTGTAAATGTATGAATGATTTGAGTGAGTGAATGAGTATCCGATCTGGCCAAAACAGACCGAGTATCCGGTTGTTTTAGCTAGCAGTGAGTAAGAGTAAGTGAACGAATGATTAGAGTGTGTGAATGACTATTCGATCAGGCCAAAACAGCCCGGGTGACCGTCCGGTTGTGTGAGCTAGCAGTGAATAAGACAAGTGAACAAATGATTGAAGGAGTGAATGGCTACGAGCAAGCTAGAATAGTCCGGGTCCGAACTCCGATTGTGTGACCTAAAACTTGAATGAAGGTGATGGGACGAGGGAATTTTAAGATAATTATAAATCCTATCCTCCCAGAAAGGGTACAATTCGAAAATAAACTTATCATCTGTACCCCGTTACAAATTTATTTGACCTCTCATTTCTATGCTACTCTACAATTTGTCGTTCTGTAAACGTATTTATTAATCCCTAACAATCATAGAATCCACGCTGAAGACGCTTACTGATTTTGGGGTTTACAGTACCATTTTAAGACACAGTGGAAGGGCTGATATGAATACGCAAAACTTAGGAAATAATCCTTTGACAAACTTGTTAGCATAATTACATGTACATTTTATCCCGATACTATTTCCAGCTATCATGTCTACGAAGTTAATAAAGTTTCATTGGATTTATTAAAAAATCAGGCAACTTCTGATAATGGCTCTGAGTGCTTGGGGGTTAATTTCCGTCCTCCAGCTGTATATTGTTTGTGCTGTTTGGTGTGTGAATATTTTTTTTATGGCTGGCTGTTGCTATCCATTGATTTTAATATCAGAGTAGATGCAGTAATGAGCCAATCGGTTTCCTCCGACACCTGGGTGTCTGTGGATGGGGTTAGCCACTTATGTACCGGATTTTATTAAATTTCTAAAGAATTGACCGGATCGTCATGTAGTTTGCTGCCACTCTATATGCGCGTGTATATAGTGTTTGTGTGTATTTATTAACGCATCTTTCTCACTCTCTCTCTTTCTTTGTGCGTGTATGTATGTGAGTACATAACAGTGCTTTATTAACGAAAATAACCAACCAGACACTATTAAAAAAAGTGTTTAATATTTTTTAGTATAGTTTCAAACTTTTAACTTGTTTGTAGAAAAATTATACTGGTACCTCAGGCCCAGCTCAACATCAAAATTTCAAATCTGACCCCTACACATCCTGGCACATCATTTAAAACAATTTTTACGCTGAAAACAATGGAGCAATCGGATTTTAAACTGGTCAAAAAAATGACAAATTTTATGTCAAAAAGAACCAGGCAGCGTGATTTCGACGAGGAGCTGAATATTTTACTTTATATTCGCGAAAATCTCGAATTCCTCTCTCCGAAATGTTGTAAAGGGTTTTAGATTTTTCAAAATATAAAATTGGAGATGTACTCCGGACTTAGAATTTTAAGCTGTATCCTCTCATCTTGTCCAGGGACTTCGGGACTCTGATTGACAGGCATCTAACGTTCATTGCGCGAATGTCGATTTGGGAGGCTGAAGAAAACGTTCTTCCATCCGTCCTATGGACTAATCCAAGTTCACTTCTGATGGAATACTAAACCATTGGAATGTTCTAACATGGGCAGAGGAAAATGTGAGAATTCCGTTCACTTGTCATCATCAGGTGGTTCACAGTATCAACGTTTGGTTTGGACTTCTCTTGGGCCTTATTTCTACTAAAATAATTTAAGTGGTGCACAGTTCCTAGATTTTTTTGAGGGAGGTTTTACTTCTGCAACAATAAGATTTTCCTGCTTGATAGATGCCCCGCAGACAATTCTTTGTAGACAAGACGTTATTTGATCCATAGTAACCTAGAAGGATAGGACCTCATGCCACCCGATTTAACTCCACTTGACTATTTTCTGTGGAGCCATTTAAAAAACAGTGTCAACGGCAGTTGAAGAATTACGGCAAAGGATAGAAAATGCTCATCGATCCATCTCCCCTGTCTCTATCAACCAGTGAAGAGTGAATGAAAAGAGCATCTTTCCGCAAGGCCGGCAGTTCGAACATGAAATGTCATTAATAAATAGCAAACCAAATGACTTTTTTAAAATCTTTTGGCCAAAACTTTGTCTTTTTTGGCCAATTTAAAATCCGATTGTACCATTGTTTTCAGCGCAAAAGATCTTTTAAAATGATGTGTCTGAATGTATAGGGTCGTATTTGAAATTTTGAAGTTGAACTGGGTCTGAGGTACCCAGTATAATTTTTCTCAGGTAAAAATTTGAAACTAGACTAAACAATATTAAACACGTATTTTTTTATAGCTTCATTGATTCAAGAGAAATTCAGCCAGGCCATCTAAAAAAGGACACCTGTACATAGATTTGTGTGCTCTTGGGTGAATGTATTACAGCACAGCATTAAAGTGTGACCCCACTTCTATCTCTCTCTCTCTCTCTCTCTCTCTCTCTCTCTCTCTCTCTATGTTTGTGTATGTGTGTTTACAACAGTGTTTATTTAACGATTAAAAAAATAATATCACCAATTTTTGAAATGAATACATACAAGCAGATTAACGCCTTTTTTAAAAAGAAAAATAGTTTTACTACATGTGTATGTGTGTGTTTGTGTAAATATTATAGCAAGCATGTTTTTGAGTCACCACACTGTTTTACTTACTGTGTGCGTGCGTGAGTGCAAATGTGTTGTTGAGATGAAAACGTTAGTGTCACGAGCGGGATTCGAATCCCGCTTGTGACACTAACTTTTTCATCTCAACCAAGACTTTACATAAAAAGAATAATTAATTGACATAATTAATACGGTCCATTAGACCACTAAACAAATTTTTTTTAAAGAAAACCATATGTTGCTTCATTACATGCATTATTATCGCCTTTCCAAGGATGCAAATTGCAATTATTATTATTGTTTTTTTTTGTACTGGGAAAGAATTACTCGCATGCATTATCAAAACTAAAATTAAAAGATATAAAGATTAAAAAGAAATAAAATAATCAAGGACTGAACAAACTTGGAAAGTCCGTCACGTTGGCAAGACTGGCCTCCTTTGTATTAGTTCAAAAATTTTGAGAGTTCGTCATGTTGGCAAGACTGGCCTCCTTTGAATTAGTTCAAAATTTTGAAAAAAATGAGCTTTTTCTCACGGAATTTGACTTATTTCGACCAAATGTACCTTATTGACTTGTGCGATTTATCAATTTGACATGATTTTCGGTTAAAACAAAGAAAAAATCCCCAGGCAATTGCCCTAGGGCGTGTAAAATGGTATGCTTTACATTTGGATCAACACGACGCGGTTCAAAAAGGCGAATTAAGACTTCATAATTTTAATTTAAAAACACCATTTTAAAAAAAGTATATATTTGATATAAAAAATATAAATCTCACCGTTTGCACTGGAATAGGGCAGCGAGTTGACGAATGTTGTCAGGAGTAGGCAGATGAGCCAACCCACCATCTCTTCGGCTTTTTTAAAAATTTTTGATCAAATAGGCTTTTACTTTTTTGAAAATATCAACACAGTTGATATTAGATCTAGCTTGAAAGCATCTTTTTCCCGGAAAACTGAAATTAAAACACACAAACAAAAGACTCGGAGGCGACCGGAATTGGTTTGGGTCCGGTTTGAGTCAATTGGTCGAGTGTGGATGGGAGCGGAGCCGAGTCTGGAACTGACCTGAGAGCGCAGGTGTGCCAATCTTGGCAAAGGAAATTTCCCACCCTTATATCGAACGGGTAACTCGACGAATTTAATTTCCAAAAAACAAAAATTATTGCAAAAAGAATAAATTTATCTTTACATTTAGATTGAATTTTATTTTTGTTTATTTATAACGAACAGAAGTAAAAAAAAAAATGTGGCTGGGAATAGGCATTCTATGACCTATGATCATCATTCATGATTGTTGTTGTTGATAAGTGTATAGGTTATGTACGAGTTGATGCCTTTAATACTTAATGGATGTGCCAAGGAAGTTAGGGTGTTGGTTATGTTAGAGTTGGTGTCATTTACACGTTATAGATGTGGCAGGGAGGCTAAAATTGTATAGATTATGTTGGTACCTTCCGTATATGTTAGCTATATGCCATGAAAGTTGACAGCGTATCCTAATTTAACCGTTAATATATGATAGATGGATAAACAACGGTGTGGTTTGATAATGAGGATACTAGGAAGTGGCGTTTGTACTCCCCAGGCACTGCACCCTTCTGGCTTATTGTACCTTCCTAGTTCCTTAGTTCAGTTCAATAGACCCAATCTTCTTAGAAGTATCAGGTCTTTGACTGTTGTTGCTACAATTTCATTCCCTAGACTTTTTTGTATTTTAGGATAAATCTCCATTGAGCTGTTCCTTCACATTTGAAGATGACATGGGTGGCTGTTTCCTCCTCCTCACTGCATAAACTGCATCATTGTTGTATATGCCCATGTTTTCTCAGATGCCAGTGACCAGTTAGTAGTCCTATCGCTCCTCTTAGTCTAGCCCTCTCCAATTTCAACAATGAGTTTGAGTCTTGGTGAGGGCTGTTTCATCATAAGTTTACTGTGTCTACCATCAATGACCCTAATGATCGGATGGTCAATCTCTTTATAATCCCCCCTTCAAGTTGGATGTACCAACTGATGAAAATAGACCTTGTTAAACTTAATGCATGTTGTCAACGAATGCACAAATGAAATTCTTATGGAGGGTCAAGGAATTGAGGGGAGCCATTCAAAAGGAATTGGGAATATAGTCGATGTTTGAGAGAATCAAACAAAAAAAGAAAGATTGTTTTTCCACATCGACTGAACAGATGAATTCTGGGATCTAATAGGGGCAGAGGAAGGGAACGACAAAGATGCTCAGTGAAGACGCAACAGGATGCAAGCCTAATTCTGATGTGAAAAAGAAGGAGAATCAATTGCATTTTACATGGATATAATTTTTCAAAATATCAAGGGATAAATATGAATTTTGGTTAGTTTTAATATGGATATGCTTTTGGTTTTTGCATGACCATTTTTGCATTATGAATTTAATATTAGGTGTGTGTGGTGATTAGTGATCGTTAGTCGAAGATTATTCGAAGATCGTGAGCTGCGGTCTGGTGGTATTAGAAAAACATTTTCTTTATCGTGCCAACGTTTTGATGTTTATTGAGATCATCTTTAGGGCACATGTTTGATTTCTGTGTAATTGTGCCATTCTTGTGTGTCGTGTTGAGAGTGCCAATTTAATATTAGGTTAAGAAGGATTAGGTAGGGTCAGGGTTTGGGACGGGTTAGTTAACTTATACATGATTCAATTTTCCCGAAGCTGAGTAATATATGAGTATGAATTTTGAATCCATATTGGATTTGCCAGAAATTACTCATGTTCAATAAATATTCCTATAGGACAAAATTATGGCTGGGGTTGGGTTAGTTTAGTTAAAAAAAGGGTATAGTTAAAGACTGGTTAGGGTAGGTTCTGGCTAGGTTAGGGTTATGGTTACGTAGGGTTTTTAAAAATGATAAAGGGTGGAGTGAGTATGTTGTTTACTTTTTTTTTAAAGATTAGGTAGAGTTATTGCTACGGTTAAGGTTGGGTCGGGTTAGGTTACTTATTCATAATTTAATTATTCATCGTGAAGCTGAGAAGATATGTGAGTGCAAATTTTGAATCCAAATTGAATTTGGCATAAATTACAGAAATTCATAAATATTTCTACATAACAGGATTGTGTTATGGCTAGAGATGGATTAAGTCATAGGTTTGGCCATGGCTAGGGTTAGAATTTGGGACAGGTTAGGTTACTTATTCATAATTCAATTTTCTGTCATGAATCTGAGAAAATAGGTAAATTCGAATTTTTAATCTACTTTATATTTGGCAAAAATTACAGATATAAAAGTTACTAAATAATGGTATTGTTTTAAACTATAAATGGAATGAAATATATTCATTATAAAGGGACCATAGTGGCTGAGTGGATAGGGTGTCCCGACTCGTTGTGCCATTGTGTCGTAGGTTCTGGGCTCGAATCGTAGTACAGCCCAGAGAATTTTAATTAGAAATGATAATATATAAGAGGTATGATAAAGTGGTTTGACCTCTTGTACTACTTTGCTTTTTATTCATGGTAAAACTTGTATTTATAAAATTATTTTTGATCAATCCTAGTTATGGAGGTTACACATTTTTAAATGAATCTGGCTTTTTGTATGTGCTTTTAGGAAATGGAGAACTATTTTAAATAGGTGCTTTTGACTAATAATTTTGCAATTTCGATTTTTTCAGTTTACTGGGCCCTTCTTGTCACATGTTTCAGGTGGAGTTATATGTTCTTTGTAATTTAATCTTTAATCTGCAAACTAAATGAAAATGAAGGTTGAAGCAGCAAGCCTGGATAAAAGCCAAGTCCTGAAGGATCTGTTAAAAAGCCTTAAGAGTAACAAAGAGCTCCAGATAATAATAAGATGGCACAATAAGTTCTTAAAGAGACCAAATCTTTCTAACCTCAACCTTAGGATTCTGGGCACATCATGGTTCTGAAAAGTACAAAACATGAAGTCTAGAAGGACATAGATAAGATATGCTTCTGATGATGGAGGAGTCTGTTTATTGTCGAGGGTTTTGGCTCCAGGACTGCAGACTGTTGGAAGCAATAAGAGTGCTCAAAAATTTTCCTTATTCTTTTTAATCAAAAATCACATATCTTTCTTTAAACAAAAAATGTGACTCAGACTGAGAAATAGAATGCAATGAAGCATCAGCAGTCAAGGTAGTCCAATACTGATATCAGGCTCTTGGTAACTGTGCACCTGGCAGAACAATATGCCGATGTGATATCGAGGGAAAGAATATGGGTAGAATGAATTGTCCATTGATGCACCATTGGCAGTAATTGGGACAGCCTGTATACTAAACCAGCAAGACTTCTAAGTGTTGCAGAAGTGTTGGTTTTGCGAATTAATCAATCAGCTAGCTGATAAATTAGCTATTTATATTAAAACTAATTTAAAAAATGCAAGGAAAACTTAAAGGCATGGATTAATTCTAAATCAGGCCGCGTTACCATAAACTGGTCTTACTATATGAAAATTATGTTGGGTGTGATATGGTCCTATTTTTTCCTGTTTCCATTTATAACCCGTTCAAGACTGAATTGACCTGTTGAAATAAACATTGTGCCATTTCTTAAAGAAAAAAAAGCTCAATCTTACAGCTCTAACCCTGCAAAACCAAGAAATAATGATCCAATGATAAAAAAAGATCATGCAGCCTTTCGGGAAAAATATTTAATCCTATATTTTCTTCCTAAATCAATAGACCTATGATCCTTTGTAGACATATTCAGTGCAAGTTATTAGATTAGAGTAGGTATCAGTATCTTCATGTCCTACACATCATGACCAGAATGGTCTATTGTGCATCTACATTGTTGTCTAACGCTCCTCCTGTCTTAAGGCTTTTTACCAGATTACAAAGCTTTTTAAAAGAATCTCTTATCATTCAGGCCCAAGGAATCTTGGTCTACATAAATAAGCATTTACACCATCAGAAGACATGTTCCACTGCTTCTTTCTGGCTAATTATGCACAGGCTTGCTTCTGCCACTCTCAGTCTATACGTACACCTCTAGAGTAACTATTATGCTAGTCCGAACACATCCTAGTAGTTCCACTGTTAATTTTTATGATAGTCCTTTTATGAACTATTTTGCATACTTGGATTCCCATTTCTTTTTCTAAGGGTGTTGAGCCATTTTTACTTCTTTTTTTTTTTACATATATTTTCATAAAGTGCTATTTAAACAGTGCGTTAAGTTGTTCCGTGAATATTAATTCCGTATAGTTTGCTGGTTCACAGTAGCTATTTTTAGGCGAGGATTGTTGCCTTCAGAGGGTAAATTTCATTTATATAACATTTTTTTATATATGTACCTTGTGTAATATTCTTTGATTTTAACTTTTTTTTAATTTTCCCAGGAGGGATTTACAAATGGTAAATCAATTCTCTCTGCTGGCAGTCAGGGTAGTGAGCATGATAGTATTAACATATTGCCCCAGCATCTACATTTGATGAAAACAAGAAAAATGAAAATATAACTCGATCAGCAGTTATTAATAATTAAATAAATTATGTGGACACTCTCCATGGAAACGTAATTTTGTCTTCTATAAATATTTGTTTCAACCAGAAGCAACAATTTGCTAATAAAGACATTTCTTTTTTTTTGAGAGGGAGGTCAGTGGATCACTATCTTAAAGGTAAGGTGAAACACATTCAACTTGTTAATGCATTTTTTTTTTTAAGTGATTGTCTTATAAAAAAATTTCTTCAATTTTTTTGTTTTTAAATCACTTAATGATCCTTGGAGGCCACCTTTTGTAAGAGGAACCACCTGATCCATTAATTTAAATCCATTTAATTTAAATTTGTTCCTTGGGTAAAGTACCTTTGAGATACAGGAAGGATGTTGTGATCGATCAACAGTCCTATTGGACCCCCTGAACCACTCATACAATTAACTGTTGATATATTGACTCTCTGTATTAATGGAAGACAAAAGCTTGCAATATGTGGCCTTCCATAACTGGGATTCACTGATTCATTATATTATTTACTGGAATCCTTTTTCTATCCTTCCTTGACTCTCCTGCTTCTTTTCAAAATTGTATTTTCCGCCGTCCTTGAAATGTACGATTTCTGGCCTTAGGCACCCCGCTCATCCATTGGTTCATCTATGTTAACGGGCTGAAACAAACTTTCAAACAGCAGGTAATTTCCTTGAGGTCTTATCCTCTCAGAATGTTCCCTGTAAACCCCATCTTACAGCCTTTTCCATGTTCCACAGGTCACCTGATGAGCTTAACACTCACTTTGTTTTATCCTTGTAATCTGTCGGTCCACTTAACCTTATTCATTACCATTCCTAATCACCCTCCGTTTGAACTAACAGCTTATTTTCACCTGAAGCCTTAGTTGATGTTATTATATGCTGTCGGTTGTGGCAGAAATGCCTAATAGAGTGCGTCTGTCTATTATCCTTCCTGTTCTACATTTTTTCCTTATATGAATACTTCCTAAAGTGCACTAATGTGATAGTTCTAAATCATATTCTTAATCATTCTTTCCCGAACCGGTCCCGTGTCCATTCTCTCGAACCACGGTAAACCTCTTGTTAAATTAGTCCATTTGTAAAATGTCTGCTTGCTTGGACAAGTTTGATCTCCTTCCCACTAAGATTTGGTCTCTTTCTTGGCATTTACACAAATTTCTCTGCTCTAAATATCTTAAATTTGACTTTAAATTCAATCAGAGTTTTTTTATTTTGAAAATTATATATTTTATGTATACAATATCTGTGTAAACTAATTATTTTCCTGTTCAAACTAGTCTGATAGTGATCATCTGTACTCACAATGGGGTATTTCTGTTGTGGAAAACAGAATACCAAACTGGTAACGTTAAACATGCTCCATTTCTACATTTTTAGTACTATTTTTAAAATTTATTCAATGATTTACATTGTAGGATCTGATATCATCCATAAAAAACATCAAATTTAAAAAAACGTTCAATTTACTTCTATGTTTGAATAATATAAGAAAGGCTGTTTCAAAATGGACCCGCAAAGTGACACCTGCACATGTTGAAAAAGTTAAACAACAATCAAAAGAAGAAACGACAAGAACAACTGTGGTCTACAGCATACAACCACCAATAGGAACAATTTCTCCTTGTGTAGAAGAGGTGAGATCTTCTAAAAAAAATGACAACATGATTTCGATGAGCAATAAGATCGCTCCAAACTGGGCTCATCTATCAAAATATGAACACAGCACAAAGAGGTTTCTTCTGATTCAGGCAAGAAACTTGATGCAGATTTTGATAAGTGAAATAACCACACAGTATCCATCTTTTATCAAGTCTTTTTCACTACGTTATTTTCCTCTTTCAAGCTTATTGAAAACCTCAACAATTGACACACGAAAGTATAACTTGGAACACAAAATTTTGTCTAAGAGGATCGGGCAAAAGATTAAACCACAATATAAATCGTTCGGCTTCTTGGATATTTTAAAATTTGATTTACTTGTCTAAATATCAAATATAAATTTTGGCAGCAAACATTTTTTTTTTTTTTAATGATTAGACATGAAATTTAAACATTAAAGTTAAGTTTTGATTGTGTCTGGAACAACCTTATTTTGAAGGTTATGTATTATAAGTTCATAATTTTTACAACTACATAGCACAATAGAACAAGGGGGGATGTACCAACAAGAAAGCAAAAAGAATTAAATCTTCCGATTCTTTCTTTTTGATTTTGCATATATTCTTTCTTTTTGATTTTGCATATTTCTTTCAAAAAAATATCATGAAATACATAAAATAGAGATAATAATAGAAAATGGGACAAAATATCCCAATTCATCACTCAATTTGAATACGTACTCCATTTCTTATTCATTTCTTTTTTTGTAAACTGTTTATTTGTAGTAGATTTCATGAAAATACACTTTGAAAAGTAAGAAAACGAGGAATGTAAAAAGAGAAAAATCAACCGGTTCTGGCCTTTGAAAATCTCTAGAAAGCAGCACTTACTCCATTTGTTATTTATTTATTTTTTAGTTATAAATTGATAATAATATAATAAATCTCAAGTAGGAAAAGCTTTTCATTGCCATTGCTTTAGAATATCCAACTGGTTAATCTTTAGTTAGCACTTTCACTACAAATCAACTATCTGAATCTCAGTTCCTTAAGCAGTTTCTCACAAACCTTTCCTCTGAAGTCAGACTCGGATGTAAAAACCCTTCTTCAATCTTCTAAACCTTGCATAACTCTTCATCAATTTGACTACAGGCTGCTACAGTTACATCTCTTATTACTTCCTCTTTTGAATGTTTGCAAACCATGCCTCCCACTAACATGAGATTTGTAGTTTTGGCAAATTCTTCCACAAAGTCAGCACGGTTTAAATAGCATTTTATGAAAATAAAATAAAAAATTTAAAAATGGCTCAACACCTTTAGAAAAAGAAATCAGAAATGTATAACGAAATGTAGTTTACATGCAAATGTTATTTATAAGTCATACTTACATTAGCTACTGGTGCAATTATATAATATTAATACTAACATTCCCACTAACCTGACTGCCAGCAGAGAGAGTTGATTTACCATTTGTAAATCCTCCTGGGAAAAGGAAAAAAGTTAAAATCAGAGAAACAATGTACATATATAAAGTAGATGTTATATAATTTTTTTGTAATATAAAAAGGCGATCAACAGCTTTGGGTCATTTTCCGCCTTAAAGCTTTCATGCTGGGACTAGGGCCCCCTGCAGTATCACACGCCCCCAGGACACCCTTTCATAACCACCACCCGACAGGCACCCAAATCGCATCCCAAGGCACCTCCCAATATTGAGTAAAATACAGATTATCTCATAAAATGAATATCTTTTGTATTAAATTATTGTACAAATACTAAACAGAATCTCCGTATAAATAATTTTAAAAAACCCATGTAATTCTTGTTTAACCATCGATGGCAATGAATTTTTTTCAACTAATAAAATGTAAATTTTTAACAGCATTGATATAATATTGATATAATAACAGCAAATGCTACAAAACATACAATATTGTGCATGGGGTTATTATTGTAAAAAGAACTTATTTCAAAATAAAATAAAACAAACTTTGACTAAATATTGCTTTTGTTGTGGGTGCAAGAATCAGTTCTGATGATGAGTTTAATGGAAAATTCAGAGTGATTGAAATAAACAGCACCAATTGTATTTTTTTCTTTTTTAAACACTCATTGAAATAATCTGTTCAAATTCAGTAGGTAGATAGAAGTATTAGTGGGGGTGTATATTATACTACGCCCTTTAAGAGCTAATGTATTATCCCCCATTCTGTGCTTAAAGCACACCGGTAAATCCAAGTTTCAAGGAAATTTTCGGTTCAAATTTGTTATCATTAACACAAATTACAGAGAAATTAAGATAACTATTTACTGATACTACAACCTCCTTACTTTTTATTCATTTATATTATTACATTCAACAGAAGTGTTAATATTTTTAATCTAGTAATTCAGCCTTAAATGATCAGGTATGATAAGTTGAAAAAATCTCAAATATCCAATATTTCAAAGACAAAAATAATAACAAAAACCTGGCATGGCCGATGACTGGTCGGCAAAAATAAATCTTCCTCATAATGGCAACCTATCGCACCTACATAAAAATAAAAATAAAAACATTGGAAAATGGAATATTGTAAGGTTTTTTCTTCTTTTAATTGGGCTGGTGCAAAAGTAATGCAGTTTTTGCAAAGGCGATCAAAATTATTTATTCAAAATAACCTGCTCAAAAATAAATAGGGATGTTTGTAGTTTATTCTTATTAATTAAATTAACCGATTTTTTGTTATTAGTTGGATAAAACAAAATAGAAAATACAAACCAAAAACAAACACATTTTTTAAAACGGATTTACTTAAGAATAGTAAATAACTATGTTGCGTCATGTAATTATTGATTTCAAATGAAGCGCGATGTACTTGATGATGTAATTTGATTAGTTCTTACATGCTATTATTATTGTTATTATTAATTACTTTTGTAAATAGGTTCATGTCAATTTAAGTTGGAAGATATCTTTAACGATGTATATATCGTTATTTTACCATTTGGCTCCCCCCATAATAGCTAGTCATGAAATACAGTATTAATCCATCTAGTAAATGACTGAAGCTAGGGAAACAATAAAAGGCCATCTTTTTTAGCATAAAATTTTCTAAAAAATGGGACCTAGCGCAGGTCTGTGACATAACAGGCTGAGAAAATATGGATTTCCAAAGTTGGTTTTATTTTTTTTTTTTTTCGGGCAGTGTAGTTTAACTGAGCAGTTATGACAAAATGAAAAACAAGAATTGCTCGACAGGTACGCACCAGATGAGGAAGACGAGGAAGAGAGGTGAAATGTAAATATAAAAGTGGGGGATAAATAGAATTGACCAACATTGTATATATTTTTGTAAATATTTAATTTAATATTGCGCAAAATATAAAAATGAAATTTATGATGTTTAATAAATTAATCAACTCCTTAATATTTAGTTTATAATTTAATTTAATGCTTCTTTTAATATAAATGATCTGAGATCTAGCTACTTACTATAAAAAACAACATAAAGGGTCAAATCTGTGTTCAGACAGCCTTGGAAGAAATCAGCTCGTACTGCTCAGAATAGCACCCTGGTAAAAGTAAGAATTTTTTATCGTTGAGTATAGTATCGGCCTTCATGATAAATATTGAACTAATGTGATCAGGGATGAAGCCATGTAGGTGAAAAAACCAACATGTTTTTCTGCTGTCGAGCTTTCAGCTATATTTGACGCCTTACTCAGGACTGAAAAACAATTTAAAAAACTTTACAATCAGTTTGGACATGTTTGTCCAACAAGTAAGAGTTTTTGACACTTAAAAAAAAACCAAACTTTTCTGAATTGAATTTGAATTAGATATTGAAGGAACTAACATCCCTTGGAATCTCAAAGAACGTTCTGAGATAAAGGAATCTCCAAGTAGCTTGGAGGAGATGTCGATAGTGACTAGACACGGACCCCTCCTCAATAAAGCCCTGCGCACAATATTAATAATAAAAGCATCAGTTCTGAGAAGTCCATGGAATAACATTCTTTCCACTGGCACCGGGATATGCAGGGGCTTCGCTCTGATGGGGCTGGGCTGCACCGTTGACTTTTATAGACTCAAGGCTTAACGACCAATAAGGTCGCAGCCTTTCAGGTTTCAAGCTTACAGCTCATCAGGTTGAAGGAATTGACATCTCTCGACATGAATTGTGAAAGTGGAATAATGATAAAATTAAATATTAAAAATGAAATTAATTTGTTTATGTATAATTTATTTAGGTATATATTTAAAGTAGGAGGTAAATCAAAATCTATGATATTTTTAATTCACTTATCTCCTTTTTCAATTTTACATCTTTTAAGTTCAAATTTCTATAAACCAATCTAGTTCCCTACCATTGTTGAAGAAATATAACACTGTTGTATTATATTATTTGTTATTATTGTTATTACTATTTTATTATTGTATTACAATATTTGGAAATAAAAGCTCACCGTGAAGAAGCCGAGTCTCGACCGCCACTCGCAGCCTGAATTGTCCTTGGGAAGGGCGGGAAACGGCCTATGATTCAAGGATCCTTCCGTGTAAATAAAAAATATTACATTACTCAAAATCTTTACTCAAAATAATAGCTCAAAAAATTAACTAAAAATTAAAAAATATTTAAGAATTAATTATTTATTTTTTAAAATGAAATAATTACTCAAATTCTAAACGGAGAATCGTCGGTCTATCAGTTCACTGCCAGCTTAACCAAGTATCTCCAGAAAGTACTAAATTATGATTAAATTTTTCAAAGAATCGGGTGTAATTTAAAAAAAGGTACTTAAAATATCCGGTTTATATTATTTTTAAATATTTTCCAATGCTTAAATTAATTTGTGACAGAATTGTATGATTAATTCTGAATCTGTAGTTGTGGGGGGGGAAGTGTTTTCCCGCTATTTGCCCTCTTTCTCTCCTGGCGGCCATAGATTCAACACCAAATTTTCTTCCTCTAAAAAGGTATTTTTATTTTTTGACATTTATTAAGTTTATACAAGTCCGGTTCTGTGTTTTTTAAATTAATTACATTGAAAATAGTCAATTGATCAGTTTGCATTTGTTATATAATTAGGATATTGATTTATTTTGGGTTATGGATCGGAAGTTTTTCGGCTACTGGCTCTTCGAGTCGGTTCATCGGTTAAGATGCTACAATTTCATTTCAAGCCTCAATATATGCCTTTTCTAGTTATTTATAAAAATAAATTTGTTCGAAATTGTTGTTGTACTATTTAATAAGTAGGCTGACATTGTATTCTCATCAAACGAACGAATACTCAGACCTCATTTCGGACAACTAGAAAATCAAGAATCAGCTTTTAGTCATCATTTATTCTAAATTGAATTATTCTAACTACACATCTAATAAGTCAATTAAATCTGTCCAACATGTTGATGATGATCCGTT